TGAACGGCTCTTTCGTGATCGCCGAGCCGAAATACAACGCGTTTCTTATTACCATATTCTCAAGAATTGGGAAACTAAGCAGTAGTCTACTAATATACTCTCCCTGAGGCTTAATTCGAAAAGTAATATACACCAGGTACACTTCGTAATTCTCCGATAAAGTATGCCGTACTAGAAATAGGAACTACCTAGCTCAATCGCTTAATAGCTTAGGTAGCGTGTAAGTAAAGACACTTTCTCATAAACGAGCCGTTGACTCCGATAATGTGACAAAGCCTCCACATTACTATCTTTTCTACAAGCTAGGTGGCTTGTCTAATATCGGTAAGATGAAGAGAACCATAAGGCCAGCAGAGACGGGCATCAAACTGAAAGGTCAGAGTTAGAATCATAGCATCGAGATCACTAGTATTACTAGCATTTTTCACGGCAAAGTCCAATCACTATAACGTGTTTTCTAAGTCGGCTATTCGCTGGTCCAATGAGGAATTCGTACGTGTTTGAACTTGACCACATAGCTCTGCCGAATTCCTCTAGTCTCTTAACCAACGTTCTATAATAGTAATAGCGAAGCTAACTAGTATGGATTTATAATATTTGACGCCGCCCTATCTACCCCGTTGTTGCGGAGTATACGTATCAACGGCATTAACAGCTAAAAATTTAATCCTCGGGGTCTAGCTAAGCTGCGAAGAACCGAACCTTATAGCTTACAATTTCGTCTAGCCTAGGTACCTAACAAATCCAACTATTTTAATACATACTCTCGACATGGACAGTCGACTGCTACCGCACGCATAGGATCTCTGGTGCCGCTCAACGAGATTGGCGAAGAGTTTCACCCTTGTTGGAGGTAGGTAATTAATAGCCACCACACCGTACGAGATATGTTCAAACAAGATACGCACTTACGCACTTCCATCTACGAAGTAGCACTCCACAAAGACCAGAAGGCCCGAGCTCCTTTTCCACCTTTCTACATAATACTTGTAACTATGTACTATGGTTATCTTTCACCGCTATTTCGCTAAGAAGACCGTATCCATGTCCAGATCTTATTAACTAAACACCCCTCTCTTTTCAACCTCCCCTCTCACTTCTCATCCTTGTCGCCGTAAATCCCTGCCGACGCTCCATCGCGCTTGTCCGATGATCGCCGGCTATTGGTTTCCTTATCCCTTTCCCTTTTCGGAACGCCAAATACAAGGAGATTTTATTCATGACTACATATTTTCCAAAGTTGTAGCCCCCGTTTTAGATATCAATATCATGGCTTTCACGTGGTGGTGGCTGGTTTGAAGCAAATAGTCTTAAAATTGTGTCTCTTCGAAGGCGTCTTATCTTAGTCTTGCAAATCATGTCCTGTACAATTAGGTCAAACCGGGCCCACACGAAGGTTTTCCGAGAAACTCGTCGGTCTGCTAGTTGAGACCTTTAGGCCTTGCTGAACCTGCCTTTCTCGTCACTGTTCACGAGTGCCTTCTCAGGTCCAGACTCATACGATGTATAGAGGTCACAGGAGCAACAAGTGTCTGAGCACTTATGTAGGATATCACAACTACCAACTACGCTTTGTTACGCGTAACGCGAATACTGTGAAATATAACGTATAGAATAAATATGCACTGTATATTTCCTGTAGATCCCTTCCCCCCAGCCCTGTGTACTTCTTTCTCGCATGGCTATCTAAGCAATCACCGAGGGGTCGATCTCCGTAAGAAGTACCTAAGTTTATCTTTCCTCCAAGTGGGCGTTGTTGACGCTAGCAATGAGTAAAAGCGTGATCGTCGACAAGGATTTTGACGGGCTTACCTGTGCGTATCGCTATTCTTATCCGCGAGCATCGACATCTCACGATGTGCCATACTCAACTCAAATCGCAACCTTATCAAACGTCAATTCTATATACCTATTGTAAGTACACTACGTATGCTGCACCAGCGATCCCCAGTACATGTCAAGTATTCATGTGTATAAAAGGGGCCGCCGTTGATCTGAAAATCAATCTTACATCGTGCATGCACCGTGGGAAGCACCCCTGATACTATATCTCCTCTAGAATGGCTAGGGATCACATTCAGCTACCTACGGTACCGTGGATGCTTACACAGGTGATAAGTACTGGTGATGTACGTAGCATTAGGTACCGTAGTGTACATATGTATGTACGGCGCGGCATGGTATGACTACAGCACATAACCGCACTCACATATCTAGCGGGAAAAGTGAACAGGGGGTTGCAGACAAGCAATTGGTGCCGCTGATATCCTCTTCCCTCTACACAATCCTTCAAGAAGCCATGTCAGGAACAAGATGTAGATATTCAATCATAGCCGAAGACTTGCAAAAGAAAGCCGCACTCGGCTTATAGGACGGCTACGGTATGGCGGAATAATCCTCTCTGGCGGCCCGTACTTGTAAGCCGTTCGACGTTTTCATACAGCCCTCCTTTGGTAAAATGAAAGCAATTCATCCTCGGGTATCAAATCTGCAAATCAGCCAGGAATCTTTAGCCCCCTACATCCCTTTCAAGTTACAAAAGTTACAATACCCAGCCACCCCACGTAACAAGCAAAGGCAAGCAAGCGGGCATGCGTGAGGAGCATCCCGTCTCCGCTGCCGCCGCAGCACCCAAGCAGGTAGTTGTTAGCCAAGCAGGGGAGCAGAAGCAAGTATGATCCGCATATGTAGGATAGTGACAATCTATGCCTGTCAGTATTAGATTCTGTATACCCTCCCGCACCACAAGACCACAAGTATGCTCTCTATTTATGATTATTTGAAGGGTTGGTCTCGACTCGATATTTCCGTCTACCCCATGTCACGTTGACATTTTTGCCCCCCATTGTTGTGGAGAGCATCAAACCCCCACTAGTATACCGACATCATCAATGCTCAGCGAGTTAAGATGTTGGAATTGTATTCCCGTAGCAGCCCAAGTACCTCGTAACGGAATTGGCGATGGGGCCGAGTACCGGCAAGGCGAAAAAAAAAAAAGGAACCGAATCCGGAACTCTTACTTGGTCCCCGAATAACATTTACGGTTGCTAAAATTACCAAAATTAAAAATCTCCTAGACCGACAAATTTCAGGGGTTCAAAACAGTCAACTGATTACTGTACGGGCGAATCAATATTTCCATCTTGAGGAGCGAAGATTAACTCCGGGTTGTAACGTAGCCGGGGGTTCGGCTCAAGTTTAGGCAAGCCCAGCTTTCTCGAGGAATTCTTAACCACGACGACCCTATATCGGATCTTTGCCCACCCAATTGCCAGGCACACTGGGCAATTTCTTTAAAACACTACCGCACATTGGCCGCGACCCAACAGAAAGGCCACTGCAACGTAGCCCAGAGAAGCAGGGAAAGGAAGAGCAAGCTTGCGCATCGAAGGAAGCAGAGGAGGGTGGCAATTGTTCATGCCGGTAAAACATAAAAACGCTGCGGCTGCACAGGATAGAGGAGGGCACGGGTCGGGAATGTAACCCGACTCGATAGTGTTGAATCAATGGCACCCCCATCCAACCGTGACCCCAAAGTGGATAAGCAACACGACATAGCAAATACAGATACAACAAGAACGGCGGCGGCCCCAATCGCCAGGCTGCATGAACGCCTAGCATGGGGTCCAGCATTCGCCGCCGAGCGTACCGTACCTCTAGGTAAGGTACATGATGGAATCTTGAGGCCTAGATTTTGTAGACATGCTGGGTACCCCGGTTCCTACATAGAGGATTTGCAGCTTCGATCCAAGCCCGTAAGCAGTAATCAACGGTCTGTTAGACCTAAGATTCGGCATATACCTACATACACCGCGCACATACATAATGTAGGAAGCGAGGAGGGAGCTCCCGCTTGTGCAGATGACAATCGGGGGTTGTATCATCAGCCTCCGATGACATGACGAGAGAAGAAAAATGTGAGCTGTCAGCATCCAAGGCGGTTAGTGTCCAGGTTGGTCTGCGGCATCGTCCCCCTAGCCCAATGATGTGCGTCAATCTTCTCTGCGAAGAACTCTCGCATCGCCCAGACTCGGGAGGGTACCATCCAAAATCGTACCTAAGCTTCAGCTCCCTTCCCCCTTCCCCCTTCCCCCAAGACTGCAACGAAAGAGGGTTGCATAAGAAACGATGACGGGAGATATGGTGGGCTACTTGCATGAGGATGTGCGGGGGACAGGAAATCGAACCGGGACCGATCCCATCGCGAGACAAGCAGGGCAGGTAAATACCTAGGTAATAATAAAAGCAGGTAGGGGTTTTTTGCTGCCTTTGGATGTGCCTGTTGCCTCTTCCAAGCTAGACCAGGGACCAGGGTCCAGGGTCAGTCATTGCATTGTTCAAAAGGTAAGCTCGAGGCGTGCCAACCAGCAAGTCGAATTGCCGACCTCGTGACTTGGAGAGATCCTTCAATTCAATCTGACAAGTTCCATCATCCATCATCCTAATAAATCCATCTCTACGACTGTAACCCGCGCTGGGCTGGGCACCAAAACAAGTATGCTCAAGTATGCTCGGGCTTTTGGTTTCGAAACGCACCCACCCGATTGGCCCACTGGAGCGCCTCCGTCAGATGTCGTGATATGATGTCCTGTCGTCGGACGAATCCCGTAGCTCTGATAACCTTGACGTTGAACTTGCCTGCGCGATATCGTATGCGGGCTTGGCAGGACGTTGTTAATAATGTCTATCATTTTAATTGAGGGTGTTGAATAAAATAAAATAAAATAAAATAAAATAAAATAGAACAAACATATAATAACAATAAACAACAGCAGTTTAACTACCTAAGGTTGACTTACCTAAGGTATGTAATTTCAATGTTGCTTACCTCTTTAATCTTTGGATTATGTAACCTGGTACCGGTATCTTGCTTACTCAAAATGCTGACTGCTCTATGTAGTTGACGATATATGTGCACACATATATATACATTTGTTATATGCATTCTTGTCCAAAATATAGGTATCTAAGGCATCTCGCCCGACTTACAAGACTTAGCAAATAATTCAAACTTTGTAATGTCGATGTTTCAATAAAATAAACGGGGCGTCACGTGTCACTACCGGCATGTCCTCTGTTGTGTTGCCCGGCAGCTGGCCGGTAGCTCAGGTATTGGTTTCCCGTTAGCGTCGAGTCGAACGGAATGGTTCAAGGTTTTAAGTCTATGGTCATTGTCTCACTTCAAAGGAAACAGCAACCCGTTGTGCGAGGGTAATCTTTTTGCTTACCTTCACAATGACGTAGCAATCACGCGTTTTTCAACTTTAACTTCTCACAGTCTTCGTGTCACCCATTTTCTTTCATTCGCCATGTCGCCCCCGTCAAACACGTCGAAATCAGAGATATCCAAAGCCCCAGAGCCTAAGTATGGCCAGGTGTTTGATTCATGGAACTCGTCCGCCACCGGTCATCAGCGCGCCGAAAATCACTTGGGGAGAAGCATAGGATGGCGTCAGTCTCGGAACTTGAAGCTGACGAGCCAGTTCAAAGGGGGCCCGGGCGGCGGATCGAGAGTATCAGACACAGTCGGTACTGGATCAAAAGACTGGGATCCTAAGCTGAAAGCTCTTGTCACGCCTGAGCTACGGTCACGCGCTAAGTGTTCCGTCAGGGATATGCTTGCAAAGCCAGGGATCATGGCAACGAGTATGTCGTCGTCTACGTCTACCGCGCCAGACCCAAAATCTATGCCAGATGATGAAGGTAGCAGCAGGCCGACAGCCGAGGAAAAGCTCATGTCCCAGCGTAAAACCGAAGATGAAGCGCGAGAGACGCAAAAAGCGCAGCCGAAGAGGATTTTCGACGGTGTTGTGGTCTATATCAACGGTAGCACGCACCCCCTAATATCGGACCATAAGCTCAAGCACATCTTAGCGGAACACGGAGCTAGAACCTCAATCAATCTCGGACGACGGCAGGTGACTCACGTGATTTTAGGTAGGCCGACCGGAGGAGGGTCTAGGGGTGCTGGTGGAGGTTTGGCAGGAGGAAAATTACAAAAAGAAATCCAGAAGGTTGGTGGTTGCGGGATGAAGTTTGTAGGTGCTGAGTGGGTTCTTGAGAGCATTAAAGCAGGCAAACGACTTCCGGAGGCGAGATTCAGCAATTTGAAGATGGCGTCTAGGGGCCAGCAGAGCGTATATGGTTTATACTCGATGTCCAAGACACCTGCGGAGAAATCTGCATCCAAATAGGCATGCCCAACGTCATCTGGCAGAGGCTGACGAATTTATGACGCTGCTCGCTATGGCATACGCCACGGTCAATGGGTTGGTTGCATTCAGGGTTTACAACATTACACATTGCATTATGAGATACATGAGGTTGGTTACTTTGCATGACACATCAGCATAAAGCATCAATTGCATGAATGGTCGGGGTCGGTATGTACTCGGGCGGGCTACCGGGAGTTTTTGGTTTACGGTTGCATGGGGTCGGGGAATTGCCGGTCGGTTCGTCGTAATTCAGATTCGGTTCCTTGAATTGCAACATCTTGGACGTTGACATGGCGTCCGTTCCATAAAGCCGGTTCGCAAATTGCCAATCCGGTCATGTTGCAATAAAGTTTCTATTTACCTTATAGTTTAATTTAATGCGCCGTGAGGATAGGCCCATATATCCCGAATCTTGGTACCGCTTATTGTCACAAACAAATATCTCAAGTCTTACTGTCATATCATATCTTAACTTCATAGTCCTCTCAACCTTAGAAAGAAGCACGGTTGTACGTGATGTTCCCATAAACAATTGTCTCGAACCGCTTTCCCAGTATTTCGGGGTTTGAGTCTCTTTGATAACTCGGTACAGATGGAGTTTACCGAGGATGTGGCTTGGACGTGCATTCATTACCCCAGAACCCCGGGCAATCTTATTTGAAGAGAAGTGATTGACAGGTATCACAGTACGGTCATTGCCCCGCGGGGTATCTTAGTACCGGTCTTACTAAACAGGACTCCTTTTGTAACAAAGGAAGCCGCAATGAGCATTATAAGTTATCATAGCAAACATATAATATTTAGTAGACCTAGGTAGTTAGATAAGTCAATGCTACTAAACCTTTTATATAATATCACTCACAAGCGATTAATAAGCTCACTAGAAAGTGTTCAAGTCTCATGCTTTAAGTTTCAAGATCGTCACGGAGACTTGCAACAATGAGCCATCCGCAAGACGAGGTTCACCGCCGTTCGCTGGAGGATCCAGAGAGATTCTGGGGCCGCCATGCTGAGAAGCTGTATTGGCACAAGAAACCAGATGCGGTCATAACCAAGACGACGAGGAAACTTAAAAGCGGATTGGAATATCCTCATTGGGAGTGGTTCTCAGGCGGTAAAATATCAACATGTTATAACTGCGTTGATAGACACGTCCTCGCTGGTAATGGCCACCAGCCTGCCATCTTCTATGATAGCCCCGTTACCAAGACGAAGGCTACCATCACCTACGCGCAACTACTCGATCAGGTCGAGGTCACGGCTGGTGCCCTAAGAGAAGAAGGCGTTAAGAAGGGGGATGTTGTGTTGGTTTATAGTTCGCTTGCCCCATTACCTTTTTTAATCATGATAACAGTATAACTGACAATATCTAGTGCCAATGATACCAGCCGCTCTCATTGGAATTCTCGCCATTAACCGGCTTGGGGCGATTCACGCCGTTGTGTTTGGCGGGTTTGCTGCAGCCTCTCTAGCCCAGCGCATTGACGCGTCCAAACCTGTGGCCATCTTGACGGCTTCATGTGGAATTGATGGAGCCAAACCACCCATAAGTTACAAGCCTTTTATCTCGGAGGCTATTAAACTGTCTACTCATAAGCCGAGTCGTGTCATAGTCTGGCAGCGAGATGAACTGCGTTGGGACAATCTCAATAAAGCAGCCGGCGAGCGTAATTGGTTCAAGATGGTGCGCAGCTGTAAAGCGAGAGGCGTGAGAGCCGATTGCGTACCTGTTGGCGCTACCGATGAGATTTATATAATCTACACCAGTGGAACGACAGGCTCGCCCAAAGGTGTTGTCCGTCAAGCAGGTGGTCATGCAGTTGGACTACACCTTTCGATAGGCTATTTATATGGCGTTCATGGACCTAGGGATGTGATGTTCACAGCGAGGTGAGTTATATATCAAGGGGATTTGTCCACTGGTAAATATTAACTTGAGATGAAGCGATATAGGCTGGGTAGTAGGCCATTCCTACATCATATATGCCCCTCTTCTTATCGGAGCAGCCACAGTCCTCTTCGAAGGGAAGCCTATCGGAACACCTGATAGTTCGACTCTCTGGCGCATCATACAAGATTATAAAGTGACGAGCCTTTTCACTGCTCCAAGTAGGTCCCGCTGGAAAATGTATCTGAGTTATCTTTCTGACGATTCTAGCTGCTCTTCGAGCTATCAAGAGAGACGATCCAGAAAACAAGTTTCTCAAGCGGATAGGCGAACAGGGTGGCCTAAAAAGCCTCAAGGCGCTTTTCCTTGCGGGTGAGAGGTCAGAACCCTCAATAGTAACGATGTATGACGACCTTGTACAACGATATGGCGCTCCCGGCGCCACCGTAGTGGACAATTGGTGGTCGTCAGAATCCGGATCACCAATGTCGGGCATCTGTTTAGCCCCACACGTAGGAGACACTGAAGGTACCATAAGCAAAATCTATAAACGGTTATCGATCAAACCGGGAAGCGCCGGCAAGGCAATGCCAGGATTTGACGTCAGAGTGGTAGATGATAATGGAAACGAGGTAAAAAGGGGGAAGATGGGCAACATTGTTCTAGCGATCCCGCTGGCCCCGACGGGTTTTACGACGTTGTGGGAAGATGAGGAAAGATTTTATAATGGCTATCTAAAAAGGTTTAGTGGAAAATGGGTTGACACCGGCGGTAGGTCTTTCATATATGCTTGGGAGTCATTCGCTAACCGAAAGTTTGACAGATGCCGGCATGATAGATGCTTCTGGGTACATCAGCATCATGAGTCGGAGTGATGACTTGATTAATACAGCCGGTCATCGGCTTTCGACTGGTAAGCCATCTCGTCCTTGAAATGGAGTTTATACTAAAGCAAAGTGGATAGGTTCTATCGAGCAGGCAATAACAAGCCACCCTCTAATCGCAGAAGCCTGTGTAGTCGGCATCCCAGATTCTTTGAAAGGCCAGCTTCCTTTCGCCTTTATAACCTTGTCGGTGCCTGACCATCCCGCTTCCGCTGTACCAGATAAAAAACTGTACGGTGAGATCCAGAAACTTGTTCGAAGCCAGATCGGAGGCATCGCAACGCTTGGGGGCATAATCCAAGGCAAGGGGATGATCCCCAAGACGCGATCGGGCAAGACGCTGCGAAGAGTTCTAAGGGAGCTAGTTGAAAATGCGGTTCATGACGAGCTTGAAAACGAAGTCCAATACCCGGCCACCATTGAGGACGCGTCGGTGGTCAATGTAGCAAAATCCAAGGTCATAGAATATTTTAAGCATAAAGGGGAAGCGCATAAAGCGATCGAGGCAAGGGCCAAGTTGTAGACGATTCGTTCCGGTTAAACCATATCCATCGACAATGCTTGCCACTATTTCTATTTCTACTTCTGCTTCGGCTGTTTCAAGCTAGAAGGTAGCAACTCGCGAACACGTTGACTGGTAGTATCTATTCAAGTAGCTTTCGTATTCAAGTTCAAATATAGCAATCCATCGTTAAGGTCCTAGATCTCATAGCAACAACATTAACCTTCTAGTAGTGACATCTACCTTTTCTCTAGCAGCAGCATCAAAATAGGTTCACTTACATGTACTTTGCTAGGACAGTGTACTTGAAACGTTCTTATGTTCCTATAGAGTTGAGCTCCGAGGCTAAAATATTACGATCTTTTTCTTCTCGTTTAACTAGCTACTATGATCTTAGTTTATGAGATATTTCTCTCATCGAGACGAGCCACTTATCCTGATACCGCTCTTATAGCCCACATCACTCCAATCCTATTCCTTAGGACATTATGAGCGGTCCCAGATGATACCGGTAGATAGTAGGACGCGGGCGTTGAACAGGCCGATGCTTGTGATTCCTTCGCATCATCTACTTGATATTTTTGCCTGCCAATCATAACGGCAATACCCTCTATTCTAAAATAAAGCGAGCCGCATAAACAGTTCCCTTCGAGAAATCTAATTCAATATGTTTGGGGGCGTTCCATACATGGGCTTTGAGTGTATAGGGTGGCGAGTAATATAGGCCCGCGCGCCTACGAGAGACTCGTGTAGGAGACAAGGCGGCCGTGTAGTTCTATTCACAATCCATGTTATTCAATTTCTACGTGCCACGCACGTCCCTATAACGCCTCATATTTTCATTATAAATGACTCAGCTTATGTATCAGGCTGTTGTTTGACTACCGCAACAAGCTTCTCAATTAGGAAACTTATGTATAGCCTCAACAAATAGGACTACTTAGAACGCCAATGCAGGCTAAGGCAACACCGAAACGATATTGTTCTCCGCTGTGTCCAACACGATCTTGTGGTCTCCGGCCGGTGGTAATCTATCCTTAAAGAGTAAAAGATGAAATCTGTGATAAAATTGGCAAAGACATGAACACAAGCTGAATTAATACCCCCTACAGCGCAAGCTGTCTGGTGGGATCACGAGCATCTTGGAATGTCATGATGGCAGTATATAAGTTGGCTCTGCTCGCTGGTAACGGTAGACATTATCGAGTTCTCTAGACCAAATCAACGCCTTCACGATGGCAGAAAGAGAAATCACCATCTTCTGGAAAGATCACGGCAAGTTCTTCGTTTGAAAAAACATTACAGATATCAATACTAACATCTATCAGGTGCTTTTATATGTCGTTGGACCACTTCACAAATCACCAAATGTGTTTCAAACGGCAGCATAGCACTGCAGACTATTGATCTTACCTTGTCGTTGAATCCAGCATTATCAAGCTCGGAATTCGCACATCTTCTAGGAAATAATGCTATCTGGATTCAGAGCGATAACAATAATATTGAGCCTGCCAGCACGGAGTCCTTTGGCTCACGAGAGGCTTTCCAATTTCTCGTGAATTGCCTTCAAGCCACCAAATCGTCCGAGAAGAGACTCGTGAGACTTATTACCCCTTTACAGAGAGGTACAGTTATCAGGTCAGATATCATCCCCCTTCGACTCAAGGGTGCTTTCGGTGTCGAGCGGGTGGTGTCCTTCTTAACGCCGCTCCAATCGCTTTCTGGGGAAGCCGTTTGCCTAGATGTGGTTTCACTCTCTAAACTATTTCGTTCCTCTGCTGGGGGAATATTGCTACAGCAGTCGTTTCCAGGGACCGACGTGGATTCAGCAGTACCTATTGTACCTCCGGAATTCGAGGCTGAATTTGAAAATAAGATGTCTCTGCCCTGGGTTTTACCGAGATCGACCACTCGGAAGCGACTTGTTCTCGTTGGCATTAGCTACCGTGCGCCATCTCAGGGGTCATGGGCCGTGTATGCATGCGAAGCAGCCCGTGCCCTTGGAATTGACCTCGTCATTATTGACAAGCCTGGGTGCTGGATCGAGCGAAGCGAATATTCACAGGTATGCAGTTCGAACACATACCCCATTTTAGATTAAATCCATAAATTGGATTTTTCAATAGAGTTGAATCAGGAGCTGCTATCACCAGCATAAACCCAAACTCCCATAATGCATCAAAGAGATAACTACTAACACTGGTATTCAAGTGGTATGAGGCATTCTTGCCTGCTGGTACTTGGTGGACGAACCCGCCTGGCCTCGACATGGCAGACCATATCGTCGAGACAGTCAAGTCGTATGGCAAGAAGATCGATGGCATCGTTGCTTTTATAGACTCGTTTCAAGCTACGGTCAGCCGAGCAGCGGAGAAGCTTTGCCTCCCGCACCAGCCCGCCGAGTCGTATGAAATCGCAACCGACAAATATCAAGTAGGCATTGCCGAAGGCCGTAATCCATTCAACGGTTCGACAGTCGAAGAGGCCCTTGAATTTGCCTCGGCGGAGGACCTTTCATACCCCCTAATTCTCAAGCCACGCTTAGGCCTTAACTCAGAAGGGATCGTACGAGTGAACAACGCAGCGGAGATTCAAGCCGGGGTAGATATGATACAGAAGACCTTCTTCAAGTCATTTACGATGGAGAAGTATTGCGATGGCCCAGAAGTCGACGTTAACATGATCTTACTGGATGGCGAAATACTCTTCTGCGAGATCTGCGACGACTTCCCAAAGCCGGGAGATCAAAGCGACATGACGGTCCCCGCCTCTCAAATGAGCTTCTTGGAAACATATCTCGTCCACCCTTCCGCTCTTCCACCTCCTGAGCTAGAGATGCTTCAGAGTTCCATCGGCGCAACTCTCCAGCGAATCGGAATTTCTAGTGGCGTCCTACACGTAGAAGCTCGAGTTCAGCGATCATCCGTCGAATACCGCTCTGATGGCGGCGTTCTAGACTTACAGCCAATTGAAAAAGCGACAACATCCGCTCCTCCAACTCCCTGGATTTTGGAAATCAACCCACGACCTCCGGGATCTACTGCCAGCCGTATCGTAGAGTCAGTCTACGGAATTGATTATTTTGGCGTCGCCCTGGCCCTGGCTATCGAGGATAAGGATCGAGCTAGATCACTATCCCTCCCATTCCAAAATGGCGCCCAGCATACCGGAGTGCTCGTTTTCATTGGCGCTGATTTCGACGAAACCTGCGAGGGCATCTTTGATTCGGATGACATCTGCAGCGAATTGTTAGGCCGAAGACCTGACCTAGCGAAGAATAGTAAGTGCTATCTACAATCATTCTAATTTATTCTATCGTATAATACGAGCATCAAAATACTGACTCTAGATACTAGTTAATCGCTACGGTTGTCTTGTGAAAAGGGGCCAGAAGGTCCCACACCCCAGTTCCGGAGCAAACACATTTATAGCTTACTTCAATGTGTTCTCGAAGTCAAGAAAAGAAGCACTAGAAATTGCAGTTGAAGTGAGGAAGGAAGTCAGGTACTCATTCCGTTAAATCAGCGCTGCGTTAAGTTAGCTTTGAAAGCTAGGTATACATGGATCTCTTTTGTTACGTAGGCAAGACGGCTCTGTGAGCTGATGTCTGCCCTTTATCCATTTCCTATGTTGAAAGACACTCCTTAGACATAGATAGATAAGTAGATAGAACATTATTATAGGAATAGACAAGCTAGTTATTTAAGTGCTAGGCACTTCTAGTAATTAGCAGGCTATTTCAAACTATGTGCATACGAGTAGGATCAAGAGAATTACATGAATAAGCCGGGAAGTTCAACAGTTGAAAACTCAACCACGCTACTATAGCGTAGTATGTTTTATGAAATACGAGCTGAGTAAGAACTCGTAAGTAAATCTAGGACATATATACATAAACCGTATCTCTTTGTAGTGGCCTGTGTGAAGGCCTATCTGTGTCTTGATATTCGGTCAATAATAATAGGATATCTGAACATCGTCAATTGCCAATGGATATCGCCTTAGACGAACCCCCTTCTCCCCCACGGTGAGTGCATCATAAACTATAAGTGAACTCAGGATTCTCCCGATCCGTCAGATCAAGAAATTCCTGCCCATCTACCTTAGTATAGCCAGGACTAGCTCGGATAGCGGCCTTGATCTTGTTCTGACGCCTACACCAGAAATTGATAAAAACCAAAATAGCGAACGATACAAACATGCATACGAGGATCGTTATGTTGGCGTTGCGGTACTGCGGTGCGTCGTTGGTCTGGAATACTTGAGGGCCAATAATGTTACCTACACAGTAGGCAGTGAGATACATCGCTGCGACGGTGGTCTTCTTCGTCCATCCTGCCACATTCGTCGAGATAAGTCCCAGCAGGGCCACGAATCCGGTTGAAGAGGACTGATACAGGTAATAACCCGCAAGCCGCCCGCCACTGTTACTAAGTGGCAGGAGGAGGATAAGAAAGAGACCCAACACTGATAGTAGGACGCCGGCAGCACCAAATAACTAAATAAATCGTTAGCATTTCTCGCAATGTACGGGACGGGAAGCCTAACAATGCGGTTTTTGAATCGATCGCCAAAATGCCCAGCAATTAGGAGAGTGATGACCTGGATAGCGCCGCCAGGTGCCCCTAAAAGAAGGGATTCATTCTCCGAGAACCCAAATGAAACGATAAGTTGCGAGAAGTAATTTGACATTCCACCTGACCGGAAACATTAGCCTTAGCTTTCACGTATAAGTGTGTAGATTAGCGCATGGATAACTCACCGTTAGGGATCGAGCAAATGACACTATTAAGCACGAACGCCCAGATCATAGGATCTGTAAGCGCTTCCTTGCATTGATACCATTTAAAATGCTTGTTCCCAACGCCCTGTTGATTGATGCGGATACGTTCGACGGCCATAATTCGCTCCTGCTGTGTCAAGAACCGGGCGTTCAGTTGACTGTCTGGCATAAGATATAAGAACAGGACGCCCATGAAGGCCGTGAAAAAACCAGTGACGAGGAAGACCAATTGCCACGACTTGATTAAGATGGGATGAGCCTCTGTGCCGACAGCAATGCCATAAGCTACAACGCCTCCCACGATTTGACCCCAGCCGTTGAAGCTGAACCACCATGCCACTCTCGTCCCTTGCTCCTTTTTGGTATACCACTGGGACGTGAAGAGGGCAAACCCGGGGCTAACGGCCGCCTCAAAAGCGCCGAGGAAGAATCTCACCGTCATTGCCGCGGCGAAATTCTTCACGGCTGCCATACAGCAGAGAACGAGCCCCCACATTATTACGTTGAAGGCGGAATATTTCGCCAACGGCAGCCGCTGGAGAAGACGATTTGTTGGCCACTCCCAGAAGAGATAGCCGAAGTAGAACATGGAAGCTATCCACTGTGTGAAGGTAAGTATGGGTCAAACGAAGAACCTAAGGAGGCACTTAGGGGCTCTGAAGTTGAATTCTCTTGGAAGAGGAAATGGCTCACAGAATAATCTTGACCTGGGATGAACGTTCGTCAATAATATTCATATATATATGCTGTCGGTTCCTAACCTAGAGAACTTACCTATAAGATTGATATCTGTCTGCGGAGAGCACACAATGTAAGTTTACGCCTTGACTTGAGTACGGTCTCATCTCACTTTAATCCCCATGATTGAGGCATACGATAAAGTAGTTTTATCCAAATAATTCAACCCGTAGACGACGCAAAGCAGAGGCATCAAATTACGATCAATCTTCTTCAATAGCCTCTTCTCATCCTCCGAGGTCAAAACTACAGCTTCTCCAGCCACGAGCTTCAACGCCTCATCCGGGTCATTGTTAATTATGTGCTTGTTCATAGAGCCAATTCCGGCAGCTTTAGACGGATCGCTTGCTGTCTTTTCGACATCGACCGACGAAGCCGTTGTCGATGTTTGTTTGACCTCGGACATGGTTGATATTCGAATTCTACAATTTTCGACTGCTCGTAGCGATAATGAGGGGTTGATTAGATGGAGGTTTAAGTTTGAAATTGGAGATAGATAGACACTTAGACTAAACAGAAAAGGCGATGAAGAACCATGATACTCACTGTCGGTTATCTTCGCTGATAAGCAGTTGTATGTGTGGCAATATCAAGGATATAAGTCGGGGTATAGCCAATCAAATAGTGTTCCCGCAATCAGGAAGAGAGCGTTGCTACGTAAATGAGGCCTGATGGTGCGAGCAGATCACAGCATTAAGCCTATTCAGCTCTTGTAAAGGGTCACATATGAATCTCTTACATACCAACTTGTGAACCTCTTAGATAAAATTTACCGAGGTGAATGAGAAAGAATATGGTCAACTACACACTCCAATGACCACCTTTGGGGAAATGCCTTTGTTACCTACCGAACTTTATATGAGGGGTAGTGCTGGGATCTCTTATCTCCACGGTCGACAGTGTCAATGTAAGCATGATGATTGTTAGAATCAAGAGTCTTAGATATGAGAAGATTCCCAATTACCCTCGAGGCTAACGGTATTTAGGTATCTGAATATTAAGTAGATTGAGTGAGCCTAAGGTGAACAGCCTCTCCGATTGCAGACTTATATGTGCGGTCGAGATAAGCCTTCTATTACTTAGGTACCTACATACCTAAAGTAAGGGGTCGTTGAGAGTCCCTTGATACGGACAAATCTTACTGCACCAGCCGTAACTTAACCCCCGACCGAGACCCTCGGCGAAATAGACGCTGCGACCAGCAGAGGTCGGGGAGGCTATGTATGTATTTGAATAATTAAGCCGCTTAAGCCACACGCAATACTCTGCGCCATCTACATCGCACACGGCCTTATTGAATTCGTCTCACGTAGATTTGTCTCACGCAGGTATATGCAGTGCCTACCTCATATAGGTACCGTAGTCCCTACGGCGACGACGTCACAAGGTCGGATAGGTACCTAAGGCAGGTACCCGTCCGACGCTGGGCTGCCTCTTGGGTGTAACCAACCCTAAATCCTCCATAGGTATGTATGCACGCCCGTCACGTTGCGCCCTGATCAGGTTGGGCGGAAGCAATGTTGCAGTCTACCTACCTGACGCAGGGACGTCGAGATGTGATGTGAGATTTCTACGAATAGCAAAACGTACCTAACCTAGGTACATAGGTACCAGGTAAGACCGTAACCCTACATCATGTATTCACGTCGGCTACATGAAACTTTGGCCATCGCCGGATCAGCGTGTCCCAAAGTAGAACACGTGTCTTGTCTCGGGTGTCGTAAACAAGTGGCATTGTCCTTATGTCTCTCACGTTTAGTAAGACTTGTCTAACGATTAACCTGGGTTTACTCTCTTGCTAATTTTTATATAATTGAGACTATACACAAGATCGACAAATCTGCTAAACCTGAGACCGCCGGCTTATGCGTAGTGTAAGTGGATCGTCAGTGATCAACAGGTGCATTAGGTACCTGTTACGCGATCATGATCGTTCATCCGATCTAGATCTAAATATAAGACCCAGCTACTTGCAGATCACGCCCACATTGTGTAAAAAAATATTAAGCATAAATGAATATCTAGACGTACATTATGCTTCGTGCAGATATTGTAGAAACACCAAGTACAACAAGGAACAATAGTCTAAATAAACTCCATCGCTGGAACTATCATAACATAATCAAATACAATTGGACTAAAATCAATAACAATTCTACAATTAAAAATCTTCACAATCATGATTCAGTCACTCATAAGAATAAAAAGAAGATTTAGATGCCAGACCAAAACTTGGCCTCCCAGCCATGTTTACGTTGCCATTGAACTACCGTACAAGGACTCCGTAAGCACAGAAGAATTTGTCCAGAGACCAATAAAACATCCAGCCGAAGACAACAGATAGGTCATGTTGCAACTCTTGCCGAAAATATTAACAAAGCTTGACTCTCCAAATTTGTACATGAAAGAGAAGTCAGTAATTAGCAAGAGCACGAGAATTGAAACTTCCTGGGTGAAGACGGGTAAGGTGAAGATTGAAATGGTTTGATTTTGTCCAAAGGCTCCGAAACGAAGTGATTTTTTCCATCCAAGTATCCGCCAGGAAATATCCGCTCCAGATTCCAAAAACCTCCCCGACCATTCCAAGTGCCAGGAGACCTCACACAATGTAATCCTCCATGGTTATATTTGATTGGTAGCCCGAAATACCGAGACAAGAAATTACAAGAATCAAAATTAGTTCCCGCATGCGTGGTCGTTATACTCCATAGTGCAATGCAGAACACCGTGCCGTTAACAATCCCTGTCTAAACACTTCCTCCATCCCATTCACAACTCCAGTCTGCTTCCTGTCATGAGCGTCGGAAGCATCCCTCGCGATCACCGTATATTAGGTACTATCGAACAAAGGAGAATCGTAGGTCATAGACTCGGATATTGAGCTGAAGCTGCACGCTTACAGAAGAGCAGCGGCAAGACCGAGGAGACCAGCGAGGCCAGCTCCGGAGAGGGCAGCAACCTTACCGGCACCCGCAGTGGGGATGGCGGTGGCCGAGGTGGAAGCACTGGGAACACCGGGAGCACCACCGGTAGGGTAAACCTGGGTGGGGGTGTTGACGGGGGCGGTGCTGTTAGGGTAGCTGGCGGGAACCGGGACCGAAGTAGGGTAAGTAGGAGGGGCCGGGCCACTGCTGGCGGGAGCACTGTTGGCGGGAGCACTGCTTAGATGTTAGTTCATTTAATCTTATCTGAAAATTGGTATCTTACCAAGTAGCGCAGGAAACTGACGAGGTAGTGTAGATGGGCTTGCTGATGGTGCAAGGGCAGTCAGTGATGGTCAAGGTGGTGGCCTAGAGTTTTGTTAGTTAAGAGTCTTCGGTAGAATTTGTAGATAAACATACCTCAGTGACAGTGTAGGTGTTGGTGCCGTAGGTGATCTGAGTAGGGCCGGGGCAGTAGGTCTCGTACGAGGTAACGACCTCGGTGGTGTACTGAGTAGCGGAGGTAGCGTTTCCGGCCGGGAACGAAGTAGCGGCAGAGGCCGAGACCGAAGAGCTGACAGCCGGGTAAGAGGCAGGAGCAGAGGCTGAAGAGCTAACGACGGGTAACGAGGCGGAAGCGCTGGAAGCCGGGTACGAAGCGGAGGCAGACTCGCTAGCACTGGAGACAGCAGCGGACTCGCTGGCGCTGGATACGGGGTAGGCAGCAGGTTCGCTAGCGACCGGGTAGGAAGCAGAGGCGCCAGCGGCGAAAGCAAGAGCAGCAACGGAGAACTTCATTTTGACTGAGTTGTCTGGTATTAAGTGACTCGTGTAGAGCGTTGGTTGTCGAGGATTAAGTATTTATAAGGTAGAGCAATTAGGTATGCTGTATAACGAATGAAATTGACTGAAAAGTCAGGGTGATATTTGCAGCGGAAATGTGTGGGTGAGGAGGAAAAGAGAGGAAGGATTGTCGGTCTTCGGATGTGTTGACTTATATACAGAACGAACGGCATGGGGGGGGGAGGTTACTTCTAGGTTGCTTTCCAGGTTGCTTTCCAGGTGTACACCAAGCAACGTGAACTTCACCTACTCCAGTACTTTGCTCTAGTACCTTGCTCCAGTTTCCTTCGTATGTAGATAGCCTATCCTTGCTGTATCCCGGTTTCTGCCAGGGCAGTAGACAACGGGGCCCGAGGCGCTAGGACAGCAGGGTCGACTTTCGTCTCCATCTATATCTGCTCCGTTTTTATTTTTATTTTTTCCACAGCTTATTTCGCTTTTTTATCCAATCATGAGTAATTATACTCATGGCTGAAAGCAATTGCGCACATACTGTACACACAGAACACACATTATGTACGTGTGTATGTACATATGTATAGTATGTGTGCGTGTATCGTCCGCCCCAGAGGCACCACCTCAGGGGTGTCTCTTCTTAGCTAGCGGTGCATGGTGAGCGTCAAAATCTGCCCCTTTTGGGGTCAAAATGTGGATTCCCCCATGATGACTTGGTCGTTCTAAGCATGTACAACTCAAGGTGTACAACTCAAGATACAGGTCGATATACTAAAAGGGCCAAAAGGGGGTGTACAACTGCTAAGCCCCTATTGGGAACACATTGGACCGAAGGTATCTTGCAGGGCTATTCAGTATGGTTGAATACAATCGGTGTGATGAATCATTATCAGGTAGTAATAATTAGGAACACGAGATGGGTCTTGGAACAATAGTTCGGAACTATTTAGGATCTCATCGTTCGTTGGCTGGTTGGGATAATGCGGGCCGGGGGTTGTGAGTACATAGAGCATGCAGGCATCCTGCAAGGAACAGCGAGCTGGATGTCGGTATGCAATCCCAGGGGCCAAGTCTAAGTCCAGCATACAGTCAGTCAGTTTCTGGCCTGGCGATTTGCGGAAATTGGGACGCCACTAGCGTAGGTTTTTCTCCTTGGCTAAAAAGCCCATAGAAATACTTCCAAGATGAGCTACTTTATCGACAATCAACCAGTTGTTGAGTTGTATCAATTTATTCTTAGTACTGATTTATCGGTGATACACTACGGCTGGGTTTGCCCGGACCGAGTTGCCATCGTAAAATCCGTACCCATCGAATCAGTGCTCGGGTATGTCCAACATACCTAGAATACGGATCAGTCAACATTTAAAGGTCAAGGGTCAAAGTGAGAGCAGTCGGTCACTATGTAAGTTGCCACTTGCCAATTGCAGACGCAGGAACAGATTGCGCTTCTGCAGGAACCGCAATTGTGCTGACACCATAAGCAGAAAATTCAATCGCTCCGATAACAACCTAAGTACGAAGTACCTACTATATATATTAATGCGGGAAATCCGATAACACTTTACCCATTTGGGCATTTATGCAAGGAAGAATAAGGTATTGCCGATTAAAATAGCAATCCATTTAATCCTATTCAGTAAATCCATTCAGGGGTTCACACCTCCTGAACAGACACGCAGACAAGGCACAATTAACAGACTCTAACCCCAACTCCAACTCTAATTTGGGAAAAGTACGAGCGCCGCTTTGAACCAACCAATTCGAAAGCTGATCGTAACGAGGAACACCATACACGATTCAGCTAGTGCATACATATGGACATATTATCTGCCTAGGTATTTAATGCAGCACATGTAAAAGAGAGAGAGATGTGTAAGTACATAGTAACTAATTAATTACCATTGTACAAATAGGGCTGGTCGTATCATCATGCTTCTTTGAGTTACGGTATGACGGGGTAAAACCCCTGAGGTAGCCCCCTGGTTGACAAGACGCTACCGATAACCGGTTGGTCCTCTCCAGGATTGAATCTGGATTGGCTCTTTTAGACCGACGCGGAAATTACCAAGCGTTCCCTGAGGCTTTCTGGAAAGTTAGCTAAACCTCATAACAGGTTTGATAAGAACTAGGACTCAATATTTTTCCGGTGTTCTAGATCTAATAGTGTAGCATGGATGCAATCGGACGATGCTGTTGCAAGTAATTTAGCACCTCGTATCAATTCGTCTTCGATGAACTTGGATATGGAAAATTCGATGCAAAATAATTACTACCTAACATTAGGTACATATGCACAGCTGCGTCAAGGGAGATGGGTCTTTTTAGATAATTGCCTCGTTGCCTCGATGCGGTGTGGTATAAGTGTATCGTTTGCAAAATCCACGCAGCAGTATTTCCCTCGTATCTAACGATACATATGAAAATTCCCAACTTCCAAGAGAATCTCGCTAAAGGCTTTAGCGTGTGTCTTTTCGATCAGCTAGGGTTTTGCTACGTAGATTTTCCCTCTTTCTCGGGTTCCACAAGCGTCTGCTCAGACCACTGAGGCCAAGTCGTTGACGGAGTTGTAGATCTCACCTAAGCTTTAAAGGCATCGGGGCTGAATCTGGTTCAAATCTAAATGTCTCGATTCAATGATTTGCAGTGAGTTTCAACTAAGGACTTACATACGCAGCTAGAGCTGAGACTGAAGTGATCTCCGAGTTTTAGTTTAGCTCGACATGTCATTGTCATGTCACTTATTGTGTCACTTACTACATATGTAATGTCGAAAACAGTTAGGTATGGGGCTCTTGATCGAAATAGCCTATCTAACATCAATAAGTTTGTCTATGGAGTTTTCCGGAGTTGCTTAACCTAATGGGATTATTACATGGGCCTCTCCACGTAATTTCCACCATTCCCACATGGATGAATTCAGAGATCTTCGATGCAACCGCTGCCACGGGTAATCAAATACATACGAGATCTTGTTTAATAGCGCAGGGCCACCAATCAACGCGTGCTCTGCGTACGGTTGTCTCTTTGTCTTTATTATGTTCTACTCGTACGCGTTCCTTAACGCCTAAACCTCTCTGAAGGAAGAGTAGGTAGACTCTATGGAGGAAAATTCTTGCTACATCTCGTCATCTCGAACGTTCGTTACTTATTCTCTACTCAATGTAGGGATTTATCCAACTCGCAAAAGTCGTTATTTGCTTCAAGTTGGTCTGTCTACATGGCCGTTTCACCTCGAAAGACCATATATAGGTCCTAAGGCTGACGAACTGTTGGGTTACGCTTGTCTTTAACTGAGTTGCAGGTTCGTTATACGGGACCCTCGTTGCCTTCATGACACGAACGAGATATCAATGACCAGATATATTTCGTCGAATTACACTCCAATAAGATTGACGAGCCTCAACTAAGCAGTGGCTAAGCGTGAAACTATCTTCGAATGTTTCTTTTAATATGACAAGCGTTCACGACAACGAGTACCCTCGGCTAGGTGAACTAATCGACTTGGTTCACGTTAGTTTAATCGCGGTGCGCCTAAGCAACTGGATAATATGATGCAGTATTCCACGATGTGAAGAACTGGTGATGGCTTAGATGAGGGAGATGAGGGCCGGTGATATGAACATATGAAATATGCTTAGAGGATTAATTGGGCTCGCCGTAAATAACGATTCGAACTGCCTTGAGCTAGCTAAAAGACACCGAACGCCGACTTACGTCTCCGAAGAGTTGCTAGTGTGGTTTTATAATTTCGTCTCCGCCGGTAGTGGTAAGAGATCGGGATTCGGCATATGGGTATGAATGGAATTGAGATAAAACGCGGCTATGTAAATGTCGCATTAAATCGCTTAGTAAACATGATGTCATCCAACATATTCCAATGGGGTGCATTATGTACAGCTGTCGCCATCAGTCGAAGTAACCTTCGCGGTGCTAACCTCTAAGAAGTAAAATAGGTACTAATTATCCAACTAGAACTTGCCGTTGATTTCAAAGCATAATGTCCATCTAAACTGTATAAAAAGTAATAGCATCATCGACACCTAGAGATTCTTGGCTGAAGCCCCCTCTAAATTCCTAAGGCTTGACCTACATTGCGATATATCTCCTACAATATTGTCCTTATAATCGAAATGAGTAACACGATGAAAGCTGTCGGTATGTGATTTATAACCGAGTTTCAGTCTTCATATAATTATTACATGTAGATGTAAAAGCTAACGATACTCCAACGCAGAGGTCAAGGGCGGGAAAGGGCCCGCTACCTCACTCTTCATAAACCCTGAAACCCCCAAGCCTGAGCCCAAGGAGGGCGATGCTCTGGTGCGTATTAAAGCCTTCGGGCTAAACCGTATGGATCTTATCCAGCGCGAGGGACGGTATCCGCTCCCACCACAAGCACCGTCTACCCTGGGTGTCGAATTTAGCGGCACAATCGAGTCGTTCGGACCCGGGCCGCACGGCGACTTTAAGGTCGGCGACGCCGTCTTCGGTCTAGCGTACGGCGGTGCGTACGCCGAGTACATCGCCGTAAGCTCCAAGATGTTGCTGCACAAGCCGGATAGCTTCTCCTGGGAGAAAGCAGCAGCCATCCCCGAAACGTGGATTACGGCCACACAGGCACTGCATCTAGTAGGCGAATTTACACCGGGTAAGACTGTTTTGTGGCACGCAGGTGTAAGTACATGGCCCTTAAAACCCGTCTTCATACTGCATGCTTAATCTCATCTTTTACACAGGCTAGCGGTGTTAGCATCGCAGGGATTCAACTCAGTCTTGATAGCGGTGCGAGTGCAGTCTACGCGACAGCTGGCACAGATGAGAAATGCCGGTTCATCGAGCGCGAACTCGGTGCTACTAAGGCCTTTAACTATAAGACACAGGACTGGGCCAAAGAGATTCTAGAGGCGACTGGTGGCAAGGGTGTTGATCTTATTATAGACTTCATCGGGGCTAGCTACTTCCAGAAGAACCTCACCGTTGCAGCGAGAGATGCCCGGTGGGTTGCGCTCGGCATGATGGGTGGTACCCGTCTCGACGGGGTAGATTATAGTATGCTACTTTACAAGCGAATCCGACTCGAGGGCAGTACGTTACGGAGCCGGGATCTCGACTACCAAGGTCGGTTGAGGGACAAGCTGGCCGAATATATCCCTCACTTCGAGAGCGGGAAACTGAAGGTCCTGATCGATACAGTCCTACCTATGGACGAGATCATTAAAGCGCACCAGCTGCTAGAGGAAAATAAGACAACAGGAAAGATTGTCTGCACAGTACCGTAGAAAAAGCGTACGAATAAGATCTCAAGGGTCTATTTATGACTGAAATTCGCATAACTACTGGACTTTAAAACCTAATCGCCATGCTCTCCTAACTAGAAGATAATCAGATAACGCCATGAAGTTAGTTGACCTTAGTTACTTTCTTTCTAATGTTCCTTGAGCCATCTTAACATCTGCTCGAAAGCCGTTATTTGTGCGTTCTTGATGTGGGCGTCATCGTAGTCTCCAATGACGGCGAAGCCGTGCGGAACACCGGGATAGACCTGGACTTCATGCTCCACATTCTCCGTGGACATTATGTTTTCCCCGGTTTCACGGACTTCGTCGGGAAATAGAGGATCGCTTTCCACGCAGACCAAGCTCACAGGGACTTTCAATCCATGAAAATCTTCTGATGACACCAGAGTTGCATGCGCCAGCGCACCTGCTTTGATATACGGGCCCTTCTTTGGTGGGCTTGCCCCTTCGCCCGCTTCTTCGTCGGCAGGTTTCTGTGCGCCAGTCCAGCCTGTCTGCGCGTGACCACGCTCGCTAGCTAGTAAGAGCACATATCGTCCGCCGAAACAATAACCTACGGCGTATATGCCGCCTCCATTACCGACCGCATCCGCAAACTCGCCTTTACATGCGTCGATAACTTTCTCGAGTATGGGCATGACCTTTTCTTCGGTATGGCGTGCTAACCACTCGTCGATTACGAACGACTTTGCGATCTCGACGGCTTTGAGCTTGAGCCTGTCAAGGAATGAGGTCTCTTGCGCTTCAGCTTCGGAAATAGGAGAAGAATTTGGCGCAGGGTTGCCTTCGAAAAGGTCGGGCATCACGACGACACTGCATTAACAATTAATATATATTTATCATGCAAACCCTAGACGAGCTTCTGTATCCAAGTTGAGATGCTATATCCGACATCTTGAGTTATACGTACAAACCTTCATCGGCAAACTTGTCCGCTTGAATCTGATTGTTCGTCGACTTTATTCCCGTGCCGCTCGAAAGAAGAAGAAGGAGCTTCGATGGATTCGTCGGGTATGCTTCCGGCTTTGTAAGGTAGACCTACTATGATATGAGCGTGGGCTTATAAGTAGATGGCGGCTATTGCTGTGTCGGAGGACTGACATCCACTCCACCAAGTTTCCTTAGTTCTCCCTTTGGAGCTAAACCGGCAGCTGTGTAATAATATGTCAATGCCGACACTAGTCGACGTGCTTGTTTAAGATGACTTACGGGTAGGTCTATCGGAAGTGCAGTGTTCACCCATGGTAGGACCTGTCTGTGCAGGAGTGTCGCCTAGAATCACGGTCTCTTGAGCATCGCTCTCCGGAGATCTAGTTGCAACATCGGCGTCTGCCATGGTGATGGAAGTAATCAATCGTTACGGTGGCGTAGATAGAATAAAAGTTTGAAGAGATTTAGGGAATACGTAGGAAGATTGAATGATAGAAGCTACCATGCAGACACACAAAACGTAAGATATGTACGAGGCATTCATGTGCTTGGCAACGCACCTCCTACATATATCATTGTAGGTACCTGCCTAGGTACCTAGGTACATAGATGTAGGTATGCTGACGCCTGAGAGAATGACGTACGAGGAGTTGCCAGCTGACAGTTCTCGTAGCTTCAGCTTGCAGCCCCACGTGTACATGTACCTATACAAATTGCTAGAAAACCTTAAGAACCCCGCGCTTCAGAGGACGTGGCACGCCACAAGACCCACTACTTAATTCAGGACGCGACTTTTTGAGCCGACGCGTTTATTAGATTGACCACTTCCACTGTCAAGAATTGCAACATCGGCTTTCGACATAACATATATTGCTGCCTTTGAAGTGTCAACCTAACAAGGCAAATTCAAATTTCAGCATGTCGGCAGCAGCAGCGCAACAATCTATTACCCAGGGGGCTCTAGAGTATGTAAACCACTATTAGCATCTTTTTCTTCACTACCTAGACTTATACATACCTATACATATATGCTGACTATGATCCCAGCGCCATCTTCAGCGACCCGGAGCATGTCGAGCAGCTCTTCCCAGTTCCTATCCTACAATGTCTACAAATAAAGCCCCTCGCCCCACAGCAAGGACCTGCCGGTCAGCCTGAACGCTACCGTGTAGTCTTAAGTGATATACGCAATTATGTCCAGTGCATGTTGGCAACACGTACGTTTCGATACCTAGACCACGAGACTGCGACATGATGATACTTACAAGGTACTTAGAGGCCAACCATGTAATCCACGATAACTCCCTTGTCCGCGGAGCTCTAGTTCGGATTAAGTCGTATCAAGCAAATGCAGTCAAGGGAAAGAAGTGAGTATTAAATAAGTCGATATGGTTTGGCATTTCTAGTGATTAATAATATATAGCATTCTAATTATCCTCGACCTTGACGTCGCTACTGAGCTCGGTGTTCACGACCGGATCGGCGAACCCCAGGCATTCGAAGCTAAGCCGCAAGCTGCTAATACTACAGCAGCCATAGGTGGATCGAACTTCTACGGCGTAAAGACAGAGTCTTCGGCACCGGTCAAGTCGGAACCTGTATCGTCACGCATGGGCGGAGCTACAAACACCACATCTCACGGCAATGGGAACAATGTCATCTATCCTATCGAGGCTCTCTCACCCTACGCGCACAAGTGGACCATCAAGGCTCGTGTAACACAAAAGTCCGACATTAAGACCTGGCATAAGGCTTCTGGCGAGGGTAAACTGTTCTCCGTCAATCTTCTCGACCAAAGTGGCGAAATAAAGGCGACCGCATTCAACGAACAATGTGACCAATTCTACGATTTATTACAAGAGGGTCAAGTCTACTATATTAGCAACCCATGCCGTGTTTCTCTCGCAAAGAAGCAATTCACTAACCTCCCTAACGACTATGAACTCGCCTTTGAGCGGGATACTGTCATTGAGAAAGCCGAGGATCAGGCCAGCGTGCCTCAAGCCCGCTTTAATTTCGTCAACATCGAAGAGCTCCAGAACGTAGAAAAAGATGCCACCGTTGATGTTATTGGCGTTCTGAAGGAAGTTGGTGAGGTCTCTTCGATCACTTCTAAGAACACCGGCAAGCCGTTTGATAAGCGCGAATTAACTTTGGTTGATGATACTTCTTATTCCGTACGTCTTACGATATGGGGCAAGACCGCCACTACGTTTGCCACGCAACCAGAATCTATCGTTGCATTCAAAGGGGTGAAGGTGTCTGACTTCGGTGGTCGATCTCTTTCTCTTCTTTCCTCCGGCAGCATGAATGTTGATCCCGACATCGAAGAGGCTCACCGTCTCAAGGGTTGGTACGACTCCCAAGGCCGTACTGACAACTTTTCTACTCACAACAACATGGCATCTATGGGTTCCGCCACAGGCCGTGTCGACCAGGCGAAGGTCATTTCCCAGGTAAAGGACGAGGGCCTCGGAACGGAAAATACGGACTACTTCAACCTAAAAGCCACAATTGTCTATATTAAGCAGGATAATTTCGCGTATCCTGCGTGTAGCAGCGATCAATGCAACAAGAAGGTAGTCGACCAAGGTGACGGTACATGGCGGTGTGAGAAGTGTGACATTGCCCACCCGCGGCCACAGTACAGATACATCATGAGTGTAAATGTAAACGATCACACCGGCCAGCTCTGGCTATCATGCTTCGACGACGTCGGGCGCGTCATCATGGGTATGTCAGCCGATGAGTTGATGGAGATCAAAGAGAACGACGAAGACCGGTTCCCTACCATATTCGAAGCGGCCAACTGCACCAAGCTCCATTTTAAATGCCGGGCCAAGACGGATACGTACGGCGAAAACTCACGGTATGTAATTTGCTACTAATTAGGTACCTATCCACATGATTAAGAGGTTGTCGCTAATGAAACGTGCAGAGTACGCTATCAGGTGATGGGTGCCAACCAGCTGGACTTCCGAGCTGAGGCCCTGAAGCTATCCGACATGATCAAGCAATTCGGTATTAGCTCGTGATCGCAGCTCTCGACCCTCATTTAATGCCCGCGTATGTATCGGGCGCTTGTTAGTACATACCTAGGTAGTATGGAGTCGACGGAACACGAGGGTTAGGTGGCTCGTATTATCGAGTTGGTGAACTACTAGAATAATTCATGGCAGGGGTTTGTGGATCCCTGATGAGGCACGATGCTATTTGATATTCGAATCTCCAAGCTCATTGGCCTTGAACGGCTTGAGACGAACCCCTTAGTTTAGGCGTCTCATTATTGCGTCTGGGTTACATGGATTCGTCGCGGATACGGCATCTATTAGGGCAAAATACTGTCAATACTGAATGAGCTAGGAGAACTAATCGAGCAAGGGTCAAATCCATGTTGTATGCTACGAGAAAAATGTGCTTACGACACAGAATGGTAATGAAAGATCAATAGTAGTAAATGGGATATCAGTGCCGTTATTCTTAATTCTGCTATTGTCTAACAAGCCGAGAGGTCCGACGATTCTTAGCTGTCGTCCGTCGTTCCGTCTCTAGCTAAATGGCATTCCAAGCCATATCCATGGGCACAGCTGCCTGCAGATGCAAATGTCTGTCCTCTAAACGCCGCCGCATAAGAACGTGCAATCGTGACATGTCGGTTTTCGGACCCCCCTCCAAACCAACTTAGCGGCCGTCTACCTATCCAAGGTTCGAAGGTTCAACCTCGAATCTCGGGCTTGATTAAAATATATTCAGGCTCCAGTCCGACCCATTGGCCAAATGGGTGGTAAGAAGCGTCGTGGCCACGCTCAGCCAGTAGCAACTACACCGCCCATCAAATCTTCGTCATCTACGTGAGCATCGAATGCGAGGGTTGGATCCGGTTCATTTTTATCGCCTCGGAGTTTCTCCTTGGTCACATGCTTAATGTACTCCTTGCTAGTGCCCAGGCGCTCCTTTGTCGTCTTGAAGATGGGCTGTAGTTGCTTCAACCGGGCTGCCGTTCCAGCGAGCTCCGTAGCGAATTCCTTCTCTGAGAGTTGTGTAGACGGAGATAGGAAGGTAAGGAAAGCCGTGCCGTCGTCGTTCTTCTCGACCACCCCGTTCAACATACCGGATATTATCATGTTTTGGACAAGAGTCTGCACGTCCTCGTCCTTCTGGAGCATGTTTCCTGTCTCCGCACTTGTGGTCTGTTTACGGATCTCGGAGAGCGAAATCTTAGAGTAGATCTGCTCTAGGCCCAGAACCTGCCACTTCTGATACGCCGCGAGGACTTCCTGGACCAACCCGGTATTTCCATCTTCTAACCATATCTGTGTGTTCTTTTCAACCTCGGCCTTTAGTCCCTGGGCCTTGTCGGTCACGAATAGCACTGCGAGCGCTGTGTATGGCTTTCCGATATTTCCATAGAGCTTGTTCGCTGCGGCCCCGGTGTATGATGGGGGGTCTGAAAGCTTTCCTGTAGAGAGCAAGCTGACCAACACCCACTTTTTGTAAGCCTCAACCATGATTTTGCTTGCGCCACCTTCGCGCGTAGGATATGTGACGACTCTTTCGAAGGCTGCATAGGCTTTCGCCCAATCTCTTAAGGTACAGTATGACATACCACGAAACATATCATATTCTAAGATGAGGGAAGATTTCAAGTTGGTGGTGAGCCCTGTTTCTCGAGAGAGGTAGGCTGGGGGTGGTAAGGATAGATCGCAGAGGAATTTAGGCTCGCCGTAGCTGGCCATGCCGGGGAAGTATACGATATTCTTGTCTAGTACTGGAAGGGCTGGTTCGATGTTGTTTGTCTGGTAGGCAAGTTTGACAAGTTGAATATGGGATGTGGTGAGCATGCTTCCGGTCGGATCGAGTCGTAGGATAGCTGTTGCAAGAGCACCGACAGCAACTGAAGGCTAAAAAATACGGTTAGCTTGTATAGAAGTATGTATTAGGGTGTAGGCTGTAAAAGCTTACCGGCAGATATTGATTATTTCCGGCAGCAAGCAAGATGTCATGCAAGTGGCTTCTAGCGTATCGGGCCTGGCGCGCATCGAAGACGTATAGAAAGCTCACAAACTTGCTCAGAAGAGTATCGCGAGGAATAGATGAGTCTAGGGCGGGAAGGATGAGGGTATGAAGGACGGCGAGATATGATAAGGTATGCACAGCCGGGTCAAGCATGGCGAGGAGTCGGGGGCCGTGGGCAACTAGTAAGGCGTTATGATCTTTAAGTAACTTTGAGAGCTTGCTAACATGGAGCTTCGCTGCGGTGTCAAAAGTGACGTTGTCGACCAGGCTGGAATTAGCACTGTTGGATTCAGGGAACGCGAGAAGCGTCGCGGCGAGTTGCTCCATGGCGATGGGCGCTCAAGGCGAGTAAAGCAAGAACAGTATCGTAAACGGTATTGTATTCCTAGATGATTGATATCGCCGAACGTCTGAAATGTACTATTATTTTTGTCGTGATTTAGGTAACTTTATGTTTTGTCGGTTGTTGGGTCTTGGTTAACGTGGGGGTGGGACGAAGGAGAGCTTCTACTTCGTACAGGAAGCTAGCTGCCTTGCCTTTGGTGGGGCAGAGAGAATGGCATCTACGGTGAAATACATATTAGTAGTACCTATTAGTAGTACCTACTCGAGTACCTAGCCCCAATTAAACTCGGCTCGCGGGGCATGGACGATCCATATTTGCTTTGTAAGGGTCTCACTTTAGCTTTGTTTCATTTTCCGGGGGCGGGGCAGCTTCTACCTACTCTGCTACTTCAGGTAACTATTCCTTTCTCTGCTCATTCAATAGCATAACAGCTTCATAATAGTAATAGGTTTAAAACATATGTACCTACTGATGTTGAGTTATGACATATGATATGACATATGATACATCTAATAGGGAAAAATCTCTGGCCAAACTTAAATGTCAGTTTCCGTAGTTATTCCAAAATCAGGAACTTCAACTTGGGGCATTACCTTAGATAGTCATGATGTATATAATTCACTAACCACATCACGATTCACAATTTCCTCAAACTCCAAAACTAACTAACAAACTGACACTATCCATACCGTCACCTTAACTTCCAGAAGGATAAATCTGCCATCTAAGGAGGTCATGGTTAAGTAAAAGAGCTCTCCAATACAACCTTCTTCTGTGTAGTCTGCTGATATGCCAGTTTGCAGTTTATTTATTTCAGTTACGTACATAAAATAGCCTAGGGGAGGAAGATGATTGAACCGATCCTTTCATCCACGGCCAAGCGCCTCGGTATAACCTAAAGGATATTCTTGTTTTGCAGCAGGACACTGTCGTAAGACTATTACAAGGTTTGAGGGTTGGTAAATATGCAGTTGAATACCTAATTCGAGTATGTCTTTAGCATCTTATTGGTTGATTCCTACAACCACCTACTAAAAGTGACGACACCATTGTTCGCCCCCTATCCATGATACTTTAAATACCGGCCCTTAGTTGGATAATTCTATATCTTATACTCTCCTCGTATCTCTTGCATTTCTTCCCACCTCGCTCGGCTACGAAACCACCTGGTAGGCACTCTTATTCAACAACTTCACTTTCCCAAAGTCGGAGTCTTTCTAGTTTAAAATCTTCGAGTATTGTAAACTTGGGCGAACTTGATATCGCCATGTTTATTCCTCAGGAGATCCCAGAGGCTACTCGAGTAGCTACCATGCTACGTCTTCCCAAGACTAGCCACACGCCGTTGCCCACTGTGATCCCGGATATTCCCCGAATATACTACCAAACTTCAAGTGAAGTAGGTCATAGGGCCTTATGGTAAGCTCTCCTGCCAAGAGGTAAATCACTAATAGCCACTTACATGACCCATCTTAGGGTTGTCTGTGTCTTGATGGCCCTGTCTTCGCTCGCGTTTTACGTCATGGCTATGAGAGTTCCCGTGGTAAGAATCAGCACTCCTTTAAGACGTAACAAAGTAGTAAGATGTTAATCATGGTTAGCAAAAACGTCTCTTCCATATAATCACGGCATTGGTTGCCACGTTCGGTTTCTTATCCTACTACGCCATGGCTACGGATGATGGTATAACCTCGCACCCCTATGTATCCGAGAGATCAAAGCACGGAGCAGTCATAGAGATTGTCGTTCGTGATATCTATTGGGCCCGTTATGTTGACGTGAGTATTATGAGTCTTGCCCAAGTCTAATGTCGCTAGGGGTTACTCATTAATGTTATTAGTGGTCACTTACCACCCCTCTTCTCTTGTTGGAATTATGCCTCCTCGCTGGCATCAACGGTGCCAGCATTTTAATAGCCCTTGTGTCAGATGTGATCATGATCTTAACTGGTCTATTCGCCGCTTTCGCAAGAGACGAGGCTCAAGGATGGGGATGGTATGCCATCGCCTGCATCGCTTATCTCAATGTCGTCTATCAGGTTGGTTACAAAGGGCGACACGCAATATCGACTAGGGACAACAAAATAAGAGCTTTCTTTGGGGCTATTTCTCTGTTCACTCTCCTATTGTGGACCGCATATCCTATGTAAGCGACCTTACATCTCTAATTTAGACCTTTTGCTAACGTCTCTAGTGTATGGGGCATTGCTAATGGTGCCCACCGCGTCAATGTCGACGGCGAGATCATTGTTTATGCCGTTCTAGATGTCCTCGCAAAGGGAGTATTCGGGTTCTGGCTGTTGCTAACCCATGATAAGATGGCCCGGATGTTGCCAGCTGTTGATGGTTTCTGGTCGCATGGTATCTCTCATGATGGGTCCATTCGTGTAAGTCTTCTCACTGTGTATTCCTTGAGAACCACTGACAATTAGACAGGTAGGAGAAGGGCGTACAGTCGATGATAATTAAGCCAATTGCGTACGTGAGGCTAGGTAACATGATATTCAAACAAAAGTTACAGGTTAACTGGCTGCTCTCTCCATTCCTTTTCATCGTGTCTTCTTTGGGACTCTTGGTTGGGAGGCTGGGAAAATCGTGGTTATGTATCGAGGAAATATAGGTATGTACCTATGTGGGCGGAATTCGGAAAAGATAAATACTAGACTGTTATATACTAAGTTGTAAATAAAGCAATGAGCAAAATTGTTACGACTTATTACATGGATGAATGAGACTTAATTACCTAAATAAGATGACACCCAGACTAAGATACTTAGGTAGGGCAGGTTTATACTACGACTGGATAATGATTAGTATTTTACACAGCAATTTATATACCTAGGAAGATATACTACATTATGAACTACGATTTTCAGTATTATCTTATATGTATTTCGGCCACCCCGGGCAAATCTACTCCATGCCCTGTGGGAAATAACTTTTCCACCTAAACAACAGCGCAGGTGAAGAAAGAGGCATTTGTTGGGTTCCCACACTCTTCTTCATAGACAGCTCTCTGGGGATAAGGACACAAGATCTGATCCCTCTTTATCCCATAGGCATCCTTTAGAACCGTGTGCAAGGAACCAGGTACCGTTCCATTCTCCACCCATGCTCATAGAACATCGAAGACAGTCGCCGGCTGTCCGTTGCCAAAGTAATGAGGAAGCCCAGGTACCTCGTAAAAACGATAGAACTCTTGGGCTTCAAGCATAAATTCCTTTATATTGTCACAGTACCGCTCGGTGGCCTGTATCGGTATGACTTGGTCATACTGTATAAACTATACAGAATGGTTAATCAAGCAGCGAAGATCCAAGGGAGAAGAAAGGAGAATGAAAGGCTGGATCGTTTATGTACCAGTCCATGATATGTCATTATTTTCTTGCCAGCTTTATAGAACTTAGTAAGATCTGGATTGCTACTTGCAACAATAGGATCGTATTCAGATCCCGACTTGCGCATTATTTCCTCGTAGTCCTGTTGGGGTATAGCAGCGTAGTCGTAATTCGGATCCTTTTTAACAAACAGTTGAATCTACTGATACGCCAGAGGTATATGATTGCCCTGGTAGAGACTTCCATTGCATACTTTGGCTGCAATGCCGGTGCCAGTTACACTGCCACTGAGGTCGGTGCCGTGGTTGAGCCCGTACCAAATGAAGTTCCCATGAGAGTCAGTTGGACCGGCCCAACTAGCATTTGCAATGACTGCAGCAGCTCTGCTCAGCTTCATAGATTCATGCTCCGACAGGCAGGTGAAATTTCTCCCGATATACAGGAAAGGATCGAATGCGCATGCTTTAGGGTTTAATATAATGTCGTCTACTACTCCGTCGCGACCGTCGCATTCCTGTACCGCGAGGGTGGTAAGGAGATCTAGCTCACGGCCATGCGGATACTCGCCCGTGATATTCGTTAGAATCTGCGGCCAATGCATAGCGGGAGCCCACTGAGCCCAGTGAATTGCTGGCGCTGAGGCTGCGATACCAGTAGGATAATTTTTGGCCAACTCGAAGCCTTGGCGACCCCCTTGAGCGCAGCTATTGAAATATGAATACTCTGGTGGTTTCCCATAAAAGCCACGGATAATGCTCTTTGTGATAATTGCCTGAGAATTGTATTAGACTTCTGATACTCGATTACACTTCGATGAAATACCATTTCATCCAAGATATCACCACCCCAATGCCGGACCAAGACTTCATTGATCTCTCTAGGGCCATCTAATACCAACGAATGCGGATCTAAATGATTTACAATCCCAGCATCTGTGCTAATAGTAGCGTAGCCTTCAGCAATAGCGTAAGCTATGTTGCCATAGCTTAGGTAGAACCGGCCAGGACCGAGTCTACTGCCCTCAGCAGCTTGGAGACGACCATTCTAATGATCGACCGGTAGCTGTTTCCGCGCTCGCAAGGTCGCTCTGTTGTTGGTGAGTATAGGAGAGGGTGACGTTGCAGGAAGTAGTGGTCTTAACTTCCAGGCCATCATGATTGGGATAGAGAACAGGTGTGACACATAAAGGCTGTAATTGGTCACCAGTTGTGCAGATAGGAATACAACAACGGCGTTCTCGAGAAAAGGTTGGCTAATGGTCAATGAATTACAATCGAACATCGTATTTAAGTCTCTAGGCCTGTAGAATATAGTATTGCAAGAGTATAGGTCGTATTAGCATAAAGATATCGGAATATGTTCATATCCTACGATCGTCAATCGAGCTCCCGACACCTTACCCGGTGTTGGGATATTTAGTTGGTTGATGTCAGGTATCTGGGACCATGTCAATTATTGCGTCTCTGTTATGTATTTTCGCCAGGTAGAATTGATAGAATGGTAGCTAATATTGTAATGAAATGATTGACTGTTCGTATAAATTGCACTTCTCGTCCAAGTTGAAAATCCCAGAATATACGAAAGGATAATGTTAATAACCTACCTAGGTAGTTAAGGTTAGTTGATTAAAATCGTATGCAAATATATTCATTTTCCTTTTCATGTCATAAGCGACGAGAAGCATACCTAGACAGAATACGCCGTCTGATAGCCTCGGTATTGAGATGTGTACGGCGTAGTCACATCATGATATATGATGGATACTGTACGTCGCGTAGGTACTCTGAGGGAAAGACGGCTATTGGTGGCTTGGCGAGCCTTGTTGCAGCTCCTACCCATCCATTGCAACCAATGAGTACCAAGCCGCATTTTCTTTTTCTCGTAGGCTATAGATTGACATCGGATTATCTGCGTCGCTAAAAGTCCTCACTGGTCACGAATAATAGAGAATGGGGAACTGGGCGCATGATGTAGATAAATACTGCATAAGGAGAAAATGTTGACTCGTGTTATGTCCGTGCGGAAATGGGAAAAGGGAAAAGGGAAAAGGGAAATGGTGCGATGGCCTGGATTCTGGAAGGTCTTGGGCGATTGCATAGGACGGTTAACTGGCAACAACCGCTGCCAAGTTTCCCCTTTCTAGCCTTTAGACGGTCTAGACGGTATATTACAAAGTATGGTACTGAACCTAAAAGGTTAGCTCTACGCCATGTAAAGTTAGTATTTCCCATACAGCTGCCATATCATCTAGGTTACGGTTCTACCCTGCATCAATTAATAAACCCGCTAAATATCAAGTACCGTATTTCTTCATGTTTAGGTTAGGGTCTAATAAGATGCTTGAGGGGGCAGCAGCTCTGGAAGTTACCGTAGTGACAGGCTACAGCTCTTTCTTTTAATATACAGTAGACAGTAGTACCTTACCTGGGTAGCCCAGACCACATACCGATCTACCACCACCTTGTCGCGAGTAACGACTCCGTATGCGAGCTTCCAATTTGTTAGGGGAGGTACCTCCTCAGGCTCCTCTCTCCTCTTCCCCTCGCCCCCTTCAGCTTTTTTTCCGTCCGCGGCCTCTGCCACACACCACACACCATACAAACACAACACCCCCGACCTGCGCTGGAACTCTACAGGAATTGGCTTGATCACGTTAGCCTCGCTATTAGCAATGGATTTTAAATTGTCGGCATCCTGATATCCCTGTGACACAACTATCTTGCACCCCTGCTCTTCTTAGGAAAGCTGTCGCAATGGTTCTCTTTCATTGGTCAGATCTCGTCGCAACCTCCTGTTTACCTGCGACCTCGACGACCTCAACCTGACTACCTCTCCTTCTTGTTTTCCATCCGTTCTTCATCAAACTTCACCCAAATCTCCTTCAAATCCTTTTTTCCTGGTCGCCCTCAACTAGCGATTACTGTTAGATACCCTTTTTTCATCTCGCGTTGCATTTATTTGATTATTTAGCTCACTAAGCCGAACATCATGCCCGTCGAGCTTCGCAAGCGCAAAGCTCCTGCGCCCGCCCCAGAGCCGCCAGTCAAGAAGCAATCCAAAGTTTCAAAGGCAGCCTCCAAGGTTAAAGAGGCTGTCAAGGCCAAGCCTACCAAACCTACCAAGCCTACCAAGTCCACCAAGTCTGCCGATGCCAATGGCTCTTCCAAGCCTGCCAAACCCGTAGTCGGTGACACACTCACCCTCGACGGTTTTGGTGGCGAGTTCGAAACCAACGACGGTAAAAAGACTACCTTAAAGGCCCTCCTAGATGAGAGTAAATCGGGAGTTGTGATTTTCACGTACCCAAAGGCCTCCACGCCGGGCTGTAAGCTTCATCCCATGTAGTCACTATAAATTAGCGCTAGCTGTAACTGACCTGATATACAGGTACCAACCAAGCATGTCTCTTTAGAGACTCCTACGAGCCTTTGACCAAGGGTGGCCTCGCCATCTACGGTCTCTCGGCTGACTCGCCTAAAGCCAACACCACATTCAAGACCAAGCAGAACTTACCTTACCCGCTTCTATGCGACACCAGCTTCGCGTTGATTGAAGCCCTCGGTTTCAAGAAGGCGCCTAAGGGTGTCACTCGCGGCGTCTTCGTCGTTGACAAGAGCGGCAAGGTTCTCATCGCCGAACCTGGCGGGCCTGCCGCAACGGTCGAGGCCGTTAAGAAGCTGGTCGCTGAAAACGAGGAAGCGGACGTGAAGGAACCTGCTGACGAGGAGCCTGCGGAGAAGTCCGCAGAAGAGGCCAAATCCCCCAATGGCGATGCCACTAAGGAGGAGGAGGATGAGGAGGATGGTGCGGCCGAGTGACGGAGATAGTCTTTTTTGCCCGTCTGCTTTTCTGTCTAACCTAGGGATTATCTTGCCTCCAGTCGTAACATGACGGTTTTGATATGATAGTAACTTCGGTGTCAATAATGACGTAGAATGACGAGAACAATAAAAGTAAATTGGGTATACGAAGTTTCTCGCTAAAGCGACACCTCCCTCTTTCTGGTCTCGTACGTGGTCAACATCAAGACTCGCGTTAAAGTCTACCCATTCAATCGACTTATTGCTGCTACACGTCTATATTATGTATGTACGGATAGAGGCATTTTATCTAGGTACGAAGGTACTGTCTTATGTAACGGAGTGTACTTCGTACTAGGTTAGTATGTAAATGTAAAGTGGGCAGGCGGGAATGAAGAGACCGAGATTTAACCATGTGGGTCATCTTTGACCAACACGATTAATCTGATTGGATCCTAGAGTTTATCGCCAATTCAAACCTCATAATGATCCATGATCCGAGGACCTTCAACCCGCTGAGCTCTGCCATCCCTCTTCAATTGAACCCACTATACCATTCACCATGGCGTCGAAACTCGCCCCGGTCTTCCTCCGAAGGGCAGCCCGCCCGGCATACCGAGTTCCTCGATCACAGTTCCGAGCCTTCACAGCCGGTAGCTCTAGAAGAAGTGAGACTCTCGCAGTGGTATGTTTTGTCCCCCGGTCTTTCTCGATCAAGCCCAAGAGGCTCTATATCGAGTTGCGAAATAGACGGATGTTGCGGAAGTCTGCCTGTCAAGCCAGCTCTCGCCCCTTCGCTATATTCGCTCTCGATACCTATCCGAGCAACTTAGGGCAGCTTAAAGCTCTCGTCAGCTTTATCCATAAGTCTTGAATGTCCATGATGTACTGACGCTCGACTTGCCTTGCGACAACAGCACCGGAATACCCCCGACAACAACCCCGATATACCCTTCAAGTTCTCAGCTCAGAATGAAGAGGTCATCGCCCAGATCCTAAAGCGCTACCCGCCCCAGTACAAGAAGGCTGCCGTAATGCCGCTGCTCGACTTGGGCCAGCGCCAGCACGGCTTCACATCTATATCGGTCATGAACGAGGTAGCGCGAATCCTCGAGATGCCCCCCACACGTGTATACGAAGTCGCCTCTTTCTATACTATGTATAACCGGACGCCGGTTGGCAAGTTCCACGTCCAGGCGTGCACTACGGTGAGTTTGCGTCGAATTTCTTGCCGCTTGCGTCTTTTTCACCCTACATTTCCTATACATATATTTTGAGAATTCGTTCTCACGATCCCGTGTCTATTGGACGTACTACATTATAATGTAAACCTAGACAAGACCACTCTAAGGGTAGAGTAAAACCACCATCTATAGATGGGTTGTTTGGTGAATACGTCATTGGTCTACATTTGAAGATCTCTATCGGAAATGTACCGCTTGCTAACGAGGTATAATCTGAAATAGACACCTTGTCAACTTGGCGGATGCGGTAGCGACGCGATCGTGAAGGCGATCAAGGAGGAGTTAGGCATCAAGCAGGGCGAGACGACGCCCGACGGGCTGTTCACATTTATCGAGGTGGAATGCCTCGGTGCTTGCGTCAACGCGCCCATGATCCAGATTAACGACGACTACTACGAGGACCTAACACCCGAGTCTACCAAGAAGCTACTAGCGGGCCTTAAGGAGAGCGCTACATCACCAGGCGCCAAGGTACCGAAACCCGGCCCGCAGAGTGGCCGTGACACTTGCGAGAACAGTGCTGGCCAGACGAACTTGACGAGCGAGCCGTGGGGTATCGAGACTACGAGAAGTGACCTGTAAATAGAGACAGCGGAGAGACCTCTTGGGGCACGGGCGTAAACGTAGACACTTTGTACATAAGCATAAGCTCTATTTGTATCGGTTCATAAAAAGAAGACCGTCCCTTGCGCCGTTTCCCACGCATTCTCTGTAATATATATCCCAATCATTTGTTTAGTCTTGCTTTAGTTAACTGGCATTTTTATTTGCTTATTTGATAAATCTGCCTTTTTGGTTCCATTTAATCGTTTAACCCAACCAGTCGTAATCGTTACCAAGGAAATTGTATTTGATATCGAAACCCAGAAGCTTAAATCAAAAGTTTACTTGCTTGCTTGCTTGCCAACATTTGAACATGCACACATATGTCTAACTTAACCCAACCTGAAAATCCAGCCATCTCCAAGTCTCTGATTATTCTCGCTCAGCCCGCCAAATATCAGTACGCCATTCTCTTCCAGGTCGCCCACCGGCGTACTGGCTAGCCATCCCCTTGGACTAGGGCCTTGGGCGTCCAAGCTATCGTCTTCGTCATACGGTCCCGGGACGACCCTCGTCCATTTACCTTCTCCCGTTCTGCGCCCCACAGCATGCAGGAAGGCATCTGTGACGCTGGCGGCTGTCATGCTGATGGGGGGTACCTGGAAGGCCCAGACGTCGTTCCAGAACTGGCCGGCGCCTGCGTGGCCTTCGGTGCTGGGGCTCCGCTCGCCTAGCATGAGGACGAGGTACTCGCGTCCACCGCCGCCGAGTACCAGCTCCAAGCTGCTAACGCTACGGTCCCCGGGCCATTCTTCTGTAGGTACTAACTTGGCCGTTTCGTTCTCACTTGGAGGGGGTGCGTTAGTGACGGGCGGGGCGAGAGTCTGCCACTCGCCGCGCGCGAAAACGCCGATTTCACCTCTGCTGACGCGGTCGTCGAACTCGTCGAGCACCAGATCGAGAACATCCAGCTGTCCGCCGAGCTCCTTCTCGCCGTCGTATCCACCGAAGCGGTATAGCCGACTCTTAGCGAGGGCGAGAGCAGCACCGCCCCGCGCGGGACCCGGTGCAGACGGGAGTTCTTTCCACGTGCGGCTGCGCACATCGAAAGCCCATACATCTCCCGTCCTGCCACCATCTGCCGTGCAGCCGCCGTGAATGATAAACGTGCCGAAACCCGCGTCCTCTTCGTCTATCGCGTGCGCGGCAACATTACCCGCAATCGGGCGCTGCGGGATCCCTACATCAGCCGAGTCGCCCTCGGCCCACTCCTTCCAGCTCTCGGTCCGGCGGAGGGGCTTGATGGCGAAGTCTCGCGGCTTGTCGGTAGCGACTGCGGCGAAGAAGCTCCGCGGAGGTGGGATGGGGCTATTGTGGTAGGGGTCCAGATACGCCCACGTATGGGTCTTGGTCTCGAAGACCCAGACCCGACCGTGTTCGTCGAGGGGTTCCGAGGCGGACTCCGCGCTGCGGCCGCCGAATAGGAAGATGCGGGAGCCGATGACGGCGCTGGCGTGGCCGACGCGGGCGCTGGGGACGTCGCCGAGGCTGTTGGTCTTGCCTTGGTCGGATGTGGCGGGTGAGGGTTCCCCAGCTATAGGCGGGGTGGGAGAGTTCAGAGGGACTTCGGTTAGAGGGTCCTTAAGCTCAGCGGCGATCTCGTCCTCCTCCGTGATGGGGGCGGGTTCGGGAACGTGTTGCTCAGGAGAGGGTTTAGCTTTGACGCTGTAGTAGTCGGCGGAAGCACTTCCCGTGGGAAGCGCTATGATGTGCATGTCGTTGTCGACGGGCTTGCGGGAGGACTCGGCCTCGCCGCCGAAGATGTATGCATTGCCGGCCACTACGTCAATTGAATGTGACGATCGTGGAAGAGGCGGGATGGAGATGTGTTGCCAGGTGCCCTTCATCGTGTGGGCACCTTTACCTTTATCTCCACCTCCTCCTCCTCCCGGGCGTTGAAGATGAGGTAGGTGAGGCATTGAAGGCAAGTTATGGGGAATAGAACCGATTAAGTCGGTGCCGCGACGCTTGAGTTTTGCAAAGGACTCCATCGTGGTGACGGCTGTAGTAGTGAAAGATGAGATGGGAATGTGTAGAACCAACTCTATGTTAGGTAGGGTAGCTTAGTATACCTAAGAGGTAGGTAGTGATAGATACCTGAGTTAGGTTGGTAATTCAATGTGGGTTGGTAGTCGGAGTGCGTAATAGGCTAGGTACCTGTTAGTAGGTAAGTCGGGCTGTTCCTGAGAGCTTGTACGGAATAGAAAGGTGTGACGTAAGACAGGATGATGGATTTATGGGGTGAGGGGTGCTGAAACGATGAGTGCACATACGCTAATTCATAGCGAGTAATCTACTTTTAAGATGATTGATATTTTATAGAATTCTTAAGATCAATATGGCAATGATATTGTAAATAAAATATTTGTAGATAAAATAAAGCAAGAGGAATCGAACAGCTCCACGATCACCTATTTTAATCAACGTCAAGCCGTATCGTGAGAGGTCGGGAAGCATGGCTGAGGTGTTGTTAACGCAGGCAAGACCCTTGTCTTTGACGTATCCGCACACCAATAACGTTACCGTTGCATGGGAGCTAAGCCCTGCTAGGGTCCGCTTTTGAGCTTCCGGGTACATCTCTTCTGTAAAAAAACACACAAGATAGGTACCTAATCCAGATATCGCAACCGCCAAGAACCGAGGTCCTAGGTACACTATGTACCTATTTTATACATACATACCCACGCTTAGGTATCGTCATGATCTCGTATGTAAATCTCGTCGAAAACAAATGATCGTCGCCTTCAAATTCATGCTTCCATTCATTCCACTTTTTATATGTACGTTGACTATGTACATTATGTAAATATATTGATCCCCAAGTAAACAAACAGTGATCGCTCACTTACTTACTCCCCCACCTAAAATGGTTTCAAAGCATACCACCATATGTAGCAGCTATTAGAAAACTGTATCATCATCCTAACTCACTTTAGCCCCGTAACCATGCACCTTCTACTACCGTAAAGAACCCGTATATCGCATATCGTATAACATCTATGGCCCATCCCGCCGCTTCCGCGTCTTGCCTCTCGGCTTCGGCGGTCTTTCTACCACCATCCACCCAGGAGGTGGTCCCAGAGGCGGGCCCATACCCCTTCCTCCACCACTACCCCTGCCTCGGCCTCTGCCGCCAACATAACCTAGGATACCAGGAGGGCCAGGAGGGTGTTGCATTGGGGGAGGGGGCATCGCCGGAGGTGCCATGGGCCACATTTGCATCAGTATAAACATGCCTGGCTCGACCAGATCCTCCCAGAGCTCAGGTAAGATAGTGACGGCTGATTGTTCTATGGGCGTAAGTGTGGGAGCTGGCGGCGGGGTTGGAGCATGCGGGATTGGAGGTTGATTCGATGTACCGGCCATATGAGGCTCTATCCCGGGATGTTGCACGCCTACTGGTTCTGACGCAGCCTGGGGCGCCATTTCAAAGCCGGTATCTGTCGAGAAGGGGAGATGGAAGGTAAAAAGATCGTAGTGCCCTTTAATGACGTGAGGCCCGATCACGTCGACATAGACAAAGCAATTTCGGATCAGACGTTCCATGCCCTAAGATGCTGTTAGCTATAAGAAAAGAGGGAGGTATGCTCTCCGAGGAATCTTAAAATAATGCCACATATCTGCTCTCTTTACACAATATTTATGACGCATCGGATGAGCGTCTTCGAGTTAAGACCCATTATTCTCATAAATCGACTAAAGTGAAGAAGAAAAAAGAGTAGAAAGATAGAAACTTTACTCACCGCCCATGTTTTAGCCTTTTCCCAAGGAAATACGAATTTACGGCCCACGGCATCTTTGAATCGAATAGGTAGCTTCTCCGGCGGCCGATCCGCCGATTTCTCCCACCCGGGATCTCCGAACCTGAGCGGCCGGAAAGTCGGTGACCCGGCTTCCTGGTTAGTGTGCGGCCCACTTGCAACCGGATCTTGGTCGGCCGGGTACGGCTGCGGCTCCGGTTCGCGATCCGATTCTGCGTCTTGCCCCTGCTCCTGTTTCCGCTCTTGGTCATCGTCTAGATATAGCCCGGGCGATGCTGTCCTAAAGCTTTCACAGTCGGATTCTACGCTTAATGCCTCGAGACTAGGTTTGGGGGACAGCAGCTGGGTCTTTAGTTTGATACCATGCTCGGATAAGGGTTCATTAAGCACGCTAGATGCAGCAGAAGATTCGGGGGACTCCAGATTCTCATTTCGACTTTCGGGGTTTGTAGGGTTTGTGTACGAATGCGGGTTTGCATTAGGTATCTCTGCATTCTGAGAATATCTCCTGTCAACGAAATCCCTATGGACCCTTATAGGAGCTTTGCCCTTGTCTTTATGGTCAAGTACCGACTGGTGAGCGTACCCGCTGCCGATCTGATCATCGAAAACTTCTTCGTCGCCTTGGTTAAATGAGCTAGCAACATGGTCTTCACGTAGAGACTCTGAGTCATCATGGACCAAACCTTGCCTAGGGCTGGCCATTCCGGGGTTGACGGGGTACTTTCCGGTTCCGGATTATGCGGGACCGTTCAAGCCGTTACGAGTCGGTCGAGGTGCTGCTTATCAACTCTGCTTTGTGACATCAGTCTGTAGCAACAACAAAAAGATATTAATTATAATTATAGAAATCGGAAGTAGGGCCGAAGACGGCATGTGTGCCGCAGAGGAAAGGAATGCCGAAAAAGGTTGCGGCTGAAAGTTCTTGTACAACGCAATCCAACGTGAATATATTGTATAGTACTGTATAGTAGATACTGTATTTAAATATTTACTTTCTCTTTGTATGCTTGTATGTCTAGTACACGTTGCTAGCGCCATGGCGAGAGACAACTGTCTTAGGCCCGTGGTGGAGATTTCAGCGCTATTCGCGGGAATCTATACACGTGTAGCGATTGGTGTTTTAGATGAGATCTACCATAAAATGTACCGCGATACTTATATATCTGACATTTATAACGTAATGCGACACGAATATACAGGTACATGTACCTAAGGTAAGCACGCTACAACGTCGGTACCTCTTATCATCTTATCATCTTATCATCGCCTGTGCTACGTGCGAAACCGCCTAAAACATGCGCACCACCTAAACCACCAGTCCTTTCAACTTTTCCACCTTTTTATATTAATCTACCTATACATACCTACCTAGGTACCTAAACCTACCTCTTATGCATCTTCCCATGCACCTCTGAGGCTTAGGTAGTTACCTAAGGTTGCCTTAGGCAAACATATAACTGCCCCCATCCGCCATTGATAAAACCTTCCCGCCTTCAAACACACAGGTAAAATGCTACCGGGAGATGCTTGTCGTCGCCGTGGACGCATATGTAAGTAAGCCGGCTATCTTACTCCGTGGAGATGGGAGCTCACCCCATACGTCCAAGATAAAACTAGGACATGGACGCCACTCTTTACATACCTACCCTACCTAGGTACCTAGCTAAGGCTTTTATGCGGCGTAGATCTCGGCCCCGAGCGCTTTAACCGCCTGTTCCTGCGAACGTACCCGGATGCTTGCTTACCCACTTACTTACTTTCTGCTTAGATCGTCCATTTTCTTCAACCGGTCAATCTTGGGGATCGAGATAAAGCTTGTGCGTCTGCCTAAGTAAGGCGCATGCTGTCTTACATTCCACTGCCTAATGCTGACCCGGATCCCTAGCTGACTCGCCCCGGTAGTGGTCGTAAGACGTTATATCTCTAATATGTCTTAACGACCTCTTATTATATCATTTAGAACGCGTAATGTATAGCATAAGCTCTATGCGCCTATACAATTTTGTACAGAACTTTATATGGCCTTCACGACTATCCGTGCGTGCCTTCAATTTCGATAGCCAGGATAGTTATCTCGTAACATCGTAGGTGGTTGTACATGTCCCCGAACTCGACGGTTCTATAGATCCCAAGCCCTTTCCTGTAGAATTGGATATTTACCCCGGTCATTATAAATCCCTAGATAGTCCAAGCCACCTTTCCATCAGAGTACCCTACTCGACGTCGAGGTATGAGGATATATACTTCCTTACTAACCCCGACTACCCTGGTATGGACAGGTAGGTAAAAAATAATATGAATAGGTCCTGTTGGAGCTATCACTCATCAACCTCCTCACCCTCGGCATCCTCGTACCCTTCCTGGTCCGCCGTCGCCTCAACTATCGGGCTGCCACTAGGCTTCAAGGGATTGCGTAGTTCCCATCTTCCTTTTACTCCCTTTTCAATGATTGCAATTTCGGCGCGAGTAGCCCAGTCGACGAGAGTCTTGTCGTTTTCTCCACCGAATTCGATCGGCGGCTCTGAACCGGTGGCGGCCTTCTCGAGATGCTTGGCAACGTGCTCCATTCTATCGTCCCAAGCATTCGTACCGTCAAAGCGGGCACTGCAACCGATGGCTGGGCACTGCATATGAGTTGGGAGGTTGCATCGTGTTCTTTTTGCCTCTTCCTGATGTGCGCGCTCGCGTGCTTCCCACTCAGGCGAAGGCTTCCTTTGTTTGACATTCTTCTTAAGAGTCGCCGGGATATGCATGCGTCGCAGATGTTGGGTGTAAAGGTCCTTGCGATTGAAGATGGTCCCGCGGGGAAGTGCAGGTATGTAGGGGCTCTGAGAGGAAGGGGGGGTAAGGCGACCACGGACAGGTGCTGTAGCTTTGCTCGAAACCTTGGAACATTGGTCCTGTTGGCAGATCCAATAGTTCAAAACAAGGTGCTGCGAAGAGCAATGCCGTTTCCACTCATTCTTACTGGCAAATGTGGAATTACAGCCCGCAAAGCCGAAGACGCAGACAAACGGTCGGGTATGTTGCTTCTTGATGTGATTTTGCAGGCCGCTCTCATCCTTGAAGGAGACTTTCTTTGAGCACTCGGTACAGGAGAAGCTGCCTTTTGCTCCTTGGATAACATGTTTGACGGTGGGCCTACCAATCGTGCTCGAGTCACCGAGATCAATCTTGGGTCGTTTCGCTTCCGGCGTAGGCCCTGGACTGCCCTGTCGCTTTCGGTTCCTAATAGGCCGGCTTGTGCTGGCCTTTGTCTTCTTCGGCTTCTGATATGGTTTGTACTCGTCGTCTTCTCTATCTTCGTGCTTCAAAATGAGAGTCTCGGCTTCATCACCGGACACCATTTCGTCATCTGACTCGTACGGAGCGTAAGTCGAGATGGGCTCAGGAATGCGAATTTCTTCTTTCACATTCGGCGCAGATTCCTCAGGGCTCATAAGCCGTCGAGATCCGGTTTGCTCCCGTATGCTACACATGTCCATACAGGCACTACTGTCGTCGGTTGACATACTATAACCTCTCGAAGGGAACTCTGACCTTGGGTTGCTGTCATCAAAATAGTTCTCAGGGGATTCTTGGTAGGGGTTAATGTCGATTGGCTTCACACAATCGTCGGCAAGACCCGTGTACTGGTATAGATGAGCTCGAGAGCTGGGGCTTTCAAATTGATTGAAGAACGGAGACATGATCGACGTATCAGTGGGCGTTGGCGGCGAATGTGGTTGGTAGTAGTCACCCTCTCCGGGTGGGCTCAAGATACTGCTGCCTGTTGACGATGTGTGAGAGGAGAACGATGGTGAGTCTCGACGTTGAGGTAGGCCGCATGAGAGTGGCCCTGTACTGTCGCCTCTCCGGATTATGGTCTCATGGAAAATTGGATCGACCTCCGCGTAGTTGAAGATCGTGGATTTGTTGTGTTCTGCCAAGTAACGGTGAATCTGTGAAGGGGTCCATGGAGAAGCAGAGGGTTTGAGATTTGGATCGATCATGCCATCGATGGATGAAGTTTCCACATAGACTGGAAGTGGCACGGTGTCCGAGTATGTAAAATTCTGATAGTCCATCTTTGTGTCAATCTTCTCACAATTGTGTGTATACGCCACAAGCTTCCTTGAAGTGTGCTCGGGATGGAGAATGAAACAATTTGGAGGCGTGGTTCAACGGCGTTGGGTCTTAGCCTAGACCTTCTTTTCAGATGGAATGGTCCTACGGCTAGTAACCATGAAGAGGAAGTGGTTTGATATTAGAAGATAGAGGCGGCCGCAAGGCAAACTTGCAGTATGAAACCGCGGGGAACGAAGCAAGACTTATGGAAGAAAACTTGATGTTCCATATGTTGCGGAACGTACTTCGTAGGCAACAATGGGGCGAAGCAGGGAGTGTGAAGCAACTTGCTTCCGAAGAAACGAGATACGCCATGGAGACTGATCCAACCTTACTACTAATATGTTGCCGGGTGTTCTGGGTCGCACATGTCTTTGTCTCTTGGGCAATCCTGCTGCTCTCACAATGTGAGCTGACCCACGCGGAGCCGCAACGATATGTGTTATAATATACGTATCTGACAGGGGAGGGTGGCTGAAGGGTCATTGCGGTCATTTATCGTTGTCTTGGCGTAGCCCCTGCAGCGTCTATGTAGCATGTAGCACCGTATGTATCAGCGAGACATATACTATGCATATTACCCTGGCTCATCATTCTCAGCCAGTCTACGCGGACCAAGTTAGTCTGGGGCCGTCAAAAAATCTCGCGGGGTTTGTGACAGGAGTAGGGAGTACCGATACTCATGTACATACAACGAACTGGTCCGCGAACCATCCATGGGAGGAAGTAGTACATACATTGGGTACGTACATGGTAGAGTTCGCAGAAAGCCATCGGCTAATGAGACCCATGGCTTAATCCATGGCTTAACTTATGTATGGTTTGCGTAACCTCGACAATGCCTCCAGAAGGCTTGTGATATCGATTCGAAGTGGACCAAGTCAGATGCATAGAAAGTAGTCGGCATCGACTACCAGATCTTCGTTGAGCCGCACATCTAAGTATGTCAGTAGAATATGTTATGTGTATAAACTTTTCCGAAACGTGATTCGAGTTGGACGCGGAGAAAGTGGTGGAGGCTTGAGGAAATGTGATAAGGCGTCCGCCGAGGCATAACAGGCGACGGACAACCAAGGCGGAATCGTCTATGTATCAACCGTAGATACCTAGTAATTTACCTAGACCATTAAGTCGTGTCTGCATAGGTAATAGATATCCTATTAATTCCCTATTACCTATACTGGCTAGGTACTTGGGCATTTCGTGGATGTCCAGTAGCATGCTTGTCAGAGACTTTTGCTTTTTTTTCTTCGCAGCTGTCAATTCCTCGCATTGGTTTATTGCTACTGCGTATGCTCGCCCGACTACCGTTGTAGTGTTGCGGTCTTCCCCGTCCAGGAGCTGACTGCAGGGGGGGTCGCTTTGGGTTGGTTCGGATCCAGACCACTCAAGGAAAACGGACAAATAGCATCGTACGGAGGGGAACTTGGCAGATCGCGTCCCGAGTCTTTTGAATTTGGGTATTATAATACCATGGTTACCAGCTGTCGGTTGACCGCCATATTCAGATGCAAGAACCAGGACAAATGAATCTGGGGTTTGATTGAGCCGGGACCCAAGTATCATGAACCTTGCCATAGGTAATTTTCAAACGTCGAGACGTCCAAGTACAGTACTTGTCCAAGACTCGAGCACGCAATTCAATGAGCGTCTACCGTCCAGTTCAAACAGGTATTCAGCCCCCACCCCTCCTTCTTCCGTCAAGCCCTGTGTAGCAGCCTTCCAGATTGGTACCAACAAAGAAGAAGCTGAAGCCGTGAAAGCAAGCGCCGGCGGCTACCATAGACAGGGTTACCAATAGGAGTGTTGGTTGAGCGAGATATACGCAGCCACCTGACGATCACCACCTCAACTTATGTCCAAGTAGATAAGCGTGCCAACGATAGTAATGTCATACGAAGCCACGATCTATTGGAACTGTCTGTCTGGTTGTATATTACGGTGGTCTTGCGTCTAAACATCGTTTAGTTACCCCAGACAAGACGTGTGTATGTATGGGGCACAAATGACAAATACCACATTCGTTTAAGGGGATAAGAATTGTTAGGGATGTGAGGTAAGAATATGAGATATGACGGCGAACAAGTCGGCAAGTCGGTAAGTCGGTAACCTCACTACGGTATCTAGCAGGCCTAACAGGCCTAAAAATTGTCGGGGACAATAAGTGGTAGGTGCGTCACCGAATGAATCTAAAATTGGGGGCGGAACCGCAGCGGGCTCCATAAAAAGAAGGCAGCCAGAGAGGTAGGTTAGGTACCTAACCTAGGCTTACATAGTAGGTACACTGTGTATACCCTACTAGGTATGACCCTGCCGGTACACATGTATACATACATTTCTGTATACCTACCCGCCTATAGAATTAAGCTAGTAAATGGGGGTAGATAGTTACATCATATATAGGCATATACATATGAAGATACCTACTCCAACAAGGCGGCGGCGGATAGCTGACATTGACGTGGTGCCTTTTTTTTTTTCTCCCCAAGACATCTTTAATGATTCTTTTCTTTTGTTTTTCCCTTCCTGCAAGTGCCGGGGACGCCTGCAAGTAAGATCGTAGATGGTGTCATAACGCAACCCATTTTACATTTGGACACATGGACTTGTTAATTCTTAGGCGCCCAATTGATTCTTCTACCGAACACCTCAATGGCTATCTATCACACTTACCGAAGAGAGCCGCATACCTACCTAGTTCATGGCATGGTTGATAGCCCATGTACACGTGTAGGGCCCCAACAGCGACCCAAGGGCTAACTAGGACTACCAACGTCCCGAACTTATGTATGCTGTGCGGCTGCTGTATGGTTAAGATAGAGATAGATGGTTGCCCTTGGATTTACGGACCACGGCGCGACGGACAGACAAGGACCTGTCACTCGGAAGGATTCGAGCGCCCACGAAACATGGATGAATCCATACTCAATGTAGACCTTTGGCTTGTTTTCTTTCTTTCTTTTTTTTCGGGCACTGCCAGCCCAGACCGGCCAACGGGACTATGTAGGTAATTTGAAAGGATGGTCGGAAAACTGGATGACTGGACGACCTGATATTGTCTCATCCAGTTATATTTTTGGTTTCTGGAACATTACATCTACAACGGGCCGGTGCTAAGAACCTAAAGAGCTGAGCCTCCATCATGCTTAGACGAGATGTCTCAGAAGTTGAAGTTTAGTTTTCTTGGGTATTATGTAGATCAAGATTAATCAAGATTGTTAGTAATTCCTCCTACCTTAAGCGCGCACATTATATGTTACACACATCTACCTACATAATAGCCCGGACATGTAACCGGTGGCTGATCTTGACCTACGCCGGTTTCCCTAAGCATTAAAACACACGGCATCCAGCTGTAATGTACGTAGAATTCTTAGATAATACCACCGAGCGAAAATAATAGATAGCTTGCTTGATTAGAATAATAAGACCAACAGTTAAGCTTCACTTCCGTAAGAAGAGGTATCATTGCAAGCAGGGTTCATCGCAACTTTTGCCGTCCACCTCCCAACATAATCTCGGGTATGAATTATACAACAAAAATAGATTCAATACTGCCAGATTTGTACTTCAACCTTTACCTAACATTTAACAAGGGAAATGGGAAGCATGTGAACGTAACACTCATTACACAAACCACCACGGCGGCTAACGTTCGGTTTCTGTTGGGACGTAAAAGTACACATTACCCCTGACGCTTTACTACCTACCAGGTATGTATGATCCGCAATCCCAAGCTTTCAATACCTGCAGGACAACGGCATCCCGATCCTCATTGAAGGTGCAAATTAAGCGGGTTCGGATGGCACATAGATCATGGATGTGCCCTCGGCAATGCTATCCCCGTAGTAGTTGTAAGGCGAACAACAGCAAAAACGTAAGCTCCCATAACCTGTCTGTCCCTTTATCTTATTAGGTAAGTACCTAACATTTAGCTACTTGTAGACGAAAATATAGTCACGCGTGGCATACCTCTCTGGCAAGCAGATAGGTCCTTTTTGTTTCCGACAGGTCATTAGCTATTGTCAAAGAGCCGACCCAACTAAAGAGATTATTCGTAACTTCATCACACGTTGACTCACGCAAGATCCTAGCTTGCTAAACCCAACTCGCAAGACTATTCTTTTTGCAGAAATAGGTACAGCGAATAGAAAGGATCGTATGCCAATAGTAGAATCCCCGTCGGGACCAACCCCCCCGGATGGTCGTCGAATCGTCTTGCGAAAATTCTCGATGCCCCTGAACAAATATACCTACTCCACAACGGTTGAAAGCTCTAGCACTGCAAAATTTTCTTGGTATTGTAACAACACAGACTCGACATTGTCCAGGATGGGTAGCATCGGAAAATTTAGCGGTTTGAGGTAAACTACGCCCAGTAAGTACTACGACATCAAGATTCGATAACGTTCTGGGTCTGACAAAGCATCTTCATTCATCATTGACTTCAAGGACAGGGTAAAATGTGGTAGAGTACCTACCTAACCTTAGGTGCTTAGATTCGTCTCAACAAGGATGAGTTTGATGTTCATACTACATTGTTATTTGCTGGTTTATCATCCGGGTCGCCGGTGTTGCTCTGCTGATGCTAGTCTTAAATGATTACACCCCCCCTGGATATTAAATTAGGTGATGGCTGATCTAGGCCTCTGGAGATACCTATGACTAAGTGAGCGCTGAAATCAAAGACCCCCCTGATGCCCTTACAGCAAATACGTACCTAGAGGTTGGGCCTAATCGATTACATATCTTGTCATGAGAAATGGCTTGTGGAATTATGTACCTAAGCCTTGAAGGAAGCCCAGAGGTAAGCAGTCTAATGCCAACTTCAGGAAGACATATCTCTTCGTAAATCTACTCTACGGAGCAAAGAACTACCCCCCACTGCATCCCACCTAATCCATATCGCGCCTGGGCTTCCTATAAAGTGTCCTAAGTAGCGGACTTACGGTATACCCCCTATCTTCTAGCTTATTATTTGAAGCAATATTACTTATCTCCAGTACCATAAATCTATTCGGGATATCCGACCCCTTCTATCGACCGAACCACGAAGCCCAATCCGCTTAGAAGCCTAACTGATACGTGTCAGTGACAACGAAGGCCCCGATCATCTGCCGAAGCAGATCAAAAAATACTCGCATGCCTATTTTGTATTAGACCAGCACCGACGATCAGCCAGCTGATGACAGGAACACCTATCGCGCAGATCAAACCATCCCTAGATAGGAGTTTTATTTCGATTCCTCTCCTGTCGCCGACTACTTTGCTTTACTCGCCATTTCCCGGACCAGAATGTTATGTTAGGTCTAGAAAAGGATGCGTCTACGAATTCGGTAGCCAATTTCAGGCTCTCTCAATACCGAGAGCATCGCGCGCCTGTCTAGAATACACGATCCAAACTACACAAGCTGTCAGGACCCTAGACGAGACATCTGGAACAAAGGACACTGTCAGTATGTATAGCCGTAGACTCCCGTAGCTAGCTTAGAATTATTTGCCGAATAACGAAGTTGTTTCCTTGCTACTTGCTCTACCTCGTGACAAAAGCTCTAGCGATGGTAAATCTACGAAGCAAGATTAGCTCACGCCTTTCGTCTCTTATCCCTCATATTTCCGCCCCCGTACTCCGATCGACTATGCGCTATGGATGTACGCTAGGTTCTTATAAAAAGAATGGAAGCTATTAGATGAATTAGGTGGTTTTCTACGCCCCCACCTCCATGTTTACAATTCCATCATAATAATGACGGCTACGATTAGGCGTTCGATTTCTTTAGTGAATTTATTCTCTCGTTACTTCTAAGCTAGAGGTAAATAGTGCCGTATGCGGGTCGGCTCTATGGGGAAACGAAGTATCTGACATGATGCGTTTAAGAGGTTTATCGGAATACCTTCGGCTTGAAATAGGATCTTTTCGACTAGGGGACCTAGAAGACCCCCCATATGGTGGTCAAGGTTGGAAGGGCTTGAATAATCATGTATGCCTCTTAAGGTTAGATGTGTAAGACACCGAGAGACCAGTGACCTTACAGACAGTATGCCCCTAGGAAGGCCAGCCACGGCGTTAAATACACATACACAGATACAGTATTATCAGGTTAATCTAGTGGTATAGAACCACGAGTTTTATATGCCGCATATGAATTAGGTAAATATAACTATATGGATTTAATGATAGAAGATATATATGTCAACATAATCGCAATAGAGTAACAAGTATAAGAGGTAAGTTATGCTATGTATCACATGAAAGTGGCGGCTTTTTGCTTGAGCCATCTATGCTGTATAATATATTATGAATAAAATGTTAATCGATTCTAAGGGTATTGTACCGTCCACTTTAACTCCTTTCCTACCCAATCGAAACAATAGAAGCCGCCCATTTACCCAGGACAGCTCATAGCTAATGACGATATTACAACCCGTACGAGGTCTGCATCATGAGTCACAATTCTCGCATAACTTGTGTTGACAATTATAGTTAGTACACTGCCTGCTTGTTACAGGCATGGCATCACCACATTCACACTACAAGTGCATTAGACAACTAGTTATAGGGAAGAGGGGACATCACATACACAAATGACTATGGTTATTTCCTCCAATATCTCGGCACGCTTGGAAGCCACCAGTTCCAACTCAAGGCCTCTTTTTCTCTTTTGATTTGCAACTCGAGCGCGTGGTTTCTCAACTCCGTCGCTATTAGGTATACTGGGACTGTTGGATGAAGAAACTGGTCCCGAAGATGTGATGCTGGTATCTTCTGAATCGTTGGCTCGCGGGTTGGTAGACCCAGAATGAGGAGGATAATCACCTTTCCAGTCGCCAATATCTCTTTTCGTCTGGTTGTTGCGACCCTGAAAATGATCGTCGATGTGGTTAAACCGTTCGGCCCAAGCTCCTATACCCTCTTTCGTGATTTTAATTATTTCTTGACAGAAACCACACCAAAAACGGGTCTCGAGATTTCGTCCTACGCGGCATGTCTCAAGCTTGCGGTCCAAGCGCTCCGGCTCCATGATGCGATGCTGCACACTAAGATGTTGTTTGAACAACTCTCGTCGTGGGAAGTTCCTTCCACAGGACTCAAAAGACTTGTCTGCCTGCTTTTCATCACATATCCAGTGCTCCAACATAAGGTGCTGACTGCTCTCATGACGCTTCCAGTCGTTCTTGCTGCCAAACTTCTTATTGCAGCCCGGGAACGTACAGCCATACGGCTTCAAATGCCGCTTTTCGTGCTTTCTGTAATATGATTAGCCTCGATACAAAGTCTAAAGGAAAGGGAGACAAGGCAAATGTTTAAGGACGGAGAAAAACAAGGGTATCTCTTACTTCAGTTCACATCGCCGACCAAATAGTTTCGAGCATTGAGAGCAAGCATGAGCCTGCTGGGAGATGATATCATTGGTCGACTCCAGCTTGGTCATCTCTGCTTCTTGAGGATCTTCCTTCTTGTATCCAAGCTTTTTAAGCATGCCCTTATTTTGGAGCTGCTCAAGAAGCTTCGATACAAATTCAGGGTTGTTGAGATCTGGGGTTAGCAGTTCATGATCCTTAGGTTCGGGAGACACACGAAATTTCTCGCTATCATTTATTAGTCTTTCTGGTTGTATGTTAGACTCAATGCTTCTAGGGGATAGCCCGCTAGGACGATCCCGAGACTCGTCGAGCCTATCTGTCTGACTGTAGCTTGCAGAACCCGCGTCATTGGCCAAGTCAGGACCTGGAATCTCGGAATGAAAGTCGGGCTCGTCTTCTTTCAACTGCTCTGTGTTTGTGGACTCGGAATCGCCGAGAGAAGGACTAGGCTGGGGAGAAGGCGGCTTGGGTGCTTCCGTTTGATGGTTAAATGGAGCATCCTCACTCTCCAAGTGCACTTCTTGTGCAGTAGTGCTATTAGATATATCCAAGCGGCTCTCACTAGGTTCAATCACTAGGGTGGGTTCTTCTATTTGAATTTGGCTTGGTCCTTCCACTGGGTTCGTGTCGGTAGATAAGTCGATAACTGGGCTCCGGGGTAATTTCCAGTTATCAGAGGCATCATTACCACCCCCATCGGGAAATATGTTTAACCTATCGAACTCGGAAACAGTGCTATTACGAGCTACGTCTGAGTCGTCCTTAGGTGGGGCTTCTGGCCTAACAAAACAATTAGAGACCCTCCCTAATGTTTTGGAGTCGGTGTTTCTATACCTGTACTTATACTGATCTAAGTCTTCGTCTTTTATCAACTCCTTTTGGTGGACACGTTTCATGTGTGCTCGAAAATTGTCAGCCCGAGGCCAAATCTTATTCTTATTAAAGCAAGGGCCAACTTGGCATCGATAACGGTCACCATCAGCGTGCTCATCCGGGTGTAGGCTTCTTTTGTGTCTATCAAGATCGTTGGGCGTACTGAAGCCTTCACTACGAGTACAGCCCTTCACAGTACATTTGAATGGCTTATCATGCCTTTGTTTGTGTTTCCTAGTGATGTCATTTCAGTGAAAGTTCTCCAGGGGAAATAATCAAGCCTAAGTGCCAAGCCTTACTTGAATTCAGACTTCGTCTTTAATACTTTGTTGCACGTTTCGCAGATCTTACCCACCTCGGGGTTGATCTGGCGGGCAATGGCCGGTTGAGGAGAGGTCGACGGTAGCTGAGACTGGGACCAAGGAATCTCTGGATTGACTTTAGACATCACATCCTGGCTATAAGATGAAAAGCTCAGTTCACCTTCTGGGTTCCGATCAATAGACTCGTCACAGACAGAGCCATTGGCAACACTATGCTTAGCCACATAGCTCCCACCATATCCAGAATCAGAAGGTATTCCTCCTGGCGGGACTGTATCGCATTCAGATGGACTCTCCCGGTATTGGCCATAGAACATAAGTTGACTGTTTCGCAAGTTGCCCAAGACAGATGAATTTCTTATATCACCCTGAGGAGATGTCAAACCAGGAGGTGTCCAAGGGCCATCATTCCTATGGTACCATAAGGCTAGGCGATTCCCAATTCGCCCGGGTCCATAAGAGTCGGCTTGATGCCGACCAGTGGGAAATAATAAATTCCTATCCATATGTCCCAAGGCAGTAAGATCCTGATGATGGCCAAAATTAAGTGCCGCCATCGTAGCAGGTTGGGCATGTCCTTCCATTGGAGCGTCCGAAGATCCAGGAGAAGTCAAGGCTAGCTGGTCCGCCATCTTGGGGGTATATAATATGAGCACTTCTCAGATCAGTAGAGACCCTATGCGGAAGAATATACAAATAAAAGGCACTAAGAAAATGAGACCGTGAAACTTGGATTAGCACACGAGCGTCAAGTCCTTCAAGGTAATGGCGCATATGCCGATCCGGAGTCAAAAAGCCTGCGGCCTAAAGGATAAGCTCCAAGGGACGTAAGGGAGGTTGGCGAGCTAGTTAATATTGGTGACAGGAGATATATCCTCCATGTGTTTTCACGATGAGTATGGCCTATCTCCAAAAATGTGAGCATGCGGCTGGGCGGGAGTTTTGCGCTCCTCAACGGTGTGCGCGCAAATACCATAGAATGGTACTGTGGAAATCTGAGTACTATCAATGGCTAACTAACAGGGGGATATAACAATTTTGGACTCGGCCGGGCAGGATCCTGGATTTATATTCCTAGGGCCTTCAGTATTTTTGCAAAGCTAGAGCCGTCGAGCTGAACCGTAGCTTAGCAAGCCAAACGCCCCGAGGCTTTGATCGCGTGGGGATGCGATTAAATTCAATTCGGATGTCGAATAAAATAGGACCAAACGTCCCAAGTGGGAAAGATAAAAGGCGTTGCGAAGGCGCGTAAACCCTTTGTCGATGGATGCGCCCGACACTTTAACTCAATAAGCGGGAGATAAATGCATAACCAACGGAAAGAATCATGACTGATGGAAGAATGGGGATTGATAGAAGGAGAATGAGAAGGTGGTGGGAAGTAATATGAGGTGCAAGGCAACCATAATGTCAGGTCCTGACCGAAATCTACGGTACCGACCCAAAAAGGAACAAGTAACAAAAGTGAGGCGGACAAATGCATATTATTGCGTTGTAGGCAGCACTAGATACATTAGATACACTAGATACACTAGATACGCCAGCGTATTACACGGTTTGTAATAATAGTATAGTACTAATCTATCCACTAAATTCTGCTTGTTACGCAAGTATTTACCTATCAATGTACAGCCACGGCTTTGTCCTTGCCTAAAGACCTCTAAACCCAGGGCTACATGTACGTAATTTTCGGTGTACACACGGGTATTAATAATAGGTGAAAATGCGTGGTGTGGCACGTATGGATCAGCCGCCTCCGAACCCGAACACTGTGGCTAATGCATGTGTACTCGGTCCTAGGCTAGCAGGACTACATGTAGCTATCCCACTTAGATCATCATATCGACGTAATGAGTAAGGTATGTAAATATCGCAAACGAAACTGGACTTACATCAACATACAACAATATTAAGAGTTTATGAGTTACGTCAATTAGCAGCTCGTCGTCATAAAATTATACCCTCAGAGGGACTGCACCTACGAAACCACACCTTAAATTAGGTAGTTAGTTATGGATCAGTTATACATGTTTTGTTCATCAACATTCACCACGAATAATAACTATCCTTCATAGTAGAAATATAAAGCGTTTGGTCATGTCAAAGCATTAGGTAGGTACGTACGTATAAAAGTAGGCCGGATCGTTGCAGCAACGGCTAGGAGTCAGAAACTACCTAGTCTCGTACCACAAGGTTGTCAATTATCCGATTCATCTTCGATCATACATACTAGGTAGTTCTGATTCCGTGGTTCCCCGGGCATAAATAATTGGCGCTAGATGTCGTTGGTTTCCGAGATCGTAATCTCGGTAGCGATCCGCTGCCGTACTTGAACGTACGTAAATGGAATTTAGGATACTCATCCCTCACAAACCGTAGATTAGATGCCAAGAGATGGGTGGTTTGTTTGCTACAGTCTAACGTCGGGCCGCGCCGTAGGGGCCAACATTAGCGCCATGTACCCATGAAAGGTGCCATCTAAAAGAAGCCTCGAGGCTTGATTCGTAGTGTAACATCAAGTATCCCGAGCAATCCACCCGGCTACAATGCAGCCACTAGCCGTTTGCCAGGTTGTAGGGTTGTAGGGTTGTAGGATATTGTCATAACTGACGGTAGCAGACATCTCGAAGCCCAGATCCTGAGATGGTCGGTTAGAGATGCCCCTATCGACTCTCCAGGGGGGTTCCATACCCTCAAAGTTTCTAATAGGGATTTATGTTAACTTCAGTTTTCAGCTTTGACGACTAAATAGTGTGGAAACCTAGCATTAACCACAGCCGGTAATTTCTTATTACGTTGGGTAGTGTGGGGAGATTATGCGGCTCCGGTTAGAACGTAGGAGCCGACCTACCTTCTAGACGCAAGCAATGCCTACCACATAATCTTGCTTTGACATGTCGATCGTACAACGAAGAGAAAAATGACAGATCAGAGTTGGCGGTACTCGATAAGAAATAACAATAAGGCCCATGTGGACAACCTATATGGCTAATGCGAGTTTCCTCCTGTGGAGGCAAGCTGCGTGAAATTCGGGCAGCTCAGATCTCGTCGTCGCAATTAGAAGAGAACTTCTTAGAAGCTAGCATCATGTGTTTGCCCCTCGTCCTTAGGTTACTAAAACGGTTGGATATCTTTTTGGAAGGGAGCAAACATAGCCCCTATAAAAGAAGACCGGCGTCTCGTAAGGTGAGACTATAAGATCGACTCGCCTTTGTTTTTTAGCTCGCTTGAAACTACTACGATAGTCTATATTACTTCATAATCCAAGGTATGAGTGAAACACTTCGCTTGTGAAATTTCTCATCTAACTCTATGCAGCTTCACTCCTATCTATCCATAGCCAAATTCAACGCAGGTGAGCATATACCATCCTAAGAGTATTTGTTTCAGCATAGCTAATAACACCATGTTGGCTAACCTCTAGGATCTATTTCTAAACTGCAGACATGTGCGACTACGATGAATTCTTATTCGAATGCAACCACTCTGTCTGTCGGTTGAAGTCTTACTGCCACTTTGCGCGTAACGACCCGAATCATATATGTCTTGGAGTAAAGAAGCTTCGAGATTCATGGCTTCAGGAGGGACAGCTTTGCGAACAATGCATCAGGAGCGGTTTACGCTTCGTGGATGGAAGGATATGGGCCCCCTCACAACGAGCACGGTAAAATATACGCAAACGTGAGGAAGATGGCCCGAGTTACGCACGACATACTACGTACGCATCTAGTTAGACGTCGGGGAGTCTTTGTACAACGCTACGGGAATAACGAGAAATGACTACGACGGTCTAGAACGCGGGATAGCTGCTCACCTGCAGCCCTGGGGATTGTTATTTCGATTACTTGGGTAGAGGATGCAGTGAGTCAGGAAGTTTTGTATGTTGCTTACCACCCGTTACGAACTTTGGCGAAGTGTTTCGAAAGGAAGGACAGACATGCAAAGACAACTGTCTGTGAGACGTTTCTGTATAATTGGGAGCGTGCCTGCGAATTTATTACCTATTTAAATCTTTGGAAGCCACTCTGAATATTACAATGCATTAGTATCCCAAGACTCCGTAACCTTCGAATACCGGGCGTCATACTCCAAGTAGGACGTAACCATATTATCCAACCGGAGTGTCTACAACTGCTACCTAGCGAACTATAATCTGTTGTGTCCTCTCAACACACGAATGGTAGCGAAGCAACCTGAATTCAACTGGTAGCCTCAATATTTGAAAATTACTGGCAACACTATGCGAGCAAGACAGATATCTCTATACTAATAGTGCATATTCAGCCGACTAGAAGACTTCTCCTCATAGGGTTACAAATATTCCTTTGAAGTAAACTATTGTATCAACTATAAATTTTCTTCTCTTTTTAGCATGTAGACTGCGTAACTATCGCAATCGTGTATCGGATTTCTCCCCGTGGAGGACCGAAAGTAACCTGGCAAGTAACCATCACCTTATCTAGGAGAATGCGTGAATCAAATAGCATAATGGCATAGGATTAACTCCTACTAGGAGCAAATTGTTTTCGTCTATACAAATGTATCAGTTGAACAATTAATTTAGAAGGACTACCTTAGGGGAGAGAATTCTAGGGAGCAGGCGTATAAAGAGTGCCATGACGCGGGAAGTTCGGAAACTTACACTTACCGGTTTCCTCTGTCTGGTTTCTTTGAAATAGGGCCCGAGAACTGCTGGAGGACAGGGCTGTTGGATTTACACTGAGAGCTGTGTCCGCCCCCACCATTTCCTCTAGTAACGTTCTCGTGCGACAAGGCGCAAGTTTTGCACTTAAGAATCGAGAACATACCTTAGGCCTTATGAACAATACTACGGGCTAATACCTCAGTTGTATGCCAAGTATTAAATAAGATAGGATCTCTCATATTCCCCGAGGAAGTTCTCGGGGGCATATTAGTCAACGAAACGCAAACAAATGCGTCCATGTTAGGTTGAGTCAGTCAAATAAAGATCTAGTCGACGTTCTATTGCTAACTTCATACTGAACCCCCTTGGGAAATCTTACGTATTCCGATAGCCTACTCAAGGTTCGTTGCGCCTTGAACAACACCAATGACATTATACCGGTTTGAGAAGAAGGTGTTCCAGTCGTTAAGGGTTTGCTTTTCCTTTTCATCCAAGTCCTGCCATTCCGGCTTTACGTCCTCGGGTTTTGTTGACGTCTTCGCCAACGCACGAGAAGCATCCTTTCCGGCGAAGACTGAACTGGTTAGCAAACATGCTACATCTTTATCGTGCTATACAAATCGCTTGGTAAAGCTGCAGCTCAACGTGGGACATATGCGTCGATTGACACTCAGTAGGCAGCAAACAAGAAAAGCCAGCTTGCTACAGTGGTATTGAAATTCTAAGCGATTGAGTCACGCTGTGCGGCATGGCTCTGGCATTATGGAATGAGATGCTGTCACATACCATGGTAAGAGCCCCCCTCTCGATATGCCTTATTTCCACTAACATCGTAGACTTTGCCCTAATAATCTCATGTAAGAGGTTGGTTCAAAGAGACTATAATGTTTTATAAAGAATGAATAGGCATACCTTGATTGCCACATAAGCCTTCTGCCCCTCGGTGCCTAAGCTGGAGCGTTAGCGCCGTGTTCTCTATCCCTGAGGATCGATAGCTATTGTGGGACAGTTTCCCGAGTTGCGTATAAGAATGACTCGGTATAGTTGTCTAAATAGAGACGTTGTATGGATGGCAACCCACCGTCTGCTTTCGCTAGTTCTTCGACAGAGATAGGGTCGTCCTTAGGAGGATCTAGGGTTACAGGAACCTTGGGTTCAAACTTGCCCGCCATTATTCTTGATAGACGGAAAGGCTCTCAAAGCTACGATAAGGGGAATGTTGTAGCGAGAAATCACAGTGAAAAAATGGATTGATAGTGTAAAGGCAGCGGACTAGATGCCAGTCGTCATACTTTTTGTAAGAACAAGACTGCGATGAATGCGACGGATGCAACGAGGAGCGGATGTTGAAGTTGGCCAATGCGCGCATAAACGCTTGCAGCCGAGGCAGTTGTACTGTGTACATGTACTTTGTACTTCTCATGTCGTGACCAATGACCAATTGGGAAAAGCTAATTGGGAAGCAACTTGGGTCCCTGAGCAGCCTGACTATTGGCCGGCAGCCAGCTGGTAGTTTACGTCATCGGCCAGATGCTGTAGAAGGAGGCTCCAGTCAAAAAATTACGTTACTACTACACAGTATTTCAATATTTTAAACTAAAGAAACGTCATTAAGATATTAAAGATATTGAACTATCATTTAAATGGCAACTTCATCTAGTACCTGATATTTGCGAGACTTGAGACTTACCTAGATTGGAATAAACATTTCATTCAACTCTTCAGCATCTGGCGACGGAATACTGCGATCGTCGTTTACCATGTTATCTGCTTCGCGCGCTCCTGTGATAACATCTTCTCGCAGCTGCTTCTTCCATGCTCGATCTTCTCACCAGAGGCGCATTAAAGGGTCTACCTTGCTCCCGATACAATTGCAGCAAGCCGGCATCTCGCCCTCGGAGGCCGCTCTAATTCGCAGTTTTCAGCAATGGCGACACCAATCCTCTTCGCATGAACCGGGTCGCCAGATTCCGCCCCTACCGCCATCGAAGCTTCTCCTTCGCGCTCTAAGACAGGGTCTAAGTTTTCGTCCTTTATTCAGCGCATTCAGGGGTCAGAACCTTCGTTCCTTGTTTCGTCAAAGCCCAGAAGAGCTTGTTATTGCTATTCTTTTGTAAGGGCCTGTCTAATATAACATCGATTTGGACATCATTTGCTAATGCGACGGTCCTGTGCCAAGGTTATGCGGTGTGGCCGGCATATCAGTCTACGTGGGTTATGCATATTTCAATTACTTCCAATCCAAGCAGTTTACTCGATTCCCGCCGCAGATCGCAAAGTCCCTTCGCCGCGCATTATATTATAGCAACTATGCGCCGGACCCGCCACTAGCCCTCAAGTACTATAAACTCGCCTTGGAGCAATGTTCGCAAGCTGGCCTCGATCCGTTCTCCGATGAAGTTATGGGGATCAAAATACAACTTGCTGCCTGGTTTGAAAAGATTGGTAGTTATAGGAATTCTATTGACGTGTTGGAGTCTCTCCTTAGAGACTGTAAAAAATGGGTTGAAGTAATGGAGAAAAGCGTCCGAGATGGTTTGGTTGATAATTCAGGGAAATTGGCTGGTTCTCCGAGTCCGCAACCTCCTACAACACAAGAGGATGCCGAGACCGAAACGGATACGAAGCCGGAGAATCTATGGGGCAAGAGGACAAGGGTCCTGGGGAAAGCAGTTGGAATCAGTGTTAAGCTCGGAGAACTTTATTCCGACGAACATGTCCTTGAAGGTGACTCCGCTGGCCAACACTTAGTCTGGGCTGTCGAGACTGTCTTGAAGGAATTGCAGAGGCGTCAGGTTGAAGGTGTGAAGGAGGGCGAAGGTGATTGGATGACCCCGGAGCAAATCGGCGGTGCGCTCGAAGGTACGGATAGTCTTCATCGCGTTTTCGATCCATCTTTGTATGATGTGTAAGGCACCGCTGACCAAAACTAGCGTTAGGAAATCACTACGAGTCCAAGTCGCAGCACTACCTCTCAGCACCGCTCTTCCTGCAGGCAGTGTCACTTTCGCCCCGAAATAGCTGCCACACTGCCGTTCTAAGTAAGTGCAAACATGGCATATGCTACGTTGCCTCACTTTCACTTCTCTTCACTCCTATTAGCAAGTATTGGTTTCTGGCTAACCAAAGACCTCGCAAAAGTGAACAACCTAGCCATCTCTTTAGCACAGCAACCCGTCGACACGCCAACAACTACCAACCAGACCTCTCAAGGTAGCAAATCCAACGTGACTGCCCGTCCCACACGGTCTACACTCTTAGCCAGTGCCCGCGCTTGGGCTTTACAAGCTCAAGAAACAGCGCAGAAAGTACAGGGCGAAGACAGAACCGATGAATGCGACGAAGCTTGTGCCGTAGCACTTTGCAATCTTGGAGATATCGCGGCCATGGCCGGAGATACTGAGGAAGCTAGGCGTAAGTTTAAGGAGAGTCTAAGTTTGAGCAAGAGAATTGCGTTTGACCCAGGTGTCGCGCAAGCCCAGGAGGGCCTTCAGCGTTTATCTACGGTAACACCGAACAGATCTACGTAGGTAGCCTAATACCTCCCCGCTTAAAGGAATTCCCAATTTCTCGAGGCTAGGATACTCAAGCAGCGAGACCAACAAAACTACCTAAAAGGAATGAGTTGCAGCAGATGCTGTCCATGAAGGTTGTACGCATAGCCAAATTAGGCACAGGATTTTCTACTGGGTAAGTATGATGCAACGGGACATTGTTTGTTATAGTATGGTTGGAACGAGGTTGATGGTAAAAGGGTTCCCAAATCACCTCGGGACCGAATGCTTTTGCACAAGTTGCTGCATCATCGTGATGAAAGTTGGAGTGAGTGAGTATAATTCACTCACGTTATTGTAGAAGATCTACCATATAGGCTATCCCCGTATATACCAGTGGTCGCGGCGGACGTTAAGGCACGGACATAGATTCAAACCCGATGTTCGGAGATTCTTCATGCGCGCTAGATGACATCGCTTTCAATATTCAAGAGTCGGCTACAGCTACGGCACAAGACGGAAGCAGGATTAAAGAAGGAATCGGAACTCGGGTGGTATAAGTTCAAATATATGCCGCTCTTGACTTCGGATTTCGGTAGAGTAACCCGACTGGCTTTGGATAGTAGTGTCATGTCATGTCGTCGTGGGAATACAGCTTAAATGTATTGCTTCAATCAACTTACACGTATGTATCTGCCGGTATTATTTCAGCTGAATCCAGATTCGCGGAATTAACCCTTGTAGACGGAGCGGGATACATGTTTCTAGATGGATTCCACGTTCCAGAATCATTCAACTATACACGTTGGTACCGTGGATCAGCTCGCGATGCCGTTTCCGCGACTAGCAATAGGGCCGCGGGGAACGGCGGAGTGCATAGCCGCTCATCTATTAGGACCCTGGACCAGACCGTACAGGTAAACAGCAAATGTTACCTACCAACCGGCATGATTGGGCTCGCTAGTCTTCTATGTCAGTCATGAGCACAATCAACTCGCTTCCACCTGCGCATCTTCAGACCAAGCAGGCCAGAATTGTTATTTTTATTATTTTGATTACATGGTATTTGGAAGAGAACCATTCATTCCATTATGTGTACAACCTTAATCTGACATACATGATGGACATACCATACATGATGCTTAAAGTTATTACCTACTTGACAAATTCGCCGTTCACCTTTATTCTAAGTGGACAATCTGGGGGAGCCAGACCGGCGGCATCACTCTCTTATTCTCTCCCCCCCACACCTATATCTGCATATCTTAAACATCAACATCTTGGCAGGGTCGAGCGTGTACGCTAAAGAACAGCTCCAGATCTCTATCTCTACTCTATGCATAGCCTCTATGTGCGAGTCATTTAACATATCAACTTATTAGATCAGTTAGTTAGTAAAATCCACGCCCAAGTCTAGTAGTCTCTTCTATGTGACATAAATTTCCCTCTCGGTTGTTCACCGCTACCGCCTACAGCTCAACGAGGTAGTTATCCGTAGCTAAGAAAATGATATCTCCGACTATGTCTATCAGGCACCGCCTTTAAGAACTTAGCCGCATGAATAATAGGTAATGGCGCCAGGCACAATGCATGTTTTCTATTTTCTTTTTTTCACACTTCCACGGCCCCTAATCTAGAATCTCACTACCCCGGAAAAGCTAGAAGTGGGTATTTAACGACCTCAGCAAATAACCAAAACAGAACTCGGCTTCTTGGGGCGAACATGCCATGTTAGTTCCGGTACTATCTGAGGTAAGACTCGGGAATAGTCAACTCTAGGAAGCGGGGGACGTCTAGGCCATTTTTATAAGTCATCTCTATTTTTACTCAACGCTTAGTCAATTACCGCACGAAAGCCATTGACACCCCCCAACCCCAACCCAGCTTAGCCTAGCGCCGTCGAATAGGGGGTTAGCTGTCGATCTCTACAAGCATGTTTGTATGCCAAGAGATCGACGAGCAGCACGCAGGTAGGTCAGGGTTATGTGCCTACCCTTGTCCCTTGGGACGATGATATTCTGGAACTCGGGACAGACTTCTTATCGCTCAATGCCCTCTCATACGTACCTGCAATACAATGCGGATACCTAGGCGGGGGGTCGAGATTAATATCTTGGCATATAGTTTAGGTGCTTACAACGGAGAGGCATTGTATTGCCAGATTCCAGTTCTACGAAGAATATTGCAAAGGAAGAAAACTGAAATGCTGATCATGACGCATTCACTAGCACTGCTAACGATAACTACCTTATTTACACGACGGGGAAGAGTATACCAGTAATATACCAAGTCAAAGATAATATAGTTTTATTCCGAGATGGTAAAATACTGGATAGGTAAAAACCCCAGATTTACGATTGAGGGTCTTGGACCAAACGCTGGGTCTAAGCACTCCGCGAGACATATGTACAGCCCTGACAGCATTCGCAACTTTCAATAGCCTCACTTACGGGTAAGGTCTCACCCTGCAGTCCCAACAGAGGGGATGCGGTTTACCAATGCAGCGGATATTCGTAATAGATCAGTAACGACCCATCGGTAGTTGAAATAATATCTAGGTTAGATTCTAACTGCAGACGGTTACTTACTCCTCCCGCATCGGTTCCTCAACGAGATGAATGATTCGCGATGTATGCGACGGGGTTGAGCGGTAAGACATAGGTATTCAGTGTGTTCTGTTCGACAGCAACTCGAGATCCGATGTTTAAAGTAGAATCGATTGCGGATGTTCCGCAAACCCAACAATGCGGGCAGGATTTTGCGATCATGCGTCACAAATCGGATACTTGCCTACGTCAAAAGACGATAGCTATTCTTGTCTACGTCAAAAGTTACATTTAGATGGCCAGGGTGAAGGCGAATTTATTCTGCAGTTTCTTCGGGTTTTACTCCGACAGGGGGGAGGGGGGGGAAGAGAAAGGGGAGTCATATGAGGTATGTATGTACATACTGCTCGCGAATATCTGCATATAAATGCAGCATACATACATTATTATAACTTTAGTCTTTTATGTAAGCTTTCTTCCCGAGTTTCCTACCTCCGAACAGGACCTATCCTCCTCCGAAGACCCCACTTACAGAACGCCGGCTTTCGGATTCTCTCCTATTGCCTTGGGGGTTAACCCCCAGTTTCCAATGTACCTACTGACTGACTTACAGTACGGTTGACCAGGGCGATGACTGTGCCAAAACCTAAAAATCAATAGGCATACGGGGAGGGTAAAGATTTTAAATGGCCCGTGCAAAGCATAATAAATACACATTTTTGATATATGAATATAGCTAGGGTTATTATTGTACAAACGGGATTATACGAAAAAAAGGCTACCCCCTTTCGCACCTTCCCTACTTAAATCTAAATTCGGCCAATTAGATTAAAGATTCGATTATTAATCCAATTTTTAATTGCCTTATATACCCACGTATAAATAACACATTACACAATATATTATATATTTAAATAACTTTACGAAAACAATAATCTAGACGTTACAATTAGTATCATTTTATAGCCTTAATTGATGCGAAAACAATGGACTAAACTGCACTTTTATACGATGTGTATTAAGCATTATATTGCTATTGAAGTATTTGGAGTCTGTTTGGAATGATTTTATCGAGGTGGTGCTTTTAAAGGGTATCACGTGCTTGCTTTTCCAGACAAGCGCTATTTGATTCTATTACAACACAATAGCCAAAAGGCCGATTCAAATGCAACTTGAATTATTATTTTCGCATTAATTAAGGCTATAAAATAATACCAATTGTAACGTTTGGATCGTTATATTCGTAAAGTTATTTGAATGCGTTGTGTGTTATATGTATAAGGCAATTGAAAATTGAATTGATAATGGAATCTTTAATTTAATTGGCTGATCTAATATTCTTTTATGCAATATACCGGAGTTGCGCGATCGTTTTATCCGTTCTTAATTGGGGAGGGGTATACGCATCACTTATTTTGAGGTTTTGGCACAGTCACCGCCCTGGTCAACCGTATTACAGTAGCGTGGAGAGTTTCCCCCGTATGCGGTTAGACGGCTGCTCCGCCTGCACGTTCAGGGGTGGTGAGGTACTTGTGAATACATGCCAAATCAAAGTGGTCCTTTGCAGCGAATCTAAGTTGACGGCGCCGCGCCTCGCCTACTGGGACTCTGCACATTGTCAGACAGGGTAAGACTTGACCTAGCTGATCGTTTACGCATGACGCACGCCGAACTCTCCCAGCTCCGAGGAATAGACAAGCAGGATATATCCTCGACGCCATCTCCTTGCCCCGTGTAAGTCAATTTCCACCCTCCCCAAGATATCAACTCTTAGAAGCTTCAATCTCCAGCCCGCTACTTCTTCCACTTGGAACCGACTACGACAACGGGAAGATTAGTTATAAAAAAATAAAAAAAAATAACGTACTCTACCCACAATAGAAATGGATGAAATCGATACTACTGGTCTCGCATCCCCCTCTAAATCGATGGCGTATATATACGGCGATACAGATTTGTACCTCGATTCTACAAATACTTCTTCGACAACATCTAGCCCGACAGAATCACCGGTATGCAACTTATATACGAGTTCGTTATAGTTGTTGCTAACCGTAACGTTAGTATAATTTTACCTTCCAAGGGATGTATCCCAGTTCCGAGAATACAGACGGGTCAGGAGAAACAACCCAGCCAGACTCACAACAGCCTCCTTCCAAGCCTGCAGCAAAGAGGAAGCGCGAGAATAGATACAAAAACGCACCGCCCTCTGTCCTATCTGTAAGCTGAGAAGGTCGCTCCGGGTGCTGTGACTATGAACTGAGTCACTAAGAGTTATCCACTACAGCGTCGAAGAGCTCAGAATCGCGCCTCCCAAAGAGCCTACCGAGAGAGGAAGGACCAGCGTATCAAGGATCTCGAAATCTTACTTGGCGACGCCCAGAAAAAAAACGACGTCCTCAGCCTCGCCTACTCCAACTTACAAGCAGAATATCTCAGGCTCAAGCGCGAACGCGAACGCGATCAAGAAGCAGCAGCAAGATACACACAGACTGCCCTAGTATACGATCCAGCGATAGACGCGACTTCAAACGATATGGATTTATTCCTCTACAGTGGTCCATCAGGTTACTCCATGTCAACCAGCGGGCAACCCGGATTTCAGACGGACTAGATGCCCCCTATGGTCTTTTGCGTTCCGGTATTGATAGTGACGGCACACCCTAACATGATCGATCTATGCTTCCGATTCTAGGATGTTTACCCTAGAGAGCGTCACAAGCAACCACTGCTGTGATATTTCAGTGGCGCAGATACAACATCGGTGCCCGACTGATTTGATGACGTGGCCGCCAGCTGGCGCCATCACCGCATACTGTCGGCAAGAACTGGATGGGTTCGAATTCTAATGCCTCCGCATTCGTACTTAACCCCATACTCGCATCCTGATATAGGGATTTGAAGAAAAAAAACCTGCCTATGCTTCGCCCCGTGAAATCGGGCCGGGGCGATCGTTGAATAAATACCCAAAGAGTAAGACTCTATACGTTTAATTCTAACCTTTTATAATAGCAAGCCAATGAATACTGTTACCAGACTGTCTGAAGGGAGGGTGTGCTAGACCTCCCCGTTGTATGGACAGACCTTTTTTGAATAGAGTTTTTTTCGGTTCAACACAAGGTTATGGTACTCCTTGTCATTGACATACTATTTTGTGGTCGTTGCTTCGATGATAGCTGGCCAAGATTTAATTCCTTTTTCTTAGAAATAGGAACTCACATGATAGCGTGGGAGAAATGTTACTGCGTTAGGTAATCTCTTTGAAGGTGCACCGGTCGCTGATAAGTCGTCAGCAAGCAGCTTGCCTATGACTGTATCTTCAGCCGGCACTATCATTGAATATAGCCATTCGATTTTTCATGTTCCGCATAGTTTGAAGCGTCAACCTAAGGCTGATAAGGTTTACTCCATTGTACTGTAGTGAAGTTAAGTTAGCTGATGGATGCCACGATGTTGAAGGTTAAACGAGAGGCAATGCTTTTTAGATTTCAGGTCGAGACTACAACACAACCGGGGGGCTTGGAAGAGAATTAGGTAAAGAAAGCGGAAGCACTTACCGTTCGAGCCAGTGGGCTTAAAACCTTGTTTTATGCCCATCGATATCATCGACAAGCCACTATTGATACGCTGGTTATGTGACAGTACAGCGGTTGTTTTACGTGTCTTGTCTCCACGGCTGCACTTAACCGTGGCAAGCAGACGGCGTTTGTTACGTGGTTTGCTCCACGACTGAACTCCGTGTCAGCGAACGGCCTTTTTTAACGCTACTTTAAGGACACAGCGATATCATGTTATAAGCCTGATATTAGCGGAATTCTTAAAAGTTAAAGAGCTGATTGTTACATCTCTTCTGCCATTTAAATATTAGACATGAAGTAGAGATGCAATCGAGAAAGGATGAAAAGGATAAGACAATAAGAAAATGAAATTAAGTTTACCTTAGTTAGCCTCGGAGGTTTCAATTCATTAGAACGTTTTGTGAAACAATTTAACCTGGATAACTGGCATTCGTCCTTTCCTTCGACACACCCTCCTAGTCTCGTTATCGTAAGATACTGTTGCTACGGATTATCAACTACGGAAGCACGTCTTCAAACGTGTCGTTCTTGCCAATATTATCATTCTACACATTAAATAAATTATCTTACGGGTTTCTCTCGTTTCAAGTGCCATCTACATATATTCAAAAGACTTGCAATTCCACGTCTGATAGTAGGTATATCGAAAAACGCCATGGCAAGCTTGAATATACTTACCAAGTTCCTCTTCATCGGAATATATGTAAATATGCCACCCCAAGCTGTATTATAATATACATGTCACTCTACTATGTATGCTGGGCAACTCATACCAAAGCCTCGGGTCCCATTTCTGTACTGGTTAATTGGTATAATATGAGGTTCCAGGGGGGAAATTCATATGTATTAATGCGTTGATTCGTAGGTATCAGCCCGCTTAATTTAGCCAAACTCATAACCATTGTAGTCAACTTAAGCGAGTAGTCACCTTGGGATTGTAACCGCATTCAGCCGATAGATCTCTAAATTAGGTAGGTAGCTTTCTGACTCTAAATACTACCCTACTGCCCCTAAAGCTTCGTATCGCATATCTTATAAAACTAGAGATAGTAGCTAGATATGAATATAAATAGAGAATAGTTTTATACCCTTTAGAATAGGATATCAACAGGCGATATGTAGGTAAAGTCGCGTCCGAAATAGAAATTTGCTGATATATTAATGGGGTGATTAATATTGGAAAAGAAAATCAATAAGGGGGCCGGCAAAATGTAAAATTGGGACGTACCCCTATGCAAAAGCGCTATACAATATAACCACATTTGCCTATTCTGGGCCTTGGCCTTTACGATATGTATATCAAGCTTGCCACGTTCCATAATAAAAATTTACAGTGAAATTTCACGAGAATCTTAGAAGCTTTTCTCCAGCTTCGATGAACTATTTCCCAAGAGAAATCTCCTAAGTTCTCTCTCTTGACCACACGTCATATGCTTCGTGGTATTCCTTTTTGGAAGAGCTAGGAACTAGAATAGGAGACACCAACCGTCTTGGAATCCATTTAGCTTTGAGCGATGGCAATACCAGGCTTTCAGAATGAATTTAAGAATATTACTCGTGGATCTGACCTTTTACTGCGATGGGAGGCTAATGCGACCGACTACCCCCTTGTGCTCTACTCCAGACTCATCAATCAGACGAGCGAATTTGGAGCGAATTCGTTAGAAGTTAACATCACAAGTAAGAAATTTATGTAATAGGTGTGTATACGAAGAGGTATCTTACATGTTATGATAGTTGGACTTAATACCACTTCGTTTCTCTGGGAAAGCATTCCATACCCGCTCCCGTATCTTGAGACAGCCAAATACGAGGTAGAGGTGTGGCCTCAGAACCAAGTAAGGTCGAAGATTTCAGCACCAGCTATCGCATCTTCGTCTTACTTCGCCATTGCCAAATCGGACGGGGAAGAAACCGTGGATGACCCGATAAATGTGAGGATTCGAGACCTTTGACTATACCATCCATAATCCCTACAGACGCTGATAGAAGATATAGCCCTTCAATGGAACGACGATACTACCATCAAGGCCCACCAACCAACCAACTTCCAACAACGGAGTCAATAACAACACGGCAATTGCTGCTGGACTTCTCGTACCAGTCTTCGTCATACTTGCTGTCTTAGGGTTCGTATGGATGCAACGACGGCAGAAGAAAATCATCGAAGAGAAGAGGAAACAGAGGGAGGAGCTCTACATCGATTAGATGTAAGATTCTATTAATACGGCGAGGGGCAGCTTCTTGGCAAGATTCATCCTCTAATGCAACTAAAAGACGCGGGTCGGTCGACCCACGGATAGTTCGGCAACCATTGATAACTTATTAAATCCCGACGTTGTGCTCGGGAATCAATACGGGGAGGACGCGGTCGAATGTCCAGTCTCTGAGGATAGTCGGAGGACGTTGAACTAACGGGAACTGCGATAACCAACAGCAGTTACCAATTCTATAACGACAGGGGAAAAGGGGTATTCAATCGAATATCCGCTTCCTCTCATAAAACTCCCTAAGGATGTCGCGGTGAATAAGAGGATGACTTGCGCTCCTAGTACAATAATCACCATAAACGCGAGATACGTAAGGCGCACTTTTACCGTTAGAGATTGATTCCGTAATCTCAAGGGGCCGATCCCGATACGCCGGAAAGACAAATAGCTATCGAACTGTATCCAGAGACGGCGTCTGTGAACACGCTCATGGAATCACATAACTTCGCCCAATAGGAATCATGAGGGTATATGGGAATTGAAAGGATCGCATGCCACTCTAAATTTACGGCGTGGGTGATACCCAGAGAAAGGGGGCGGTAACCGTGAGGCAGTCAAGCTTAGAAGCTGGTTAGGTAGATAATCTATCTTAGAATAAGAACAAGATATAAAATACCTGTTACGTTAGAATTCGATTTTAGACTCTGTTGAAGGGATAAGAGGTATGGGAATATATCTAGGGTCATCGGCATTTGATGCATTCATCATCATTGGTTGTAATGAAGGGTGGGTGCTGGCTACCTCCTATCGATGCGATGTCAGCCTCTACTCCATAGTAGGTAAAATAATCCGACGGATTCTTCGTCTCTTTTGATCCTACTGGAAGTATATATAGCATCACTTAATGATAACTCATCAACTTTAATCATGTTGTTTGATTTGGGAATTCCAGTAGGTTAGCTTTGTTCATTCGTTAGGATAGAGTTGCTGCTCGACCCAGCGGTTCTGTAGCTATGGATAGCATAACTAGCTTGAGTTGGGGAAGTGGAAGAGTTGGCAGATCGTTACCACAACAAGTCAAAATGGGATGCAGGGAATATGATCAACAGCAGAACTAACATACCTAGACCCGCTAGAGATCTTGATCAAGGGGCTGATCATGACATTGAAATAGTTTAGAAGCATCGCCAGTATCTGCCAAGAATACACGTTAGCCAAGATGCACCAGTAAAATTCGGAGTTGGACTTTTCACCAACCAGACCAAACGAAATGAGATGGGGATGGTCCACCTGAAAACCAACTCGTTTCATATGTGAGTAATCGTTTGCGAGGCACGCACATGGCACATTCTAATCCCCTAGTACGGAATACACAGCCACAAATCAATTAACGTGGGGATCGCTTGAACCTCAGATAAGTGGGCTTCTTCTTACCTCTCTCATACCTGCAATAAGCCAAGTATTTCTTCACCTATGTTCCTAGCCAGGATACTACTAAAAGAGATGGCACAGCCGCAACTAGCATTATGCAGAGGTTACTCTCATCAATGCGCGCTCAAGTGAGAAATGTTATCTCAGGTAACCTCAGACCCGAAATTTTCGAGGCGGGCTGCGCCCGCCTGCGCCACGCAACGCGTGGTCCGTGTGTTTATACCTGTAGGTTACGGGCAAAACATTTAAAAATTTCTGGTTTAAGGTTGTATGGTAATGCAGGGGTTTTTAACGTTTTCGTTAATAATAAAAAAATCAAATATTATATTTATAATAACTTAATATATCATAATAACGTACGAAATAGTTTTAATTTTAATAATTTAAAGTTTATAATATGTTTTTTTTAACTTTTTATTTTTTTTATATATTTGTATAATATTACGTTTTTATATATTAAGCTTTAACGTTTAAAAATCTTTAACGTTTTAATTATTTATTTAATATTAAACTTTATGTAAAATATTTAAATATAACAATTTAATATTTTATAATTACGTATAAAATCTTTTTTTTTTTAATATTATTTTTTAAACCTTTTAGTTTTTTTTATATATTTATACCAGGTTTTAACGTTTATTATAACTATCGTTACGCGTTATAATTAACGCGTTATTACAGTTATTATTACGGTTAACGTTATAACCGATATTATAATTAATTTTAACCATTTAATATTTTAAAAAACTTAAAACGTATAAATTAAATTAATAAATTTAATAATAAAATTAATAACTATTATATAATTAATTATTATTTATTATAAAAACGTATTAATATTATTATTTTAATAATATTGTTAATATTGTTATTAATATTATTATTTTAAAACGTTAAACGTATAATTCTAGTGTGTAAGGTCTTAAACCTGCCTTAAACCATAGATTCGATATTGTTTTAAGGGGTTGTTCCGGGTTTTGATTAGTTGAAAAGTGGTGTGGCTAGGGGAGGTACAACCCCACGAACGACATCGAATTTGTGGTCTGAGTTTACTGAGATAAGAGAAATGGGCATTTTCTGCATCTTTTACTACATACATCATCGCTTAGCTCGGCCGAGCCCATTGTCCACTTTTCCGTTAGTCCAGGAACCTGGGTTCTTAAAAGGTGTTTGGGAACATAAGCATGGAAAAACTTATGGGGAATAAGCATAAGTATTAGCAATGTGTTTGTGAGGTATTGATTAACTTATCCTCACTGAAATTTGGCTGATGAGAGGCTCCATAGTACTTTTTCATGCATCTAATAAACTTCGAAAGATTCGCTGAAGATTTTCTAAAATTCAAAAGCACCCCCATCGGTGCTTATTGACTTGCTTATATGTAATTACAGGGCCTTGTCCATTACAATGCCCTGTAATTATAAGGCATTTAATAGGTAAACCATAGCACTTTTAGTAATACCTTAAAAAAATATTTCCAGCGAGTATATACACTGTAAATATAGCGCATTTAGTGGATTTAGGTATGTAGCGACGACAAGGTTGGGAATAGCCTCAACGTGTAAGCTAATAAGCCAAATTCATAAGCATAAGACCACAAACACTCAATAGCTTATACACATTGAGGTTAGCGTTGATTCGTCCAAATTACAGTGGGAATCGCCCCACAATCGAGACACAATTCAGCCAACTTATGTGTCAGGGTTGGCACGAGCCATAAGCAAAACACCGCTTATGGTCCCAAACAGCCTCTTAGCGACAGCGTCTGCTCGTTGACAGCCGCGAACCGAAGAATGCCAAGCCGGTCTAATGTCGACTTCTGACGCCGGGCCATTCGTTAAAACTTCCCCTTCCGTGAGCTGTGGTGCTATCCACCCAGGCCTATCACAGTCCAGAATCCCCCAAGAATCGGACCCTTCCCAAGAGTGGAAGTTGGTTTCCGTACCACATAAACATAGTTTGAAGTAGAGCGGGATGCAACCCAATGGCAACGTCGTCCTTTTATCGAAACATGAGCCCACTATGATACTAGGAAGCTTACTTAGGTACGTTAGGTATGTATGCGCAGGCGCGGTAGCAGCGCCGCTTGTCTGCAGCGTCTAAGTCCACAGCCATTGGACGTCGACGAACCTCATGTTTCAATCCAGGGGCTCCTGTCCGTCGATTTTTCTTAAATATGCCTGAACCGCTGTGTTGGACATGGGATGTCTTCCCTTTCCCTTTCTCTTACGCTGTTTCGCTGTTATAAATCCCCTAGAGCATTCAGCTCTTGACGTAAGATACGTCATTTCTTCTTTTTGGTTATTTCTAGTCACTCTTTAATATACACATACTATAGCCATAGCAATGGCTCCATCACTCCTTAAAACTGTCGGCGCTGCTGCTGCTGTCCTAGCTGCCAATGCCGGCGCTACCCAGTCGTATCAAGTTTCTGAAGTTTATAACTCGACTAATTTCTTTGATAAGTTCAACTTCTTCAGCGTAAGTGCTTAAGTAAACGACTTTGCTCTCGCTCGAGTTATCTAACTTTCTGCTTAGGGAACTGACCCCAACAGCGGTTACGTCCAGTACCAAACGCAGGCCAACGCGCAGGACCTTGGCTTGGTTAAGATCCAGGATGGTGAGGTATACGTTGGTGTAGATCATGCTGGTAGCTACCAAGCTACAGGTGGTGGGCGAAAGAGTGTTAGGTTGGAAAGTAAAAACCTTTACAACAAGGGTTTAATTATTGCCGAATTTACTCACCTCCCTAAGCCCGTCTGTGGTTCATGGCCCGCATTCGTAAGTCTCCTTATGGTTATTATGCTTATAGCGTCACACTATGCCTTCGAGCCTTCGTACGAACCTTAAATCTTTCTCTTTGCTTGGCATTAGTTGTATATCCTTGCATTAGAGCTAGCTAACCTGAATTGTTAGTGGTTCTTTGGTGACCCGTGGCCAACCAAGGGTGAAATTGATCTCTATGAGAACTGGAACGATTTCAACTTCAACCGCCACACCTCCCATGTCGACAATCCTGCTGTCGTCGGGGACTGCACACTTGTTGCAAGTGACATGACAGCGAAGATCGACTCCCCCAACTGCTACGACTTCGCTGACGGACAAGCGAACTTCCAAGGTTGTTCCGCTTCCGAGGTCTCTTCTACCTTCGGGTCCGCTTCCGGGGGTATCTTCGCGCTGCAGTGGACGGATGATTTCCTTAAGATCTGGGATTGGCCCCGTGACGGCGCCCCCAAGGACATTTCAAACGGCCAACCGGCTCCCGATTCTACATGGGGCCAGCCGTCTTATGTGATCAGCAAGTGTAACGTCGACAAGGCCTTTAAGGATATGAAGATGGTTTTGAACATTAACTTCTGCGGTGTCGCTGGCCAGACTGGTCAGTGGGATACTAGCTGCAAGGCTACGACTGGATTTGGCAGCTGCACCGAGTATGTCGCCGCGAAGGGCGGAGACTTCGAATCTTCCAACTTCAAGGTAAAGGATATCAAGGTCTACGAGCTTAAGGAGGGCCAAGTCCAAGTTTCAACCTCGTCAACGGCGTCCAGCACGTCCAGCACGTCCAGCACGTCCAGCACAGCTATCTCGTCTAGCTCTGCTTCGACCGCCTCGACCGTCTCCACCACCTCCTCAGTGTCGACCAAGTCTACTACCGCCTCTGTGTCGACCCAGTCTACCAGCTCTGGCGCGTCAGTAACGACGACTTCCTCTGCCTCGCAAGGTACTGCAACATCAACCGCCTCTGAAGACGACGATTCTTGCACTGATGAGAATGGAGAAACCTCGAGCTCATCTGTCGCATCGCCAACTATAAGCGTCTCAGCCACTACTACCAAGTCCTCAAACAACTCTGCCACCACTGACAAGCAGGAGTTGACCACCTCAACCATTTATTCAACTGATATCCACACTGTCACATCATGTGCCCCGACAGTGACCAACTGCCCCGCGGGCGGTTACGTCACTACCAAAATTATTTCGGTCGGAACCACTGTCTGCCCTGTGACCAAATCGGAAGGCTCCAAGACTGAGCCAACGCCGACTGCCAGTGCTCCCGCCGAGTACACCACCAGCGTAGTTAAAGTGACGAATACATACACGATCACCTCGTGCGCGGCCACTGTTACTAACTGCCCCGTCGGTGCCGTCACTAGTGAAGTTACCCTCACGACGACCGTGTGTCCTGTGAGCAAGGAAAGCTCAAGCGCCACCCCCAGCTCAAGTGCCGGCCCTAGCCCTAGCTCAAGCAAGCCGGTCGAGACACCCGGCACTATTAGCAAACCCGCCGAGACACCTAGTACAGTCACCAAGCCGGCGCCGGCCGAGAGCACCAGCGACGTGAAGAAGCCGGAAACCAAGAGTACGGTGACGGAGACGGGCGTAGTCTCGACCCCGAGCCCTACAACGGCCAGCAGCGAGGAGGTTAAGTCGTCGGCAACCGAGGGCAGCAGCAGCAGCGGTAGTACCACCATCACTAATGGCGAGTCTTATGTTGTCGTAACGCCAACCGTGGCCCCCGCCAGCAGCATCAACCTAGGCTACAACGGAACAATAACGACATCATTCATAAACCCTGGCGGTGCGGCGTCGACTGGGGCTGCAGGCTGCAAGGGAGCCAACTGCGTCGTGGTTGTTGCTGGTAGTGTTAAGACAAGCGTTAGCTTTACGCTTATGGGTGTAGCAGCATTCTTCTTCCTTTCTATGTAGATATATTTCCACGGAAGATATTGAGGGCTGGGATCCTTTAAGATAATATTGTAGATTTTTTTTCTGGGGGTTATGTATGTATGAGTTGGAGGGGTGTAAAAGTGTTCCTGGTTATCCTGGGTAAAGTGATAACTGGGTTATTATCTATTATACTATTATCTGATTTACTATTTGAATTTTTACCTGTTGATTACCTAGTTATATACCCTCATGTGTTGTGATGTTGTAGGTCGATAGTATTATTAGGTACGAAGTAGACTTGGGTATATTGGTATGAGGTATCATTGGCTAGGCGCATATATGTGTATAACCCATTCTATTTATAACCCGAATCTACTGGTCTTGGCACTTAGAGAAGTGATTGACGTAATAAGCTCTCTCTCCTCTTAGCTCACAGTTTAACTTTCAACATTCAACCTTTACATCGGCTTGTGTCTTCTGACTTGTCGCGTGCGCGAGGGCGCAAACCTCACGATGCAATCGCGTCGGTTTCTACGGCCTTTATGGCACTCTCTACCGATACGAGTGTCTCCTCCTTCTCCCTCGACCTTCCCTTCCCTCCGCCTTATCCAACGAACCCGACCATTCTCCCATACTTACTTCCGCAAGAACAACTGGCCACGGCCTCCTCGCGAGACGCGCAACTATAACCTTGATCCTCACTACCAGCTCTCTCAGGCCAAACCTCTCGTAACCTCCGATCGTCTCAGACGGTTCGCCCGTTCCCCGAGTCTGCACACCGTTGTCGCCATCTCCGTTACCGGCGCGGTGGTATTCTACTATATCAATCTTCAGACCGTACCGGTGTCAGGCCGCCGGCGCTTTAATTGTTTTAGTGAAGAGTCGGTGGAGGCGGCGAGCGAAGCGCAGGTCAAGCGCCTTATATGGGAGGTAGAGCGTTCTGGCGGGCGTTTCCTAAGCGACTGGGATCCGCGCATGATCATGGTGAAGCGCGTCATGAGAAAGTTAATACCCGTATCGGGCATGGATTGTAATTGGGAGATTAGGGTGATTGACGATCCCCGTACGTGAAAAGCTCGGAAACTACCTACCTCGGCGGATTTATGACGCGAGACAAAATAAACCAATGCGCTAACTGCGATTAGACACCGCGAATGCATTCGTCCTTCCTGGCGGAAAGGTCTTTGTCTTCAGCGGCTTGATACCCATTGCTGCAAACGACGATGGCCTTGCGACGGTGCTAGGCCACGAGATTGCTCACAATCTAGCTGGGCACGTGGCCGAGCGCATGTCAGGACAGATTGGAATAAACATCCTTCTCTATTCTCTCATATTTCTCACAGGTGGGATAGCGATTTTAGGTACACAGTTCATCGGCAGTGCAGTTCTAGATCTTCTATTCTCGAGGCCCATGGGCCGCATGCAGGAGAGCGAAGCGGACTACATCGGCCTAATGATGATGGCGGAAGCTTGCTACGATCCGCGCGAAGCCATTGGTTTCTGGAAGCGGATGGAGAGAGCACAGCAGGGAGAACCGCCTGAATGGCTGAGTACTCATCCTTCCGTATGTACACCATACTTTGTAGAGCGCAACGAATCCCCAGTGGTCAAGTCTAGCTAACAATGTACAGAGCAACAACCGAATACAAAAAATAGGGGAATGGATGCCCATTGCTCTAGAGAAGATGCAGGCGAGCGATTGTAGGGGAACTTCGGCGTTTGCAGATTTGTTTAGGAGGGCCATGGAACGGGGCATACTCATAGAGTAGGAGAAATACTTGGTTAAATTAAAGGCGGGAGGTTGAAGCTTTAAGATACCTGAGTGTCACCTACACTCGTGTCCCTTAGATCCAATCGCATAGTAATAGCCTGAAGCACATGATATTAGCGCATCTTAGCTACAAGTCAACTCTATCATTGAAAGACCTCATGGTAAGCAACCCTAGACCAATCTGTAGTGAAGATAGGATAATACTTGTCACCTGTCAGGACGAAGCAGTATCATTCCGTATGTAAGAGGTACCTGATATGATTAGATCCATAATATCCGCTATTCCAGAAGCATGTTAGTGCTCTATCCTACCTCTGGGGCGGTAAGGTTAATGTATCCGGCGCACCAATAATGTTGAAGGTAATTGAACCCCTGCTGAGTCCGTACCCTGGATGATGTTGTGCCGAGGTTCTTTTGAATGGATTAAATCACGGCGGGAAGTTGCGATAAGCTGGATTTCTTGTTTCTCGACAATCACTGAGCTCCTGAGTCACTACAACACGGATTTACTTATTCCATAGTGTCTATCGTATAAATAAATAATTACTAGACACATACTTCGTCTATCACAAACATCATACCAGCGAGACATCTTCCCAAGTTAAGCCGAGTTCTCCAAAGTCCAGCGCCGAATCCCGTATCTCCACCATGTCTAAGACATTCACAGCGAAAGATGTTGCCGAACACAAGGACGAGAAGAACGGCATGTACATAATCGTAGATAGCGGCGTCTATGATATCACAAGTGAGGCCATTCCCACTCCAACTGTCCTTTCCGCTACTATCGACCGGCTAGACTAACAACGATCTCTCAACATAGATTTCCTCGACGAGCACCCGGGAGGAGCAAAGATCCTCAAGCGCATGGCCGGTAAAAACGCGACGAAGCAATTCTGGAAGTACCATGGCAAGAATGTTCTAGACAAGTACGGCGGTAAGCTGAAGGTTGGGGAATTGACCGAGACGGCGAAATTATGAGATGGCGGGGAGGCGTATGGCAGATATTTAGTGCTAGGGGAATTACTTATACACCGCAAGATTAGCAATGTCGTGATCGCATACGTTGTGGTGGTGTTTGGTTTGCATACCTAGGTACCTATTCAGATATACGAGTTATCAGGTGCATATCATATCTACGAATCCGTTACCTACAGTCGACTTCAATAATACTTAACCCTCTAGACCGAATTCCTACTCCGGAGCGCTATGAGTTTGCTTGTCGTCTGTTGGCTATACAAGTGCTGTTAACTATCTAAACATAACTTAACGTTTTTAATAGTTGTGCAAACAGCTTCATTTAGACTCAATTCTGAATCGTGACCCTTAGGCCTAGGCTGCCTTTATATGGCGCAGTCGTTATGAAATCTGAATGCATTGCGACGTCTTCCCCTGTAGTCTGATATAACTCTAATGTTGGACCACTCTGAGTCTTTCTAGTCGGATCGTACATGTCGTAACGCCTGATGATGCCAGCAGTGAAAGTCTGAAGTTCCTGATATGCAAGATTTATTCCTATGCATTGCCTCGTTCCCTTAGAAAACGACATGTGGTATTTTGAGAGCTTCGGGTTCTCTAGATAACGTTCAGGTCGAAATTCGTTTGGCTGATCATATAAGTCTGGGTTGCGATTTAGAATCGGAGCTGCCATGCCGACGGCTGAGCCAGCTGGAATGACATATGTTTGGCCGTTTGGCGCCTCGTAGACGAGATCCTCGTCAGGACATGTGCGATCTTGCCGGTGAGTAGCGCCAGGGTAAAGCCTGATGGCTTCTTCTATGATTGCGTTTAGGAGCGGGAGACTGTCCAACTTCGATGCCACTGGAAGCTCATTACGATCGGGCATGACAGTTTCTAGTTCGGTTCTCAGCCGACTGAACAGTTGGCGATCAGTAAGCAAGTGATACATGATTGCCGCTAGGGTCGAAGCCGTAGTCTCGCTACCTGCGATAACAATCACCATGGCCTCTTCAGTCAAACGTCGAGTTTCTTTCTCGGTCTCCGGTATGTCGCTACGAATAATCTCGTGAAAGATCGTCTTCCCCTCTGGAAGATCTTTAGCCTTTCGAACCTCCTCGACTTGAACAGCTAGCCCCTATTATGCGCTGTTAGCCATATAAGACGCTAAAAGTCCTAGGTTCATCTTGCCTACCTCGACAAAACTCGTAAATGCGCCGACCTTAGGTATAAGGGCGGTCATTAATTTTGGAGGTAAGTTACTAAGAAGATTGGCTAGCCAAAACATGTGAGTTCCGAGATGAGCCAGTTGGCTTGGTTCCACTATAGTATATGAAGTTAGCAATCGCTATTAAATCTTGAGTTGGAATCGAAGTAGTGAAGATTGTTTTCAAAATTCGCGGCTTCTGAGCTGATTTACGAAAAGCCGAAGTTGGTTTGGGGCAACGAAAAAAAAACCCCCCAAACTCGAATCGACTGAAATATACTCACTGATATCAAAAAATGCAGTATTACAATCCTCCTTGTCGAGACACTTATCTCCTTCACCAAACGCGTAAGCCTGAATAATATCTTTCGTTGCAGCTCGGAACGCAACGTTCATCCGCACGGGTTCGCCCACTTTAGCCCATCCATCCATTCGATAGAACAGGTTTGCGAGGGTGTCGTTGATAGCGGGTTCTAAGCGTCGCACATTCTGTTGCGAAAAAAAGGGGTTGAGAACTGCCCGACGCTTGCGATGGAGTTCGTGATCTTGGGTAGCTAGAATCGACCCCGTAGCTTGAAGTGTTTGAAGAATCGTCCAGTATCTTTCACGTCTCTGCTTCGGAGACTGCGAGTACAATTTTTCAATAAACATAGGGTCATTTATGGACTACATCTGGCCTGATCCGGACGATTGGGCCGTATTTTCGGTGCATCTCCTCTACAACCCAGACGTACTGACCCCTTCGAAACATGTCATGATAGGCATTGTACCAAGTAGTTAACGCTAGACAACCTCACTCAGTATTTCCAGCTCATACTATGCATAATTGCTTCGGATCTTGAATATTTCTTACCGGCAAGTTTTGGGCCGGGAATCTTAGCAAGTGGGCTCAAGTATAGGCGATATATCCCAAGGCCTACGATATAGCAAGCTATCAAAATAATAACTAACAGTGGCTGGAGGCTGGTTGCCCAATCCAGATTAAAGACTACGGGCATCTTAATATCGTTGAAATATTGCTAGTCGAGCTGGCTTCGCGTAACATGATAATATTATCGCCAACGTCAAGAAAAGACAGAACACCCCTTTACTTGGCACCTGCGCGAGCATTCGAAGGATTCAATTGGCCCACTTGGGTCTTGCTTAAATCCCGGGGGTACGCAAGTCTTTACTCAGTGGAGTCTGCTTGGAGACAAAGTGATTGAAGTTCAAGGCTTGTCTTCTTCATCTGTAATCGTAATCCAGGATGAAGAACTAGCATGTAACCCTCAATACCTGTTATTGCCGGATAGCGATGTCTTCGCCTCAAAGTTTCATAGACCAGGAACGAAAGATTTCGCCCACTGCTAAGAGGTAGGTAGTGTACTAACCTACGTATCCGGGATCTACCTGGTTCGGACTGAATTAACGGTTTGCCTAGAAATTTTGGTTTCTAGGTACGGGTATTGCTGATCATCGAAAGCCCCTTGAATAGCGAGTTAAATAGGTGTATAATTGGTAGATAGGTATGTATAGATAATAGGTAAAGAGACATTGGTGGAGTTTCAGAAAATGGATACGGTTCGTTGTCAGTTGTCTTGAGATACTTTCCATATCCTTGCAAGGTAAACAGAGATGTTCCCAAGAAAGGAATGCCCCACAACGGCGCTGAGTTCAACGATGCGCGATTGAAATTTCCAAAGGGCTAGCTTACGGTTAGTACTGTGCTATTATCTATGTACTCTGTTACTTACATGTATTTACTTGCGTATACATAGTAGATATTTTACTTGCGCTGCAAATTAAACAGATTTGCTGCGAGCCGTCAACTTCTCTACTTGATTGTCTGTTCTGTCACTAGTAGATCGTCAATAGGGCACATCTACATCGTAAGTCTGGCTCCATCGACGATTTAAGGCTTGGCTTCGCTAGGATCTGTGTACATGTAACAGTACCATAGTATGGAGGAAAGTCTTAATGTACCGAGGTGTCGTACAAGTCGTAAGATTGAATTGGTACTCTTGAAAAAGGTAACATTTGAGTGGTCTAATAAATTCACGCATTACTGCTACCTTGTTTTATTACTGTAGTGTAATATTAATATTTCTGGAAGCCCTGGGAGGTTAATTGGAAGTCTCTGTGGTAAATAGTACTTGCCGTTAGCATAGTTTCTCGCGATAACGACAAGGTACCTATCACTATCGCATGACTGTCACGAAAAGGGTTTAGGCCATCAGAAGCCGGACGCGGACTAGTGCTGTAGCAGGCAATGGCCGGACGCCTACAAACCTGACATCACCGCACTTGGACCATAAACAACGGCCTAATCAAGGTAGGTTAGTGAACTCCACATCTCTCTCTTCGACTTCTCCATCCGTACATAATTCCAGTTCCTAAATCCTACGATACCTACCGCCTTCTCCAGAATCCACAGCTATCGGTTTTCGCAACGCCGAAGACCTCCGTTGCAATTCGTAGAGAGTCTTCTGGATAGTGGATTACGGATACTCAACTGTAAGTAAATATTTATTTTCCAATTGATACATTGTTATGAGTAGGTATACGACGTGCACATCGTTATCGCGTGGCCAAAGTCGGGTTTACTCGCGAGCTCAGACCCTCGCCGCCTTTCGCATTCCCCGTTGCGCCGATCAGATGTTCGTTAGCCATACCTAATTCTGCCAATTTGCGGCATTACAATAAATACAGCTAATCCACTCAGTGGATCCGGTGACCCCGGTGCCTGTAAACGGGCTCCACCTACAAAATCGCGCAGAGCTTCGAGCCGCCCTGGTTGCTGCAGGCTTACCGAGCTGCCGCCCCGGACAAGCTTTTTTCTTGTTGCCCTCGTCTCCAGGTCTAACGCCGAGAGCTCATCTTATTATTTTCCTTTTTGACCCGGATCCCTCCCACCTTTTTCTAACTTCTTGTTCTGCTCTTTTACTCCTTCAACTCACTTGTCCTTGTGGAAATCTTCTCACTCGATCCTATCCAAGGGCCTGTGTTGTTCGCAGATTTAGCTTCTCTGACCTGTCAAGCAACAGTTAAGCTCATCCACCACCACCAAGTCTCATCTGCATTCCGCATAGCAACCACAGAGTTACCCTTCCGACCGCCTAAGAGGTAAGCCGCATTTCTATGAAAATCAATTGGAAGCTTGAAGAGCTTTGCCAGCAACAACATCAAAACATACAAAGCATAACCACCATTTCATTCGCGTTACCGAATTTCGTCCGAGAGAGCTCTGCGATCCCGAGTCAGATCTATTCGATTCGATTCCATTGAATTGTTACATGCGCCTTTTTAATTGTATCTTACCGCAACGCGCGAATTTTATATCTTGGGTCGGATCTACCTTGATCAAGTTGTTCAATTGATCTACTTGCAGCTTCCATTGATAGACGCTGGGCTTGGAATAACATAGTACTAACTCACTTCGTAGTTTGTCAATATGCCTGCTATCAACAACGCCGTTGTCGCTCGCGACACCCTCAGCCACATCGTCCGTCGTGAAAACTGGGCTGTATGTGAACCAATTCTTATCATTTCCACCTAGGCTGTTGATTACATTCAAACAAGATTGCTTTGGGGAAATGTTATATACGATGTAGGGACATGCTAACTTTCAATAGCAACAAGAAGCTGGCGTTATTGTCGTCTTTTGCATCGTTTTCGTCGTCGCTGTTGGTCTGATCGGTCTCTGGATATCCAAGGCTGTTGCCAAGCGAAGAGCCACGAAGGCCGCCATCCCCGCGTAGGGGCTGTCAAACGAGAACATGCGGGGAGGTCTGGGGGGTCTAGGGGGGAAGGGAGAGGGGTTTGGTACAAACGACGGAACGAGACATCAGTAACGTGTTACCTATTTCGATTCGACAATCCGTCCGTCCCTCACAAATATGGCGTATCATATTCGAGGGACCCGGGACCTGAAGTCGGTGGTCCAAGGAAGTTAGCCATGTCTTGCGTTGCATGCTCAACATACCACTTAATGAACTCTTATCAAGAGATGTTAGTCTCGATAGAGTCCGAATACTCTTAATTTCTCTAATGACAATCAGTTTAAAGTTTAAGAATATCTGGTCTAGGCTAAGACTTGATCTGAGGCCTTTTGTTTTGCTGTAATCATATAAGTGATTCCTTGTCTAAAAGTCCTTTCTTTGCTCCTCCTATCTAAGTCACCCGTGTATCCAGATTTCCCGCAAGCCTCGCAATCCAGAAGGTATAAAAGAGCATGCAAGATCTATCCATTATACTTTAGGCATCAGTAGAGCTCCATCTTCTCTAGATGTATTAGTCCGTTGGCCGGCTACGTGCGTATTAGTGCTAATTCTTATATCCACGTTCATAACCTCATGGCTCGAGGAATGAATGAAGAAAAGGAGTACTTACCGCAGAAAACTGTCTTAACTTTACCCCAGCGTTCCGAAAGATTTCGGCCGTTTCCGTGTCCATGCTGTATCCTTGACTATATACTACCTCGGTGATACCAACCTGTACAATTTTGATACTACACGTCAGGCATGGACATGTGTTACAGTACAGAATGCTTCCGTCGCGAATCCTCTCACGTCCGGCTTCTAATAAGGCATTCTCCTCCGCGTGAAGGCAAAGGCAGGTAGATAATGCCGCTCCGCTGCTCTCTCCCGAGTTACACCGCGGACAGCCACCTTCGCCGCAGTTTAATAGGTGCCGTGGGGTCCCGTTGTAGCCCGTGCTAATGACGTGATGTCTGGAATCTACTAATACGCACCCTACAGCGCGTTTCATGCAATTACACCTCTGCGCCGCGAGGGATGCTAGAGCCATAAAGTAGCTATCCCAGCTAGGGCGCAGGCGGTCGGGATTCGTCAAGTCCAGCTTACCCAGTGTGGCGTACAGGTGTGCAAGGTCCGAGGAGGTGTTCAGCAACCGGATCGCGGCCCGTGACATGAGCGGGAGAACACCGTGCGAGACATCATAGAGATGCTGATCAGATTGGGATACAAACTCTTCTAGACTGATGGGGTCTTGATTTTCCGTCTCCTGTTGCTCACTACTTCGTCGCTGGTAACGCTGCCACCGCACAGTCAGAGGCGCGTCGACGCTGATTAGAATGAAGAATGGTCGTCGACTCAGGGTATCGAGGACGGCCTCATCATGGACGTCTGTTGTAACCCAGCGCGAGCGCCAGTGTTTCGTTACGAAGTCCAGAAGGGCCGTAGTTGTAGAGAAGGCATAAGATGGGGATATCTGCTTCCGAAGTAGAGGGAGACCTTTCTTAGGGGCATCGGAGATGATCAAACCTGCATCGGAATCGGATGCGTCCGGGTGAGTCTCGCTCTTGGGTGCTGAGAATTTTAAGTGCAGCTTCTTGAAGCCGTGATGCTCTATTAGGTATTGAGCTACTGTGCTCTTACCGGCACATTTTGCTGTGGTTTTAGTGTAAGCGAGAACTCCTCAAGGAGACAGACGGGCGAGATAATAAAATAAAAACCTTACCGCCACAAATTCCTATCAGCATCTTTTACGGAAAGAAGCATAAGTTTTTGAATGCAATGATGTAGTGCAACATGGAAGTGAAGTCTAGAAGACACATGCACTCAATTTCTTCCCAATGTACCTAAAGTACTGTACTTAAAGCTAGTGAAATGGGGCTTTGCATCCACTGAAGACGCGTCTTGTCGCGTGGGAGAAAGGGGAAAGAAGGTCACTACCGGAATTTAGCCAGCCACTTAGATGTACCTCATGTACAGATCCGCACTTACGAAGCAGAAAACTACTTAGGTACTTATGGCCTAGGTGTGAATGTGCATATTTTGTGCATGCGTAGTAGGTACCTACCTAAGGTTTAAATGGATGCCCATTGCCTAGGAGGAGCACCTGCAGCAGCTATCCGATGTTCAGGTGCCCCTGCCCTGGCCGCCTGGCAGGCTAGAAGGTCACGTCAGCATCAGCGGAGAACTTCCGTGTTGCAGCCCTACATTTACATCAGCAGCATCTCACTAGGTACCTTAGGTACTCATGGTCACGCCGTAGCTTTCGGGATGCAGCCATGTGATCCTATTTGCACAGTAATTAATAAGTTGAAAAGTATATTATTCTTAGACAATATACCTAACCTACCTGTATTTATTGTCTTTACATCCAACATCCCGATCATAATTGCTTTTTGCTTGTTGCTAATTGCTGCTAGTTGTTAGTTGCTGTTTTATGTACCTAATGTACATGCCTAAGATAGCAGGTTCGACCTCCGTCATATGTCATCCCTTGAAAACTCCAAGTTCAACCCACCTTCGAACAGAATACGGCCCCGCTCTCACCAACTTAGAGCTGACTTGATTTGAATTGCCCCTCCTACCTCATACCTCATACGTCCCTTCAACATTCAGAGAATCTTTACTATATCCTTTATCTTATGATATCTGATATACCATTGATTTGTAGTAAACCATCGCACGGGCATAATTCCCAAAACGCGGCTTAGGCGCATTTCCTAGCGCCCTTACGTTCATCACCCTACACCTACATACCTACCTACCTAGGTATTCACTACCACTACGCCGCGTCGGCTAATACCTGTCGACGTCATGGCAGCACTCAAGTTTGCACCCTTCTCGTCCGAGATTGAGCTGCCTTTCTACTCGGCCTTGTTTGCCTCCAAGTTAGACCATGACAAGCTTAGTGACTCGGCACGACCAGTTTTAGGGCTCTATGAGCCTCGTCCTGGCACCGCTCCCGACGACAGTGTGAGGATGCAAGTGCTAGCCAGTGCTCTTAACAGTAATAAGTACGTTTGTGTTTTCTTTGTATCCTACCTCTCGCCATTATAACCCAGCCTTCATGACTGATCACGTCGTCTGCAGTGTGCCGTTAAATGCTGTAAGGGCAGAAGGTATCATCCGAAACACAAACACCTTAGATGCTTTTAAGCAAGTAGATAAGACTGAGATGATTCATCAGGCCGCGCGCCAGGTAAGTTCTTTCTAACCCGTCACTTGGTCATCATCAAGCTAGTGCTAATGTAAATATTCTTAGATATGGGATGCAATCAAAGATGGAACCATCTATTCTGTTCCTTCGCTCCTCTCTCATTACATTATACTATCTTATGCGGATCTCAAGAAGTACAGGATGACCTACTGGTTTGGATTTCCAACCCTACATTCGGATCCCCAGTGGAAGCGTACCGGGGATATTCTTCGCTTCACTCCAAATGAGACTACCGCCTTAGTCGACCGCGTGGGGACTTGGCGATATACTGTTGACCCCAGAGAGCATGGCTTCTTCCTTGCTAAAAAAATTCGGGGAAATAGGAAGACTATTATGCAATCTTCGCTCGAGGTTCCAGCGGAGGATATCGGATACAGATGGGAAGTTGGATCACTTCGCGAATTTGAGACAGGGTTCTTCCGCGGCGTGCCCGAAGATGACAAATATGTGGCATTTGTTGACCCTTCCACCTACGACGAGCATCCTGCATGGCCTCTCAGAAATTTATTGGTCCTTGTGAGACAACGATTCCATCTAACCAACGTTCAAATTCTCTGCTACCGGGACATACAAGCACGAAGACACGAGGCCCGCAGCATGGCTCTTCCTCTTGCTATGGATCCCGTGGAAAGCATAGAAACGACTGAAATGCCGAAAGCCACTGGTTGGGAACGCAATGCAGCTGGGAAATTAATGGCGAGATCCGTGAGCCTGGCAGAATCTATGGACCCGACTCGATTAGCAGACCAATCGGTTGACCTCAACCTAAAACTGATGAAATGGCGGGTTTCACCAGATCTCAATCTCGAGATCATCAAAAATACCAAATGCCTTCTTCTCGGTGCTGGTACGCTTGGTAGCCACGTATCAAGAAATCTTATGGCATGGGGTGTGCGCAAGATCACATTTGTTGACTATGGCGCAGTAGCCTTCTCCAACCCTGTGAGACAGCCGTTATTCACCTATAATGACTGCTTGAAGGGAGGAGCTCCGAAGGCGACCCGAGCAGCAGAGGTGCTAAAAGAGATTTATCCCGGCGTTGATAGCGAGGGTCATGTTCTTTCAGTTCCCATGCTTGGCCATCCTATAGTAGGGAAGACCCAGGGAGACTTTGAGCAGCTGAAATCCCTCATAGATGAACATGACGTGATATTCCTTTTACTGGATAGTAGGGAGTCGAGATGGCTCCCTACCGTGATGGGCAAGGCCGCCGGAAAGATTGTCATGAACGCGGCTCTTGGCTTCGATTCCTACGTAGTCATGAGACACGGTGCTGAACCCAAGGATGATAATGAGGAAACATTAGGCTGTTACTTCTGCAACGATGTTGTGACACCTGGAGACGTGAGTTACCTATTTGGGGTCGCCTTTCCCAGCTAACTTTCGAATAGTCACAAAAAGACTTGACTCTTGACCAGCAGTGCACGGTGACACGGCCCGGCATCGCTGGCATCGCGTCAGCTCTCGTTGTTGAGCTTCTGACAAGCCTCCTGCAGCACCCCCTAGGTCACCATGCCCCAGCACCCGCAGCCAGCTCTTCATCAGGCATATATGACAGTAATCCCGGTGACGAATATGCTCTCGGCATAGTACCACATCAACTCCGTGGGTTCCTGCACAACTTCCAAACTCTCAAAATCAAAGGCCATTCGTACCCGTGCTGCAGTGCATGCAGCAAGCCAATTATTTCCGCTTACAGGACACAAGGGTGGAATTTTGTCAAGCGTGCACTTGAGGACAAGGAATATATAGCCGAGCTCAGCGGTCTAGCTGAGGTTCAGAGGAAGGCCGAGGCAATGGCAGATGAGGTAGACTGGGAGGAGGAGGAGGAGGGCGAAAAGGAGGGTGATGACGAAGGAGTACTCGTATAGGACCTTCTCCTTCGCGTACACCACGATCGCTGCACACGCCTAAAGAAGACACGAGCCGACGGTTTCAAATTTTGGAAGTGGCCTCGATGGTCTAAGATCAGGTGGAATGGTAGCCTTCCATCGAGTAACTCTCAGGAATATTCAATTTGCGCGACACCTTACAGGATATCATACGGGTCGATCACCCCTTCATCTGAGGAAGTCGAGATATTCGGTCCGAGGTTAGTGCGGCTGCATAATACCTCAGATGGCACAGCAGATACCATTGTGTCCATTGGGGAGATTCTCAAGGAGGGCCCACCTTTAGTGTGATAGTGAATAGTCTTGGTGTGTTACGTTTTGCATTAAAGGGGACAACTTGTATAATTGAAGTCTCACCGAGCTCTAGGACGGGATAGGTATGATTTGAAACGCTGGAGTTAGGAATTGGAAGACCTCGAGGAAATTCGGTCTAGGTTTGGGAACACTCGAATGAGTTTGGAGTTTTCTGCAGGTTTACAATGCCGCTAGAAGAACGGCCGCTAACATGATACTGCACTCATAGACAGTCACCATGCAAATACTAGGGGAATTCTCAGTCATGAGGCTAAGATGGGACTAGCGATATAAAAATAATTGCTCAGGTGTGATACTGGGATTGGCTGGCGGGAATCGACTAACTATCCGGAGTCAGGTCATCCCTGGTAATGTATTATGTGGCCGCATAGTAAACCTGTAGAAGACGATTGAAGCCAATAGGACCGAGAAAGTTAACCTCATTATGACAACGGTTCAGACTTGGTATACAGTAGATGGCTCAGTTAGCATATTAACTGACTTCCCCTATGAAGCTCGGCTGGGGTCTCCCTAGTAGACTCGTTTTTAGAAGTGGCGTATTTACCCAGGCTGCTTTTGTATACCTAAATCAACGAGACTCATCACTAGAATGATGATCAAGTGAATGACCTTTCTATAATCAGGTCACTCTACAACCCCGGACGAAGCCGACTTTCTGACACTTGTCATTGAACGTGGACCTACTTTGGCTAGACTTGTCTATAATTCCTAGTGGCACTTTCTGAATGGAAGTTGTTAATTGCTCGAGTCATTGAAACTCCACATGAGGGCAGCCGGCATAAGATAGTAGAAAGATCTGACAGCTTAGAAAGAAAGATTGCAGGCATAAGGCCAACAACTACCGGAAAACTACCACCGATGTCTCTCTGCCACGCCCGTCCCGTGGAATGATGCGCTATGGTTTCATGATTATAGTTACAAACTTCCGTTGCGCTCTAAAGGCTTTAGTCCAGCACGCTCAGCCCACCAGGCCGTGAAATCGTGGGATTCTGATACACTTCGCGAGTCGTAAGGCTTCGATTTTATTTTCTAAATGTCACACTTGGGATCGACACTGACGTGGCAAGCAATGTCTGTTCTTATTGCTTGAGTTAGATGATGGTCTCCAGTATAACTAGAATGGTATAAAGTAGCCCACGTTCTCGGCCCTTCGCGACAGAGAACATCATCCACACTTCATCAGATCTGACCCTATCCTTTCTCTTATCCACTAGTTATATTCAATGTTAACTTCAAAACTTATATTTCATTGACGACATATTAGACACTCTCATGATCCCTTAACTAGAACCCCGGAGTTCATACCCTCTCTCACCAAAATTTAATAGGTACCTAATTACCTAACCAACTAGCAATATGGCTCGACTACAGGAACTTGAGCGCGCTGCGTGTGACGTTATCAAAAACGTGAAACAGATACAAGATCTCAAGAATGCGAGACTCTCGGTCATCGGAGGGTTAGCATTAATGCATTACCTCCCTGAATACCGCTCTACAGATGTAAGACAACCTAATACTAAATATATAAGACCCATGGGCTAATGGCGTTTCTAAAGAACATCAATTTTATTACGAATATATCGACCTCTCCAAGTTGGCTGAAAAAACGGTTGGTAGAGCGGCCGGAGTCGCCCTTCTTCCAACGTTCACAGGCACTCTTCTATAAAACACCTCGTGGTCAGGAAATTCGAGTTGATATAAGCCCGGAATGGCTTGTAAGTTCCGAATCTTGAGTAGAATGTTCAGTTAGCTAATCGCGACAGTCCCCTTACCTTCCAGACTCAGCTGTAAGAGTACAAGACATATTACCCAACGAAATCCCGTATATCTCCCTTACCGACCTCATCGTATTCAAGTTGGATTCAAGCGGGCTGCGATCTAACCCCGTGAAGAAAGAGCGCGATGCACAGGATGCCGCGGCTTTGGTCGCATTTGCCACGCACAAAAGCTTCCTACAGCTTTCCAAGAAACAGGAGCAGGTCGTAGAAGAAGCGCTCTGCGACGTGGCGAAATGCGGTACTAAGGAAAAGGACTGGTGGGAGAGACGTATGGGCCTAACAAAGAACGCCGCCGATGGATCTTCTTTCGACAGCGGAGGTCGTAAGCGCAAGAAGAACCGGCCTCATTCTAAATCGGACCCTTCGCTATCCAAGAGTCCACTCACAAGCGATCCCCACGCGGCTTGGCACTACGAGCGGCTGGATCACGCACACATCCGGCGGTTCAACTCGCTGCACAGTAGCCAGAGCGCAAACAGACCGGGAACCCCCCGCCCCTCTTCGCAGCGTATAATCAGGGACAACATGGGTTTCACCATGACCCAGCCGAAGACGACGCACGCGAGCTATCAACTCGGCGCGAGGCGGCCCGGCCTGAGCAACGAGACCAGCGCCGACTCGAACCACTACGACGAGCAATACTACACCCTCGAGCCGGGTGAGAGCTTGTCGGGGCAGGCTTCGCCGGCAGGGTATTTCGACGTTACCCGTACGCCGGCAGGCGCCCATGGAACGGTGACGGAGCATACCGTGGGGGTCCGGCGAAGTTCCAAGTCGGGATACTTCGATCTTACCCCTGGAGCTACGCCCAGCGCCGCGCCGCAGCCTAGGAGGCCCCCGGGGTTGGACAAGAGGAGTGTTACGTTCCTCCTATAGATGGATACAAAGACCTTGCGACATGTTTCGTCGTGGAGATTGTCGCGAACTATGTATTATTTTGTAAGTTTTCATGATGCAACGCCCAGCTTGTCTGTTTTTGGTGTAAAAATCTTTTTTTGGGTTACTCGTTCCAGACATCGTTTATGTCCCTTGTGTGAGTGATGGCAGGGTCCAGCTCTTGTATTAGATACTACGTGTTGTAGAGGCAATGGTTTTGATGGCTGTTTAGGATATCAGGATAAAGGTAAAATAAAGTTGGAAAAAAATAAAAGTCGTGATGTTCTCATGTGAATGATGTATTGTTGTAGGTACTAGGTATACAGTGCAGCTTGCTTGAATGCAGTAAAGCACCTAAGTGATGCAGAAAGTTAGGCGAGGGGGATAGGGGCTCGAGCACTTGGCAGGTGACTCGTAATAATGAGCTTTAGTGCCCTTGTGGCTTGTGGCGCGGGGAATGAGGATCATCTGTTAGTGGAATCCTGTGACACTTAGAGTACCTACCTAACCTTAGGTACCTAACTTAAACCTTTTTTTAGATACATGTAGCCTTTTCAACATCTGAATAGTTGCAACAATTACCTATCCTGCTCTACAAAAATTACTTGCAAAAATACCTATCCTTAGCTTGAAAAAAAGGAGTCGGTGATCAAGGGGAAAGCAGACAGGAATTCTGGTTGCAGGGATTCCCCTTTTTGGAGAAGGTCGGCATCGTGTCTGGGTGTCATATCGGCCATCACGTGGATCAGTAAGACATTGGCCTCGAACCGCTTTCGGGGCCTTCGATGTTTATTTTGCAAAAATACTCCATCTGCCAACTTATACCCTTACCGAGGTTCTTGCCGGTCTTACGAATCGAATGAATGGGGTTGCAGTGCCCAACTTCCATGTCTCCTCCGTTCCTCTATTCCCACTATGAGATTTCCGTCCTTACGCCCCAGGCGCCAGGAGTCTGTTCATGACTACGCCGGTGTCTTAGTCCCCCTCGAGGAGGCGCACTTGCATAGCCATTCCGCCAGATGCGGGAGAAGCGAGTTCGAGGAGATTAGGACTAGTTCCGACGGACCCGTTGCCGACGAGCTCGAGGTAGGGCTGCCGAAAGACGACGACAACGAGAATACGGGCATGCTGCAGATGAGCGCTGCCGAGTATACTATCGATGGCCTGAGAAGGGAGGTGCGCGAGGGCCAGAGACGACGCCAATGGTCCGAGTACGAACGTGAGCTCCTGTTTCTCTGACGGATCCGAGGGGGCCGGTATAAGTGGGGAAAATATGCTAATGAACCGGCGCAGTGAAATCCAAACTTATTAATAAAGCCATTCAAGATATCGGTATGGGCCGGTACAACTGGCAGCTTTTTGTTTTATGCGGTTTTGGGTGGTTTGCAGATAAGTGAGTGCTCTTATGTATATGAAACCCTCGAGTGTTTTTACTAACTAAATTCACAGTTTATGGATGCAAGTAAGTAGTAGTCTATCTACCTTCAGGTGCTTCTAATATATCCTCCCGATACACTATCTTACATCTATATAAGGGTGTCTCATTGACTCTTCCCTCTCTATCTGAAGAGTTTGGCGTCTCGGAAAAACAGGTCAGGTATACGACCAGTTCTCTCTTCGTAGGTCTTTGCCTAGGGAGTTTCTTCTGGGGGCTCGGATCCGACATAATGGGTAGGCGTATTGCCTTCAATTTCACTTTACTAATCACAAGCATTTTCGGCATTTGGACGGCGTACGTTTCGAGTTGGGTATCTGTTTGTATTCTGTTCGCGTGTCTGGGTACTGGAGTTGGGGGAAACTTGCCAGTCGATGGAGCACTTTTTCTAGAGATTCTTCCAGACTCCTCAAGCGCCTTATTGACTCTCCTATCCGTATGGTGGCCTGTAGGACAGCTTGTTTCGTCAGTTTTCGCCTGGTACTTCATCACAAACTGGCCCGCCGCAGAGGGGTGGCGCCATTTCGTTATGACGATTGGCATTATCACATTCATCATGTTCCTTATTCGATTTGGCATGTTCCATCTATTTGAGTCGCCCAAATACCTTCTGTCTCAAGGACGCCAAGCTGAAGCTGTTGCTGTTGTACATGGTATTGCTTACCGGAACAACAAGAAAACTTGGCTCACCGAGGAGATCCTTGACGCTGTTGCCGATACGGAGGGGACTGAACGAATACCAACCAGGGTCTCGGCTACGAATATTATCAAACAAAACCTCATGTCCTTTTCTGTCGACCACATACGGCCCCTTTTCCAGACTCGCAAGCTTGGCACGGCAACTCTCCTGATTTGGTTCTGTTGGAGTACCATCGGCCTTGGTTACCCGCTGTTTAACGCGTTCCTCCCGCAATACCTCTCACATGGCGGCTTAGACGTACCGGTTGGCGACGAAGCTATGACAATAAACAGTGCCACTCCGGCAGAAACATATCGCAACTATGCCATAATATCGGTTGTAGGGGTGCCGGGTAGCCTGCTTGCCGCGTATACCGTTGACCACAAGTCGCCATTCCTCGGGCGTAGGGGGACGCTCGCTATCTCCACGCTGGTGTCTGCTATCTTCTTATTTTTCTTCGTCACCTTCGGTACGACACCCAACTCGCAGCTCTTCTTCACCTGCATCGAAGCCTTCTGCCAGAATATCATGTACGGTGTGCTTTACGCTTTCACCCCCGAGATTTTTCCCGCGCCCGTTAGAGGAGCCGGGACAGGTGTGGCTAGCTTCTTGAATCGCGTCACGGGGCTCATTGCACCAATTCTTGCTGCCAACATGCCTGGGGACGGTACTAAAACCCCTATCTATATGTCAGCAATCTTGATCTTGGCTGCTTTCGTAGGGATGGTATTGATTCCTATCGAGACCAGAGGCAGGCAAAGACTCTAAAGGCATATTCATCATCAGAAGCATTACTCTGTAGTAGTGATATGTATACTAGAATGAATGACTGGACATGTGTAAGGGCTAATTTAATCACTACGTCGCCCAGGCTAGGATCAATAGCATAATATCAATAAAAACGATCATAGTTAAATCAATTTAATAAATTCAACACTAAAAATTGCTAGCAATGCAAAAGTCTTAACTGTTCATCTATTTCCCTTGGCCCCCGCAGGCGCATCTACCCGTCGCTTTTGGAACGACCGTCCTAACGCATCCTTCACCATGGGATCCGCGCGGATTGTGTTCTGTACGAGCCATTCCTTTAACTTCGACCGCATGCTACCGATTACCTCGGGATCGCCAGCAAAGGGGGCCATCTCCAGTTCCATGAGTCGTGCCGCGTCGACATCCATACTCCGAGCCGTCTGCTCGAGTTTATCTAGGCTTTGCTGCAATGCCTTCTCCGACGCCTCGCCGGGCTTCATTCCCCTCTGACTCGGCGGCTGTAGCAGCGGGCCTATTTGCGAGAAGGCAATGTATAGCGTAATACTTAGCTTGCGAGCGAGGGTGATGGCTTGGAAGGGTAGGTAAGGGGGATGGTCAGTGAAGCGGGTTAGAAGCGGGTTGATAATACCGCTTAGGAAGGGTGGAAAGGAGGGGCGTGTGATGGTGTGTAGCTCAAAGACGCACAGCGTGACTAGGGTCAGCCAGCGCCAGTATCGCCCCCATTCTAGGTAACCTATCAGCCCTAACACGTACATAGCGACGGCGGCAAAGCCATAGTAGGGGATCAGAACCTGAACCCCGCGGACAACGTAGTCGCGTATGGTGACGCAGTGTTTCCAGGCGACAATATCCGGGCCAAAGCGCTCATAGGCGAAGCGCCGCGCGGGGTCAACAAGGGTGTCCGAAGCCGTTTTGAGGTGCATAAAGAAATCGGCACTGTCGGCGGCATCACCCCCACCAGCGCCGCTCATGACTTTGTCCGGGTGGTGCAATGCGGCGAGACGGCGGAAGCGGCTCTTGATGTCGCGCTCGGAGGCGGAGAGCTGAACGCCCAAGTCGGCATAGTAGTCAGAGGCACGGCGCAGCTCGTAGTCGGCTTCGTAGATGGTGTAGAGCAGATACAGGGACACGACTAGGATGTGGATGCGACGGCGGTGCTCGGCGTATCGGGGCGAGTTCGGAGCGGGTTTGCGGTCGCCGGCGCGGATGGTGAGGCCGTAGTAGATAGACTGTACCCAGCCGGTGACGAGCTGCGGGCGGTGGGTGTGGTGTTAGTGATGGTTTCGGGATTGCTTCTTTATTAATTATAGGACCAATAGAAGAATGGAACATACGTTGGGGAGGAATGTCCATCCTAATAGGGAGAGGAGATTGTTGCCAGCCATGGCGGTAGTCGCGTTAGGTATTATTGTGTGTAGAGTAGGTTGGTTAGATCATGGCTTAAGGCTGGCTGGCTGTATGTTGAAGACTTGAACGAATCATGTAGCGACGAAGTTCAAAGACGCGTAGGTACGGATTACAATTACAACGTGGTCGCTAAGATAGGTGGTAGGTACGTTATTACGTAGGGTACCCCATATTACCTAATGCTAGCATTTTTAGGGCCGTTCATTCACTATATTATGTCATGGTAGTGGTAGTACACACTTAAGGTAGGACGCAATGCAGTGATCTGCGCTATATTAAATCAGAAATCAAATACATTTACAGCAGACCTTTTTTTCAACCTCCAAGTACGAAGTATCCTTATTTAATATAAACTCATTCTATCATCAATTCAAGAGTTAAATAATGAGTGATAACTGACTAATACCTTACCAGTTATGGCTGTTAGTTATATTAGGGAGTAACGTACATATATGCATATAACTGTCTTATCATACGCAAGTATCGTATAATCTTATGTCGACAGTTTCAGCTGATGATACCTTGGGCTTCAACCCTCTCACAAGAGCCATTTATGATATCATCATCCCTTAACGACCTCAAGATAATCCACCCTCCCCCTTCCAAGTTGGCTCCGTGCCTCAGAAGGTTGGTCGAGTAACCATCGACTCACGCACGCCCTACCCAATGCAAGCCAATAGAGAGTGCATCGTGTCATAATCATATCGTTCATATTACTAACTCGTCCAACGTCCATGTAATATAACGTGGCGTAGAGGAAGCGGTGAAGCCTGCTTGAGTAGGTAGTTGGGTCGCTATTCTCGTTATTCTCCCTTGCTGCTGCTGCCGCCGCCGCCGCCGCCGCTTGGCCCGCCTGACTGGCGTCTCTGATCCCGTTCGTGTTGCTATATCAAGTAAGCTACCTAGATTCGTTCCAAACTACCCGAGGGAAGAAAAAGACGCACGGCATTACGTCTAGCTTCTTTTATGGAAGACCGTGTGTAACTAGCGAAGATCTAGTCAGCACGTACGCCAACAGCATCATCAAGTGACTGGGCGAATTTCATACGCAAATAAGACACATGCCATGGTGAATGCCGCTGCAGGTGCCATGATGGTCTAGATAAATCCAGGTTAGATTGGCGCATTTTCCTATGGCAGATACAATGATACGATACAGTGACATACCCGTGGCGTAAGATTTCCTCTAGATGCCATATCTGCCGTCCCGTTAGGGTTCGTTTATTACTATCGTGTGGATCAGATGCTCTCTCAAATGAAATGCAGGTGCCAAATGCAGTTGGTGATACGCAGCGTTGAGAGAGCTGAATCTCGGTTATTAAGAAAAAAGATGGCAAAGTTGGTCATTTGCCAGGTGCCGATCGGTGCGAACCATGGATCGATCATACGATAATGGATGGATTAAGAACTGTTCACGCTTAAGTTTAATACATATGTACACGCATGCATACATCGCAATTATGTCAAAACAACAACAATTATATCGTGACTTCTACACTTATATGAGGGGTTTTTTTTTTTCCTTTTTCTTTTTTCTTCCTTTTATTTTCTATACAAAAAAAAAGGAGCTTGTTAGTGCGGCTACCAACAATTTTACCAAATCAACCTATCACCCAGTTTATAAAGAAGACCGCCTTCTAATTAATAACAAGGATACCGGCAAGAGGGAAATAAAATGGCATTGGCCGATACGAAGGAAGACGTGCTCATCATTAAAGTTAAAAGAATAGAAAAATAATTTATTAGATGACGAATAACCAGAAAACGTGAGGGCATTCTGTTCACCCCTACCCCTCTATAAGGTTCTAGGCTATCTTAACGGATCTTGAAAATACTCGATATTATCGTGAGCCTCATCTTGGGTATACGAGTGTTACATGCAGCCCAATTACTTTAACCAATCGTAGTTATACCAAAGTCCCTTTCTTACGGCGGTAATGAATTTATATAAAAACATTCCGAGTGGGCTAGAAAGGCGAAACAGTGTCCATTGCGAGTTAAAACCAATACACCCTTAGGAATCTACTCATAAACCCAAGTTTCAATACACATATACCTCATGTAGGAGCTATTTCCGCGGCTTCCTCTACGGTTACCTGCAAGCCCCTCCATCGGAGTTTTCTTCCAGGCCAATGACCCGAAATCGCTCCGATACCATGTTCCATGCTCCATGCCTGTTGGGTAGAACGTAGGGGTCCTGCGCATATCACGACGACGGACATGATATTATCAGGGTATTCAGGGTCAACGTGGTATTCAATGCAGCAGCACACGCGTCCGTACTACATTACACAGCTTGCAACTCTGCATGTGGTATTTGAAGGACGGGGCTCTGAGTCTCTGACTGTGTGCGGCCTTTTACAAGCCTATATGGCCAAATCATCGGCTGTGACCTTGTCAATAGCGGCTCCCTTCATGTATAAGTGTTGTCACTGTGATACTTCTTAGCCTTCATTATCTCCCGATTGGCATAAGACTTATCTGTCAATGGCCTTGGCTCCGGTAGATAGTCTAGTCGTTAGCCCACCAAACAGGAGGTCAATCTATATTATTAGGCGTGTTTATTCATATTATCAACGGCTAGGACCCGGGGGGCTGGGTATGGTATTTGACAAGTCCAAGAAAAATCGGCGAATTAAGTGTTAGTATGTACGCTCGATCTGGTAAAAGATTCGTTCCAGAAGCATACTTTCGTTAGGTATGAACAGGATGTAACAGAAAAAAGGCTGCCAATGGTCTAGTATGACTCTCATTTAACCCCTAAATGGAACCTAAGAGGCAGTACCAAGACTGTTGATCCAGGTGTGTTATAGAATCGGGTACTATACCAAGGTTTGATTCACGGGGCCCTTCCTGTAGGCAGTATACACATATAACCTAGCGTTTCTCAATTCTCAGCTGAGATCTCTCAATTGTCCATCGACTAATGTGGTGAGATCTTCAGTCAAAGCGGCGATGTGAGCCTAAATATTTAAAGCTGAGTATTCCGTGTATCCACACTGAGACTTCCTTCGTTGTGACTTGGTCGCATACTCAATTTCATTAGGCCGTGGATGAAGTCTTCTCTACCTCGTATCACGCACGCCAAATCTCGCCTAAGACGCCAGCAGCACGGGATTACGGGAGAATTTAATTTCCCACTATGCTGAATAGGCGTCTTTGGTAACACTCGGCGATAATCATCCAATCTAGACGGCATAGTTCGCAAAATTATATGGTCATTAGGTCGAAATGCTATACGCTCTGCAGCCACGTTGTAGCAAGGCTCTGACCGACTTGTAGACGTGCCTTAATAGAGTACCTAAGGCAAGACGGACAATAAAGCGGCAATCGGTATACTACGTAGACTACCTAGTTAGTCTAGACTCAGTGATAGGGGCAATTATCCCTTCTGTTAAACACTCCGTATCACGACGTCGGTTTCTCGGCCATCCGAGCCCTCTAGAGTAGGCCACTTATGTGAAATGTAATTCGTAGTAGCATATGGTAGTATTGAGTTAGCTAGGAAGGAAACATATCTACATAGGTAGATACCAAGTAGCTAGGACGTAAACGAAGATGGCGTCTTAGTAGAGTAGACTTCCTAGGCGTTATAGTCACAGGTGCTACTCCTGGCTAGCTTTTTAGTCTATTTGGGCAACCCGACGCAAGCAATGTAGGAAAGTAATACTGCTTCATTATCAGCCGCAGCCACGTTAAGTGCTATCAATTTTACCAACCAATACGCATATGGCCGTCCCACAGTCGCTGCGGGTTTCGTTAAATAGGGAATAGATTTAAATGGCTATTAAATAGCTGGGCTTTTTACCTAGATTGTTATTATCTAGGGAAGCGCTATGTATTCGCTTGTCTCGTAACGACACTAGAAAGATACATAGTGTAACTTTTCCGTTTTCCGCGTATCATTAAGTAGCAAGAGGGGGAATCAATGCCGGCCGGGGGGAGCTTTATCCTCCTCTCCCGACTCGGAAGTAGGGCCTTAGCGGATATTTTTCGGTACCTCTAGGTATTTCCCGGACCAGGAGTCGGCTGTTATGCTAAACTCGCTGATTTTCATGCCGTGAACCACGCCCGGCTTACTAGCATGCAGAGTTACTCTTACTGACGTCGAGGTGGCATCTACGAAGTATCACGAGACTATGATAGCATATTCTTACGTGATTGGGACTGGAGGGGAATCTATGTACTGTCGAGCTTGTTAGTAGTCAGTTAGTAGCTAACGTATTGTTACCTGACCTAACCAAAAATAATATAAGGCTTACTGGCAAATAAGATTATGAAGCAAGGGAAATTTGAACGCTTGTACTGATCGGGTTTTAGGCCAGTCGAGCATCCTGTTCGAAGAACGCATGTCCTCATAAGTCTAGAGTGGTGTGATAAATGAGAAGAAGCAGGCTACGTCTTGGCCTATGGGGTCCGAAAAGGAGGATACACTCTTATGCATCAATATTGCACATTTGGTCTCGGTTGAAAGTGGCCTCAAGAGTAGATGAGTGTATGAGAAACCCAATACAACAGGTGCACGACATAGTCTCTGAATCAATGATGCATCTGAACAGTTGGGGGTTGGGGAAAGAAACGAAGGAAATGGTGTATGGTGTAACAAAGAGAAGAGCCGCAAGGTAGGAAAATAGGTATATTGGAAATCCATGGGTTGGGTACCCCGAAAAGTTTCGTCCGGAAACTTGGAGCTTAGGGAATTGAGGCTCTGCGTACCTAGGTTAGGTACTTAGGTACTTAGGTACATATAGGGAAGGAAGGTAAGGTCCCCAGCTGCCAGGTAGGTACCTGGTATGTATGTACTAGGGCCAGGACCCGGTTACACAGCATTTCTACCTAGGTACCTACATGTAAGGTATGTAGTACATGTACCTAGCCTGATGATGTACCTACATAAATACCTACCTACCTAATAGGCACCTGTATAATCAGTGTTCTACCACCATGAAGCGATCAGAGCCTCACATATTAAACCCCAATATCCACCAAACATACTCTTTGCTCATCATGGCTGAGACGACTCGCTTATACGTCGGGTCTCTCCTTGTAGTACATAGGTGTAACAATGCCAAACAAGGCTTGGTTATATACATACCTAACCATGTCAATTCCTACACCGGCGTACTTAAAGCAGGTAAGTAGGCAGGTAGGCAGGTAGGCCGTGCCAAAAAGATGAGGCTCTTCAAACCGGAAACACATTAAAGTATGGAACTCCCCGGGGGTCATACTATTAAGTGCCAGGGCTGGCCTTAACTTCCCGCCCTCCCAAAACACAGCATGTGCAACCAGCTCTCATCGATCCCGTTCAAATCTGGTTTAGCTAGCGATTCTCTCTGTAAAATCGATTTCTCAGTTTGTTCAAGACAGATGCGGACACCAAGGAGCTTATTAACAACGACGACGACGACGACGACGCGAACAGTATCAAACTTACAGCGATTACCTTATGAAATAATGTCTTACATCGTGAACTATCTGGATATAGATGAGATATTCGATTTATCCTTATCATGTCGTCACTTCCAATACTTGGTAAGAGAGGAGAGATTTTGTAAAGCTATTATTACTGTGAGTAGTCATACCTAGCATGGCCAGTTCGTGGCATGGCAAGCCAAGCCACGCAATGAATTGCTGACCATTACGCAAAGGCCCAAGCCTCCCACACAGCCGAAGCCCAAGAGGCACAGCGAAGTGGCCAATTCTCGCGTGCCCTGAGGCGAGTTGCAAAAAGACGCCAGGCACTTTCACGGGCGTCCCCATACCTGGTAGGTATCATCGCTTTTGCCGACTCTTATGAATATATCCATGGGACACTTTGTTATATCGTCGAGGCCCGGCCTAAGCGCTGGCTACGGATCCTCGACCTTCACCGCTCAGCAAGCCATGAGCTCGTCATAGATATTCCGACCCTGGTTCATGAAGCTGTGCCTAGATCTGCCAAAAGTCGTAAATACAAGTTCCGCGTCTTATATCATGCGAATGGCATCACTTCGTGCTTATTTTCATTCGCGCTGCCGCACACGGAGAACTGGCTTTTGATCTTCAAAGCCGATGAGCAGCTAATTGTAGCCACACTTCAGCTAGACTCGACGGCTAAAATATTCGTACGAAACAACAAAGATTATCTTTATTTTGGGACACATTCGGAAGAAGGGGCAGACGGGCATAGAAAATGGGTCCTCGTGGGCTACGACATCGAAAAGCGCTCTTGGTTTTCTCGGAAAATGCACTTAGCGGACGTAGTTGGCTACGACATTGGCTCTACGGTCTGCTTCGAAATTATAGACGACTATTTTTACGGACTTTCTAATCAGACTGATTTCGAGATCAGAGAAACGGATTGGAACTCCTATTATCATTGCTTTCGCTTTCCTCTCCATGAACCGGATCTTAAGAATAAGCAAACTATGAAGACGGAGGATAGTTGGAGGAGACAGCATGCTGAAGGCCCCATAGATGACAGATGGAGTTTTCTCAAATTGGAGAAAGACGAGGCTTCAGGTAATATAAACATAATCGAGTCACGAAAGGAGTGGCTCACGAACCAGAGCGGTAATCAACGGACCTATTACATTACAGGGGTAATTTTTGACCAAGATTCAGAGGTGGATAGCAACAGAGAGTCCCCAACCCCCGAGCGCAGCTTAACAATTGGACGATCAACTAGGCCCGTTGCATATCTGGACAAGCCATACGGCTCGGATTCACGTTTCCGATCTCCCGAAAATGTACATCCAGGGGATAGTAATTCTATGGCGCTCGTGTATACGCGAAGTCAGACCCACCTGCGTGCCTACCAGCGGTGTTGCAGTACGTATTTGGATTTGGTTGATGATATCTCCTCTAGCGGATCATCAGGCCCACGACGTTTACGCCTAAGGACCGGGTTCAGAAAATCGCAAACCTATTGGCCTTCCTGGGAGTACTTGGAATCTAGCTATGGATTGGAATCGAAGCCAGAATCTAACGAGGAACCGGTGTACCCCTACCAACCTAACAGGATTTATTTTTGGCCACCTAAACAAGACGAATCAAACGGGAACCCATTTATAGACGATATTTATAAGATACTGAACCCTCCCGACTATCAAGGTGGTGTTAATCCCTTCAGTGATGAGCGTTCAGTAGTATACGCAATAGGGGAGGATACGAACGGACTGAAAGCTTTGGTTTATCTTAGCTTCGATCCAGCAGCTAGGCTAGCTGGCATGCTTCGCGAAAAATACGTACTTGGCGAGCAAGATATGCCGAGCTTACCAAGTAACGAGGCGGAAGAGAGCTATTGCAACTTTGAAGCGGGAACGAGTCGACTTACGCAACGTTCCTTGAGCAAAGACATGCTCATTGGCGACCTTTCCCACCGTCCTTTACCCTCATACATCTCAGATGCTCCGCCCATGCATACCATGATAATGCCACCTTCTGAAGGCTGTAAGCCATGGGCATGGGCCGAGAAGCCTATGCATATGCATCAAAATTTTACAAGGAAAATCTTCACCTTTGCTCATTAAGACACGGTGCAAGCGAGGCCCGTTTTGCTTCTGTTACATATAATTGTTACCGTGGGTTGCATTTACGTACAGTTCTGCAGCTGGAACATGCAAAATAAGAGAGAAGTATATAGCGATAAAAGGGGGCTTATATATTTCGAGCCCCAGGAATATTAGTTTGCAGGCCAAAGTGCCACTCCGTAACCTAATTTATGCGTGTCAGCACCACTTTGAGATTACTGAGCGAACTATGTAACATCTCATTGAATATTATTTCCTCAAGCTTGGTGACTGACTTATAAGTTAAGTACTATTTTCTCTCCTTTCATGTCTCTGGATACCCCCGGGGGGGGCTATGCAGGCTTCGATTGGACTCAATCCTTGTTAACCCTGCATATCGTTTCGCCCTGCTATAGTGAGGAAAGCGGCTGGTAATACTACCGTATTCTTTCTTCACTTGTTCAGATATATCGGCCCCATTTGGGCTCCAATCCAATTCGTAATATAGCCCCTGAGAGGGTCAATAAATTTGGAATCTGTGCTTATCACATATAATCTAAGCCACCTGACATGAACTTGTGAGATATACATAACTAGTTAAGTCATTATCTCCGCTCCGGGAATGCCTATACGACTGCCCTCATATGGCCATAAGACGGTCTTGTCGACGTATGCCCACAAATCCTGCATGTAGGCTGGGCTGCTCGTTTAATGAAAGACCATCGTACCAACCTTTATGTAGCCAGCTCGTTATGCACTTGGAAGAGATAAGCGCAGACACCTGACTGATCGTCTCCACGCCTCGAATACTCCCCAGGTGACCACTCGCACTAGACAGTATAGGATATCATATCAAATTGGGCTATCCGAATCTCATCTTCCAGAACTAGGTCTCTACGAACCTATATGTTGACTAAGCCTTTATATCTTTCGATTCTCACTATCATGCTTTTATAAGTAGTCCTTGAAGCCTATCTATGGCCGTAATTTCAAATCAATATACCGTTTTTCAGAGCTCCAAGCATGGTACCATTCGGAAAATTTGATAGCCACATGTATTTTCCACTTCCCCCCCGAGGACCCGGCTTGCCAATATTTTCGGAACTGACCCCAACGCACAAGGCCGTCACGGGAGCGTACACGGACTGATACATATGTACCCGGATGGGAGGCCACATCCCTTCTGACGGAGGCGTGTTATTCGCATCCGGAAATATAATATGATGCATGCTACATTGCTCATCACTTTATGACGACACAAGGATACGATAGTAGTTTAACCCCTTTTCTCATCTTATCCTTTATGATTTCTGAGGAGAAACCTGATAACAAGTCATAATTAGAAGAGGCAGTGCAAATTCACTTCAGCATACAGATCGAATAGTTAACTTTTAAGGAAGGATACTGTGTATCATCGTAAAAGAACTTGGAATAAGACACCAACTACCATTACTATATTTGCTCATCGAATACCGAGACCATGGTCACAGCACCATACGGCTAAGGCATCTAGACCGTCCAAGAACATGAGGTAGACCCGGTAATCTCTAGTAATATTTCACGTGTCGTTGTAAAACTATGATAACATAGATATTAGGCACAAGTACGTCGTCAAGGCTAGATCTAAGGCACGCTCGGATAGATCTCGATACATGCAAGCTGTTAGATCTCGATTCGTAGGTGTCCCTGAATGGCTAACCAATGGAAGGTAGAACACCCTGCAAGATCCCTCGCTCCTTAGACTAACTCTATGGTGTAAGGACCTACCTGCAAGGACCCTCTCCATCCGATCCATTCACCAAGAGGACTGACCCCTGGCTGATGTAGGTAACCATTGACACACCCGGCCAAATAATCTAGATCCGTCGCGACGAGATCGCCATCGGCGGAACTTGGTCCTTCGACCACAAGTGGCAAATAAGCAGCCGCCGCGGACCCATACGTAAGGCATGTCCCCGTTAAGATCGCAAGGCGCATCGGGAGATGCACCAGATCCAAGATGCGCTCGAGAGGGGTCGTGCCTGGCAGCATATGCAAGGAATCTCCCACACGGATACTCTCTTCGAATGAAACTTCGAATGAAACATCCAACCACGCCGCCAGGCTGGAACGGGACGGGAGCTATCCTATCATAACTATGAAACAAGCCCACGTATGTATGAATCTCGAGGCTTGGGAGCATAGGATACCTGCTTTCCTATGCGGCCTGGCGAGGTGTATATATACGTAAGGCATAGACCTAGACCACGGGCACCTGAGGCTCGGTAGACCCTGGCTAATGTTGCCTAGCAATGGCCACTGGCATAAGTAGGTAGCCGAGCAAATATATTTGCTAGATGCGATAGGCCGTGTCTTACACCGACGATATTCGACTGATCCACTATTCATTTGTTAAAAGTTGGTTGAAAGTTGAAGGTATTCATAAAAGGGTAAGTGACCATATAGTACCTATTTACTGCTAATATAGGTATAACCTATCTTATTAGTTTTCTTCCTGGGCCCTTTCTGACCTTGTGTGACTTGACAAGTCTAGAATATCTCTTGTCGTATTTAGTCGTGGTAACAACTACCTAACGCTTGTACGGAATAAACGACTAAGTAGATATATAGTCGTAATTCGACTAGTTAGACGTCTTTTAAGTATGGGCCACCCAATATCCTCAATGCTAGCAAGGAACAAGACAATATCACGTGGATGGATATATATGTATGACTACTTGCTTGTGGTAACTTTTGCGTATCACAGCTCAACTAAGCAACGAGGTAAGACGGTGAGTAACACAAAGTTCAGGGAGTATCCGCCGCAAAAGTGGGGTGACAACATTAACGTTCGACCCTAAGACTTTATGGCACCTTATGGTCTGAATGTTAAAGATGATTGGACGAGGATGATCAATTGAAGACTCTTAGAAAACTGTTGATTAGCTCTGATTAGCTCCCATTAGTCTAAGTTAGGTTTAGTTCGTGCAGCTCGCCACGCGGGTGTACCGCACTCAACAACAACTACTTTAGATGTACATACTCTGCTACTGGAAATACTGGGGTCACCACTGCTGTATGTATGTACATACTGCTGCAGGGAGTCAAGAAAAAAACAATCTTCACCGCAAATATGGGTACACGCAATCCCGTCTCCTTTCCCTATTCTACTCCTGTGCCACCTTGAGACGGTTGCTCAAGTACTTTCTTTCTTTTCTTTTTTTTTTCCTCCCCTCACTGTTTAATTTCGGAGGAGTGCATTGGAAAAAAAAAAAAACTATAGAAAAGGGAAAAGGAAAAGGAAAATAATAACAATGGCGCCCCCCTCGTCGTCTTCAACCACGACCAGCGCCCCCGAGGCACCTAGGCTGCAGAAGACAATCCGCCTCAACGGTAAAGGCGGGGAGAAAGTTCAAGATGGATCCCCGGACCTACAGCGAGACCCGATCGAGGTCAAATATCGTGACTTCTTTTGGACCTATACCGAAGAGCCCCATCGGACGAGACGTCTGGCCATTATCAAGGCGCATCCCGAAGTGACCAAGCTCTGCGGCCCCGAGCCCCTCACTATCTACGTCGTCCTCGGCGTCGTCGCCCTACAAGTCTTCTGTGCCTACGCCCTCCGAAATACTTCCTTCTTCTCGCTTCCCTACTGGCTTCTAGCCTACGTCGTCGGCGCCACCGCCAACCAGAACTTGTTCATGGCCATCCACGAGATTAGCCACAACTTGGCTTTCCGCTCGCCCACCGCCAACCGGCTCTTCGCTATCATAGCCAACCTACCTATCGGTATCCCCTACAGCGCCTCTTTCCGCCCTTACCACTTAACGCACCACAAGTCCCTAGGCGTCGACGGCTTAGACACCGATCTTCCCACCGCCCTCGAGGCCATCTTCCTCGACTCCATCCTCGGCAAGGCATTCTTCTGCACCTTCCAGATTTTCTTCTACGCCGTCCGCCCTATGTGCGTGTACAGTGTACCCTTCACCTGGGTCTCCGCCACCAACGTAGCCGTGCAGGTTGCCTTCGACGTCGTGATCCTCAAGACCCTCGGCATCAACTCCATGATGTACTTCCTGCTATCGTCCTTCCTGGCCGGTAGTCTGCACCCCTTGGCGGGCCACTTCATCGCCGAGCACTACGTCTACGAGACCGTAACCCCGTCCCAGAGGAACCCAGAGAACCGGGTCCCCGTCCCGGAGACGTACTCGTACTACGGCCCCCTCAACTTCCTCGTGTACAACGTCGGCTTCCACAACGAGCACCACGATTTCCCCGCCATTCCCTGGTCCAGACTTCCCGAGCTCAACCGTATTGCTAGCGACTTCTACACGGAGCTCCCGCACCACCGCAGCTGGACCTACGTTCTCTGGCGTTTCATCTTCGACGAGAGCGTCGGTATTCGGTGCAGAGTGAAGCGCAAGGAGGGTGGACGGCTCGTGGGCCAGAAGACTGATTGGAAGAAGAACGAGCTCGAGGCTTAGATGGTTGGACATGTGTACATGAGTTATGGATAATAGCAGTGGTATGATATACCCGCTTAATTTACCTGGCGGGAATCGTGTATATTTAATGCTTAGGCTGTATGTCTGGTGTATGGATTCGGCGTTGGGTTGATGCGGTCAGAACCGGGTTAGACTCTTCAATACGATGCTTAATTACCTTGAAACAATCTGACTCCTAGTCCCTTGAGGACTTTACTCCGTCACAGTGAAAGAGATAGCACGTAGCAATGTAATCTACCCAGGTACCTAGATAGTATTTGAATGAGGTAGCATCCGGCATAGGCAATGCTTAAGCCAAGGCCGGATCGCCATCAATAAAACGGGAAGATCTTAAAAACAATCTTATATACGGAAGCTCCGGGTGCATAAAGAGCTAGGCTAACCCTGAGCTTGAGTTATTACGACGATCGCCCAGGGATCGTAATCAATTTCAAGCGAATATATATCAGAATGCTCATACCTTGAACAGCCAACGGAAAACAAAGGGGAATACATGCTAAAGTACAATGTCTGCCACAACGAAGGCTAGCTTAGATCCTTCGTCTCACTTCCGGCCATTCCACATAAGAGGGGGCCTGGCCTTTCTCATCCACCTCCTATTACTTCTCTTCGCCTAGGTATAGTCTTCTTCGCGACTAATGCTTTCCCTCTAGTAAGAAACCGGTCTGCCAATGTCCCAACCGTAACGGGATTCCTCAACCTCTGCCCTAAAAGAATCTGCTAGAACACCACTGTCGCAACTTAAAAGAAGAGATACGCGAGCATGAAGCTCAGGAAACAAAGGATCGCCGCAAGCTTGATTGGCACACCTTCAGTACCGGCTGGTGCTGCCTGAGCTAACGCGGCAGGCTTGGAACTGGCCTTGTCCGTACCCGCCGTCTTACGCTGTCGTAAACCTTCCTGGTCTTGCTTAAGTTGTGCGATTACCTTTTCGGCTTGGATAAGTTGTTGCTTCAGTTCGTCGGGGCTTAGGTCGCTGTTCTGGGTGGTCGCAATCGCTGCCACACCTGCGGTTGCCGGGAGCTCCTCGGGCTTGATCTCGTTCTCAGTCTTGGCATCTGTTTGGCTAGTTGAATAGTCACCGGGAGAGGAGTAGGCAGGAGGGGCTACATCTGGCGTCGCCTGGGTCTCCAAGGGGAGTTAGCGTGGCAAAGGAGTATTGCGAGGATATCAATAAACTTACGCCGTTGGCTGCGGAAGGCTTGACGGGCGTCTCAAGGTGACTGGTGCCAGCAGGAGCACCTACAGGGGGCATGAAGATAACCCGAATCTTCTTCTCTTGTACGGATGATTTCTCAATACCGTCCCACTTTTACTTTAGTCAGCTAGGTATTCTGTATAGGGGATATTCGTAGTCAAGTGGCACTAACGATAGATGCTAGGTTGGCGAATTCCTTGTCTCCAGTGATCGGGACAGACTGGACTAAGAATTTGTCTCGGCATTTCGTGTCGGGAGGGGGCTCCTGCTTCATGGCCTGGAGAATGACTACGACTTGTTAGTAGAAGAATTATCTTATATCCAACTTGCTAATACGCACCTGAAACTTCCACCTCTTTGCCAGGCTCAACCCGGCCAGAGTTAGGCCTGACGCAGTACCTTGATTGAGAACATTATCAGTATTGTGGCGCTATGGTTTATATAATTCATGGTATTGGATATAGGGGGCATACTGCTTCGGTGCGGTAGTTTTCACCTGTAATTTGTTAGTCAGGTCTAGTCAGGTCTAGTCAGGGGTTGCGTGAAAGATTGTGAATAATGTGCCATACCTTGAATGCTACGGGGTGAGAATTTGGGTTTCTGATCCGTAAGACTTCCGAAACTTCCGCTGTGAATGGCCCTACAACAACCCGTGAGTATATGGATACATGATAGCAGTAATGCGATACCGAGTAAGGTTCATGACGCACGATGGAAGCCAAGCTCCTGAGGATCGATCTCAACAGACATGTTGCTAGTGAATATGTGTGGCGTATACACACTCGAAGAATAGTATTAGGTAGATATGGGATGAGTGTTGTGGAATGTTGCACTAGAAAGAAGATAAAAAAAAGGGCGCCCGAAATTCGTTGAAGTGCGATCGCAATCTGGACACTTTGGCACGTAAGCACCTATCGAAGAAGAAAAAGGATTATCAATAAAAAGATTTGGCTGCGACTCTAAAATTATCAAAAGTGAGTCAGTAGCGTGGGCTTTGGTAGAATTAGAAAAAGTAGTTAACTGTGTTCGGCGATCAGGGAGGAAACGTTGAAGATGGAAATCTGGCTGAGATGGGATAAAAAGCACGGACGGTAAGTGGTGTTGTCGTAGTTTGTCATGTTACGACATACCTAGCACTGGCTTGACTGGGTCCTGTCCGACTGTCTGGGAGCCCTGGTTTCTACGGCATCTACGTACCTAGGTACCTACCTATTTTACGTATTATGGTGCTGTACCTTAGGTAAAAAACACCACAAATTGGGCTTAGAACACTTGCTAATTTAGCTTAGGCTCGGCTCAGCCCTTAATTTTACATAATCTTCTGCATAACTTTACACTCTTCCCCATAGTTACCGTTTCTAAATTTACCGTAACAAATGGATGGTAGTTATTTATAAAATCACTTGGCATTTTATAGCAACTTCCTAGGAAGTTGATCACCATAATATATATATCTTTTATCTTTTATTAGAGGTATTTAACACTGCTGCTTAGTATTATCTACCTCTTTAAAACAGATCTCGAGAGGCCGACCCATGTTTTCGGCACCTAAGGCTGGACTAGCTAAAGCATACCTAACCTATGCTCAGATTTTCCATAATACCAGGTATGTAGTAATATCAGGCAAGAGTTAAACAACTTTAAGCCGTAAGCATCTCGGCAGTGATATACCCCTCTCAGAGCCAAAAGATATAAGCCTTCTCCTCTTAATAAGTGCCAAATTTGTTGCAGTCCGTAAGAGTGGAACAATGGAGGTACTTCATAGCAGGTTTCATGGGTTTATTGACAGAGCCTCCACTCAGTAGCGGCAGGTCAGATGACGGGGTCTCCTTTGCTGAATGAGAGGTGTTGCAGCCTTGCGTTATTGTGGTGGGTATAGTTGCATAAGGTTGTGTCTTGCAGGATCTCTAACTAGGCATATCTAGTGGTGCATGTCTTGGGCGGCGGCCTTCTGGTACGACAGGTCCATAGAGGATAATGTGATCAACGAAACCCTGCTCAGTATATTGCTTCCGGAAATATGTTTCGCTTTTGTGAGAATTGCTGCATCCAAGGCAATATAGGCCCCATTTAGCAACTTTGGAAGGGAGTTCAAAATAAGGGGCAGAGACAATAGCCATGAATCGACGTGGATTATTGCGTTCACAATCGCCTTTCTCACAGCCAGGCGTGGTCGTTTGGATGGATAGCACAGCTTCCCGGTCCCATAACGTTGGCTGATCTCGACACAGTCGCCCATTGTCTGCATATCGTCCCTCGACGCTTCGAATATGTGGCAGCTGTTCCAACTCCTTCTTCGAACAGCCGGTAATCATACGTGCATATTTTCCAATCATGGGTAAGAACTGTCGATTCTCGGTAAAGCAGATATAACAGACTCGTAAACAAGTGATAAGATAAATATATCCGCCGAAGTTTCCGCATGAGACACAATGTGGTTCACAGAGCGCTTTGTACAATGTTGCAAAGTCAAAGTGCTTAGCTCCCGTGCTGATGATATCGCGGATAATGTTAGGGCAGTGTTGATAGACCATTTGGTATTGAGGTACCGAGTCGACTACTAACATAAAGCGTCTATTAACTCGTCGCAAGGTTGTTACCGAAAGAACGTCAAGTCGGAGAACCACATCGGTAAGAGTTTCCAGAGGCAGAACGCTCAAGTATCCCAGGGATTCTGTTGGTTGGATGGTATGTTGGCTATTATTGGGAGAGCGATAGAAAAAACGATCAATATCGCTAAGAGTATGGGCTAGCATTGCTAGCCGTTGACAAGTCCATTTCTTAATAAGTTCGGGCGTAATGGATTTCGCGTCCATTATGGATTTTGCGTCCATAATGAAAATTGTTAGCCGAAATGACAGTCTATTCGCATAGAAGATGCTACCAGTCTGGACTGTTGAACTCGTAACGGTTTTAAATAGATAATTTACTGCCGATTATTACGAAGTATACCTATGCACTGTGTTAGGGTCAAAATGTTTGCATTTCGTTATGACATATCTACGCTAATACTAAATTATGCAAGATAAAGAATGAGGTAAGCACGAACCAACTGTCATGCCTGAAACACACAGTTAAGGTTCTTGTGATGAAAAGATACATAAGTTAGGTACTTTCGGTACCTTCATACATGTATGTTAGGTACCCACCCTCTTGTTCAAGACACTGCATCTGGTTTGAGGCAGCATCTAAAATGACGTGCCACTAAAGAAACCACAGTGAGCTAGAAGCGAAGTCATGCTTATTACATTCACAGCTTGTCTTTACAGCTTCTATTAACTTCCCAATCTTCCAGCTCCAGCAGAACACGAATTTACTAGAAACGACACATAAATAACCTGTCGCTACAACTTGTCCTCGCCCCATTTCTTTTCCCACCAAACAACTTACAACAACACATCTTCTTCACTTAAGCCCAATCTTAACCATATCCTAAAACAGCATCGCCCAAGATGTCACAATCCGTGCTCGAGCAACTCCTGGAGATGGGGTTTGACAGATCACGTGCCGAACTGGCAGTGAAGAAATCCGACGGGTGTGAGTATCTGCGTTTAATTACATACTACTGGTCAACATGGCTAACTGATGATGATCTGTCTTAGTGCCGGATGCCATGGACTGGTTGGAGAAGACTCAGGATACCCCATTGGATGAGCTTGTTGAGGAAGAAGCGTCTGGCGCCAACATTGCAAAGATAGACGAAGGTGCAGTCGCAATGTCACTCGTCTGCAACGAATGTGACAAGAAGTTCCGTAGTCAAGGAGAGGCTGAATTCCATGCCAACAAATCGTGAGAGCTGTCCTATCTCTTTGCGATTATACATTATAATTATTAAACTGACCTCACTTTCAGGGGTCATACCGATTTTGCTGAGTCTACTGAGCAGATTGCCCCCCTTAGCGAAGAGGAGAGGAAAAAGAGACTTGAAGAGCTCCGAGAGCGCGTTAAGGCTAAGAAAGCCGGCAAAGCTGCCGAAGAAAAGGAAGAACAGAAGCGCAATGATGTACGTCTAGCTCGAGAACTCGATCGGATCACGATTCCCTTACTAATAATCATTTAGAAAATCCGCCAAAAGGCTACCAGAGAATCACACGAGCTTAAGGAGGAGCTCCAGCGCAAGGAGCAGATCAAGGAAGCGGCCAAAAAGCGACAGGAGAAGCTTGATGACCTTGAGGCCAAGAAACGCATCAAGGCTAAGATCGAAGCTGACAAGGAAGAACGTCGCCGCAAGGCAGAGCAGGCAAAACTTGCAAGAGGGGAGTCAGTCCCAGTTGCAGCTCCAGCTCCAGCCCCAGCACCCGCTCCAGCATCTGCTCGTCCTGCCGTTACTCACAATGAAGCTCGACTGAGATTGCAAACTTCTAGTGGCAACGTCATGAAAACACTCCCGGCAGACACAACCCTTTTCGAAGTCAAGCAAATGCTAGAGTCGGAGAATGGACTTACCGTTACCAAGTTTGTCCAGAACTTCCCCAGAAAGGTCTTCGAAGGGAACCTTGACCTTGGTAAAACTTTGAAGGAGGCTGGTTTAGTTCCTAGTGCTGCTTTGATCGTACAATAAGCTACGAAGAAGGAGAAGGGGCTGCACGATTCTCATGAATAAATGAATAACTTGGCATACGGGCCTTGCTTCGGAGGATAATATTAGGGTACATCATGGAAAGAATAATGGGCATGCAGACATAAGCAATCAATGAAGATTGTCTGTATGTGAATACTACTAGAGATCACTGCATTTATTTCCCAAAACTCACATCCGAGGCCGTAGCTTTTTATCTCACTTCAGGTTGCGCAATGAACAATGAACAATGAACAATTCACAGTGTAGTAGACTTGTCAATTCGTCTCTCATGGCTTCATCTGCAAAGCCAATTGTCATATTAACCTATGACAGGGTAAAGGTCGCCCATGGCATCCTGATATTGCCTCCTTCACGCCACACCAATGGTGTATGGAACCCCAGAACCATGCAGTGAAAGTACAAAGGGAAGGTGAGTATTCGTGATCGCGGAACGTGTTTAATCGAAAAGACCGAAGCCCATGTCCTCGTCCGACTCTTCCTTCTCTGCATCGGGAATTAGTATAAGCCTGCTTTAAACCATGCTGCGCGCATGGGGAGGGATTAAACATACCCTCTTCCTTCTCCTCTTCCTTGGCCTCCTCGGCGGCAGCACCAGCGCCACCGGCGGCAGCAGCAGGGCCACCAGCAGCGGCGGCACCGCCGGAGCCAACGTTCGATAGCAGGTCCTTTACGTCCTTGCCCTCGAGAGCCTAGAATCGCATGCATCAGCAAATATGGTCATTTCCTCGCGTAATCGGTTATTCGTCGTACCTTGGCGAAGAGTTGTGTCCAGATGGGCTCGACATCAACGATCTTGGCAGACTTGATAAGGGTCTGTAGCTTGTCGGCCTGTATATCCATCATTAGTATTCTTATGAAAGAAGTTATATCTATTTTCCCCCAAACCCCACGCTCAAAAGAGCTGTAGGAGGGGTATGCGGCGGTTGCTCACAGTGATCTCAACACCGTCATCGGCGAGGATGAGCGCCGCGTACGACGAGGCAAGTTCGGCAGTCGACATTGTTATGGATGTGTCTGGGTGCGAATGTGGTGTTGGATGGGTAGAATTGTCGATCGGAAGCACACCTCGAAGATGTTGATATTGGATTTGCGCTCGTGAAATTATTAGCGGAAAGTCACATTCAATTCGCAATTCGCAATGCGAAATTTTTGGTGGGAGGAAGATAGGGTTAGCACGGAAGGAAAATAAAGATTCCGCTTTGAGGAACGGTCCGTTTTGATTGGCTGATTATCAGAACCAATCAGAGCTTAGATTATCTGCCCCGCAAGATCACCGGGAAACTTTACGCTTGCTAGGTATGTTCGTACCTATGAGGTAAGAGGTACACTCACTACCTCTTCGTAGGTTGAAGCTTGTGATGGGCACACGACCCCACCTGCCCATCTTAGCCTTAAAGCCCACCTTGGGCTTTTCTTCCCTCATCAATGTCTTTCTTTCCCAAGTAAACTATCCCCCATCGATCAAATACAGTAGTAATCGAGGTCTTACTACGTAGAAAACTCCAATCACAGGCGCCTAGAGACGTGGTTTTAGGGGAAACCCGCACCCAGGGCAGTTTCAGAAAGCTCTGACAAGTTCCTCAAGTCCCCCGCGTTGATAGAATCGTGTGAAGTAACGAAAGAACCATTGGCCATTGGACGTCGTATGCACCTCCCAGGATTACGCATGTGTTATGCTACTCTACCGTTCTACAGAACCTCAAATTGATGAAAGTCATCTATAAGTAATCAATAGGCGATCACCCAGGTTAGATATTAGTGGACAAAGAGGGGAGCAAGGCAGGAGGGGTTCATCCTATAATTTCTCCCTCTTTATTCCATCTACTTTGAAAAATCCACGGCTTACAGTCGAGAACTACTCTAAAAGTCAACGATATGGAAACTCCAATGATACCGGCTCCGAAGGACGAAGGTGAAAGGGAGGTCCTCGAAAAGCTAATTGCCATTCGCGATCAGTTGCAATTACGCAAACTCGACCGCACGACCTACGTTCGGACCCAAGATGTCATGATTTTATATGACCAGACCATTGAGCAGGTCAGAATCCTGAACGAAGTTAGACATGGGAAGTCGGCCGAAGAGAATAGAGGTACGACAGCATTATAAATTGAACAATCCTAGCGATCCGGTCAGCTACCTACCTATTGAGTCATCGTAACTAACTCGCACTCTACTTTATATAGTGGACAGAGTAGTAGACAGCTGTTTCCAATTACTATCACTCTTTTTCATGACTATCGGCCGAAACAATGAAGCCCCTGCCGCCTATGCCCTGACCTCGACTATCAAGCGACTCCTAGACCATCTAGGTGAATCCAACTTATTCTCTGCTCGGGATCTCGAGAGCATGTCTCAGACGCTTGTGCATCTATCGGAAATAGCACACAACTCCGCCAGCACGAAGCCTTCGCCTTTACTTGAGACCTTGATTGTGCAACGGATAGAGCGATGTCGCGCATTGTTAGCAAGCCTACAGAAAAAGATCGAGGATATTGCAGAGCCATTACGGCCGACCGCGGATAGACTCGTCTCTATAATGAGACAGATGGCTATAATCAATACCAAATCAAAGGTAAATACATACTATCCTGTCTGCGTCTGCCTTTTAGCACAACATTATCCTTGTTAATAATTCTGTTTAGTTCACACCATCGGAAATATATAAGCGAGAGGCGGAGCTGAAAGAGATTGGCGAGACACGAAAGGACGGGCAATTCCTCGACGCTGATGGTAATGTTTTAAAAGGTAGCGAACGCGTCTCGCTGTTGGTTGATCGATGTTTAGAGTATACGAAAATTGTCCTCGAAAGGTGTGTTGTTGTTGTCTAGCTACATTTACCCGGGTATATTCACTAACGCTATGTCCAGAAATGGTCAATTTCCTGACAAGTGGAAGCCAGTTTACGATGTACTCGTTGGCATTAGAAATGACCTTGATAAGCTGTCGTTGACTCAAGCGTGGTCACTACGAGAAACGGACTTGTACGACTACCAACGACAACTCGACAGGATCGACGAGAGCAGAGTAAATGGAAATTGGGTGGACGACCAAGGGCAACCAGCCGAACTTTATGTCCAACGGGTGCGTTTTCATTCTAGTAGCTATAAATCTAATTTTTGGCTAACGATATTTTAGACCCTTCTTTACTTAATTCGAAAGTGCTACGGTTATATCTATCATCTTATGATATCGTCAGAGCCGGTTTCTGAGGCTCTATTGCCGATTTACAACCAACTACAGACGTTAAAACGTTGTCTCGTCGAGGTAAAGAACAGCGGTGGTGTAACATCGGTGAGGGAGCTTTACCCTTATAGCATGAAGCTAAATTCGATCGACAATATGAAAATTGATGGCAAATTCATGGTCGGGGAAGATATTCCCGAAGGTCAAGGCAGTGTAGCTGAATTGCTGGCCGAATGCTTCGACCTGAACTACGAGCTCAGAGTGGCAGCGGAGGCAGCGACAGAAACTCCTCCATCAGAGCAGGAGTCATGAGGTGTTTAACATATTAAGAGTTTGCGACGCAATTATAGAGTGGTGGTTCATGTCATCTGGCTCGGCTGATTGGCGTATGGGAAATGTATTCTTTAGTCTTGTTTTGTAATTATTAACTTCTGGAGACGAGGCCAATGCCGCACCTTTTACTACAAGCAAGACACGTGCAAGTAACGGGTATAGGTTTACAGTGAATGTAGTCATCGACATTCTAAATATCGACATGAACTGAATACATTATGGAGGACTTCGGTGTTTAGAATACGTCTAGCCTAAACATTCAGAATCTGAAAATCAGGGAAACCTGAACGCATACTTGGCCTAGAAAGTGGTTTAGTATCGTTAAAGGAGTTAGATAGATGTATGGCATATGAGCTTACCGCTAATATTAGAGCCTAGAGTTGACCGTTAGCCGTCTTTGGTATCCCGTGTTTGCAAGAATCGACATACCTTCTCGGTATCCCACACTCCCGTCCTGGTATATATGTCCTTCTCAAGGATAGCCTTGACTTCTTCCTTGGACTCGGCGACAAGCACTAACGTGCTGCCGTACCAGTCGAACGTAGCGGGGTCGTCGCTTTCGGGCTTGTCATTTAAGACAGCGCCTTGAGGAAATATTACTTAAATGCGCCAAGAAATATGGAGGACTCGGGGATCACTAGCATGCATACCTCCTGTCTTGAACTGCTTGGACTCGACGTACGGCTTCAAGCCCTCGAAGTGCTGGCTGGGAAATGAGATGCACGTGTAAGCCCGAGACGTGAGCCCCAAAATGGATAGTTGGTGGTGATGGTGGCGGCGTATTGGGCCAGACTCACGCGCGCACTTCCAGCCTCTTCTCCCGGGTTCCCGGCTTGTCGGGTACGACTACAAGCCATTCATATTTGCCCGGCGGCGGTGCCGTAATAGACGCCATTTGGATCTGGACGGGGCCACGGAATAATCTAGGGGCGGTGGTTACGGTGGTGGGTTGGACTCGGACTAGCGCTGGCTGGAAGAGTCGAGGAAGCGTTCGAAAGCGAAAAGCCATATAGAGGGGGGGGGGGGGTTTATCTAACAGGCTGACTTAAAGGCTATATACTTATTTGTTACCTACCGTACGTCTTCAGTTAGGCCGGTGTCGTGCTCGATAGTTAGCTAGCTATTTACCGGTATTTTGAACCCCGAGGTAGGTAACGACAATGGCAGTTGAAGGGCGTACAGTGGTGTGGAGTAAAGACGAGTATGTAGATAAGATACATGGTGGTATATAGGAGTTGACATATAAAAGGAAGGTACCGTGCTAGATCTATACTAGTATTACCCAAGGAGATCTAGTCTTGTGCAACATAATCGGCAAATTTATGCATGTGCCGTCGCCGGCGAACCCGCCCCTCCTGCCAGTCGTTTTAATGTTCTTCCCCCGCTACTGGAGGTATAAAACTTACCTAGGTAAGGTTGTTGTTAGGTATGGTTGGACAATGCAATTTGTCACGGCACAGCTTCTTTCCGAATTCATCATTACCCTTCCCCCCAGCCAACCAGCCAACCGGCCAACCAGCTAGCCGGGAGTTTGTGGTAGTACGAGAGCCTCCCTTGCTAGCCTCCATCTCGTGTGTACATTCCTTATTCTATCTCTCGCACAGTCATACCAGGCCACGAGACTCTTCGCTGGCGGCTGAAAGAAAGAAAAAAAGGATGAAAAAAAAAAGCCTCTTTTTACCGCTTCTCTCTTGGCTTTCCGATTTTCCTTCCGCCTCGTTCCATTATTTCGCTCCTAGCTCGGAAATGAGTCAATATCGCCCGGTTTCTGTTCGAATGAGGTCGCCTCATTATCGTCCACCACGACGCCGTTCGGTTTAGTCTGGGCGTCTGCTTTTTTATTATTATTGCTATCAAAACTCCAAATGCTCAATGGCTAGCCAAGTTGCCAAGACGATTATCTAGGATCTCGCCTAAGTGGGGGAAGAACGCCCTTTCGTTATGTCTATGTAGGTAGGTAAGTGTACCTAGGTATGTACGTGTACGGCGGGATCATATGTCAGAGCTTGGGGTTATCATCGGCGTTGCAAATGTGTCGTCATCGCTAGTTCTCCATAGCCTACCCCATGCCACCGTGGTAGCGTGGTCCCTGGAAATGCCATATCGTCGGTCTTCGGCGGTCTGGATACCCCTAACAAACCGCGCCAGGGTGCAACCCTCCAAGTTTCTCCAGGTATCATGACCTGCTATTACTAGTAGAATCCGGGGAGCCTCGGCAGGTTCATGAGTTATTTTGTTTAGCTTTTAAGTCTGACCAATTCCCTTCTTTGAAGAGGGTTGCCTAGTAGAAAGACATATATTATCCTTTGACAACTCATCTAACCTAGTCTTTATCTATCAACCTACCTAACTAATAAGCAATTGCTTCTACACTTAACTACTTAGGAGCCAATTCATACTTTTACATATCCCATACGTCACAATATTAGCTTGCCATAGCTCCATATGAGCATCATGCTATCCCTACATCTTCAAAGAGAATCCCAGAGGTGGGCAGCTCAACGCCAGAGCTACCCCGCACCCCCCTCCCTAGACAGCTCAAGCAGCTACGAAGACAGCGACTGCGAATCTATCTTCTCTAGGAGCAGCAGCAGATCGAGGCGGTCTTCTGTCTCGAGCGAGGTACCTGACGACGAGCCGGCGCCGGCGGCCTTCGAGCAACCCCGAGACTCCAACGGAGCCCCTATCACCATTTACACATCTCTAGAGCAAGCAGTAGCCCAGAGCACACAGATGGCCGAGGCGCAAGGTCTCAGGCGGCTAGTCACGCCAGGCAAACTATACGAGAACGAGGAGGACGACGATGAGATTATCGAGTGGGCGGAGGAGAAGGACGGTAGCGTAGCAACGGAGCACGCCGAGAGCGGCTTCTCTCGTGTTGCCGCCGGCAGCGTTATCCCCGTGGGCTGAAGGAAGAGGAAGAGGGGGCAGGGGAGAAAGAGGGAAGCGCCAAGCTTCATGTGTTTTACGAGTAACGAGAGAAATTGTGTTGCGACAGCGCACACCTTGGCGCAGGCTTGGGATTCTTGGGTTTTATATTTTTGTCTATCCGGACGCAATAACCTAAAGGGAGAAAGGCGTTAGGAGGTCTGCAGCCAATAATGGGCAAAAGCGGGCAGTGCAAAGCCATATAAGTTCGGAACGGGCTGCAATTGTTTTAATTTGAGGAAGGAATGAGTTATTAAGATACCCCCAAATATGATAAAAAGACCATCTCGTCTCTAATATAGCGTTTAATTGGCATTGATCTACATTGCATCTTCTTCGTGATTTTATCTTTACGTCTCTTCGCCTTCTATCGCCATATACATACCTATGTACACCCCTTATCCCCGTTCATCCGTCCGTCCGCACACCAAGGCTCATGTTTAATCTTGTGTTACGCAGCGAGAATAAAAGCAAACGCCAGTCTGTTGCTGAGATTACAGCTTCGCCTTGGGAGATTCCTGCTTCTGCATTGTCTCAGCCACTATGCGTCTCTGGATCTTCCCTGTTGCTGTCTTAGGCATGACCTCGGTAAAGTATATCTATCATAGTTGATTAGCCTCTCTTTGTGGCGTGACTATCAGAAATACTGGAACTCACCTTCTTAGGCACCTTGAACTTGGCCAACTTCTCGTTAACCCAGCCTCTCAATTCGTCCTGTTCAAGCTTGGCCCCGCTCTTGAGTACAATTGCAACACCGATATCCTGGCCGTACAACTCATCAGGGATGGCAAAGCTTACGGCCTCCGACACAGACGGGTGTCTCGTTAGCACGTTATCCAACTCAATTGGGCTAATCTTTTCACCGCCTTTGTTGATAAGCTCCTTGATACGGCCAGTGATGATGATGTAGCCGTCCTCGTCCTTCTTACCTTGGTCGCCGGTACGGAAGAAGCCGCCTTTGGCGAATGCTGTTGCGTTAGCGGTTGGATTATTCAGATAGCCTTTGGTCACGTTCTCGCCCCGGATGCAGATCTCGCCCTCGGTGCCTTGAGGTACCTCATCGCCAGCGTCGTTGAGAATTTTAACTTCTACACCCTGACCTAGCCCCACCGTACCAGGCTTTCGCTTCGCCGGGGGTAAGGGGTTAGATGTCATTTGGTGTGCAGCTTCTGTCATGGCATACGCTTCCAGGACAGGCGCCTTGAACTTCTCTTCCAGCTGATGAAACACTGTCGGAGATAGGGGCGAGGAGCAAGACCGGATGAAGCGAATCTTAGGCAAAGGACTTGGAGCAGAGTTCTTGAGGAGGATCTGATGTATCGTTGGTACGGCAGTATACCAGTTCGCCCCGTGGGTAACGAAATCTTGCCAAAAGTCCGAAGCCGAGAATTTAGTTGGCACAATCATAGAGCCCCCAGAGTACAGAGGAGCTAGAAGAGCACAGAGAAGGCCGTGAACATGGAACAGCGGCATAACCAACATTGTCCGATCTTGCGCAGTAAGCTGATACGTCGACTGAATATTCTCTACGATGATTATCAGCACCGTACTACTTGACATAGGTGATTGACTCACTCATTGTTCGTGTCAAGTTGCGATGCGTCAAGGGAACCTGGCTAACGAGTTAGAAAGCAGACACAGAGAATGCGCCGGGTTGATCAACAACGTACAACTTTGGGCCTCGACGTCGTGCCACTATAGCAATATGTTAATATTCACGTCTAGGTACGCTGCGTCGAATTTAAATTTCCGAAGACTTACCTCGTATGTAAGACCAATGCGACATCATCTGGTTGTGACCGCAGCACGTTCTCTTTGGCCTTCCCCTTCAACTGGCCGAGATCTTTAACATCTAAAGCTACCTCATTCTTCGCATTGTCCCAGTAGCACTCGGCGATTGCAGCATTAAACTTGCGCGCAGCCTTGACAGAGGGCGCATTGGCTTCGTATGCGCCCTTAGGTACAAGCACGATGGCGGACTTGATGTCTTCGATGTAAAACTCGAACTCGGTCTGCTTATAAGCCGGGTTTAAAGGCGCGGCGATACCGCGCTGCCATGAGGTGGCAAGGAACGAGACGATGAACTCGTATGAGTTCACCGTCGCTATCGATACCGGAGAACGGTTGGTGATTCCGATAGCAGCGAGCTTGCGTTGGAAGGAAGAGCATTCGGCTACGAGGTCTTTGTACGTTACCGTTAATGGCTTCGGTTTCGAGGGTATTATGATGGCGACGGACGAGTCTACGCCATTGATGGAATTCTGGAGGGTGGCCATGTCGAGATTATATCTAGTTAACTGATATAAGCTGCAAGGTCGTCTGAGGTCGGGATACTGTATTCAATTACTGGAGACAGTCTATGTCTACCTTGTATGATACAAAGAAACAACGCGATGCTAGAAAAACAAGAATGGATAAAAGCAGAGGAGAGAGTAGAATCACGTCGTAATAGGAGAAAAAAAGCTGTAGTGTTGTAAGTGCGAAACATACGATAAGCAAAGATCTACGCTATTCGGCAATGTCAATGCAAGTTTGAGGTTCTTGCCGTTACGTACATGTACATAATCGTTGCTGCCGTCTCAACCGTTTCCCAGTACTAACAGTACCTAGGTACCTACAGCTTCTTCTAAAGCTCCCTAGGAGGTCGGTACCCAATTAGTGCCGATGACCTGATAATTAGCGGGCATGGCGATATGAAACCCCTGTAAATTTAGAGCTTCTAGCGTCAACTTCACATTACCAGGTAGCTAGGTACCTACGTAAACTTATCAACTTACATTTCATAGCTCTCTTTTTCAGCCTCGTGAAGTAGGCTGAGGGGCATAGTTAGTTGTTCGAATTTGCTTGTCGCTAAACAAGTCGCACACTAAGTAGTATTTCCGAATAAGCTTCATATTCGACCTAAGGAGTTACCACCAGGACCACAAACATGGCTGCTCAACAGCCACGGGCAGGCCTATCCTTATACGCCAACCTTCTCGAGCCCGAAGGCGACTCATCCGCTTCCATATCCCGAGGTCCGGTAGTATCACAAGAAGCGCTCGATGCAGTGAAAGAGCAAGAAGCTTCTAAGAAGGCCATTGACCCTGCTCTTCGCTTTCAGCCACATCCACAGATTCGCCGCCCCCAGCCGAAAATCCAGAGGCCTAAAGCCAGCTTCCCAAAAGCGCCCCCTCTTCCCAATGCCTCCAATGTCGCTGGCGCTGGCCCAGCTCCGGCTCCAGCGAAGAGTAGGCTAGCCGACTGGGTACCTACTGAAGAAGACGAGTATATGTATGCGACGATCGAGAAGAGAGCACGAGGTGGACGCAAGAAGAAAAAGAAGAAGGCTGAGGATGTGCCCATTGAGACGGACTGGGATGAGATATATGACCCTTCGAGACCTACAAATGTAGACGAGTACCTACGAAGCGAGGAGCGGGTACGTGAGGTACGAGAATGGAAGGATCTACTCTACAAACATAAACGGCGCGACGACGACGATGATGATGAAAGACGTGGTAGCTGGGATAGCGAGGAGGAAGACTTAGCGCCAATGCAAAGTGAGTTGAAGCGCCTAGTATATCTTTGCGATCGCAGCTTGCTAATATATAACTTCGATAGATCAATTCGCGCCGCCAGATTCCTACTCTTTCGCACCACCGCCGCCCTCACCCCCGCGAGCTTCATTGCCAGACGACAAGACCGGCGACGATGCCTATGCGCGCCGTTTGGCCATGTCTCGAGGCAACATACCTCCACCCCCGCGCTCGCCAACACCACCGCCGCCTCCACCATCAGCTCCTCCCGAACCAGAGATCGCAACGATATCCCGCGCGCCAGTGCGTTACACACAACCGGAGCCACCTGCGCCGCCTGACCCAGACGCCATGGACGAAGACGAGGATGAATACGTCCCCCCTGAGCCCAGCTCCGAAGAAGCTCCTGAACAGCGTGGCGGTCGATCTCGTGAGAAAGGCTTTGCCGCACGTCTCATGGCTAAATACGGATGGTCTAAGGGCCAGGGTCTAGGTGCTGAGTCCAGCGGTATCCTACAACCGCTGCGCGTCGAGGTAGAGAAGCGGAAGAAGAAGTCAGACGCAGAAGGTGGCGGATGGGCCGGCCCTGGCGGACGCGGGCGTATCATCGGCTCCAAAACTGGCGCAGCATCCCAACCCGAGAGCAGCATCGGTTCCATGAGTAACGTCGTTGTTCTGCGGAATATGTTGGAGGGTATGGAAGATCTCCAGGCCGAAATAGAGTCCGGGTTAGGACAAGAAATCGGCGAGGAGTGCGGTGACAAGTACGGACGCGTCGAGAGGCTGTACATTGATATCGAGGGCCGGCGGGTATATATCAAGTTCACTGACCAAGTCTCCGCCTTAAGGGTAAGTCACTTATCTCCTTCCACCTAGAACATCTATCCTATTCCGTTCTATACCTAGATACAACATCCTCTATTTATCAAAGACCGGGGTTTGCTAACAGTAGTAACCACCCTACCAGGCAGTAAATGCTTTAGACGGCCGCATATTCGCCGGCAACACCATCCAGCCTCAGTTCTACGACGTGGACAAATTCGAACAGAGGATCTACGAGTAATTAGATTTAGATTATGAAATATCGTAATAGAGTGTCCCAGACGGTGAAGGGGAGCTCTAGGACCCGTATTGGCTACCTATTAGATAGCTACCCGTAATAGTATCCAAGTAATAGTATCTAAAGGATAAAAGCTTGACGCTACATATGTAAATCTGACTTATATTGCTCTTCGTAAGAGTCATACTCGAAATTGAATCATAGGTGTAGAATGTTTAACTTGATAGGTATGGATAGACGTAGTTAATTATTAGGTTAGGTATAGCAAGACGCCTCTAGGAGTGAACACCAAGGGAGCAGTATTAAAAAAAATATTTAAAATACTGAAATTATTTGACTATTAAATATGTACTTATGGTAAATCATAGCTTCGTGTTACATACGGTATAGTATGAAGCATTCGGATAATAGGGACCCACGTTGCTTCAAGACCAAATGTCAATACCGTTATTCAGACCACAGTACACTCATTATGCAGCCGTAATAGAGACACTCAGTACAATCGAGAATATTAACGTCGTGCATAATAATACAAGACTGCAGGGAAAGGAAAAAAAGCAAATTCACCAGGGTATTCACAAACCCGCTCACAAAACCATATCACAATTGACAACGAAACCATCTTCCAAGTAGCACATGCATCAATATTAAGTCTAGCGGTTCCTTATACGTAACCCCAGTCGCAAATTGCAACTCCTCAAATCACAACAGGTTTTTGACACTGGTAAAAGGAATGTTGGGTATGCCGCCATGTTCCGCCCCAAAACGTCCATTTATTACAAGAAAGCAGCGATGGCACCGCTAAGAGCAACCAAGGTAACAAGACTGGTAGAGACAACGTTAGGGGAGGCCGCGTTCTTCTTGTCGTCCGTGCTACTGTCGGAGCTGTCGCTGGAAGCGGAAGAGGTATCGTTGTTAGCATCGGCAACCTTGCCCTTGCATTCATAGTGACCTTGAACGACACCACCGTCGAGGCTCTTCAAATCGCTGCAGGAGTCGTCGATATCCTCAGTGCTGACAACTTCAAAGGCACCCTTCACATCCTTGAGGCCAGGGAGCTCGACTTGAGTGAAAGAACCTCGGACCTTAACGGCACCGCCAATTTCGTTGAGCTTGCTGAAGCCGTCCAGCTTCTCCAAAGCCGTGTTGTTGGCGACAGTGAAACCACCGCCGATGCGCTTCAAATTGGGAATTGTGATGTTAGTGAGTTGGGGGTTGCTAACAAAGGACAAATCACCGTCCTGGATCTCAGTCAGGTTGGCAGCGCTGAATGTCTCGAAGTAGTTGGAGTCAAAACGCATGGAACCGTTAACAGTGTGCAGAGAAGGAACCGAGAAGGAGGTAACGTTGGCAATGGTCATGTTGGCGATCCACTCCAAGTTAGGCATCTCCATGGTGAGGTTAAGACCGTTAGCAGTGACGTATAGAGTGTTGCTCAAGCTCTTGATGCTGGAAGAGAACTTCGTCAATCGTCGGTTGTTGTTGATATTCATGTCAGTGAGAGATTGAACGTTGATGCCGTTGATGCTCTCAATGAAGGTGTCAGCAATAACAACGCTCTTCGCCTTCGTAATACCGACGGTTCCGAAAGTAGGCTCAGGCAACGAGTTCAGGGTGGACCAGTCAATGGAGCCAACCTCGTTGAGCTGCGGGAAGTTGAGGGTGGAGATGTGGGTAGCGTTCTTGAGAGCGAAGACACCTCCAATGGTTACCAAAGAATCACTCCTCAAGGTAGCCAGAAGACCGTTGTTCTCGGCCCTGAGATCGCCACTAATCTCCTTCAGCTTTCCACCAATGTCGATATCGGGTCCAGCATTCTTGTCAATGATAACATCACCGTCGACTGTGTCACAGTTGGAGATTTGGGTGGCATCAGCAGCAGATCGAATCGTCGCGGTCGGGCCATCACAGCCTACAGCAACAGCACCTAATTCCTTATTAGAAAACAGAACCGATCTGAAGCGCAACACATGACTCACCAGACACCATGCTGAGCGCCGCGGCGGCAGCTAATAGTTGCTTGCAGAACATCTTGTTGACTATTCAGAAAGTTGTTAGTTATGGTTGGACGATGTAGTTTCAACATGTAGAGTTAGACAGAAAACATGATCAAGAATCAATTATCCCGGCTTAAATAGCTGAAATCGTTCGTTCTTCGAATTATATCCAAGTCACAACCCGACAAAGCTCGACTGTGAAATGACGGAAACTGCGTAGATCATCGACTTGTCCCTGATTCATCGACATTCGACGTGGTGCATTTGGTGAATCCGGCCTAGAGTAAATGGTACGATTGACTAGGCAATAATTGTCCCAACCATCGCTAGTCTCGGACACCCGAATTTCGTCCCAATTCACCTTTGCCATCGCAATCCGACAATTTGGGTCCGCGGTCATAAGCTTGCCGATAGGGTAAAGTATGTCGTTCTAGTTCCCGTTGCCATGCGACGCCCACTCGAAAAGCGGACCAGTACCCGACTGGACGGTGCAAATTGGTTGCCGAAGAACACGACATTCTGTCCAATCATACGCGTCATGCCAGCCAAAAGCCCAATTTATATGACCGAGAAGTGTGCCGTGATGTTCATGAAGCAGAATAGTGCCAATTGAACAAGTTATCATAGGAAAAATAACTAACCTGATAGTATTCTCTTAAGATCCAATTTCCAGAAATCTTAAGCTTCAGACTAATCTGAATGGCTCCAAGCACCTCTCGACGCGGTATTGTTAGATATCGTGTTGCTGTTTTGATTGGCTACTGATGATAGGAGAAAAAAGTTGTGGTAGTGAGGTTGCGAGAAAATGGAGTTGAACTCTAACGCGGTAAATATTAAAGTGAGGAAGCTATTGAGCGAGTGCTCTTCCTCTTCTACGGTGGAAATATGGACAAAACGAATGAATCCGAATGAGAAGAAAGAGGAAGATGGGTAAAAAAGGAGTTGGAGGGAAAGTCAGGACAAGAAAAGGCCGAAACGTTTTGGAATTCTACTTTAGATGGATGGCGTGGCTGCTTGGGATGTAGGGGGTGTGGGAAGAGTAAGGGAAGGGGGATTAGGTGGACTTTTAAGGGGTTGGCAGGTACAGTGCGCGTATCTGATAAGGCACTACCCAACCAGATCCATTAGTAGGGGATAAAAATGGGGGCATAGACTAGGGGATCTTCATCAATTTCAAGCAAAGCAAGCCATGACCTGTTGCCAGGCTCAGTTGCTCCTGTTGCCCTGGTATGAAAAAAAAAAAAAAAAAGCAGTCGGAGCTAATTCACCTGTAATCCGCCCATACATCAATAGGTACATCGTATATGTACATGTAGCATATCCTAAGACATGTCCATACCTAACTGATTAAACCAGAAAGGGCAGCCAAGATGCTCAAGCAATCAAGTATCCGTATTCTTTCTTTAGGTGCACAGTTAACTCCATTTGGCATATCTTCGTATTTACATCGTCACCAATGCATGTCGTTCTTTTCTCACCCTATCAGCACACCCGTCTTTCATGCAATTGGAAGAAACAGCAGGAAACCTCATCATCCTCTTGCGAACTAGAATGCCGGAACATACATAACATCCGTACGGATTACATAGATAGATAGATACGCGCATCGTTATGTACAAGTATCCAAGAGGGACCCAAGATAGCAAGGGTGATACCGTATGAATAATAAACACGGTGTCGTAGTCTTCATATCAAGTCGAATACTTGGCGAGATTGGCTCCTCATTTTCCATGGATACAGTTCGGCAAAAGCAAGGAATAGCTGCATGGTTTATTTCGTAGAGCATCCACCTCCGTCAATTCACATCGCAATTCATAGTGTATCGAGGGATAGGTACCTTAGCGTATCCATAGGTACGTATGAGATTAATATAACTGCTGCCCGCCGGTCTAATCGGTGTCAATTTTTTACCCACCACGCCATGGTATAATCCACTCTCACCTTGATCTGATTCTGGAATTGTTTCTACGTCGTTTCACGTAGTGCCCTTTCCCGGATTCCACCATTTATTATTACATAGTATACTATGTAGAAGCGCGGGAACTTGACAGCTGAAATTTATAATCTAGGCCCTACGTAATACCTACGACCGAGCTTGTTTTTACAACAAGTCTTTACCCATTCATATCCATAGTGTGCCAGTAGTCCGGAAGATGACGAGGATAGATAATGCCGATCTTGGACTGTGATAGACTGGGTTGACGCATACTTACCATAGCAACAATCTCCCGTGCAGCTTGCAGGTCTTGACTACGTACATTCACCGTAACCCCCATGTTGATTACCCCATCCCATCGTGGTTATCGCTCACATGCGAGAGCCATGTTCGCAGGATAGATATATATTCTGCTTGATGTACATAGCTTCGGTAGGTCCGCACGTAAGCTGTAGGTACTTCAAAGCATGGAAAGATAAGTTTATCATTTAGTATATACATATGTGCATTGACGGGCGGATGAGTTTTTGTTTTAAGTCCTTTATCGGTTCTGCGGCAGGAATAATGTCATGATTGGTTCCCATCGCTTTCAATTCTGGAAGAATCTCGATTCAGAATTAAATCTTTAAGGAAGCTCCATCCTGTTCTATTCCCAGCCGCGGCCCGGGCTCGGATACACTGTATTTGAACCCATTAATGGATGTCACCCCCCTATCGGTCTGCTGTACCTTGTATATCTATAGCCTCACCCCCTTTCTAGACCGTGTATGCATCAATTAAGCTTGTCCCATCCTAGTGTGTTTTAGTGGCGCATTATCGTCCAGGCACATTATGGAAAGAGGCTTGTGGTGTAGCACGGCAAATACATCCGTAGTGGATGCTAAGAAGCTTAGCTTTATACACTAAACTTGATTGGGGGAAAGGCTACCTCCGTCCAGCAGTATGTATCTAAGTATTTATTGTTCTAATAATCCACCTCTTCCCACTTCTTTGTCGCTTGGAACACGCCTTTCGCAGCCGAAACTGCTGGAATAACACAATCCCGTCCAAGCAAAAATTCATAGAGACGCAACCGCCATTCAAATATCGTCAGCGGCGCTGCTTACGCGTCACTTGGACCGCAACTTGACCTGTTGTTGTTCGAACACGAGGAAAAACACATGGATATTTCTTTTCGTGTTGACAAGTAGTCGAATAAAACTCCACCTCATCGTGGCAATTGTCGACCGACGCAATCCTATTCGTTCCTTGCACGCACGCCGCTGCGTCTCGGCCCTCTTGATACCACGGGTCTGCGACAAAATTGACAACTAGCGGCGTCTTTTCCTTGTCCGAACTGCTAGCATCACACACCCATCTCTGTAATATATACCAACGGCAATTTCATTAGCGTAAATAAAAAGTGAAGCTCGAGAACGTGCTTTACTCGTAATAATTTGTATATGCCTGGTTTTCAGCAATGCCAATAACCGACTCATCAAATTACGACGAGAATATATATTTATCGTAAAGTTAAAGTGGCATGAGTCAATAATTAGCCGAAATTGATTTTATGATTATTTAGAATATTTTAGAGCACGAGCAGCTATGCAGCAATCCCTTGACCAAGACTACGTGAGATAAATAACAAATAGATTTCAATAATATTTACCTTGAATTCAATGCCAATATTGTAAGACTTGATACATACCTCATTCTTAGTAAGGTCTTGGAATTGAAGTTGTCTTTAAACTGCTAAGCCTCCTTCAGGTACCTAGGTAACCCCGAGTATCGTACCACCCGTATTACACGTATGCAGTGCTATGTAGTCGACCTTTTTAGGGGGGTTGGTAACGTGACCCCTATACGAGTTTGCATACAACATAAAATGATAAGTACCTAAGGTATATTAACTTAGTAGTTAGATGTCTCTATACTATTAATAATAATGACAATAGCAACAACAAAAACTAATAAGACATTGGATATTATAGCCGCAATGTTGGAGTAAAGTCCAACAACATCAGTAGCGACGATTATAGTATGTGTCCATACTCCCATCAAATAATCCGTACACCAGTTCCATATAGAATATAATCAGATAACTTAGCCACCAAATGCCATCATTCAAGACAAAAGTCTCCCCACGTCCACTTTGCCTGGTCCCGGACAATGAGCCCAACAGCCCTACGATAGACAGAGCTACCTTTCCTTTCAAGTAACATAACATGACTTAGATACATCTTAGGTGGCTTAGGTATACCGGGATGGAGGCCATCGTCGGTCCAAAACCCAGATCCCCCGCGAAGCCCATGGCGTCTTTGCATGAAGACTTCTCCCTGCCTATCAGACCCGGCGAGCTTGTAATACGAAGGGTCGAAAATATCTGGCTCGTGGCTTTTAATGCCGAAGCCATGGAGCAAGTTGGACGCCACTTCATGAGTGTACACGGCACAGTTGGTTATTCGGATGAATTCACAGTCGTGTGTCGCGGTCGGATAAGATGCCGCACAGTCGGGGGTCAGGAACACGGTGCCAATCCAGTTATCATAATGCAGAATGCGGTATCTACGAAGTTTTGAGTCAGAATGGGTCGTTTGTGTGAGAGTTACTTTCAGGCTCAATCGATAGGAATCTCGACTCCGCTCGGAAAAGGAGCTGGCCAAAAGTTTCATCTGTCCCATCTAAAAAAGAAGCAGCCCGGTCAATGGGTTGAATTTCATCAGAAAAAGACCTGCTCAAAAAGTTACTAGGCCAGTTCATAAGCTCGTCGTCCGAAGGGGTCTGGTCTATGGGCAACTCATCCCATTTTGCACCGCGAAACCTCAGATTCTCAAGTTTCGATACGCATGTTCCCGGTCCATACCCCCGCTGTGCATCAAATGCTTCTCTAGTTGGATTCCACGTCTGGTCCGTCCACTCCACCCAGCTCCAACTAGGCCATCCGTCGAGTCGCTGTGATGACCCAGTTGGGTGCCAAAGTAGACAGCAGGGCAACTGTTTCACCGGGAGTCCACAAAGAAAGATGTCGTTGCAATATCGACCCAAGGACCGGAGCACCCCTGAGATGGCGGGGAGTCTATCCGAGATACACGTGAGGTTCCGCTTGGTATATTCCTGGGCCGCGTTGTTGTACAGTTCCCAGCATGAATCCGCAAGGGGGTCGCCGGGAATTGTCCAGTGATAGAGCATATGCTTGTCGTCACTCCAATGACCTGTAATTTCATTAGGGATGCTGTAGATGGTATCTTCAGCGCGTGTACCGATGGTGCAGGAAAAGAATAACTGAGTAGATGTGAATATTATAAGCCTCCGAGATAACATGAATTCCTGGTATGTCCATCCCCTTGAGTTCCACAATGTATTATCAATGGACCTCTGGAGAGGAGGCTCGCTAGCTATATAACGGATTCCTCGAACAAAGCATCTAACTTGTGGAGTGTCACGGGAGCGTAAGCAAGTAAGGCCTCTGCTTGGATCGGTTTCGCTCGCCGCCACTATAGTTGCTATTGCAACACTATACACCTTGTCCATTTGTGATATTTGTATATCCTTGTCTCCGCGGTCGTCCTGGATGATGCAAAGAGAATCCACCCAGAGATACCGCTCACCCAACTGCTGACAGACATAGATTGCGTCTACAACCGTCTGAGGTAGACGTGGTTCTTGTAGGTCTTTCACAGCGCTGATTGTCTGGAAAGATTCTTTGGTTGCCTGGATGAATTTGGTCTTGTTAGCGTGGTCCCATACATATGACAAGACGATATAACGGCAGCCCGGTGGCCCAAGGGTTACTTGTCGGTTTTTTACATCAATGACGCGGAGCTTCTGTGGCCATCAATCCGATAAAGGTAAGCTATCCGCCGCCTTGATGAGTAAATTGCGGTTTCTTTCGCAAGTATCTTTATGGTGCTTGATACAAGATCGTAGATGATGCTTCACTGACTGAATATCACAATGTTCTTGTGGGAGACTCCTAGCTAGGGAAGATGGGAGTTGCTTCGGGCTGTTGAACAAGCTGCTCTTGTGCAGGTAGTCTAGGTCGACACGCAAGAGTAACCCAGATAGTATGAGCTCTTCTTTAATTGATTCATCCATATTCTTAAATTTTCCATCTGGCCCGAAGTTATGAAAGGAAATCTCCAAAGCCGCATCGACTTCCGATGGATGCAAGAACACACGCAAAGTATTCTCATGGTCTTCGGCGTATTTCAACACTGAATGTGTTAGAATTGGCGACATGGCGGCCGTGACTGTCTTGCAAAGCGCACAGTTGGTTGTCTCGATGATAGTACAAAAGTCGCCGAGATGGATGCTTTTGAACCTGGTGTCGCCGTACTCCCGAAGCGGGCCGTCCAGCTCGACATCTCTACATCTAGCACGCAGAGATTTCTCTTCCTCGGATACAGGCGGGCTTTTAAGGCTGAGAGCCATTCGAGTCTTCAAGCGACCTCGATGCAGTATGCTACTCGTGTTTTCAAACTCGATACAAGCTTGTCCGAGCTAACGAGGGTTGTTATGTCGAACTCTGCCCAAGTGCTTAGGTTTGGTAAGGATTGTTATGTTGATTAGGTACCTAAGCCTTGCCCAAGTTCTACTAGATATCGTCATATGACATTATCCTAAAAATGAACAATACCGCTTATAAGAAATCTCTTCTGGTGTGTTAGTATAATTTGATAGGCTTTCCCTGAGCTAGACCAACTCAGGTCACATTTAAAGATCGAAAGTGTAAGTAGACATCAAGCTACTTATACCCCTATTAATCGAGAAAATGCCCCTTTTTTGGACCATGGCAAGTGTAAGAAATAGCCCATGAAAGATTCAGAACTTGTCGATTATTGGCAAATGTACAATATCGATGTATACTTGACCTAGAACCTTAGACAGGCCGAATTCTAATTAATACTTACCTACCTTACGTAGACCATCTTATTCTAATGTACTTATGTCCGTCTCCTCGACTCTCCACATATACCACTGCTGACTGTTAGCTAATGTAGATAAAGGAGCTTCGGGGGTAGATTGAGAAACGGGCTTTCATGTGTCAAGCCGACGTGCTCTTATACGTACCATGAAGACACTCCTATATGGAGCAAACTTTTCAGATATTTCTTGCATCTCCTTTTCTGACATATACTTCCATTTCCCGCCCTTATTTTTCAATTTGGCCACATCGCGTCCGACAAACGCAGCCATGCCTCTCTGTACCCCTAGGTCGCCCAAAGAGAAGACATCTAACCTCTTCAGTCCGAAACAAGCGAACATCTCGACGGACCAACGGCCAAGCCCTCTCACCGCAGTTAATTTCTCTAACACAACGTCGTACGGGGCATCTAGTAGGATTTGAGCGCTCAGACCGCCGTTAACGAACTTCTCTGCCAGTCCTTGCACGTACTCGGCCTTCCGTTGTGAAAGACCCGCTGTACGCAGCCGCTCAATGGTACAGGCCGCAACCTGGGACGGGTGCGGGAATCTACCGCCGTTGTCAAACAGGTCAATAAACCGTTGCTTGATTGCCTTGGCCGCTGCCCCTGAAACTTGTTGCGAAATAATGCCACTGCATAGAGACTCGAAGGGGTCGATCTTCTCATTCAACCCCTCCTCCGAGAAAATTCGACAGTGATGCTTCTCAATTAGGGGTTTCATCCGCTCGTCGACGCTGATGAGGTACTTGCATGCCTCTTCGAGGAGATTGGTCGTCGTTACCTGACTAGCTGACGCCTTAGACGGAGATATGTGCCTAGTCACGACTCGAGATGTCTCCGGCGAGAGAAGCGTCGCATTAGTGGCGTTTGGATCTGCTAGTCGCCTTACAGCTGCTGCTTTCGGTTTTGGTGTCTCCAACGTCTCGGCCGGCTTGCTCATGAGCCGCACGTTACTCGGAGTAGGCGTTGCGGGTGGGGGATCAACGGATTTCTTTTGAACACGACGCTTCTTGGGAGTTGTGGGTGCCGTTGCTATTGTGTTTTCATCTACGGTCTCGTTCGAACCATGCTCTTGTGGTGGATCTGAGGTTGGTTTCCTCTTACGGCCCTTAGGTACTAGGGCAGACGGAACTGATTTGGAGTCTGAGTTTGTCGACATGGCGCTCAATCGCGCAGACCTACGGGTCGCCATATTCACTAGGTAATTATGTGATAAGTTCTGTCGTAGTAAGTGTGTAAATAGATATTTCCCGAAGCCACTATGATATAAATGGCGTCTCTGTGCTGCAAAATATATGAATGTGAATGTCTGCGCCGACTTCACGATTGATTTGCAAAGAGAGAAATGGGATTTCAAAATGATGTTTTGGTAGCTTCGAGGAGGCATGTGCAGTTCACGGAGGGAAGGCTTTACGGCGAAGTACGATTCAGTAAGATGAGATCCGCTGCGATTAGTTGTTTAAGTGAAGATCATCGACTTGATTACCGACTGCATAAAATAGAGAACAATTATAATTGAATGTTCTTAGGTTGTTCTTTCGCATAAATTGGGAAATATAGAATATATATAAATACAGATTCAGTAAGGAATAAAGTATAACGCATCGAAACTTGTAATATGAAGTGTACATGGAGTGTACGGAATATATGAAGTGCATCCAGGCAGTTTAACTTGCGCCTTTGCTTTGTCATCTAGAAGCAAGAGAAAAGATGCTAGAGCCAATGAAAATAGTTTACCTCTGACTCACATGGTGGTTGCCTATTAGCCCTGGTCTTTATGTAAGTGAGATGGTTGTTTCTCTCCTGGGGTGTGTCGAGTCTTTATTTACGAAGTTAACCCTCGATCTCAAAGAGCTAGATCACCTATCCATTCTGTCGGTTCTGCAACTATACTTAGATTAGTGATTGGCGTACATATGCTGTTGGCATAAATCTCGAAAGCCTGTTTCTTATAGGCCCAGTTTAGCACTGGGGCGCGGATATAATTCTCCTATGCAACCTACCGTTTCCCATGTCGCCTAATCGAACACGAGAAGGTAAAGATAATTTAGGGATTCTATATGTTGTTGTGTAGTATGCAACCTTAGCAATGTAAGTAATCTCTTAGTTAAAAACTCCCATTTCATTCTGCATGCCGAGCCAAGCAAAGGTCTAATAAACCCAATTACCCCTAAAATTTCGATGCAGTCTGAGCTGAAAACGCACTAAATCCGTATAATAATAGAAGCAAAGAATGTTGAAATACATGTATACTTGCCACCACGTGCACTAACTTCGTATATTAGGTAAGTTCCTCCTAATAGCAAGTAATTGCTTAATTAATCCGTATAGATTTAACAAAACATCGAAATTGTTAGACAATACTGAACATAACAGTACTACACTAATAGGTAGGTTACAGTGTATGTCATTGCCTCAAATATGAACTTCATTGTTGACACTGCTGTTCTGCCATTCCCTCTTCCTACATGCATAACATGTACATGAAAACTGGAGGTAGGTATATCGAATAGGCAGTTTACGCAATAGAGGTACATCATCAATATATATGTACCTAACGTACATATGCCTCCTCGTTCTCCACTCCTAAAACCATAAGCCCCCGTGGGTCTTTCCAAGTCTTGACTTTTGGGGGCTTAGTTTAGTTGTGCTGCGTGCATCTTAAGCCGCCAGTGGTTCCAGGCCAGTTACGTTTCGTGTCAACTAAATCTACCAAAACCTACCACTGCATGATCACCCCCCATCTTGACTTTTTTCAACATAACCGGTCCGTCCAATTTGGAACCCGCCGCGCCAATTCACTTCATTAATCTTTGGTGCCGATTTTCATATCTTTGCAATCAAGAGACAACCGCGATAGCATAAGGCCGAACTTCTTATCAGCGATTGCGAGATCGATCTAATTATTACACTCGTTGATCCAGTAGATTTTTGTTGTCTAACCGCCCTTCTTACCATTGTGTTATCCCTTCCACACCCTGATACCCCGAACGAGGCCGGCCCCATAAACAAGCAAGAGCCTGCCTCCCATTCGCATTTGACTTTCAACTTTCCCTTCATTCGATTGTTATCGCGCAAAGTTAGGGTGGTGCTAAGGGCCGCCCGAAGAGCTCGTTTGCCATGCTTCTTCCTAAAGGTGGCATTACTTGGAAGTCTGCAAGGGCACAGCTTCCACGCACCAGAGCGATCTGGATCTTCTTAACAAGAACCCGCGTGCTCCTTTCTATCGCCGTCGCCGGTATCATTTTATTACTATGGCGCGGTATCAGAACCTCAGCAAGCGAGATGCAAAGGTATCGTTCCATTTCATAGTAATCATTCTAAACCTGCATCTTACTGACATGTCCGGCCTTTCTACAGCTTCTACTGCTGGGGACCTTCAAAACCCCCAATGGATATGACACTCAACGAACAACAGGCATGGAACGCTCACCTACAAACTCCTGTTATATTTAACCACCATGCTCCGATAACCATCAACGAATCGTCGATAACACATGTCAACCTCAACGGAATTAGGTCCACGCGCCAAGCTATCGACAACAACGAACGAGTACTCATACTCACACCCCTTAAGGATGCTGCGCCGTACCTCTCAAAATACTTCGAACTTATTGCTGAGCTGACGTATCCTCATCGCCTCATCGACCTCGCGTTCCTCGTTGGGGACTCGACTGATGACACTCTAGGTGTGTTGGGCATGGAGCTTGATCGCATCCAGAAGCGCCCGGATAATATCCCGTTCAATAGTGTAATGGTTGTAGAAAAGAATTTCGGTACTCAACTTAGCCAGTCTGTTGAGGATCGACATAGCTTCGAGGCTCAGGGTCCACGACGAAAGGCCATGGGTCGCGCTAGGAATTATTTGCTGTCTGCTGCATTGAAGCCAGAACATTCTTGGGTATATTGGCGCGATGTCGACATCGTAGATAGCCCTAAGAAGATCCTTGAGGACTTCATTGCTCACGATCGAGACATTCTAGTTCCTAGTATGATTTCCCCTTCAGGAATTATATCCGAGGCCTTCCAACTAACATGGTATAGACATTTGGTTCCACCGTTACGAAGGCACAGGTGATAACAAATACGATATTGAAGGCAGATGTAAGCATACCTTTGGGGGTGATTTTAGTATTATGACTAACTATAAATGCAGTCGATTATAACTCTTGGATTGAGTCAGACAAAGGCCTGAAACTTGCCTCTAAACTAGACAAGAATATAGTTTTGGCAGAAGGTATGATTTTGTTCTAGAATTTTGACTCTAGCCACTAACACATTATCGCCTCGAAGGTTACAAGCAATATGACACGGGTAGAACATACATGGCGCGGATGGGCGATTGGCGAAACGACCCGGATGAGGAAATTGAGCTTGATGGTATCGGCGGCGTTAACATCCTAGTGAAGGCAGATGTTCACCGATCAGGTTTGTTCTTTACACTAATCGAGGAGACGAAGACTAATGGAGACTTGCATAGGTATCAACTTCCCATGCTACGCATTTGAGAATCAAGCCGAGACAGAGGGTTTCGCAAAGATGGCCAAAAGAGCAGGTTACGAAGTCATCGGTCTGCCTAATTATGTCGTCTGGCATATTGACACAGAAGAGAAGCCAGGGAACGCATAGACTAGCGGCACCCAGCTTTTTGGAAACGAAGCATTTTAGAATAATATTTCCTTATCTGACATACTCGCATTCCTTCAGTGTACCAAATTGGTCCGCCAATCTCGAGCATTCGACGTCCAGGCGGGACAGGGAACGTAATACTTGTACGAGCAACTCACGAAACACGCTACACCACTGCATCAAAATACCAGCACCGTCAGATACGTTAGGCAAGGAGGCGTTGGGAAGGGACAGGATAAATCAATCCTGGCGCCATTTAACTTTTTTCTTATTCTTTTCTCTGGCATAGCGTTCGAAAGGGGGAGTGGTGGAAGTCCGGTAGCTCATACCAGCAAGCGCGCCTCAACCTTGAGTATCAACTCTCGCAGCCTTCGTCACGCACTTCCCACTTCGACGTTCCGCGCCTCATATATATTGGTTGGTCGGTCGGTTGGATGGTTGGTCGAGCTGGTTGGACTTGTATGTTTTGTCGTGCTTGGGAAAGGCCACGACGGCATGTTATGACCGGGGCGTCCATGAGCTTTCTGTAATAGAAATTGGCTGTTCATATTGCCTCCAGACGGATCCTGGAGGCAGGCGAAGGCGCCGAAATGTGCGCATGTCAGGCGCGCTGCACGGAGTTTTGTTGGTTAACTGCTGTTGTGACATCTCACTGGCAATATAGCTTTGTACAGGGGTTTGAGCCTCAGCCGTAGATAACTACTGTTTTCAGGAGTCCGTAGGGTATCGAAAGCGCTGATCAGCGGATAACCCAGCAAAACTAATATATGCAGTCTCTTGCATGTGTATGCCCTTATGCCGGTGTTTAATCTGTAGACGTGTAATGCTCTGGTTGCTAAATATTACACATTAAGTGGTCATTCATCAAACCTGATGATTTTGTCAAGTAGGTATACTTGTAGCAATATACTACCAGTCGCAATACTACACAGATAGAAGTAAAATGACGTTAGGGTTTAACGTTGCGTTCCAGTTTCCACTGAATTTTCAGAAGGGTAGGATCCTGGTCTCTCAAACTACAATCACTATGTAGTTCCGTTTCTAGGGCATAGTAGATCTAGCATAGACGTTATGCGCCACGGTTTATCATCGAGGCTAAACACTAAATCCAGAAAGCACCAAGAGTTAAAGGTCGGAATTTGCTAAACTCTTAGACTGGAATTGTACGGGTTGAGGGGAGACGAAAAGGTCTAGGTATATACAGATATGATATCTTGGAACGTTCAATTCGTCGGTACAACCTGGACTCCTTGCGGACAAGCTTGTCCAATCACTCTATTCTTCTCGTTAACGCAGGTTTAATTGTACAATTTTGCCGTTCGACGCTATTTCTATTTAATGGTTTCGAATGACGGTCAGAGTGTCCAAGGCCTGCTTCTCCTTCTCCTCGGCGTAGATCTGGTCGATCAATGGTTGCAGGTACGGGACGTCCTATTTCACCCATTCTGTTAGCATGGGTGTTTCGAAGGGTATCGCATGGTTCTGTTCAAGTAAAGTCTCGGCTTACCTCCTCAGGCTTGGTCCACTCCTCCTTGGGGAGCAGCTTGTGGACGGTGCTGGCCTGGAACGCACGTCGGATTCGGTAGACACGGTCGTAAGCTTCTTTCGGCGGCAGGCGCTTCAATGCCTTGATGACGTTCTCGTCCTCCTCGACAATCAGGTCGTCGGCTCTGCAATAAAGTCAATTAATAATCCGAGTTTATCAACCACTGTGGCCATCATCGGGCTCTCAATTGAGAGTATTTGCGTACCGAAGACCGAGTTGGCGGTACCCGGCGGCATTTGTGTACCAGCTTGCGACGGGCTTGAGCATGTTCTGCAGCCAAGGCCGCTTGAAGATGAAGGGCGCGAGAGTCGGGTAAGACGTAGCCATTGTGACGGTTGGCAGGTGTGTCTGGCGGTATGAGGAACTCCCGAGAATCGTGATGTATTTTGTCGTGATTGAGGGCGTTAGCTTGATTTTCGGATTTGATGTTCCAAAATGGCTCTCTCTCGATTGGACGAGTCACGTGATGCACCGTACCCTTGGGTAGTGCTCCGGAACGGGGGACTTGGCCCTCGGATCGAGCCTAGATACTATGTACCTAGGTACCTTACTTGTACCTCCCCTCCTCTCTTAATAGAAGAATGTACCAGGCCATAGAGCCTCCATCTTATGCTGTGTATCCCATCTGAAGACCTGGCATCATCATACTATTTAGAATATCAGGACAAAGAAGTATTTGACTTAATATAATCATACTCAGTACCATACTCAGTCTAATTTACTGTCGTATCTTTTTTCTACAGCATCTTGTGTTAGTTTAATCAGAGGTACATATGTACCTTCAAAGCTTAATTCATGCAGACCCCAATTGCCAATTGGAGGTGCCCTCGTGTCTACCTATGTACCTAAGTGTCTAACGGTTAGTAATAAGATGTGCAATTGCGGGAATGAGCGAAGTACCTATAACCTATTTGTTACAGGCGAGGTACACGGAGATAGTTAAAGGCGATCGGATAGGATACTACATAACGTCAAAGGTAAGACTATGGAGCTTCAATGCCTTGCTGACAACATAAATTCTTAGCTCTTACACACACGATTTAGTACCTACGAGACCCTACAGTAGGAGCTACTTTTACAACACTTTCAATCTCAACAAAGCAAAGCACATCACCCAACTTGAGTCAACTAAAGTCACATCTATATAAATTGCCGCAATCTTGTGGTGTTCCCTAGTTTGTTTTATTTACCTATTTATTTACTTTTTTCCTCGTCTATGTAGCCTTGGTCCTTAGGTAAGTTGTTAGGTACTTACCTTAGGTACGTACCTAAGATACCAGGTACCTACATACAGTATTAAGCATTACATACGTGCTACCTATCGATACGATTTTGTTGTCCACCTCATTCCCGCGCTAAAGTTGATGTAATCTACCTGTTCGTCGGGTAGACTCTTTCTCCTTCGATTGATCCATATCTAATCCCAATCACGTTTGACGATTTAGAGCGACCCTTAGCGACCCGCCTACCCGCTTAGCTTTTTCGCTCCAGTTAATAAGTCCGACCCTCTGCTTCGGACTTGATACATAGCAATTCCACTCAACAAATCTCCATCACCATCTCTTCGCATTCCCCATTTTCTTCTCTCTACCAGCCACTTTTACATACGTCTAGTCGAAGCTCTATCTCACTCGCTCGACGGGCGCTCTTACGAATGTCAATGGCATGTGACAGACGGTAGCTGCTGGGTCGACGGGACGGTGGATTTGCGAGGGTGCATTCCCCGCACACCGCACACCATCACGACTCTTCTAGGCCGGACTCGAGGCGAATCTATCTTTCGTCTAGTACGCCACGCCTGTCTTCATTGCCGCTTTTCCAGGTCACGCCGCCCACCTTAGACACGTTTTTTGCTTACCGGGGCCTCTGAATCGCTTCCAGAGGCCCCGAATCCGATTTCCGTCCTACTCGGACTCGCCTACCGGATAAGGGCATGTCTCACGACGAAGCTCAAAGTCATTCGACGGGACCGTCGTCACACAATCCCGCAGAATATGGGGGTTTCTCCCATCGCTCCTCTCCGACATCTACTTCCACCGTTTCGTCGGCGAACACCCCTCACCAAGAAAACCAGAGCGCTTTGGCTTCCGCGGTAGCAGCGATGGAGTTGCACGATTCTATAGCTTTGGATCTGGTACAAAGATGGGCCGCGGGCGCGTCCGATGCTCAGTTTAATGCTTTGGCGGGAGCCATAGGCGGCTTCACTTCCGGCATCGTCACTTGCCCACTCGATGTTATTAAGACAAAGCTACAAGCTCAAGGAAGATTTATACCCGTAGACAAAGGAAGATATGTTGGGCACCACAAGGTCTATTCGGGTCTTGTGGGCACGGCGAAGATTATATGGAGGGAAGAAGGTTTGCGCGGCATGTACAGAGGTTTAGGGCCTATCATTCTTGGCTACCTACCGACTTGGGCTGTTTGGTTTACCGTTTACAACAAAAGCAAGGTTTTCATGGCTGAGAATAAGCGTAAGTCGTTCCGCGCAGACCCAAAATGAAGCCAATAACTGATTACTCCGTTCGTCCTACAGTACAGAAAAATCAGTTCTTCATCAACTTCTGGTCTTCAATCATAGCAGGGGCTAGCAGCACGTTGGTAACAAACCCAATATGGGTAATTAAAACTCGACTTATGTCACAGTCAGCTACAGGATACAATAGACAACTATCTATGTTCCCGCGATCAGGCAACACGCCAACCTCTAGGCCAACTATCGACTCGCCCTGGCACTACCGTTCAACTCTCGACGCTGCGCGTAAAATGTATTCTTCCGAAGGTGTATTATCATTCTATTCTGGACTTACCCCAGCACTTCTGGGCTTGACGCATGTTGCTGTGCAATTTCCTGTTTACGAATTCTTACGCATGAAATTTACCGGTCAGGCCATGGGTGAAATGGGCGGTGACAATCAGCAGAGTCACTGGTTTGGTGTGCTCTCTGCGTCGATATTATCGAAAATTATGGCTAGCTCGGCCACGTATCCGCACGAAGTGATTCGGACAAGACTGCAAACACAGAGGCGGCCGACTCCTGGAAGTGAATATCTACAAGGTCTAGGGGTTTCGGAGTCTACACCCGGCAGTCGGAGTCACATGCCCAACAGTGAATGTAGTGTTACTCCTGAACCTAAATATCGGGGCGTGGCTATGACATTCCGTACTATCCTACGAGAGGAGGGATGGAGGGCGTTCTACGCAGGCATGGGTGTCAATATGATGCGGGCCGTTCCAGCAGCAACGGTAACGATGATGACATACGAGTTCGTGATGAAGACATTACATCGCGTGCAGGTCGAAGGTCGGGAAAAGAAGAATTCGAATAAGGCGACGGTACGCGAACTATGAGTGATATTTAGACGATGCAAATCGACATTTGCAAATGTTAGGAAGAACATATTCTTACCCCATGAGAATGTGAGGCTAGAAGGGCCGGTTCTCATTGTGTTACAAGAGAAGAAAAGAAATATAGCTGGTTGATACAAAAACTGGCTTCATGGGCCCGGGAGGTTTGGGGTTGGTCTAGATACGATACCCTTCTTTGTAGGTATAGATACACCCAGATCACAATGCAAATAGTAAAGCAAGTACTACTCTACCAATTCGTTTTGCTGCTGGTGTGGATGTTGAATCGAGGGCTGAAGTATTCCTCATTTCAGTTCGTTTCATTAAATGAATCTGACCTTCTGATAGCCTACAACGAACTCAACACCAACTTGAAATTCCATTCTTTCGATGTTAGTGAAAGAAATATAGGCACAAGTATATATGCAGTAGTTGTTTAATTACTAAATAGGGGTCATATACAATAACATACTTGATAGTTGTCCTCATTATCATACGTAAAACAGTCTCCAGACGCCCAATTGACATATCCCTTAACGAAAGAATATCGCTTTGTGACCCGAATTCTTATAGGTGCGTTCGGCCTCTTCATGATCTCGCCTAGTTCCTATCGCTATTATCGCTATCCCCCTCCCATCAAGCTCTCTCAGTTACTCTCACCCACATATCCTTCTGGAGGAAGATATTGCGATCTACGCTGTGCATGGGCTTCTTTGGATCGATCAACTGGAAATCAAAGTAACGGAGCAACTTGAGCGAACATGCTGTGTTAGCTAACATATACTGGGAACTCGTTTTATCTCAAACGAGTGGTAGGAAGATATATATATATGTGTGTGTGTGTGTGTGTGTGTGTGTGTGTGTAAGGGGAAGGGAAGACAGAAGATAGAAGCGGTTTAGGTACTTACTTCAACATAGACTTTATTCAACTCCATGAACGCAATGTTCTTTCCCAGACAACCGAATTGACCGTAGCCGAAGATAAGCTCCACAGTCTGGGTCATCCTACGGTGTTTTTCTGCGTCGATATCGAGCCAACGCTCAGGTCGGAACACGTGCGCATCGCAGCCGAAGACGGTTGTCGAACGGTGTATAGCGAGGTTGTTATGACCAATACGTGTTCCCCCTGGGATAAACTTGCCGTCGACTATGAAATAATCAGTGTTAGTCGTTTCTAATTTAAAGAAGATTGAACCTGTTGAGTTGAGTTGTGGCCTATGTTGGTAGTACTAAATCACACTTACTTGTATCTCCTTCAGGGGGAACTTCCTTCGAAAGGAGGCTGGATAGAGGAGTATTGATACGAAGACCTTCATATATCACAGCCTTCAACCCATTACTGTTAGTACGAGTAATCTGACCCCCTTTTTTTCTGGGTGTATCCGTACCTGTAGGTATTCTAGCTTCATCGCCTCATCTTCCTTGATCGGTGATGAAATCTGACCTCTTGCTATAGCTCCATCTATATCTTCTCGTAGTTTAAAGTAAACACGAGGCAACGATAGTAAGCTAAGCATAGTCCCACAAATGGCTGTAGCGACCGTACCACTACCGGCTACAATCTGGAAGGGGATTTCGGTTTCGCACTGACGACGCGTGAAGCCATGTTTTATAAATGACCCCTATTATAGATAACCCCATTTGTCAGTGACTTGAAGAGCAAAAAGAGGGAAATCCGAGGGTCTGATATAGGCGATGACCTTACTATTATGTCTTGCCGGTCTTTGGCATCAGATCCAAAACGTTCCTCAGAGGTAACAGCCTGAGCAATTCTTTACACGCGAGGGTCGAGTTAGCTTCCAGGAGACTACCTAAACTTCTTGCAAGTATACTTACCCCATCATTTTCCCTCTTCCATTCTTGTCCGTAGGGGTTGGGCCAAATAAACCGAGGAAAGTCTTGCTGAACAACAGCCCAGTGAGCCAGGGAATGTCAAGCAATACCGACAAGGAATTTACAGCAGTCTCCATAGACTCAACATGGCCATGTACGTCCGAGTCCGTCCGCAGGTATCCAAACGCCCGGCCGTAAGCGACCTTGCTGAGGACGTCCAGTGCGAAGAATGTTATCTTGCCAGCAAGATCTAGTGATCGTAGCTCGTGATCCGACGACAAATACTTGCGTCGAATCAATGCTACAAATTCGACCAACTGCTCATCGACACCTTCTATTGTCGAGTTCTCCTTAGCCCTGTACCCGGATGACATTCGCGCCCTTATCTTAGTGTGTTCGGCGGTGTCCATCATACTGAACAAAGATGCGTAATAAGGGTCTACACGGGTCCGTTTATACCACGATGAACGCTGATATTTAGACCGCGCACCGTTCATCCGCTGGATGATCTCGGGGTCACTGGTTATAAGATCTTTAGGTCCGATGCGCACGAGAGATCCGTACTTTTGGTCGAGCTTCATAAAGCTGATGCCTTGGCCCTCTTTAAACGTCGCCCAGAGCAACCATAGGTACGAGAGAGAAGCGAGCCAGGGCCCGTCGATGTGCCGGAGTCGGTACCATGCTAGAAAGCGAAGATATACTAGACTTAGGAGTAACAAGCCTAGTATAGAAGAAATTGACAAATATACAAGGGGACGGTCTAACAGCTGCGGCGCCATATGAAGTAATTACGAATTTTTATATTAACTGTGATAGAGTTTGGGCAACCACTTGTGGAATTACCTGGCATGACTGTTCTTATATATATACTTAAATTATTTCGGTACTCCAAGCTTCTAACTATACTCAAAAACTTGCGAAGAAGCCTCTTACCCGATGGCACACGGGATGTTGTCTTAACATGTCGTGTTAACGTATATATGATTGGGGGGGGTCTTGCAAGATGGCGTCGTATATATAACCTTTTAGGTTGAGTGACATACTGGCAAGAATCTATTAGCTAAAGGGCTTAAGCCACGCTTAAGGGAGGATAGATAACCTTCGTAGTCCCCAAGTAATATATCGCAGTAATCCTCACGAGCTTTAGGTAGTTTTGCGTAGTGTAGAGCCTCCGTGGACTTACCATCCATGGTGGATAAGGAATCCTTATGTGCCCCAATGCTACCTCTTCGGATTTAATATGCATATAATGCTACACTATTTCATTGGCTCGATGTTGCCAAAGGTCCCATCTGTCTTCTGCATGTGCTAGGGGTTCCGCTGGAGTTAAGAAATGGGTCCCAAGAACTTAAGGCTACTCTAGTTTCAACCCACTCGTGTTCAGATACTCTATCATAGAACTAATACTGGTTTATGACTCTTCATATTTATAGCAGATTATGGGATAAAAACGCTAAGTGAAATCGTGCTATCTCCTATGAAAAGGACTGGGGTATTCAAGGGATAAATGGGAGGTAGACCGCTTTTCTGCTCCTGCTTGTAAGCGACATCATACTTTACATAGTTTCGTAAAGCCCATTTTACAATCCAAGTGAGACGATAGAGCATCCTCTATATAAGAACCAGGCCATTGAGTTAGAGTCACGAGCATTAGTTCCCACCATGGCAATGACATCACGAGTTCCCTTCCAACTTACCGGCCGCTATGCTGAACGTAGCAAATGGGAGGTAGTCAACGGCCCAGGAGACTCCCGACCAACCGGACGAAATGTAGTCGAGGATGAAGGTCTTGTCGGAGCTATGGGCGACAAAGTCTTTCTCATTACGGGCGTGTCTTCCGGCATGGGGCCTGAAACCGTACGAGCTTTGGCATTGACAGGCGCCACCATCTTCGCAACGGCGCGGAACCTCGACAAAGCGCGGGACGCCCTCGGGGTTTCTCTCCTCGAGACGGGGCGCGTGCACCTCCTGTTCATGGACCAGGCCGACCTTTCGAGTGTCCGGAAATGCACCGCTGAATTCCGGCAGCAAAGCGGTGGCAAGCTTAATGTTTTGATCAACAATGCTGGCGTCATGAAGACACCTGAAAGTCGTACGAAGGATGGCTTTGAACTACAGTTCGGAACGAATCATCTATCGCACTTCCTCCTCTTCTACCTGCTGAAGGATCTTCTGCTCGCCAGTTCGACTCCCGAGTTCCACTCACGCGTGGTGAATGTTTCGTCGTTAGGCCATCGCTACGGTCCTGTACGTTTCGACAACTTGAACTTTGAGGGCGAATATGAGGGTTGGACTGCGTGTATGTTAAAATCTCTTCCCCTTATTGAGTACCTATGTAAGTGATACCAGAAGACTAACGCTCATCCTCGTAGACGGGCAGTCTAAGACGGCCAATATCTATAGTAAGCATAATCCTTCCCTCTGGCCTTTCTTAATCCCAGCTGGCAGCTCGCTCACCTAAAACTAGTGGCGACCCAAATCGAGCGACTCTACGGCGCACAGGGCTTGCACGGGTACAGTCTCAACCCGGGCAGTTTCGCCAGTCCCAACCTGCAGAAATTCTGCCGGGAAGAGATGAAGGCCGCAAAGAGCAACGAGCGGATAACGAAGTATTTCGTCAGTCTAGAGCAGGCGTGCGCAACGAGCGTCTATGCTGCCATCTCGAAAGAAGTAGAGGGCAAAGGGGGTTTGTACCTCGAGGGCGCGTCAGTGGCTGGCCCCGCGCCGGCGGATGGCGATGCGATTGAGTACGGGTATGGCGAGTGGGCGTTTGATGGTGAGAAAGAGGAGAAGCTGTGGGAGGTTAGTAAGGGGTTGGTTATCTCAGTGAACTCAGACCAGTGACGCGAACTTCGTTGTACCCCTCCCGCCACACCTTTTTTTAACCAATCACATCCCCAACCTACCCCCCCCACGAATTTCGCATCTCTGGTCTGAGGCAACTCGGGCGATTTTTGCCACAACAATCATTCAGCATTAAAAACAACAATAGCATCAACGCGTTTAAAGTAAGTCCTAATTGATCTGAAACATTTACTAACCTTATTATTAGTAAATATACGCGTTTGCCCGATTTTTTAAGCGTTCCGAGCGTTCCGGGGTGATAATTAGCCGTAATACCGGTCGCAACACCGGTCGCAACACCGGTCGCAACGTTTTTGGGAATATACCACGTTAAAGTCTATAACATTACAACGCAATGCCGTACGGGCATGCAAAATAGCTAGAAGGCTTAAGCAATTGAATTACTAGCCTCGAGTAAAAAAAAAATAAGCTATTTTGTACGTGGTTATGGGTATAGGCACAGGGATGTGGATATGGTATAGCATTTTTGGTGTTTTTAAACGTCGAGGCTTGCGATATTACAACGCAACGCTATACGGATATGTAAAAAAGATGGGAAGGTAGAGAAAGCATAGTACTAGCCCCGAGTTATAAAAATAGAAGCTATTTCATACGTTGTTGTTGAATATAAAGTCATCGTAGATATGAGGTTTAATTTTTAAAAGGACCTGTCTTGACGTGGCCAAAAACGCCCGAGTTGTCTCAGACTAGAATTCGCCAAAACTCAGGCTTTATGTTACCTTTTTAAGCCTTGGACCCACAGATACAATGACACGGGCCAGGCGTTTGTGTGGCGCCTGTGGCGCCGCCGGGTGTTGGCGGGCGCAGCCCGCCAATTCAACGAATTTTAGTCTGAGTTTACTGAGATAAGGGGTTGGTTGGTGTGGAGTGATAGGTATATGATTCTTAAGACTAGAGGGTTGAAAATGGATATAATTGTGATGCTATATCTCGTAGTCTTGAAGATATCCTTCAGCGAATTTATTTCATCGTAAGGTACCTCTACTCTACGCTCCTAAGTGTCTACGATGCAACCTTGAAGAACAAGATAGTTCAATCACTTAAGTATGAAAAAAAAAACTTGTCTAATACGTGCAAGCTGGGCATTTGTAGAGCAATGATTCTTGTACCATATTTGATTTGCTTTATACAAACATCAGCTACACCCCAAGCAGAAGCTAGTTGGACGAAACACAGCACACAAATTGAAGCTCGCACAAGGAAGGCTTATTCCTTTCTTTCTTTTTTTTTCTTTCCTTTTTCTGCGACTCGACTATGTCGCTCTTGGATTTGCGTTGCGTATCATTGATACGATCGACTGACCCTTATGTTCAAAAAGATTGACCTTTTCCGCTCTCGCTAACAAAAACACACAAACAAATTCATTAAATCAACATATCACAAACCGGTCCCGAAGCACTTCCAGAACCGCCCGCTCGATGCCTTATCCCGGCAGAGCTTGAAAACATGTCATAGTAACCGCCTCCCCGTCAATTGGATTCGTGACCATCGTAAGCCAGCACGTGTTAAAGAGCAATGTTGCCTTTATTCCTACCACCCATCACATTGTCGACTAGGCCCTTCCACATATTCGTAAGCATGCCCTGCTCTTGCTGTGGTTTCGCCTCCTCGTGGACGAACTTCAGCTCGACACCGTCGATGCCCATGCCTTCTACCTCGGTAAGGGCAGATGGGGATACGAGCTCTGGGTTTGCAGCAACGATGCTGATTTGGGCGGGGGCAACAGGGCCGTCTGTTGCCTCGGGGGTGTGGTGAGCGACGAAGTTGTCAGGGAGTAAAGGGACGCGGAGGTGGGCGAATGGGTCGTTAGACGATCCCTGAAGGGCAGCCGAGCCCGGGAAGAAGATATGGTCCATCGTGGTGGCATCGGCCTGAGTAGCTTGAGGAGCACTCGAGGTGAAGCTTTGCATTAAGCGCATTGTGCGAGGTGGAGGGTGAGGACGGTTTGACGATCGTGTGTACAGGTGACGGGAATGCTGATTGGTTGTTAGTCACTTACAAGTCGCTCTCTTAAGCTAGCAAACAGACAAGGTGCGTAGTTCTGTACTTACATCCGGATCTATATTCCTCTCCTTGAGGAGGTCTGCATATTTCCTCGACAGAGGAGCTGCATTTTTGGAGCCCGTAAGTAACGTGTTGGACTTGGGCACAGAGGCCGTAGCTGTGGTGCTAATTGAGCGGATGAGCTTTGAAGCCGGAGCTGTAAGGCGGGGACCAGCAGTCATGGTTGGAGCTTTTCGAAGGAGTTGGAAGCTCTAATATGCACGGACCAGTATATGTTAAAGATGTTAAGTTTGGAGAAACTGGGACGACGGTTTGAATTGTCGGAAGGTTCAATGGCTTAATACAAAAGGTAGAAAAGAGAACAAAGGAGGTAAGGAAGATGGGGGGGAGTATGGGATGATTATGAGTAAATAGGTACGATAGAGATACGATAGAGGTACGATGAGTGGCCCTTATTGTTGAGAGGATCGGAGGTCCGGGGTAGATAGGGTGAATAGGCGGTAGGGTGAGCTGACAAGGACCTGGTTGTCTGATGTTGTAGTGTTATGCTTGGTGTCTGAATGTACACACACTATGGCTACCTATGGTATGGCTTGTGGTACTATGTATACATATATGCACGAACGGCGGGGGACGGGATGATCGTGTCACCTATTCGACAGTCTTGATTCGTCCGGGGCGATAGTACCTATAACGCGGATATAAAGAGCCAAGGGCGGCAGATGGAGCCTTGCCTTGCTTCTAACCTAGGAAAGCTTGCGTAGTATTACATAGTGTATGTATGTATTAACCATGCTGCTTTTGATACTAGAAGCAGTGAAGCTGAAGGTCAGGCGGCCTCATCACCACTAATTTCTCTTAATACGCTATGTATAAGCTATTAATATTAGACCCGCGGATTATCCGCCAAGATCTATAGTGATAGACTTATTATTCTAGTATTTAAAGCGGCCAAGATACAATTCCCAGTTGACTACGGAATACTACATAACTAATTGTAACAAGTTTAGCATCAGAATAGCGGTGGCATGATGGTGTTGCAACTGATATTCAAACCCGCCTATGAGCCTACACATCTTTAAAAAAAGATAGATATAATAGAAACGCCAAGACTATGACCAGCATTTGAAAGGTCTCTAATGGGTCGTATTCTTCGTCGCGGGAACCGATGGGAGGCCAATAGGGATTCATGCCATGGAGCTTCACTGGAGCTTCGCTGGAACTTCACTGACAGCTTCCCCTTTGCTCTCCCACTCCCACCCGTTGAGAAGCGGAGCTATCAAAGAACACTACCGAGCCAAATTACCCCGGATAGGTACCTAGCGATCCGTATCATCCCCGGTGATCCTATAGCCATAACCGGTCTAGCGCCGTAGTCAACAAAACTCCAAGTCGAATCAATTTTTGTCTCGTCTCCCATTTCTGGTAAAGTTTACATGGCTATTTGCTTGGCGTCTGTTCTAGAAGAAGCTTGCTAATATTTCCCCTGAACAGAAAAGGAGGTCTATCGTTATCTACAAATTCCCAGAACGAAGGCGGAATTATGCTAATTAATATAATTGCGATAAGGTCAGTATATTGACTTTAAAAAAAAAGAATAAGAAGAAAAAAGATTATGGGCTTAAGTGTCGGCGATAAGGTATCTATGAGATACTCCGGCTACCGACGATTGTGCGGCCCACCTGTGACTTATGTAGCGACTTGTAGATGGTGTATATCGTCAATTGAATTCCCCAAGGCCTTATCTAAAGCATCAGTAGTTTGAGTCAGTATTCACTTAAAATCAATTAGCCTAGTTTAAGTCGCCAACTGGGTAAACCATAACGTAGACGGTGATGGGAGCAAAGTACAGATGAACCTTATTTTGAACCCGTGTGGGTGTCCGTCGGGAATACATGCTTCTAACAGGTATGCATTCAAACCTAGGTAATCTACTACTACGTCAGCGCAACCACCATATCGGTCTAGGTACGGATTATAGAATCTTACTAACGAACGCCATTCAAGCCACGAACAAGGGCTAGATCCATTCTACGACACGCCAAACCTTCGTACGAAATTTAATGGCCTCACTGTAATTCGCACCTGATAAGATCGGGCTGAAGGTTTATCCACGGGTTCCCCCTCTTCAAGTCTTAATTGATAAAGAAGCAAAACTCCTAGTTCAAGAGCTATTCAGGAGTAGAATAAACTAATAGATGTCAGCGGGTTTAAAAACCGGGTTGTACGGATAGCTATTATAAGTAAACTCCAGCAGTAGGTTAGTTAGTAGTAAGCCGAAATCCTATCCAACAAGATATATACGTCGTGACCTAAAATCCGTAGTCGAGGCACTAGTATCCGTAAGCCTCGTTACGTTGATACGTCGACAGAGACTACGTCCGTAGGTTGCCAAAATCTTCTTACCCGAAAGCTCCAAGGATGACGCCGTTGGAATGTAGCCTACTAGGAGCGTGTCTATTGCGGCATTTCCCTGTGCATCTAAAACGATGTTATCCCCACTAGCATAGTCACGGTCTAACCAGGCAGCTCGGTGGTATCTCGAAGCGAGTCATGCAAGAGTTCTGTGATTCTTAGCCTATTCGCTATACCTATCTGCCTATCATACTGCCATACTTAATGCATCTGGACTTGGCTAGCTTCTGACCCTTGGTTCAGTTAGTTGATAGCAACGTAATCGCACGCGAGTCTGGCAAAATATAGTCGAAGACTATGAATGAAATATAGTATGCTCACATGTACGACCAGCCCAACCCTTCCTAACAGAGTCAAACAGATAATGCTATGCCGTCTATCGTTGTTCCCGTATCGTAACCCATAAGTTTCTACATAATGCTTCCTATCCAGAGACCCATCAAAGTACCCAAATCGGCCCTTCATCCACCTATACCTTTTCCCAGAAGTCTAAACGGATATCATAACATAGCAATAAAATTTCCTAACCCTAACTTTAACTCCTCAAGCTACCTACTTATCAACGCTTAGATTCGGATTTTTAAGCTTCTCTTTTGCCTCCTTTGCCCGGTCATAAACGACTTGCAAGCTATTCGTCCAATTCTTATCAACTATCAGGTAAACTAGCAGACTGACGGGGATGGCGACGCAGAAGTACACCCAGATCGTCCCGGTGAGCTCCGAAACGTTGGTCGACATGCTGAAGAAGCTGGAGACGAAACTGAGAGGCGCAAATATCACGGCGAGATAGGTTAACCGACCTAATGTTTTATTTTGCTCAACGGCGCGCCGGCTCTCCTCGATTGCGGCCACAGCCGTGGCGACAGCAGCGATGCGCTCCGCGCGAGACAAGAGGTCTTGTATGTGGTCGGCGACGATGGTAAAGTCCTTTTTCAGATCGTCAATGCAGTCCTGGTGCTTGGAGCCCGGCTTGGAATCGGGGAAAAGCATTGTACGTGTATCGGCAACCATGGCTCTGTATATTGGAAGCCGCCGCCGCCACGTATGAAGCTTTTTAAGTGACATGTTGAAGTTTATAGACTCGCGTTGGAGTTCTTGCTTCTGTATATCGAACCATTTAGGGCTCTCGATTTCCCATTCAATCTGGCCTAGGCGCGCAGTAACATAACGGCTCAAGGTCAGCCACTTACGGTATCTGGAGTTAGCGAGTCTTTTCTATATATAGTTTATCACATGGGATTCTTGGGTGGTTTTATATAGCACGAAGTCCTATAGTACAGGAAGTGCGCGAGAAACCCACGATCAAGGAAATTAAATGATTTTATAGGGTACACTCACCTCAGCACATATGATCTCCAGAATGCGGAAAGCCATCGCCCTTGGGTTATTTTCGATGGCATCGATATCCTGCTGAGATGTTTGTCGAACCCAGAAAATCAAGTCTTCGAAGAGATTGGTTTTGGGGGGCACCTCATAACCCGTCCGGTTTTTGGGCGTTGGAGAATTCTTGAAAGGCCGATACCCTCTCCAGAGAGGATATCCTTCTGTAATCGAAGGATCGATAAGGAGAACCCCTATACGTATAAGCCAAGTATACGCTATACTCAAGTCAACTACGATAGAAATTATAACTCACCAACGGCTTGCTGGCCAGTTTTAGCCGGTCTAATCCATAGAGACGCCTTACTCCTAACAAGGGCAACTATGGCCGACTTCTCGTCAAATTGAGATTCATGCTCATCGTCAGCGTCAAGCCGTCGAAGCACATTGAACATCCCGGCCTGCTTTTGTGCTTTATTGAAGCTTTCTTGTGTTCTGAAGTATCGTGGTTGATTATAGGTTAAGCGGAAGTACGGCCGATCCCGCGAAACTATATCAAGGTCAGGGAGCTCGACCCACGGATCACGAGTATTGTACCATGTAAAGTCATTGATGTGTTCTCGAAAGAAGAGAGGGTCGATATCAAGCTTGGAACCGAGATGTTCAATGACATCTCGTGAAAGGTCTTCCACAATATATAATCGGCTGGCACCTGGTACGGCTTGCTGGTCTAGACATTGGGCTAGACTTTCTGGAGTATTCATATAATTGATAATCGGAGCTGGTTGCCCCGAAATGAAGTCAACGGACGCAACATTGGTCCGTCTAGCTCTCTCTCTCCGAATGCTGCTCAGCTGGGCGGGCTGTAAGTCTTTGATAAGCTGCCATTTATTAGGCGATGTCGTCACCTCCATCCATTGTGCAAGGTAGCGCAGATGAGGCCAGGCTGCGGACAATGACTTGACGTGCTGGAGATATGGCAATGTAGCTCTTAGATTTTATTAGCCATCAGTCCGTTCAGCCCGCGTATATACTTCGGGGAGGGGACAAACGTATCAATCTCCCAATCCTGCTCGTAACGAAAAGGCGGTCCGTCGTATACGTCTCCGTTGAAATATTCTTTAAATCTTTCCTTGCCAAGTCTTCCATCCGGAATGAGACAATTAGGATCCGACTCGTCCTCATCGTGCATATTAGGCATATGCGCACTCCCGTTACCTACCGCTCTACCCCTTGTAAGACGCTGCATGACTTTAGTCTTAGATAGAAAATAATACAAACAAAACTTTATAAACCCAAGTCTCCTATGTGTACCTCATAACCGAGACAAATATATAGAAAAAAATCAAACAAAGAACGAAGGGAACCCCCTCAAAATGGAAAAGATGAGAAATGACTTAAACATCTCGGTAGCTGAACCTGCTGTTTTATGTTTGCCAAGCGGGTCTCAATCTGCAAGACCGACATACAAAATACAGCCTGCGCCACACCTGAGACGAGGCTCTTCATGTTACATCGCATCTAATACCTAGCCCATTCTGCAAAGCATCGAGGCTGAGCTCTTATACGCAGTATGTACTATGTAGAGAGAGCTGTAGGCTTTGAGGCGTATTAGTCGAGGGAACCAATTCCACGAGGTTTATATTTAATCATCACGATGAAAAACAGCGGAGGCGTCGAATAGAATTCGCACACGATTTGATGTATCTTGAGAGAATTATTCTCGCCATAAGACATGTCGTACCACCCATACCACCCATACCACCACACCTCTTTAAATGTTTGCTTCTCGTGATAAGTCATTTATCTTTGCTCCATAAAGGCAGGGAAGTACCTGGAATGGATCAAAACTCCCCGCAGATGCAAAATGCACCTGGCTTACGAATCAGGCGTGAGTGCTGCTTCATTGCAACAAATAAAACATGGTCGAATTCAATGGAATGGTATACTGTCCCTAATGCCCCCCAACGCCAAGTGCTGTGAACCTACATTTCCCAAGCCGACGACCTGCCCTGCCCAATGCTTGCTGCCAAATATCGATCGCAACGATGATCGACTAAGGTCAAAACACATATGCCACTTTCCTGCTAATGACGTTTCTGCGACCTGTGACCTGTCTTTCGGATCTGCTTCATACCACAGGCCAAAATATCTCAACCTTACTAACTTCGGAATTAATAGACAACCTTGTCTAGTCCGTCTTCCAATGGTTGACTAAACCGCTGTCCGAGTCATCACTACCTAGATATAACTCGATAGCATAGAGACTCATTGTAGCGGCAACATTAACCCAACGCCAAGTATTGCCTCCCGAATCACCGTGTCGGAGTGTCCAGCCTTCTTCACCACCGCTGGCAGAAAAATGTTGAAGTAGAAGACTTGTATAGACGGAGATAAGGATAGAAGGCGAGAACCACGAGAGGAAGCCTAAAATGCGATTCGCCTCATCTGAATCATCTAAAGAAGGCTCCTCTAGAAGCGCACGCGCGCCTGATTCTCGTACTGCTGGAATAATACGAGTCGCGCAGTAAAATACGATCAGTCGGTAAGTTAGAGAAATCATGACCGAAGGTGCAATGGTCTGGAATGCGGCGTGGAGGAAGCTTAGGGAGGAGTATACAGCTTCGGGTAACAAATTAAAGAGATGAACGAGAGTCGAGTAGCTCGCCATAATGATGGGTGGCAGGGGCGGAAACTCTGGTTGATTTGCAGCTTGCTCTGCAGCGGCAGCCTGGGCCTCCGGTGACTGAACATAGTCGGTGAATATCTGATAGACGCATAGAACGATGTAGGCGAATAGTAAAGACGACTCAACGGGATTACCGCGGCCGGAAAGAATTCCTATCGCACACAGGAAAACTGCAGAGGTAACAGTCACGCCGATGAGGGTGGCATCGATATTGCTGATAGATGGGAATAAAGCGACCCGCCATAGGAAGTAGACGGCACTGGCAATGATGGAAGCGGATAGGATCAGGAGAATAAGCTAATATAAGTTAGCAGCTAGAGCTAGGTAAAGAGTGAAAATAACAAAAGAGACTACTCACAACCCAAGTATCGCTTCTTCCACGGTTTACAAGCCATCTCGAAATTTGACCTGCGGCTTGGATAACCAACAGCGTACAGAAGCCTTCGGCAAGTTGGAAGACGGGGCTTGAGTAACACAACATCTTATCCCAAGTACCAAGAGTTACGGATTCAACAAACCCGCCATTGCCGAAGATCCAATCGGTCCAGGTAGCAGTAGGCTTTTGACCACCAAACCCACCGATTGTTCTCGATACCCAGTCGGTGCTGTTAGCATCAACAGCAAAATTGTGCAGAGACCATATCAAGAGGGTCGGAATCACAATCCACTGAGAAGACTGAAGAAACCTGGAGACAACCCAGCCTATGCGCGAGTTTTCGGGGGTGGCAAGCTTGACAGCGCTGTATACCAGGTAGAAACCGAAGAGCGACAGGCTGTAGGCCAAGCCGCTGTCACGTCCGCCTACATCGAAGGAGATGGGTATGGATAGTACGATGGTCAACAGGAAGACGGAGCTGGAGACGATGCGAAAAAACCACCACATGGGCGCGATGGTAGTGGCTGCTGCCGCGCCGAGGTAGCGAGGCTTTCAGCCAGGGCTGTTGTAATGTGTTCGGTTCGTCTTCGGAGGATGCCGTGAACGTCCGTGAAGGAGGATAGTGATTGAATATCTCGCCCGAGCGCGTCAATACCGAGATGTTTAAATTTGCGAGGTCATTGGCGATATGATTATGTATGGCTAATAGAGAGTCGTCGCGTCGAGAAGAGGGGCTCAGCTTGTCTTGTTCTTCCCTAGCCGGGCAAGTTTCCAAACCAAGGTTTTTTTTTTTTTGAATTTTTGATCAAGGTGGCCCTAATCGAGCTAGGTACTAAACCGTTCTTACCCCCCGAGGTTTTTGCACTTGACAAACTGCACCTGCCAGCTGCCTTATCGCTTATCTGCACGTGGCTGAATCGTTCGCAAATACTAACCCTGCAACCTTAGGTACCTACAGCTATCTGCCAACTTTGTTTCACCCTGACGGTTTTCTTCTTGCACGTTGCCGAGAAAAAAAAGAGATAGGTTTAGAGAAAGTTCCTCCAAAGAAACTAAGACAAAAATAAATATAAATCATCAAAATTATCGAAATGTCACTGAATGCGCTGGCTGGACAGACAACGACCCTACATGTCATTTTCTTAATCGGTCTTCTTAATCGGACAAAAAACGGCATGTGCTACTAAAAAAGGTCGCGTGTACATCATGCATGTACATCCCATCACTCATTAACTCGGGCAATGGCGCAAGGCATGGTTGGATTAAATTCAGTAAAACGCCCATAATTATCTGCAAGCTTAATCATTCACCGCCCTTGCCTGCCTTGTCACCATCAGCCCAGCCTAGCCTCTCCCCCTGTCACGCCCCCTTGCCCCTCTTTAAGCTTCAACGCACACATGTCATATCGTCATATCCTTTAACTTATGTACGTCCTCGACCGTCACATGGTTTGATTAATCTTATCAATCTATATACAAATCACTGTAAACTTGATACTGACGTTTACAGTGTTATACCTAAATCGTTCAACTTACTTTTATAGCTTGAAAAGTAGCTCAATAGCAGGGACTACCTTGCTTAGGGCACAACTATCTCTATTTTCTTCACTAGTCCTAAACTTCATTCGGTCGAGATAATTAGGTACCTATTATCATGAAAGCTATAACAATAGCATAGTCAACAGCTTAACCATATCGTGTAGTAAAGCTACCTAATTATTGTGAGTATAATACCACAAGGTTATCTTCAAGATAATTCTCACAATTACTATTTATTCTAAGGCCATTGAGTTCACCTCTTGATATTCCAACAGCACATAGACCGTTCCAGTTTATAGCATGAGCTCCCAGATCGGCAATTTGACCGCTTTTTCAATTGCTACTTACATTAATGATTATGTGGCCACAGACACGTCGTACGAAAATACCTAGGAAGCTGAGTTGGAAATATTTATTAGTATTCTTGTCTCCCAGCAAGCCATTGGTACAGCAGGAGACTTACATTTGTGGCACATTTGGGGATATATCATGCTTGGTAATTCTCGTTGAAGGGGCTGCTACGGTACCTATACATCTTTTTAACCATAGCCCAGAGCAATTCCATACAGAGTTGCTGAGAATGTATAAGACCCCAAGACCACCCCAAGGCATTGCGAACAAAGGAAGACTACACGTAGACAGGCCCATGGCACTGGGTGGTTAGGCTTGTAGTTTTTTGTGTAAATGATATATCGTTAGGTAGCATTGTGACACCGAACTTCTATTTTCGAACTCGTCCCAGGTCCCCCCGGCTTATACATACCTACATACATAACATCGTACCATTAAGCATACATACATACATGTTCACGGCACTAGCCGACGACTTGTAGTTCTATTTCTATTACACATGAATATCAAAATGTGGATCCTGTTGAAAAATGCCAAACATTCATGAACCATCGTACATACTCAAATTTCCCGAGGGGCTTCCGTAGGTCGAAGTTGCTAGAAGGTAGTCTTTGTTGATAGGTAGTTAAGCTCTTCCCTCATGCCTACTGATTTTCAACCTTCAGTCAACAACAAGATATTCATAGCAATAAGATCTAGACTTAAAGACCGACCGCACCCTCATATATATAAGAAGAAGAAGAAAAATCAATTCTCAGAAAGACTATGTCTCATTACATCGTGTACGAAAATCTCTAGTACCAAAGACCGCGCGGTCCAAGTTCGTGTCCTTCGCCTATGTAACAAGCAAGCAGAGGAAAATACGAAAAATGGACCTGGTCTAGATAGTATCGGCTGCCCTACGCCCATCGGAGTCCCAAACGAAAGCATTTACCTAAGAAAGGAACATCAGGTCGCCCTCCCATATGCCTAGGGTAAATGCCGCTCGGTTCCGAAATGGAGACCTAAAAAGAAACCCCAAATGCATGCCTATGTAGGACCGTAACTCCGGTAATAACTCCAGACCACCGTCCTGAAATGCCGTGCCGATAGCCCTCACTCAGCCCCATTAGCAAGCTTCTCCTTCCTCAGCGCCCACTCCACCGCTTCCTTAACATTCGCCGCCGTGTGATCGGGCTGATGCGCAGGCACCGAGCCAGGAACATGGACGCCCGTCTCAACAAGCACGCTCTTCCACTTATATCCGCACCGGGACTCGAAGTTCTTCGCGCCGGCGATATCGCTCCGCGGGTTATCGCCGATCATGTATACCGTGCCGATCTCGCGGGAGGGATTCAACTTCTTGGCGTACTCTCGCAGCACCTTCTCCGCGTAGACGTACGTGGTCTCCGTCGGCTTGCCGATGCTTGTGTACAGCAGCTCGCCTGCTCCGCCCGTCATCTCCGCCCAGATGCCCTTGAGCGCCGCCAGCGCCGCGCCTTGCGCGAGCCGGGGCTCGTGGTACTCGGTGCTCCATAGGAAATCCGGGTTGCAGAAGAATAGCTTGGGCTGGTTGTCCTGCTGGTACCCGTTGTTAGGCAGAGAAGGATCGCCGTTCTTGGGCGATTTCGTGCCGATAAAGCCGCCGGCCGATAGCAGAAGATCGGTGATGATCTGTAAGTCTAGGCCCAAGTCACGCGACGAAGACCAGAACATGATGGCTGATATCGGCGTGGTGTCCAGTACGTTGTTATTGCGCCCGTACTTTTCGTGGTGAGCCTTAGTCATTTCCGGGAACGGGTGGATGAGTGGACGCTCGGCCATGATATCAGATGACGTGAGCACCTTTTTGAAGCCGTATTTATGGGCTAGATCTCGAATCTGATCTCCATGGGCCCCAAGGACTAGAACTGTCTTGTCGCCATACTCGGACACGAGGTCGTAGTAAGGGGTATGCGACTGTACGAACTGTTTCGCGTCGAGGGTGAGACCCAGCCGCTGACCCAGCTTCTCAACTCGTGTTTGCTCCGTGTGTCCGCCGCCATTCGTTAGGAAGATGAAAGGGTCGTTGCGTCTCTGCAGCAGCCGAATAGTTTCGCGAGCTCCTGGGATCACCTTCTCGCCCCTAATAAACACGCCGTCGACATCGAATACAAACGCGGATAGGGAGTCCTTGGGGTTAGCCCCGTTTGCTATATGCCTTCCGGGCATGTCTCCGACATAAAGCAACTGGGTTCTTCCAATCTTGTTGCAATGTCTCTGAATTTGTGTTGCTCGAACGGTACAGAAGCAGCACTGATGCGATGTCGAGTTCTTTAAGTAACCCGTCGAACTTGTGGCCGTGCGATAAATACTAGAGACTGATCTGAAACCTGCGTCAAGCCGTTAAACAAGACAATGCACCCGAGGCAAGAACATATGCTTATCAATCTTGTCAGTTACCTGCGAGGGGAAGATATTTGTAGAGCGATTATGTAGGCACCCACCTCAGAGTGTTTGCCGGTCGGTCCCCAGTTGTGCTTATATTTTCCTAGGAAAGAACAAAGCCATGTTTATATTCATGACTATGGAATACATACCTCATTCGTTCCTTCATTTTTATATGCTAAATCGACTGTGCACATATGTGGTCATAGTTTGACTCCGTTGGCCTGGATACAGCAACTTAGCCTCGTCTCTTAGCAACTCTGGATGGCAACGGAGATAGATAATCCTTTAAACAATAGCAAAAGGTCATAATTTTAACCTAACTAGCCTGGAACTCAAGAATCTTTACGGTTTCAACGATAGGATTAGTTCAGACGTTCAAAGTTTATCAACTGCCGCTCAGACAAATTTAAACCCGTTGCAGCCCTCCTACTTATAAGGGGGAAAGGAGTGAGAGCACGAAATCCCTTTATTCTTTTCCATCATTCCGCTACTGAAGGACCCGGCAACGTGGGGGATCGTGATACCTATTATCGTACAGATATGAATACGTTTCCATATATACTATACTGAAGCAAACGTGTTGACGTGAGCGGTTAATATTATATTTAAAATATAATCAATTTACTTTTTTATATTATTTTATATATTATATCAATTTTTCTGGGTAATTTTTGTGTTACTGCAATGTTACGACCACCCATTTTTTGGTGGCTTTCCTGATTGGGAAGATTTTGCAAAAATAGACCAATCAGAAGAGCCATGGGGTTCGTAACATCACACTCACTCCCAAAAGAGCTCCGATTTATTAAACTACCATTTGTTACCTTTCAACTGGCTTGTCCAAGCGCACTGATGCTTTAATAGTGACAAGATACTTTATATGAAGGGGCAACGGAATATCCATTTATTATTTCTACTACTATTGTCGAACACAATGTCTTAAGCAATTCATCGCATTCGTAAACGAAGGTTTGACTCTCTAAGCACACCCTCAGTGTCTACCCGTCTATGGGTACAAAGACAACCTCATCGCTGTTAGCCGCGGACCATAGGCACAAACGGCATAGCTAACAGGGGACACCCAGCCTGATACGCCTGGGCATCATATTTTACCGAGCCGATCCCGAGTAGTTCCTGTGATACGCTACTACCTACGGCTCAACCCCATTAATGGAGATTTATTTCATCTCCCGTAATATAATCGTGCTTTTCAGAAGCAAACCTGAAGAAACGATATCGCTGTAAATCATAGGCTCATACAGGGCACCTAGCCCACTTCGTGTTGTTTGGTTCCATGCCTCCAGTCGTATTCTGTAAAATGGTCGAAAGAGGGGGTATCGAGTCTAAGACTTTAGGCCGTTCCTTCTATAACGTAGGTGTTTTTTTGTTTCTTTTAGTCGAGTAAACGGATGTCATCCGCAAGGACAAGGTGAAAACGCAAGGCGCGGAAAATGCAGTGAAAGATGCTGACCCGGGACGGGGTCTTCGGGTATTATTAGTACATGATGAAAGTATAAAAGCCTTGGCTAGCGACGCTCGCTGAAATTTTCTCTATCCCGGTCGGATTCTTGGACTGCAGGGCGAGGAGGATTCTGGTGAGGTTGCGCGTAGGAATGTTGGCGGTGATGATATGGAGAGAATTGCTCGTGTGGGGCTTGCGGATGGATACTAGTAGGATGCTCGTATCTACCGATAGGCCCCTGGGGAGTATTGGTATGGCTAACTGATGGTGTGCTCTGGTGACGTATGTGTCTATAACTGGGGTCGAGGGGAGGGTGACCTGGCCCCGAAGTTGACAAAGGGGGTGGATAGAAACCAGGGCCTCGTTGGTTCGGTACTGGCCGACCATCATAATAGTTAGGAATCATAGGGGTTGGTTGAAATTGCGCCGGAGGTATCATGCCTCTACCGTAAGATGCCGGATCTGTGTAATAGGCTCCTAGCATTGGAGCGTGGTTGAAAGGAGTCCGGAAAGTAAAGCCGGGATGGGCGCTGGCGGCTTCGGAAAAAGACCGCTGGTGGTTGCTAATTCCCGGTGCTGCGCCCATTGGCTGAACTTGATTCCGCTGAGGACCTAGATTAGGCCAACGATTGTAGCCGTATTCTGGGGCTCTGGCGGTATCATGGCGGTAATATGGCTCCTCGGCACGGCTTTCTTGGATATTGCCAAAGCCTTGGCGATGGGAAAGAGGATGGATGGGGGTAGGATGCTCGGGTAGCCTTGAGTTCATGAATGTATGAGGAGCATTGTATAGAGATGTGCCTGATATACGCCGACGCTTATCACTAGGATGTAGGTGCACATCTTCTTCGTGTCGGACATACGCGGGTTGGCTTACGCGACGTATCATCATGCGCGGCTCGGGCCGAAGAGCGACGCCAACTGACTGAGAGCGTTTATGGATTTGACTGCTGCCAGGGCTACCTCTCTGCCTCGTTATCGTCTTAGGTTTCGTGTCATTCGGGGTCTCCATGGAGATGTTTGGGAGAATCTCTATGTCGGGAATCTGAGTACTCTGGGCCTCTCTTATCTCATTCCTCATGCGAGCAACAATTTCTTCAATCTCGGCCGTGGTATACCCACTGCCACACCGGTCACGTAGCCAATCAGGCACGGCAGTACCGTTCATGACAGCGCTGTCCGGTATATCGTCTTCTTCGTCTTCGCTATCTTCACGATGAGAACGCTTCCTAGCGGATTTTTCCTGGATACGAGCCTGCTCTCTTTTCCTCATGGACAATGACCAATCCTTGATTACTCCCGGCTGTCCAATTCGCCTATTTTCGTCACTCCATTCCTGAACACGGCGGATCTGTTTCTGTACCAACTCACATTGGGTGTCAGCCCACTCTGGACCATTACGATAACGACTTCGTTGGTAATGTTTGCGACAGTAGTGAACCCAAACTTTCGGAGGTATGTTTCTGGTGCACGTCTTATTCCGTCCGAAGATGTGCGAAATGGCTTTGCGGAGTGAAGATCCCGTCTCGCAATCCTGCTGATACATACAGACAGGACTTCCATCCTGGGAAAGATGATTAGCGAAGGCTGGTGGAGGGGGCCTCGCCTCCATGCCGTAGACCGGTCGATTGTAGGGGCGAAGTTCAACACGATGCGGAGGCGATAGAGGACGCTGGAGCGCAACAGACTGGAGCGCAACAGAGAGCGGAGGAACGGTTCGATCAATCCCTTCCGTGACATTGAAATCAGGGGCGGAGATAGCCCTCTTGTGCACTTTGGAAAAATCAATAGGGGCGAGACGATTCAGATCAGGCTTAGTGTCTTTGGTACTAAGGTAGCGTTAGTAGATAGAAAATAAATACTAGATGTGACCAAGGCTAGACAATAAGCCCTTGGCTTATATATAAATCTGAAGGAGATGTGATTAACAAGACCTTAGGAAAAGAGAACATGTGGTATCTCGACAGATGGTCAAACACCATCATGTTGAGATTACGTGATGGTATGAATAAAGGTGGTTTAAGTTAAGAAACTTAGCACTTGAGATGAACTAAAGGGCATAGTAGGTCTAATTGGGTATGATAATGAGGGTTTTGAAGGTGGATAAGCTTGTATGTGTAGGACTAGGTGCAGGACCGGCAAATCGTTGCACAAACTAAAAGTGACTGGTGATTAAACCCCTGAATTTGACCCATGACACTTGACTCGGTGATCGGTTTGACGATTTCCGTCTGACCAATAGACCAATAAAGAATAACTTAAAACTTAAAGTAACTTGTCTTGAATGGCTATTGAAAAAAAAAAAGTTTGAAAAATAAAAGAAAAGAAAAGAATGCATACTCACATGGTTGCGTCTTGTCTATCAGTCCGATTTGCACTCACACAGCCCCTCGGCATTAACATGGTATCGGATGGTGAGCTAGATCGTATTGGACTTATGACTGGTGCTTCCGTACGAATCGAAGGCGGGGAAATGATTGCTTCACTTGCTGGTTTCTGGTTCGTACCTGGAGACCATGTCTTAGGAATCGTAAGCTCGGCACGGTCGAATTGAGTGTGTTGGACTCCACCAACCGTAGACATAGATGAAATCCTCGAGTGGGATGATAGAGTCGACGAGGAGGAGAGGCTACTATAACTCTCGGAGAACTTGTGTCGTGGCGATCTAGGACTACCGGATCCTGCAGGCGATGTAGTATTTGATGTTGAATGTACTGTCGCCCGAGTCGATTTGGTGTCTATTGGCGGGAGGGCGTATCCATCGGCGTTCCATGGTGTCCTACTTCGACGTGGTAACTTCGTTTCGTGCGCAGGGGCCTTCTCTTGGGCTGGAGTACGCGGAGAGGATGGATGGCCTGCCGTCGTCTCTGTCGTCTCTGTCGCCTCCGTCGTCGACGGCATCGAGCTGGTGCCATGGTCCACGATGTCCCGCTCATCGTCCCGCCCATCGTCCCGCCCATCCTTATTTGTAGCTGTTTCTCCTTGTACCAATGAGGATGAGTTCAGCAATGAGGTAACATCCATACTGCAAGCAGCCAAGAATGCCAGCTCAAAATATAGCCTGCTCTGATGTCCTGGCTCCAGTCCACGAAGTTGAACCGTAGATAACGCTATGTCGAGAAGTTATAGAGGGACTTGTTGCCAGCCCTGCTGGTAATTATAAAGTGAACCACAAGAACCCCGACAATAATTCCCAGCCCGTTTGGATAGTCGTCCAGCAATTTGAGTTAATACGAGGCCAGCTCTTGGTTGAAGCCGTGCGTATGTTAATTGAGCTTCGCCCTAAAACGACATATATAAAATGCGCTGTTCGTGTAGCTGGAATCCGCAACTCGTCGTCATCCGCCATTCCCACGAAAATATCGTATACCCAAAGGGATTTTAACATCTAGGAATCGAAGCACCCCATTAACAAGGCGAGCAACAGCCTTCCTCACGCCTTATACGCTGCTAAAGTAGCAACCTAACCTATACGCGGGCTTGGTGGGAAGGTGCCTGATATGCCTGACTGTGTTGGTCCCGTACAGCAACACGGTGGTGATTTCCTTTCCTCCTTTCCTCTGGCGTAAAGAGGAGATGATGTCACGAAAACGTATGAGTAGGTTTCTCCTTCTTGCCATATAATTGTAGGAAGGTAAGAGCAAGTGACCTGACCGAATTTAGATAGACTGTGTACGATGTGTACGATGTGTAGATGTGTAGATGTGTACGATGTGGGGGATCCTAAGCTTTTGTTGTCCGGGGAAGGTGTAACCAGGATCTAGTAGGAGTAATAGAGTTATCGACACGGATCGACGCTAAAAGAAACTGATGAGCTGTAAATGATTGAAACGATGGATGCGACTTTGCGTTCGAAGAAAGAAGGCAGGGTGGTGTGTAGTGTGTACCTTGCTTGCGTGGCCACTAAGACGAATATTCTCCTAGTAAAGGGAGTCGGATTATGGGGGAACCGAAGAAAAAAAAGCGACAAGAGTACAATTAAACCCCCTGCTATTCGATGGAGCTTGTCTGAAACGTCAAACTAGTTGCAGGCCCGATTTGCTCTTCATAATATTTATTCTCGGTAGTTAGTTAAGAGTCAGTAATAGATATGTTAAGAGCCTCCTTCCTCGGCCGGTCTAGGAACCCTCAAGGTCAAATACGGATAAGAAGTGTGGTCACCTTGGAGGTGTCAGAAACGAGAGAGGAACAGGTGCTACCGAGGTGGGGGGGACGCAGGGGAGCCGGATAGAGATACCAGAGCGAAGTTAGGACGACATTCACGGGTGGTATGTTCACGGGTGATATGTCCGTTCTAGCAAGAGAGGAGCAAGGCTGTGCCACTGCTGTGTGGGACATAGGGGAGTAGATGAATACATATGATAACCTCTTAGGAGTGGTGTAACTTGGGGTATCCGAAAAAGAAACAGATGCTTGTCTCCGAGTTTGGGCTCAAGTCGTTAGGAGGCTAGAACGAAAGCTTGTCCTGAGTCCGAGGCGGAGGCCGATCAGAAGCTGTTGATGTGTTAATAGACGAATAAGCTAGGCAAGAAGACGCTTGTCATGGTTGACATGGCTAACAGACGATCACTATAGGATGAAAGGGTATTATTCTAGAGCAAAGTTACTAACTCTATGGGCTTACGTGGATATCTCGATATATGCAATGCGCCGTCAGTTGGTGAAGTTGTTCCGCATACCCTATGGTAGAATCACGAGTAAGTTCTCGAAATCTCTATGGTCGTCAAGGATCTCGCCTGCATCTTTTTTTTTTTTCGAAAGCCGTATGGGAATGTGGGGCTTACAGGACGGGATAAGCCAGATGGTAGTTCTCTAGGGTTTAGGAACGACGTGTAAGTCGTTTTGGAGGCCGCTCGTGTGTCAGATCGATGTGTTGTAGATCATGGCGTCAAACGTTCCATTTGAAATCGCTTCTCCGTGATCTTCGCAGGGTCTAGTCCGACTAGGATACCCTTGAATTGAATGCTGAAAATGCTCAAGTTCGCTGAAGATTAACCATATAGTGCAGTAGTGCAAAATGAACGAAGACGATATTGTCTCTGAGATGAATAGACGAAACGATGTAAGATTGTCAGATATATATCTGAATAAAAGAAAATCCGAGCGAAATCTAGAAAAGCATAAACTACCTAGGTAACCATTTCCAGTATAGAATGAATCCTCGTCTACGTTGCTCTATTAGTAACTCTGTTTGTAGCTTTGATGAGTCTACGTATGAATATATTTTAGAAATGCAGTTTTCTTTCAGTGCGTCTGTCACAAGGGGTTGCAACATCCACCCCGTATTATTTATCTATGGCCTCTACGCCACAACCAAGGTGAAGCTATAAACGTAAAACCCATGATAGCATCAAGTCGTCAAGGCGGGGCTTTCCCGGGATGGCCCTCGCGTGCATGCACTAATACTCTAAATAGGTAGATCTGACCGAGCCAATAAACGAATCTGTGCAGTGCGTATGTACATGATTGTACATAGATATATAAATATATAAATATAAATGAGAATAGAGATGTATTATAGGCGCGTATTGTGAATGAAAAGATGATATGATCAGTACCCAGCTTAGTACTGTGATATGATCGACGAGCTGAGACCCTCCCTCGTGGGCCTGAAACCTTTATGCGGTGTTTGACGCTGAAAGGTTGCCAGCCGCTAAGATCAGAGAGCCGCGATCCAAGACCGGATTACGGCTTGGCCGACGACGGGGTATTCTACACGCACTCAGCCTCCGATCCCGTCGGTATGTACCGAGCATCATAAGGCGAAACCGCTGCTCACCGATAGCGTTTAGGGGTTGTATGTTATCCAGCGATGAGGCTTTGGCTATTACTTTAGAGTCGAACATAGCAACCTCATAGCAACCTCATAGCAACCTCATAGCAACCTCATAGCAACATGGCACGGTGGCCTTCCTAAGCGGGGTGGAAAAATCCCAAGCCACTTACCAACTGATATAGATCAGGCACTGCAAAATACCTGATGTACGCAGTAGTGTATGCAGCTAAGTGTACCTGGCATGCAGATATGTAGGGGCTATTGCATGTCAATCTGTTCATCTGATACAAATGACAAGCTAAGATCGTTGCAGTGGGAACTAATTAGACTAAAAGCATTACTATTAAAAGTACACGTAATCGGACTGTCAAAAATTATAATTTTCTTAAACTCAGATGGCTTGCTTGATCGAAACTCGAATTTGAGACTACATGTTTGGGGATCTTTTTGAGTTTAGAGGTTGTGTCGTATTAGGAACTACTGAGACGCCTAGTGGAGAGACCCTTTGGTTGTTTCAGTGGAAGTTCAGCGGTCCCAGCAGGGTCCAGTCTAGCTACATAGGTCATGTAGCTAGGATCCAGCTACATAGGCGGCAATACAAGGTACCTCTAACATCACATCCATGTGATATGAGATAACAGCGGTATTAAAAGAAAAGGTGAGCTTTCGTCTTATCTGCTATCTCATTGATACCATTTATAAGTCCATCTACCTCTTACATCCCACCACTTACACCCAAGACCCAAGTCCTTTTTTCCTACTTATTAACTACCTCATAATGCAAATGCTGGCCTCGTGACCCGGTTGACCAAACCCCTTGTGCGGATCTCAACCCTTCTCCACTGCTGCAAATACCCGCTGCTTGCGAAGCGAACAGCCGAATCGAGATGCTATCAGTTTCATATGGGACCATGGGCTGCTGTTGCATCTACGTTTTGACTTCGCCTTCGCTACCGGCTTTTTCATCTGTGACTAAACTCTAGGGTTTAGTTGCTTGCGTAAGAAAGCATCCATCAGATGCTCAAAGTATGAACCCGAAGTCCGTATTTAAAGGGCGGCCTCATGTCATATGTAGACCGGAAGAGTCGGCGCTGAAAACAAGTTTTCTTGGCGGTTTCAGCCATATGCCATCAATAATATACGGGTGTTGACATCGAACTCAAGTTCCAGCTAAACAAATAGTCTAGGTAGTCTCAAGTGAAAGGTGTCAGACTCCGTCTGCGAATCAAGAAAGCCAATCCTCGTGGCAGAAGATAGGGGAAAGAAATCGGTGCGGTAGGTAGCCTCGTCTACGAACTAAGGAGTCCCTAAACACCCGTCAAATGCGGCTGTCCTGGTACCTAACACAAGGGAATTTCTCCGAAGCATGTGCGATTGGACGGACCGTCTGACAACAACCGATTCTATAACTCTGTGCGACCCGGGAGACGACCAAAGCCCCAGCCACGTCATCTGATGTTCGATCCCGCCGAGCTAAAGCACATTCGATGCTCATCGCCGGAGGGCTAGAATTCGCTTTGTCGTACACGCTGACTTCCCATTGACCAAACTGGACCTGCTCTTTTCAGTCGTCATCCTCGGCATCAACACTTTGTATATCGTATACGCTGGTAGATATGACGGTTAGATGCTTTCACGTGCCATGTTGCGCGCCTAGGTGCAGCAACTTGGGACGTGTTATGTCGCCAGTGTAGACTTATCGAATAGACCTCTTTTATAAGTCATACCGAGGAAGGGAGAATTGAGAACTTAGAATCGTGCCTTGCTCTGCAACTACCCTCAACGGAGATTTCGTGGCCCATAAACCGGTAGCTTACAGGAGACCTTTTGGCCGGTTGTCGAGCCGGGTGCCACCAACACTTGGCCGCCATAGTTTCACGCAAACACACGTTAGGCTTCGGTCAACAGATAGTATGTTGGTCGAAGTGCCTGATTTCGGAGAGATCTGGTCATAGAAGCAAGTATCCGACAGATGACAGATCAAGAGTTGGTCTCGTCTCTTGCGGTCGAGAGACGACTTGCATCACTAAGGTACAGATGCCGCTTCCCGTATTCACAAGTAACATTCCTCATTCCTCTCCGGAGCTAGGTAGTTGTCTACCATCGTGCGATTTTTCAGAGTCTTATTTATTCAACGCAATATGCTTCGCTGCGTTCCGTAAACGTAATTCGTGTAAGTAGAGATATTAAGAAATTGGTGAAAAAGGCAAGATAACGTATAATATCTAAGTTAGGTTAGGTACTCAAAAGAACCATTAATTCACGTGCTATTTATGCCCATTCCTATCTTAGAACTACGCCTATACACTAGTCCTCCCTAGAGCCACTCGGCTCAACTCAAATTACTTAGCAATCATTCCATACATACTAACATATGAATGACTCGCTGACAAATTCGTCCGTAGATTCGGCCGAATCCTCTTGGCATCAAGTTCAGGGCCAAATAGACATCTCTTCGTAGCCAGCAAAATGAAGAATACCTGTCTTCCAAGAACTAATCTAGTATTTTCTCTATAGTATGCTACTCTATGTGTGTGTGTAAAACAACTTTTCTCTTTACTTTATTGCAGTTCTTGTAGAGTTGTCACGGAGCTTCCCGCGCATAGATACCTTAGGAGGTACCTAAGTAGGGTGTGCTATACCCACGACTCGAACTCACGAGGAACAGAAAAGACCTACAAAACGTGGCCAATCTTAGGCCTTCACCTACTCGCAAAGTCAAATACAAATGTCTCACCCCGCGACGCGAAGTTCGAGTGGGGGCGACTCCAGTGCGAAAAGAAGAAAGATTCGGAAGGGGACGCGGAGTTGTTGGGAATGTAAGTCTCTCTCCAGCTAGGTGCACAAGGGTACTAAATAGATGCTAAACATACTCCCATCGGAAAGGTAGAAGGAGGAAGACTCGTTGCCAATATGCGTCGGCTACAGCTGCTATCTGCACTGGCTGTGAGGTCCGGGGGACGGCCTGCTTAAGCCAGGAGTTTCCAGACGAGCAGCCCCCAGCTTCAGATAAGGGGCTATCGCAGCGACTGAGTAGGGTAGAGGGTCTGTTAGAGAGACTCGTGGAGCATACTGCGTCTCATTCTTATACTCCTAGCCAAGCGGGCGAGCCCTTTACTTCCTCCGTCTCGGCCGAAGACGAACTAGATTCGTCACCCAATATGCTCCGTCCGTCTGCGGCCGAGCATCCCCCCGTCATGGGTATCTTCGACGCTCTGCGAGGAGACAGCGGGTCTAGCGCTCTAATACAGACGTCTTTCGTGCCGACCCCAGCATCAACGCAGGCCGAGCTGGTGCCCACCCTCCCTGCCAAATATGCCCAGATATCGAAGACCCTCCATGCGACGTTCCCATGCCAGCACGACATCGATGCTATACTGGCGGTGGGCCCCGGTGCGGCATTCGTCGTAGCATACTTCAACGGCTATCAGGGCCTATATGAGTCTCCATCTACCGTCTCGGAAGTCCCGCCTGTGTCGAGCCACCCTGCCTTGCTGGCGAAGCGCTTGATGCAGCTTATCCTCTGCATACAGAGGATATCTACCAAGAACTTCCCGAAAAATCTCATCTCGAGAGAACCGATCCGAGCTCAGGTAGGCAGATATGTCAATGTAGTTTCGGACCTTGTTGCTTCTAATGATGACCTTGTCGGCTCTGCTGAAGGTCTCGAGATTCTCGCTCTAATTTCGTTATATCAGTAAGTTCCCTACATATGCCATGTTTTCTCTCTCTCCCTGTGGGTTATCTAGTGCGTCAAAACCTCGTCGACCAAGTCTAGTTGTAAGCTCTCCCCCTTCTTCCTGGGAGCACTTATTAATCTTTCAGCAGCTTCCCCGGCATGTCTTGTTATACTATAGAATGGGAATAAGCACCTTATTATTAACAATGCTAATCTTCTTAGTGCCAACGTGGGCAATTTGCGTAAGTCCTGGCTAGCCCTCCGGCGCGCCATCGCCGTCGCCCAGCTCATGGGTGTGGCTAGATGGCCGGACGATAAGCCACTGAAGTCGGTCGACCCGCGATCGGACCCGGCAACTCGCTCTCGAGGCAGTGCGTTATGGCATCGCATGAACTTCTCTGATCGCTACTTGTCTCTACTCCTCGGCCTTCCCGCCGCCAGCGAAGACGATTCCTTTGCTACCCCTGGGCGAATAGACGCCGAACTTCCATCAGATAGGCTTAGCAAACTGCACTGTGTCATCAGCGGCGCTATCATTAAGCGGAATGCGAGCTATAATGGAAAAGGAGCGGCAGCTACGGATGCTAGCTTTCGCACAACACAAGCTATCGACCGCAGCCTCGAGGTTGCTGCTAATTCTAGTATGGAGTTTCTACCCCTAGTATCTCCCCCCCTTTCCCTTTTCATCATTCTTGAGACATCCTCGAGCCCTAAAGGAATAATAGCTAACTCCTCGGTACTAGTCAGCGCAGAGTGGTGGCAGCCGGTAGAACGTCCCGACACAGCCACCGCATCATCAAAAGAGCTGATAGACGCCCACACGCATGTAATGATGCAGATGAATCATTACCACCTGCTCACCCTACTTCACTTACCGTATTTGTATGTAACGCTGAGGATTCCTTTCCCTTGCTATCCTGCGTCAGGAGTTGATATTACTTCATCGGGCCGACTGGACCCCTTGCTAGAGAGGCAATCATTAACTCATTAAACAGTATCCGCGACCCTAAAGAACGCCGCTGGGACTACAGCAAGACAACATGCCTCCATGCCTCGCGCAAGGTTCTTGAAGCCTACCTCGTCTTCCGCCATCTCACCGACGCAGCCGGAGCCTGTCGGCACACAGACTACGGCGCGCTAACAGCCTCCATGACGCTACTCCTAGGCTACCTAGATCCAAAGCTGCGATCGCGCGACCCCAAAACAAGCTACCAACGCAGTTCCGACCGCAAACTAGTCCTCGCAGTTCGAGATGTCTTGCAGGAGGTAGCAGAGAGAGACGACGACAAGCTATCGCGCGAGACCTCCGACATAATCACGCGCCTGTTGCCCCTGACGGATGTCGACGTGACGGCTGACAGCTCAAGTAGCCTTGACGCTCCTGTGCGCCTTGAGATTCCGTATCTGGGAACCATTAATATCAACCCAGTCAGCAGGCGGATACAGCAAGACCGACCTCAGTTCCAGCAGGATAGTCCCGATACCACCCCAGCGCCAGTTAGCTACAGCAACAAGAAACATACAGAACGGAGTCGTCTTCGAAGCTCGACCATATCCGAAAATATATTTACGAATAATAACCCTAATAACAACCCCATAGACCCCAGTTTACAGCAACCCCCCGAAGCCTCTCCGAGCTTTTTGACCTCTCTCGGAGAAGATGCTAATTTCTCCTTCATGCAATTCGAGCCTCCAGATCCGTCAGCCCCGTATCCATTACCTGAACTTGCGGCAAATATGGATGAATGGACATTCCAAGGCTTTGACGCCAACTTCTTCGAGAGCCTGTTTTCATAATAACATTTAGGTACCCCCACTATAATTCAAGTATACCTAGCGGCTCACTTTACACACGTCAATACCATGGGCCTGCTATGGGGAATTCGCACGTATATGTATATATATAATTTTAGGACTGTCTCAGAGACGCCCCGGGAAGTAGAAACATATGTACAAGAATATTGTCCTAGCGTATATAGCCGTTAATCCTAAGATTACTTAAGTCTATGGCAGGATAATGATCTGTCCTCCGGTGTTCTGGGGCGCCTTTGTAGGGGCCTTCGGCGACAGAGCCGAGATCTTCTCGGCGGCGAATTCTGCCGCGGCCACGATCATAGCTGAAGGGTTTCCAGTCACCATACCGGGGAAGATTGATCCGTCAACGACGAAGAGGTTGTCGGTACCGTAGACCTTGGTGTTAAGGTCAACGACAGACGTGCCCTTCTCCTCGCGGCCGTCGTCCAATCCTAACTTAGCAGTGCCTATTACATATTAGCACGAATATTAGTATGAAAATAGCTTGGTAATACTGACCCATCCAGTGGTTTGAGCGCCGCTTAGCGGACGTCACCTCAATGGCGTCAACATAGGATGTTGTAGTTTGGTTTGTGGCCGGGAGTCGGAACTCGAGATCCTTCACGGTGCTCAGAGCGTTTCGCAGGTTCTCAATACCCTTAATAACAGCTGCCTTATCATTCGGGTCTCGGAGGTAGGGCGGGGTTGAGACAACCGTGCTCAGTCCGGCGTTGATTGTCATGCGACCGCGAGAAGTCTGACCTCTTCCGAGATATTGACTCATAATCATCGTGTCTGTGCAACATTAGTTATGTTTCCTTACATACTTCCATTGCGCGGAGACATACTGGTGGTGTTCGTCAGCTCGGAACCTTCAACACGAGCCGTCCATTGGAGTTGACGGACTACGCCATCCTCGCCTTCGATTTCGTCCCAGAACTAGCGGTTCAATTAGAAACACTCCGAAAATACGGCACAATTACCTAGGTACACATACCACAGGCCCGATGTTAGGAGCAGCTTGCGCCAGAATACCGGTACGGTTGGCTATAAAAGGTAAATAAATGTCCAAGGAAATATCACAGATTGTTTTGCTTACCAAGGTACTTCTGCTTGTCCGCGGGAATTGGCGTGTCCCATGCCTCGTAGAAATCGTAGAATACGACATCTGGGTGGGTGAAGTAGGTATCGGTCTATTTTTAACCGAATTAGAGAGAAGCTCATCCATTTATCCCCCGAGGTTCACTTACGTTGACATGGTCCATTAGATTATAGCCGACTGGCAAGTTAATCCAGTCTTCTTTTCCAATGAACGATTTACCATCTGAAGCCGAAGAAGCAACAACATCCAGTTGATCGGCCGGACCAATACCACCTAACAAGATTAGCACGTTGTTCTGAGTATGAATAAATACTGCACTATTATCACATACTCCTGAGAAGGAACTTAGCCGAGCCGAACGTTCCAGCCGAAACAATAACGCGTCCAGTGTTGGCGGTAACGTTGACGGTACCGTACCCGCCTCCTTCTACAGTACAGTCCAGCTCAACTCCGGTAATATGGCCGCCTGTCCTAAGAGCTCTCCTAACAGGAGTGTTCATCCAGAGCGCGAAGTTATCACGCTCGGCGGCGGTAACCAGGTAAGTAGCCATGGGACCGCCTCTCTCACCGTTAGAGAACATATATGTTGTAGCACCAAAAGTATGGTTCTTCTGAGTTGGGGCGTCATTGGGGACAGGTACATTCTTCCATCCCGCCTTCTCTAGACCGCTGGAGATGACGTCGACTCCCTGGTGCATATATAGTTCACCATCCTGAGAGGGCCTTGTGGTTCCGGGAATGCGCTTGAATGCTCGGTCTGTGGCGGTCTTAAGATCTGAGTTGTGCCATCCAGCAGGGAAGTTCTCATCCCAATCCTTCGGGTTTGCCTGAAGAGTATCAACATCTAAACTTTAAAGCCATGATCAAGGTAACTTACCCTCCACCACAAGCCGGCGTTAACAGCTGTGCCTCCACCGAGGACACATCCAGCCATTTGGTCGGTATCTAAGCAAGCGACACCATCCGAATCAACCCAAATTTGGTTGCAAAGACCCGGAACGTCGAATCGCGTGAGATCTGTCTTCTCGAGCCAGAGCGGCTTCATATTTCCGCCCCATCTTCCCGAGGATGGCGGCCCCTTCTCAATCAACAGAACACTGTAACCCTTCTCGCTTAATCGATCGGCTATGGGGATACCGCCGGCTCCGGCACCGACCACGATGTAGTCGAACGATTGACCGGCCATCTCCTTAGCACAGGCACGACTCGTCGGTGGTGGGTTGCCGGGATCACTAGGAGAGCATTCGCCAGGGACGTCCTTCGTTGCCAATGCAGCCCAGTCAGGGTACTTGGCACTTGTAAGACCCTCCAAGGGAGCACCAAACTGTCCGAAGGCTGCATGTTGCACAAATTTGATGTCAGCAGGGCACTCGGGGTTAGTAGGAACAGTCCCCGCCGAGGCTCGTCCTACGACAAGTAGTCCACTACTGGTTTCAACGTGACCGCTGGAACCCTCTTGATCCCAAGCGAAGCAGTTCTGGCATCGGTAAATAACCTCGAAGCCAGTTTCAGTCACCTTCGATGAGATCTGAGTCAGGGTTGCGTTCCCGGTATAAACTCCGGGAAGGTTGTACCCAGTTGCGAATCGGAAAGATGTGAGGACTTGGTCTTTATACGGCCAAGCGATGAGCAGCAAGGCCTGCGTCATCTGTCCCGACTCCCCATGGGAGATACCACACCAACCCGTAGAGCATTTCTAAGGGGAAGGTTAGTATGGTTCTGCCAAGGTACCTAGCTATATCTACATACCAGTATACCAATATACTCATCGGCGTCCTTACTTAAGGCATCCTCGGGTAGTGCGAGACCAACCGTCTGGTCACCCTGAGCCCATGTGCCAAACTCGATCCCCGTGTCTGGGTCGGTGTATTTGACTGGGTCTTGAGCAAGAGTAGTCCCGAAAACTGGGAGCATTTAGCATATATTCTCACATATCGAGGAGGCAGAAGACTTGGACTTACTGGTAGCGGCTGCTAGAACAGCAGTCGCAATACGTGAGAAGGACGGCATATTGAGGTCGCTGGCCAAGCATCCAAGACCTGGGGAGACGTGGCTAGTGGGCTATAGAAAAGAGGATTTGAGGCGACTAATAAATGGCATCACGTCGTGGGATCTGTGAAGCCAAGACACAAATCGCTCGCCCGGTTTTCCGGGAAAGAGTACGTGATAGGACATGATCTGCAAGACAAACATACTACAACTACTGGTAAAGTCGAAGGACCTGGCTAAAGCACCGACAGGATTACGGAGGACGGTGCCGGAGAGGGTTCGTATAGAAAAGGGTATAGCACAGATTATGCCAGCTGCCTATAATGAAGGCTCATATATTGTTTCAAAGCCGGGAAGAGGAGTGAAACGCGAGCCGACTGGTTAGAATAGACGATAGACGCTTAGGGTTGCAAGCCAGAAGCGCCTAGCAATAATCCTGGCGATATTGAATTCGCGGAGGCAAAGTGAAAAGTAAATGAAAAAAAAGATAGGCGATTTGACAAGTCATTGAGCCTGAGATTAGGATACCTGGTATACGACTTGGTATATTTGGTACCTGGTTAGAGAAGGGCATAAAAAACACTATCTCGAGTAAATAAACAAGGTACCCAATCTAGCTCGGCCAAGCAAAGTGAAATAAAGCAAGTTCAACAACTATCGAGCAGGCCAAGTCGGATGCGTAACGGGATGAGAGAAGATCGACGGCAGCTAAACAAGGCCGGGATAAGCTTCTGTCAGGGACAGATGAACATCTGAATGAACATCTGGAACGTGTAGCCGTGGTCCAATAATACGACAGGGAATTGTCATGGAATGGGTCAAGCATTAGAGTGGCGCACCAGTGAAGTTGGAGATAAAAAAGGAAGGTTATTAATTTGAGCAGATTTTTAGTTGATGGCTTAGGTGTTGGACCCCCGTCTTGGCGGCGCTACGGAGTAATTCGATGCGAAAAGGGCTGATGGTTCCCCCACATTTGGGAGGTAACTGCTCTGCTGCTCTGCTGCTCAGGCCCGTGATTCCAGCGTAGCCCCATTGATTTTAGAGGACGTTAGAGGATTATTAGGCCCGCTTAGCCCGTTAAGGTCTTCCCCCACAGAGTTCACCTTAACCCCGCTCCCCTTCTCCGCCTCCCGAATTTCGAGCTCGAACATCTTGCAAGTGCTGTAAGTACCTCCAGTGCTACCCCCAGTACTACTAGTACGTACCTACACCAAATAGGTACCTATATTCCAAGGTTCTTCACGGCTTTTCTGTCGTAAGGTTAATTGGATGTTGATTTGGATAAATATACCACGTAGACGAGATACTTTCCCGGTTTGTCATCGGCGATTTAATTATTTACTACTTGTCCTTTCTCAGCCTATAGTTATTCCGCCTCTGATTCCAAAGAACCCTTCTCATGATCTCGTAAGCATCGAACCCAGCATGTCCCATCGCTTTTCCGCCCCGAAACCTCCCAGATTCGGTCAACTCTCCCGGAACTAACTAACCTACATCAGTTTCACTCCGGTTGTAAGGGCCGATTGAGGCTACCGTCACGAGATCGCACTGCACCTGATATGTGTTGACTTTGTTGGTATGGCCCTGGCTCATTTTTGCTGTTGCATGTTTACAAACGACCAGGCCGAGAAAAGGGGCCACATGGGCTCAAGACATCCCGAGCATGCCCTCAGCGGCCTAGTCCTCCTTTTGGACAAGATGGGCTCGGCGTTCGAGCCCCGTCCCTACAAATTTCCGTTCTGGGAAACTTTCTAGAAAGAAGCGTTAGGAATACCCTCAACACCATTGGCAAAGACACTTCTTGAGTAACGTTCCAATACAATTAGTTGGTATTATCTGTATAATATTGGTGGTATTCGGCAATAGGAAGCCAAGTATACCAATATATTTTCCAAGGCCTACATAGGAATATAAATATACACCGACTTCCTCATATACATACGTGCCATTAAAACATCGCCACATCTTCTGCGGTGCCTGGATTAGTTATCATGCCTTCGATATTGCGAGAACGGAGTTTCACGATCCTTAGGTCATGATGACTGATACCACCCACGCTTTCGTCAAACACCTTGAGCATTGCGACAATTCCCAGCTGACTATGGATATATTATATCGCTCACGGGGCGGGGTCAGCAAAGAATGTGATCCATACGTTTTGCCCGTCGAGCGTATGAGAATGGTTGGAAGATGTTTGTCGTTGAAAGTGATTGGATTGAAGATATTTGGACTTATAATAGAGTCTCCTAGGGGTGTAGTCTTTGGTATTTGGAATACTAAACGCCGGGGACGATCAGTAATGAACCATCACGCAGGTGAAGTTCCTAATCATCTAGATATAGAACTAGACTATGTCCTATCTTTAGAGGTAGATTAATATTGACCTATGAAATCCTCAATGCCAACCTCAACTTCCTTTATACATTATTTATAAGATACGCCACCACTTAGAGCGCGAGCAAATAGGGGCAAAATCAAGAATTCCCCTTTCCCTTCTTCCACAGCCGTAAGTTCACACCACAGGACTTAATTCAAAATTTAAGCATCAACTGCAATCCCTGCCAGCCAGATCTCGCATCCGCTTCTCCGGGGGTCCCAATGCCGAACCGTACTGCTTTCTGTGATCACATTGTGCATATATACAACCTATTTAAGGGCGTAAATTGCTCGGCGCCGGAATAAGCCACGACGGCCAACCGTGGAAGCTCTTGCGCCGGGTTGTTTAATCTATCTTATTAACGACTTGCCCCTATGACGCCCAGCTTGCAGCCCAGACACGGGCCATCGCCCTGGCCAGGCCTCGCTGAGGTGCTTAGCCATTATCCCGTGCCGACGACTGGAGCCGCGGCCCGCTTCATATCGAGGAATCTGGGGTTGGCCCTAGACGGAGAGCGAGTGAACTGCCGAAGGGGGAGATCGTGTAGATTTTCGTTTTTAAGGACGGCCTAGGGCGCCTACGCAGCAGGCTCCGCCAGCTGCTCTGTTCTGCTCTACCTACACCCACCGGACGCTTTCAGCCTCGAGAAAAGAAAGAAAGATAGTCGGATCAGCTCTCCTAAACCACAATGAAGAACGTTGTCGCTCTTATCGCCACCGCCGCCCTGGCCGCTCAGGGTGCGTCGGCCCACTACATTTTCCAGACGCTGGCAAAGGGAACTGCCAAGGGTGTCCCGTATGAGTACGTTCGACGAAACACCAACTACAACTCTCCCGTTACCGGTTAGTAACTCCCATTCAAGTCAGTGGTAACTTTGTGCTGAGATATAACGATAGACCTGTCTTCCCCTGACCTCCGATGCAACGTCGGCGGTGCCACCGGCGCTAACACCAGCACTCTTGAGTTGAACGCCGGCGACCCGTTCACCTTCACGCTTGACACGGCCGTCTACCACCAGGGACCCATCTCCCTGTACTTATCGAAGGCCCCGGGCACTGCCGCGGAATACGATGGCAGCGGAGACTGGTTCAAGATCAACGATTGGGCACCTATCTTCAACGGTGGCCAGGCTAGCTGGACCATGAAGGGTACGGACAAGTTTAGCTCGTTGCTCAGGATAACTTGGCTAATCTTAGAACAGACACCTACTCCTACACGGTTCCTAAGTGTATCCCTAACGGAGAGTATCTCCTACGAATCCAGTCCCTCGCCATCCACAACCCCGGCTCCACTCCGCAATGGTACGTCGGTTGCGGCCAGATCAAGGTCGGCGGCGGCGGAAGCGGCTCGCCCAAGCCCACCGTCAAGATCCCCGGTGCTTTCAAAGCTAGCGACCCCGGATGTAAGTTACTGCTGCGTTTTAAATAATATATGTCTTGGTGACTGACATTATTTCGTACGTAGACACTGCCAACATCTACAACAACTTCCACTCGTACACCGTACCTGGTCCCTCCGTATTCACTTGCTAAATAGCTTTGGTTATGCCCCTTTTTGAGGCTGCAGTGGTATCGTAGGAGATTCCACGCAGATGAAGTAGGAAGCATGGATATCGTTTCGCACGATGTACCTCTTGAGATAGGTCGTAGCGAGGCACGCTCATTTTGACGTTGTTGTACGTCGTCCGGTCGATGTACCCCTTATCTAGTAATTTAAATTTAAATTATTACCCGTGTAAATTCGTACCAGGGCGCTGGCGGCTGGCGGATCGCCAAGGTAGGGCATATTTGATACATTGAGACGTATATCTCAATCCAAGTTCATGGTGACATACGCGCCATGATATCGGAGAGTAAAGCCAGTGTGTGACGCTAATACATAGACCACCACTAGCCAGTCTCGAATATACCTTAAGCTGCTTCATCAAGAACTATTCGCGAAGAATTTCGTTATCTTTTGCGTACCAGGTTGTTTCGCCTTATTCGGGCTCTTGGTTCTATTACTGGTTGCGCTAATCTTTTGTTTCGCCCCCTTTTGCGGCGACGGTGTCTTATTCGGCGCCAGGGACGACATGGTCATAGCCACTTTCTTCGGAGGCTCACTGCCAACCGACTCATCTTCAGCTTCCCTTTTGAAGCCGGTTGCAGGCCGGTTTTCTTCTTTTATTTTAGTTAAGTCTTCAGTGACGAACCCCTCTTCTTTCTTGACTTTAACCTGCGGCTGCTGTTCTGTTGCATTCTTCTTTGCGGCACCCTTGGCGAAGAAATTCGCGATATTAGACTTATTCTCCTTGCTGTCAATAGGGATGACAAAGTTAGGCGAGTTGTTACCAACTTTACCCACGTCCTTGCTAACGGGATAGACTTCTAACTCCCCCTCAAAAGGTTTCAACAGAGCCTGCAGCTCTTTCGACCACTCGGATCGCTTAGGGTCTAACCAGGTTCGGATATCTTCAGACCCATTATCTAGAATAACAGGCATGCGATCATGAAGGAAGTTGAGTTGCTTGTTTGAATCTGTAGTGATGATTGTATAGGTGTAAAGCTTCTGCTCGCTATCTAAATACCAGTTAGCACCATTTGTTCTTCCAATACGAGCTTGAATACTTACTTTCGTATTGCACCACATCCCATAATCCAGCGAAACACATAAGCTTACCGTCCTTCCGCTTAACAAAATGCGGGATCTTCTCTTTACTCCCATCCTTCTTCAGCCATTCGTAGAAGCCTTCCGCAACAACGATACATCGCTTTCGAGCTTTCATCGTGCTCCACATACCACCGCTCTGGGCGAGAGAATCATCTCGGCAGTTGATTGTCTTCATCGTGGAACCATAATCCGGATTGCGCTTGGTCCAGAAAGGGATCAACCCCCATTTCATGCTTTGCAGCTTATAGCTTATAGCCTTGGGGTTTGATGCAATATCACTATCCCCATCTTCGGCGTGCTGCTCTTTTACAGCTTCGCCAGAGGAATTGGCATGCTGTCTTCGAGGACCGGCACCCCAATCTGGTACATCGGCGCGGTAAACGACGCCATGATAGCCGGGGGCAAAATTGTAACTTTGCCTTGGTGCAGCATCACCTTCATCATCCGGCGCATCATCCACAGGCATGCCATCATGTTGAAATAGATCGCGAATCTGTGCTGGTCTCTACGTTATTGGCTGCAGTCAGTCTCTAGTGTCAAGACGAATTAAAGTGAAGAGTATATTGCCATACCAATGCTAGCGAATAGCGCCCACACATTTTATAGAACTAATATTAGCTGACACTTTAATTAAGAGAAAGAAAGATGATGAAGTGTTAGATTGGTATCAGCTTTCAATATGTGTAGTGTAAGAAATAGGTTGAAATTGGCTATGACGAAACACAGTATGAAGATATCGAACTATTAGCATCACGTTTCGAACACGCGGTCAGGTGATGCCTGTCTTTCGCAATTCCCCCTGCTTGTTAAGTATTATGTGAACAATGAGAATTTAACGCTCCGGAATCTACGCTGCTACTCGACACTTCACAACTTTGCCTACAGTAGCAATATTTTAGTTTTATTAAAATATCATGCATTCGTCAGTCACAATAATTGGCTGGAAAAAGCGTACGATCGTTATCAGAAAAGTGGCAAAGCATCTCAATTCTGTATGAATTGATTCTGTAATCCCGTATCACGCCGAGCCATGCATAAACCACTCCTGAAGTAGCGTAACCCTCTTCCAGTTGAGAACTGTATTCGTGGTATATCGGAAGAGACGCAACACAAGACCTAACCCACACCATTTTTTTCTTAGACCTTGAAACCCCTTGACCGTCTGCGACCGCGGGCCTTCTCGAACTTGCGGCCCTTGGACTCGAGGTATGGCTTCTGTAAAATTTGTGAGCATGCTAGAAATGGTTATGACTAAATCTAGTCCACCTACCTTGTGCTTGTGGGGGCCGAAGCCGAAGTGCTTAACAGCCTCACGGGCGTTCTTGGGGCCGCGGAGCAGCAGGGTGTTGCTGCCGGTAGGGGCGCGGAGAGCCAGCTGGTCGAGGGTCAATGCCTCACCACCGGCGGCAAGAATGCGGGCACGGGCGGTGGCGGTAAATCGCAGAGCGGCGATGGAAACCTTGGGGACCGTGAGGAGGCGGTTGTCGTCGGTGATGGTACCAACAACAACGACGATCTTGCCCTCATCCTCCTTAGGGATCTGGCTCTTGACGCGAGAAAGGGAGACGGGGGGTCGGTTGATGCGGGACATGAAAAGGCGGCGAAGGACGACCTTGTTGAAGTCCGAGTCCGTTCGGCCTATATGATAGAATAATATTAGTCTCGTAATTGCAGAAATTAAGATGCATTAATAGCTCGTTGCAAAAGTTACCAAGAATTGGGAGAGATAACTTACGGGCTAGGAAGCGGTACAGCTTCACCAAGAGCTTGAGGTAGACATTGTCGCTTTTGGGCGCCTTTCGGTGGGTGCTGCGCACGTGGTGGCGGTCGAGATCAATACCTATTTAGAGAAAAAAAAGCCATCGTCAGCTTTTGGGTTCAAATATGCTCTATCGGGCGCATCCCAGAGGATGATTTCCCGTTTGTTCGCAGAGAGCATGAGAGAAGGGCACAATGCAGTAGCCAATCTCTCACACTTCCACTCGCATAGAGATCTCCAAATAAATATTTAACGTACCCATCTTGACGGTGACTCTTTTGTAATTGAAAAGGGAGTCGATGGGGAAGGGAAAAGCTGTTGTGCTGTGGGTTAGTAGTGACTGAAGAAGGGAAATAATTTCGAGTGGGCCGCAGAAAAGTTCGAAATCGCAAAGACGGAGTGGATTGTGCGGGTGAGCGGTGACGAGCGGCAGTTAGGGTTGGTAGGACGTACCTAGCCAATAACTAGTATTATGTATTTAAACAGTATTATCATGGAATATGCATTTTATGAAGGTTCTTGATAAGAAATTCAAATCTTATCAGCTCAGGTTCACTCCCGTCCTTACTTGAGGTACCTAAGGAGGTATTCTTTAGATTCCACGACAGTGAGATCATATGAACATAAGACCAGTTTCTAATTAATTTCAGATTTTTATTTCTATGTAACTATCGCCCTGAAGCCATATCTCCAAAAGAAGGGTGACCTCGCCCTCTCATGCAGGTAGTCATCTTTCAGTATACATATACAACATGATGTTGTTTGGGGTCTATCCTGTCGGAGTTCATAGCCTTCTCTACTAACTAAACAGGGTCTTTTGTGCTCTCTATGTCTATCTACCTTTCCCTGTTTAACGCGTCCGATCCACTGTCCTGCATGCTGCAGCTCTTTACCGTGGTGCATCAACGCCATCCCACTAGAAATCCCGCACGCATAAATGGTGCACATCTGGAGGTAGTCAAGTACAATCTGGATATAATCCAGTACGGATGAAGGGAACCGGCTACTGCCATGCGTCTTCTCGGTTATAGATCCACTGGTTCGGGCTTTAAGCCGACCAAAAAGTCTCGAGTGACTTCGAAGCTAAGCCAGTTGGCGGCCATGCTGGGGGCGACCTTGAGTAAGTTCGGAATGAGACCCTTATATAGGCCCTTTGGTCCTTCCTGCGATATTATCACCCTAACAGCGTCTCCTATCGACTTGTATTTGTAGCCCATGCCAGACATGGTGTTGATTTGAAATCTTCGCCGCAAGACATCACTATGCACATATTAGACAACCAGAACTTGAAAGCTGGGAGACATACTCACAATGGATAAGTGCATGTCTGAGCAACGGCGCCCGATACGGCGCCGGCTAGCAGCTTCCGTGCTGCGCTGGGGTGTTGGTCACCCTCAGGTGTTAGATACTTGCGGACGAATTCATATGTCATGAAATTCAGCCCTACCTAAGAAACCATTAGTCTTCTCGTGCCATATTAAACAGATCACGCCTGTAAGGCGCATATCAAAGCTTACGTATGGTGCTACTCCTGCGATTGTAGGTATTATACCGCGGTACAAAGCAGGCACACCGCCCTCTTGCTTATACATCACAGCCATTGTAGACCACATACCCGGGAGCTTGTCCTTTGGCGTATTGCTGAGCGCGGCAAACGACGCCGATTGGATTGATAATCGAGTCCGTACGATATCGAGCGGATATGTAAAGAAGACTGAGGTGATGCCCGCTAAGCCGCCACACACAAGTCTCTCGAGGGGGGATAAAGGAGCGTTTGGGTACTTCTCGAAGAAGTGCTACAGCTAGTGTTAGCCAAACTAGCCTATAGTTGTTTTCAATATATGAAGCTTCGACTGGGTTGTAATAAACCAAGTAGCTCTAGTAGCTAACTTACCCTTTTGTAGAGGTTATAGCTGCCGAACTGCACTGCGGAATAAGGGACGATGCGAACGCAATTGGTTCCGTTACCAGCCATAAAACCCCTCCAACCTTCTTCCTTCCACATCTTAGCAAGCGCCTTGCCTACCGATAGCTTGTATTCATTGCGGCCGGCGCTTTGCACCTGAAAGAGAATTTTCAGGCGCTCGAGAGGAGATACGACGGTTCGCGATACGGCACCAGCAACACCACCGGCGCAGAAAGCAGCGGTCACCGGCTGGGAGAAGAAGTCCTTGAGTTGGGAGTTTCTATTCTCACTGGCATCATTGGCCTTGATATCTTCCGAGCTCTAGAGGATTTGAGTCAGCTACCGGATGGGACTCATCAGCGCAAAGGCGGGTCGTTGTGAAAGTGAGATAGACGTACAGCGGCCATGTTGGAACTTCGGCCGGGCGAACGCGGGAGAAGTCGAGCGACGTAATAACGAAAGACAGGCGGTGTATAATCCGCACGGGGCTGAAGTAGGAGGCCGAGAAGTTTGCGCGCGGCTGATGCTTGGACATGTATATCGGGAACTAAGGATACCTAGGTAGTCTTTGAACACGACTACACCAACAAACAACAATGCAAGTTTTATCGAAAAGCTCTTGACGATTCGGGCGACATAGTCGAGCTTGTAGGACGGGCTATCGAGGGCATAGGTAACGGCGGTAACTGCGCGGAATCTCGAAGTACCCTTTGCCTTGCGCAAGGATGTCGCTCTACGTATCGTCGGGTCAGATCATCGAATTGACCAAAGTACACGGAGTACTCATGATCGTTTACCTCCTAGATATATACTCGAGGTTGATATTACTTTATAACAGGAGGGGGTTAAATATGAGTATGCAGCGTGTTACTTGAAATGTGAGATGTAAAAAAGGACCAAGAGAGAGGAGAAGCGAAAAATAAGAATAGAGCTAGAAAATTTAGCTATGAGGGTTAGATGGTAGAACGTAGGTAGCTACTACCTAGGTAGAGTACGTAAATGCATTAGTTTTAAGGTAAGACGGGACCTTACAATAGGTTCAAATAGGTTTAAAGTAATCAAGTCGGCCAGTCGGAGCTTTGAGAAAATTATTGGTCTTAGGGGGGAGCCGGTCACCCGCCGGGCTCACCTGGGACTTTCGGGTACTAACTATTGAGCTTCAAGTGACCTATAAGTTGTCATTTGCTACCTACATAGGTACCTAACCTAGTTATATGAAAATATTTCGATGTTTCCCATTTCTTTGAGTCTACCTAAAGTACACGCATAGAAATAGTAGACACACTTTAGTAAAAATGTGCTACATAAAGAATAAATATTCTTAAGACTTGGAGCATAATAAGGCTGTCTGATCTACATACGTAGGTACTGCTAGGTATGTTAGTAGGTTAGGTATGTATTAGAGGAGCGGTAAAGAAAGGAGCAGTATGGAATACAAATTGAAAATTTAAAAAGGGGCCCTGGCATTGCTTCGTGCATTAGTTCTCACTGATTAGTTCTGTATATTACAGACATGCTAAAGCGAGCCCCCTTTCTTCCCGTTCCCTTCCTTTGTTTGTACCTCGAGGGCTTCTCCACAGAGCCTAGATAAAGCCGAAGAGAAACCAATACATACAATCAAGTCCATGTCAGCTTTGGAGATTTTCTGCACGGGATACTACAGTGTATCATATATGACGTGACTCGGCATAACCAAGATGCAGCCCATGGCCATTCCATGTCGGAAAAAAAAATACATAGGATCTTCATCTAAATACATAGGTACCTACCCATCGCTTGGTTGGTTGTTGTTCCCCAATATCTACCTATAACACGCAGCAACGTTCATATTAATGAGCTCCTTATATAGCGTGCATAAATTTTACAGGTACAAAGATTGAAAGCTTCTAATTGATGAAACTTGTTTCTACCACAGCTATTCCGTATGTATTAGGTAGACAAAGTTAAAAGTAATCATTCTTATTAGTATAATCATCTAACCCTTCTCGTATCAAACACGGCCAATTGACCTGTATAGCTGCTGGAACGAAGTCTGATGACCTTCCAACATACGTAGATTACCATTAATTAAACAACACAAATCTGCAAAAACCAACGAAGCTCGTTTTTCACTAATGATGCACAGGATCAAAGTGAATTTGCTCTAAACTAATTGATTAGGAACATATCCCTCTAGGCGCATCATTTGCTACCTAACCGCCTTGACCTTATGATTATCGCTCCTCTCGAGGGAACCTAAATCTTCTCGGTAGTATCAAATGCATCATCTCGGAATTCAGCCTCTCCGCCAGTTGTACACAGGATCATGGGCCAGTCGATTGAATCGGAACTAGAATATGAGCGAAAGCCAGTGTAAAAACGCAAAGCCAAACACCCGTGCAACAAAGGAGAGTTCTATTTCACACGTTGCGGATGCAACCCACTGCTGAAGAGGTAAGATAGCCAGGTATACTTATCACTCAGCAACGTCCAAGTCGTCGTGTTGAGGAGGAGGACTGTCGACAGCTGGATCCAATGTTAGTTAGAAGTCTCTCTACAGATGCGGCTATGAAACTCACCTTTACGATCATCACCGTTAGTGCCGTTATCACGGCGGTCGCGGTCGTCTCGGTCATCACGATCGCGGTCACTAGGTAAGGGTGTAAGCTCCGACTTAGCAGGGACCTTGGGTGAGCTAGACGGGGATTTGTACCGAGGATCCGGGGAACGAGAACGGTCGCGGGTATCACGGCGTTCACGATCATAGTCGCGATCACGGTCTCGGTCACGACGGTCGTCCTTCCTAGGAGAATAGTCGCGTGTGCTGCGGCGAGGGGAAGGCGAACGACCGCGACGAGGAGATCGGCCTCCACGGTCACGCCTGCTGTCGCGGTCACGACCACTGTCGAAACGCCAAGATGCGGACGGAGGAGTGCGGGCCCACTATATACTCGTTAGCTGACCGCGTCTAAAGGAATTGGGCTGTAATCCTAAGGATAGCTTACCTCAATCTTTAGAAGATCGTCACGGCCGATACGCTTGTTATGCATCTCGTGGTACGCATCATCAGCGTCACGACGATCCTCATACTCCACAAAAGCGAACCTGCCATTCTGATTAGGTCATGCGACAATTTACCAATTAGGATGCTCAACTTACAATCTGCTGCTAGCAGATCTAGGGGCTGGAATGTCACAACGGACAAGACGGCCATAGCTAGATAGATAGATATGATGTCAGCAATCCCCGCAACAAAGTGAAGACTTTCCCAAAATGATTAATGATTTGCATCGATTGCATGAAGCTTCGAAATCCCATCGCGATGGTCAAGGGACGTGGAACGATGCATCTCAAGATGCCATACGACCGCTCGATCGAAGGAGATGGGAGGCTGAGATGGACACGGAGGACGTGGAGGGCAGAAGCGTAGGTTAAGAAGACGAATCGAGGACTCGAACGAAGCCGAGAACGACGAAGCGAGGTCGGGGTGAGGACGAGGAGAAGGCAGGTGACATCGGACACCGCATCCGTAGGACGGTCGATCGATTCACCGACGAGGATAATGGACATACCGTTCGAATTCGTAGGCGAGGTCGCGAGCACGCGTGCCATGGCTAAAGCCAGTCACGTAGAGAGTAGTACCTCCTCGAGACATTATAACGGCTTGATGAGGAGTAAATAATTAACGAGAAAGCTGAGAGAAGCTCTAGAGAGGATTAGATGTGTAGATAAATCAACCTTGATGATGGAAGGCAAAAATTTGATTTGAAAAATATCGCGTGTCGGGGGTGTTGAAGTAGCTCCCCAGCAACCCAGTGATGGATGGAGTTCGTCAGATGGTTAAGGTTGTCAATGGTTAGCCGACAAATAAAATTTGTTTTTCAAAGGAGACGGATCATCTTCGGAAGAACAGCTTGCTAGGTATGCTTTGACCACAGTGTAGACAAATGGAGAAATGCATACTGTACAATTAGTGATATAATGACGTAGTTTGCTGCCTGTCAATGGAATTGTACGGTAGGTACTTCCGTGAACGTTCTTACTGATCATGTAGCATCAAACCTTAACCTATGAGCATGTTCCTACCTCACGTGCCTAAGTTCGTATCCCATTGAAAGAACACCACCCAACTCGCGGTTACCCCCAGATGGGGATTCACATGCATCCCATCTCCAATACTAGCTTTTGTTCCTATTTGCTGCGAAACACATATTTGCAGGTTCGATTGGCTACGAATATCCAAACCACCAAGCCCGGCTTGAAGCAAGCATCCAGATTGAGGAACACCACTGCGTCTACCACTACATCTACATTGCATGGTGTTGCTCATCATACGTAGATTCGGTCTACTCTTACGTAGCCCACGTTGACCACGCTGTTCTTCCAACAGGCTTGTAACACAATGAACACATTGCTTACCATCTAGGAATGATCTGTAGCGCATTCTTACTACCAAAACTGCAAAACTTGCTGTGTGTTGCATAAGAGCTGCATGGGACTATAGAATAGAAGACCACAAAGGGTCGTATGCATGCAGACATGAAACCTGGGGTCTCTCAATATCTCTCCTATAGGTCAAATTTAGTGTTCGCCCTGCAATACCTCCCATCATTAAACCCAAGTGACTAGCTACCTGTTGGAGAACTTCCGGTTGGTCCACCATAAATGTCATTTGCAAGTTGGGACTAGTGAATGATCTAATGTTAATCATTGAGTAATACAAGGCAAATATTGCAATATCAGTTACATGAGAACTCTAACCTAGTAATTTACAAGATAATCAATGTTTACACACTATTTATCACCTACTTTACCGTAATCGTGACCTCGATCCAACACGCTATCTTTGGTGTATAACGCTCTAAACTCTAAAAGCCCTAAAATTCCTCTTCAGAACAGCTCGCCCTCCTATTCGCTTGTTTGCCTCTCTCCTCTACTTATATCCCCAAAGAGCCAAGCACCCAACCAACAACCATTCATTCAAAGAATCAGATACAAACTACATAGCAAACTCGGTCCTGTAAAAATACCAATCCAGAATATGATATTTCCAACTGTTGGCTGGCCGCGAAGCCACTTCGTCCGGCTGAGCCGCACAAGCGGGAGCTGGGACATCTGGAGGATAAGCAGGTACCCGCGTAGTTTCTTAAAGATACACCACATGACGAGCTCATGAATGCAAGCCGAGAGGAAGAAAGTAATGAGTGTCGCAGTGTGTTTATTTACACGCATGGATGATATCGAGCTGTGATACACGTGCCGCAAGAGAAAGTTGTGGACCGGTCGGTTCCAGTCGCGAGCGTACTGATCCCATGAGACTGCTTCGATGTTAGTATTACAGATGTATGCTGATTGAAACGGAATGAATGATCAATGATAACATACCGCTGTTCCACCACGTATCGTAGAAGCTTCGGTCCGCAAATAACGTGAGTTCCGCAAGGATGTTGAGAACAGTCTCCCAGATGAGATACCAAGCTAACTAATGGCGAAGAGTAAGCGGAAGCACAACTAGGTAATATAAAATGAACTATAGCCATAGGACTCACCATATACTCCATCATGAAAGGAAAGGCAAGGTCGCTGAGTATCCATGGAAATTCGCGGAATCTTTGCGTAGTTGTCCAGCCTATTTCCTTCATGTGGATCGCTCTCATTACAACAGGATAAATAAACGCTTGAGAAATCATGATCATGACGAATATGACACCGAAAAGAGCACAAGCTTTTTCAGCCACGTAGTACCAGTTGATCCTCTCGGACCTGGGATACTCCAATTCATAAACGACGGTGGGTAGTACGATATATTCGTAGTGGTTCAAGATGGTAAGGTTATTTGGATAATAATGTGTAGGATCCTCCGCTTTGCCCCTGAGTTCATCTGCGAGAGCGTCGACTTCCCACTTGATGAGCCTTTCGAACACATGAAGCTGCTCTATGTCGAGTGGTTCTGCCGCTTCAATAGCGCAGGAGATGCTCTCCATGTTATTTTGGTCAGTAGATCCGGTCTTTGATAACGAAAACCGCCTCTCACGGTACTCACCCGCCGATGGCGGATAAGCGAGATGCGACGTAGAGAGAGCCGAAACCCTTGGTCTCGTTTGCGAAGGCGATGTCACGGGCGATATATTCTCTAACTGTTTCAATTTAAGGAGTAGACTCTAATTAAATCGAGAAGTTAGCACCTTGGTCATGCTTGCTGGATCACTTAGACGAATATTAAATTATAAACACCAACCTGTCGTTTCTTGTAGAGGGATGAAAGGTGGCCATTATAGAACGCATATGAATGTTGCTTCATCAACATGACAAGACCATGAAGAACAAAGAATACGGTATCTTTAATAATTAAAATCAATTAGTATATGCGCTTCGTCTTGAGTAGGAGGCTTACTCACGTGTCCACGGCCAATCCCTCACAAGAGTAAGGCCAACCGCACCCGCGATAAACAGGGTTTGCCAGATCTACGGGACTATGGGTTAGAAGAAGTTCATTTGTAAAAGCCGTGACAAGAACTTACGTTTTGCAATATCCAGCCAGACCGTTTCCAGTCAATATAGTTGAGGAAAACCAGACGTTGGATTACCAAGCTCACTCCCGTCAGAGCACACATGATGCCGTCGGAGAATAAAAGTACAATAACTACATTGGCAGTTAATCGTTTTATATTACGAAGTATCGAGGATCAAAGCTAACTCACCATCTCTTTTAAACATGGTTTTCATAATCTCATTGGTACCGAGTGGGTTCCCGGTTTTCCTCCAATTATCAGCAGCCATCTTAACGATCAAGAAAAACACCGAAATCCAGAAGAGGACATAAAAGCCTTGAAACGGGCTGTTTGCTGCATCCTGGTTTTGCCTGTCGAAGGCCGAGAATTGCCTCGTGAAGACCATATCCCGTAGCTTTTCGCGTCGTCCCGGCAATCCTTTTTCTTTCTCCTGTAACTACCTAACATTAGTGCTGTTCATGAGCAAGGCGGATAAGTACCAGAAATGTGTCGACTTGCTCTTTCTAAACCCCGTCTTAATATCTCACGAAGTTCTGCATCGTCACTGGCCACCACGTAGGTTTTCTTCCCCTTGCTTGTAGAAGTATATTTAGGTAAACCATGGAGAAGCTGTTCAGAACTCGACTTCTCATTTAATCTCGGGCTCTCCAAGTGCAAGATATCAGGCGTTTCCGAGGCTGAGTTATCATAAGAATTGGATTCTGATTTGCGTCGCAATAAGACTGAGTGTGGATGTGTGTCCGTAGCTTCAATGCCCGAATCGCTGTTACTATCTGACGGCGTATCTGGGATGCGATGTACAGCTTTCAATGCCTCGGCTAAAGCAACTGGATGCTGTGTCTCGCGCCTTGAATGTACGCTATGGATGTCTGTATCCATTGCAAGATGATCTCGACTCTGCGAAGCCGCATGAGGCTCTTCAGTAGACATATTTTGAAGGAAGGCAATGAGGTTGAACCACAATATCTAGCCTCCCTTTTTAATGACGGAATAGAGTTAACTAATAGCAATCGACCGTAGGCCTTAGGAACCCAGCACAGCCGATAGGAGGATTATGCTGATAGAAGGGAGGCTGAATGGAATTGACAGATTTTATATTAGGTATCAATTGAGGCTCGGAGTGAGATGATTTATTTATAAGGTTAGATAGGTTAGATAGGTTAGATTCCCATTATCTCGTGCACTCGGATCAATCGTATCGAGAATCGCCACCTAGCTTAAGCACGGCCGGTGCAACCAGGCTAATCCACTAAGTTTTGAGCAACGAAAGATTCCGTCGAACCCGGTTGGAGCCTGATGACATTGAAATTGGTACGGTCGATGCCGTTCGGCGTCGATCTCACTCTTCCAGATAGATGATCCTCTAATACGCCGAGGTATAATATTTTCTACAAGGTGCCGTTCCACACAAGACAATGGAGAAGGCTCGGTTGTCAGCAATCATTGCGGGAACCCGACATAAAAATGGAATCTTTGTCTTCATTCCTCCATTCTTAGGGGAAAAATTAGGGAAAGAAAAGAGAATATGGCTGAAGAGGCGTTAGCATCGGATAGCAGGAACGTAAATATTCGACATAATGAAATTATAAATCTTCCCATAAAAACAACCTTAACGTTAAATAAAAGATAATAATAGTTATATATATATAATATATATATAGCTTTTAGGTATAAGCCGCTTTTAAATATTAAGGAAAAACGTAAAGCTTACCAAAATTAGCTATAAAAGTAATAAAAGCTAATTAATATTTTTTAAATGGTATAATTAATGCGTTGTTTTTATATTATAAACCATTTAACTAATAAATAACCGTTATATTACTTATATTTTTACATTATTTCCATTTTAAATAGCTTTTACTAATAAATAATATATACGCTTTTCCTAGTTTTAAATTATTTCGGATAAATATATATATATATAAAAAATATATTTCTATATATTTTTATATAAAAATTTATTTATATATATTATTTAATAATAATTATAATTACAATTATAAGTTATAAGTTATAAATTATAATATATAATTAATTTAATTAATAAATTATATATTTTTTAAATAAATTAAATATATTACATATTATAAATATATATATAAATTTATAATTATAAAATATAAAATAATTTATACGTTAAAATAATATATAATAATATTATATAATTGCGGTTTAAACAAAAAAACCGTTTAAAATAAAAACGATATAAAAATGTAAACGGCGTAATAACCGTTTATTGGTTAAAATTATATTAATATAGTTTATTTTAATTTAATGTTTAAAATATTTAATATATTTTAACCGTAAATAATAATATTACTATTTAAATATTTAAATTATTTAATTTTTTAAATGTAAAAATTAAAAATTACTTTTTACATTAAATAAAATAAATATAAGTTATATTTAATAAGCGGTATATATGCGGTTATTATTACCTTTTTTATGACGTTAAAGAAGTTTTTATGGGCAAAATGGCGGGGCGTTATTACATTATTATAATGTTATACCGTATATTTTAACGTTAAATAGGGGATAATAATAATTATATATATATAATATATATACAACTTTTAAATATAAGCCGTTTTTAAATGTTAAAGAAAAACGTAAAACTTACCAAAATTAACCGTAAAAATAATAAAAGTTAATTAATATTTTTTAAATGGTATAATTAATATGCCACTTTTATATTATAAACCATTTAACTAATAAATAGTTATTATATTACTTATATTTTTACGTTATTTCCATTTTAAATAACTTTTATTAACAAATAATACGTACGCTTTTTTTAATTTTAAACCGTTTTAAATAAATATATATATATATAAAAAATATATTTTTATACGTTTTTATATAAAAATTTATTTATATATATTATTTAATAATAATTATAATTATAATTATAAATTATAAGTTATAAACTATAATATATAATTAATTTAATTAATAAATTACGTATTTTTTAAATAAATTAAATATATTACATATTATAAATATACGTATAAATTTATAATTATAAAATATAAAATAGTTTATACATTAAAATAATATATAATAATATTATATAACCGCAGTTTAAATAAGAAAATTATTTAAAATAAAAACAATATAAAAATACAAACAATATAATAGTTATTTATTAATTAAAACTATATTAATATAACTTATTTTAATTTAACGTTTAAAATATTTGGTACATTTTAATTATAAACGATAATATTACTACTTAAATATTTAAATCATTTAATTTTTTAAACGTAAAAATCAAAAGCCGTTTTTTATATTAAATAGGATAAATACGGGCTATATTTAATAAGCGGTATATATGCAGCTATTGCTACCTCCCCTATGACGCTAAGGTATTTTAAAGGTATATTGGTAACCTACTATACCTAGGAGGTACCTAACACTACCTCATTACTTGCCTCCTGGAAAGGTAACAACTATAAATTAATCTAACGTAAGAATGTGTCTGCACCCTCCTTCTCCAAGTACTACGAACTACATGTGACCTATTATAGGTACATGACCTTCTTAAGCTTACTAATCCCGAAAGAAATCACTCATAATGCGAGATATTCATTTTTCTAGTTGATACGAGATAGTTGGATGAAAACTGTATTCGGAATTTGGGCAAGGCTAACAAGCCATTCAGTAAGCTAACTAACACATATCGTCGTCAAATCCCCAACTTTTTTAATCCGAAGTAACCTAGGCCCTTTGCGCACTTCTTTCGCAAGAGAATTAAAACCCCTCAATCTACTGCATCTTCTCGTGAGTCGCCATAAGCGAGCCTGTAATTATTAGTTAGTCACTGCTCCTACACTCAAAAGGTTTATAAACTGGGTTGTCTTACCGATGAAAGTAGTAACTAATCTGCTTCGGACCTGGCAGATATCTTCAGGCACTAGCCAGATCGTTGCTCCCATCTTTCTGGCGATGCTAATGCTAAGCTTAGCATTCAAGTATGCTTCTTCGTCGGTTCGTCCAGGCGTGACAAGGTCGTAGTCGACATAACTGCTCTTCATACCGTTCAGAACGTCTAAGAAGAAGATACCACTGCCAATAGCGGGATCTTTGAACGACCGAACTGATGAATTCCGGCCCCCCTTTCGGGACATGTCATTCGCCCATCTTACCATCTCTGCGTCGGTCATCTCCCGCTTCCCAAGACGTTGCGCTAGAGCCGAAAGTGTGAGAGTAATATCCTTTCGCATGAGCTGCCAGACAAGGCCCAGCGTGAGCATTTTATTTCCATCAGTGATGTCCGCTCCTTGAATACCAACTAGCGAGAAGCCATTCTGCTTGCCAAGTTCAACGGCGTAATTAGTGTTCTCGACGGCTTTGAACCTCATCAACTCGGCGCCGCTTGCCGCCCTCTTGTTCACATGTCTCCAGTTCACCGAGCCCTTGATAACCTTGTCGTAGGCCTGAAGTAGAACGGTACCGTCGCAAAGGTCATCGAAGAAGGAGACTACAGCTGGTTGTACGTCCAGACTGTTCAACCACAATGTGAATACTCTGGCTTCTCGTTCACCTTCGGCATCAAAGTCTTCCACCTGCTGCTTTTCTTCCTCGGTAATCGGGTCTAGGGCTGGATGGGTGTTGAACAAATTAGCAACAAAAGCTAGGTTGAGCTTAGGGTTTCCTGCTACGAGGGAGCTTGGTGTCAAGAACTTCCTGCAGCTCAGTTTATCGGCGTCGACCAGTACCTCCTCTGCTCGTTGTAATAGATCGCGTGTTTGAAGAGGAGCTCTGCTACAACCGTAATCCTTTCCAATTTGCGCCAGAAGAACTGCATAGTTCTCCCCATCCTTTACGTCGCTCGAGAAATTGCTAACTCGGCGATGCCAGCCAGCTGCGTTAAGATGATAGTTGAACCATCGTAGGAGGATTTGCTCGGGAGGTAAGCGTAGAAACTGCTCTAGCGTCTCGTCTTCTTCAAGCAGTCTATAGAGCTCAGGGTGAAGTTTAATATCAATCTTGCCTAAGAGACCTCTCCGAATAATCTGCCAGATTAGACCTAGAATGAGATGTTCTCGGACTTCGATGATATCACCGCTACCAATATTGACGACTGAACAGCCGATACCTTTTGCAGATTCTATGACAATGTTGTTGTTCTCTGTCATATGGAACGTATTCAACTTTTTGACCTTCCTGCCGGGGACATTCAGAACACGCTCGTCGATGGTGTCGGGAACGCTGTCATTGATAAGTTTGGCTAGCACCAACCCGTCTTTGCACTCGTCGAACATCTCGAAAGTGTCTGTCGGGAAGGGCAATCGACTCCCTATATCGGGGTCGCCGGCTAAGACAGCATTAATGTGGCGGGTAAATTCGGTTCGTTCATCTTCGTTGATGGTATGAGTGATATTGGCACTGGAGCCTTGGACGTGAATCTTGCCGATGCTTCCTTTGGAGGAATGCCCTTGTCCACCTGTTCTTTGAGATACAATGCCAGCAGGAGCAACCGGCGCAGCACCCCCAGTGTTCATACGCCGTTGCGCAGGTGAGGATTCGCGCAGTTTAGCGATTAACTAGACGTATATTAGAACTGGAGGCTTAGCATCGTCCGTGTAACCTAATGTGACTTACGCCGACATAGTCTTCGAGTTCAACTCTTCGGGAAGCATCGAGCTCAACTTCTCTTAAAGCCTGTCTAACGACATCGTAAGGCTGTCGCTCGCTTTGCTGGGTAGCCTTGATGGCGGTAGCCTCGTCAATGTAGCCCTTATCGTCGACGTCGAGCCTGCGGAAGGCATCGGTAAGGCCGAATATGTCGCCTTGTTCGAATTGAGGAAATTTCCTAACCGCCGTCAGTTTCGCAAGCTCTAAAGTAGGGATTATTGTGTGTGATAGTTTACCTCTGAAGCTTAAGAACGTTCATGACTAATAGAGCTGATCTTCAAAGGCTGGCGAAAATTGTTCTTGATTGGACTAGAAGATCTATCGACAGAACACGATCGTGAAGCGTTGACTTTAAGGGGTTTTATAATATACGAATATGTAGTTTCGAATAAGCCGGTTAGGAGCTCTTAACTCGAAGGGTGGCTAGGCAGGCAGCTATAGATAATAACCGAGGACCTTCCAGAGGCTCAAATTATGTTTCCGAAGTTAGGCTACCTCCAGATGTAGATTGTTAGGATGTGAGTTGAGTGGAAAGCTTGGAAGCGCGGGCTAAAGCTGCGTGTAGATGGAAGTTCGGTGGGGGAGGGGAGAAGCGCCGACTGGTACGGAATACACACTGATGTAATTTCATGCTCCTTAGCCTTGGCATCCTTGGCAAAGCCACCGCCACAGTCACTTGCGTAACATTCAACGTAAGTAAGATTACGTAAAGGCGCTGTCCACGGGTCACATTTTAAGGCAGCATTCAATTTTAATGCTTCGTGAATATTTATCAGGCTGCCTAACTGAGCTCTCGTCATCGCAATGTTATACCTATGCCCAACGAAACAATTACATTCAATCTAGGACTCGGTGTATACGACAACTGCCAAGACAGATGATTCGACAACTTTCTCTACGTGAAACTGGTCATTTGAAGAACGTAAGGTTTTATAATTATTAATGATTAGTATTATAGGTTGTCATGCCTAGTCAATCAAGTTATCATGACATCGGCAATCAACATCTATCTTGTCTATGTATAAGAACGACTATAGTCTAAGCTTACGACCTCACTCTCATGAGACATATAAGCCGGGAGGGCTAGGTATAGATCCACCAATTGATGGTCCCTCCTCAATCTCATCTTGTGATCGACGTTCAAGATGATCCTTTCAGCAGGGCATATGTGGGTTTGATCCGACGTTCAGGTTCGGGTAGTTGAGATCTATTAAGGGCGTGCTTCTCGACTCATTCTAGCATAGGAAACTGAATAGACTGGACCACTATGCGAGGGTGATTTGCGACCGACCATCGAGATCATCTCGGTCAATAGGTTGTACGCCGTTATCGCCAACGAACCATCCACGTCCGCGACACAAGTGTTTGCTTCCCGGACCACGTCGATGACCCGACATCAAGTACGCCAAGATGTCGTACCTGACACATCACCGTGCACTACCCTAAAACTCCCCGCTGTTACGCTACACCGTAAATGGTATCGGGAGTGATCGTGAAGTTCATAAGCGGCGCTACGAATTGGTTGTACGACGCCACGGCCTTCCCAGTGTAGTTCCACCACGTCGACTGGACATCTAGGTCGGTGAACTTTACGCTCACTTGGATCTGAGGCTTGTGCGATGTTCCGTTGGCAGTGCCGTTACTCGGGAGGAGTTTCGCAAGGACAAGGTAGTCGGTTTCGGTTTCCTCGAGCGCTGTGCAGGCCCTATAGTTGGCGCCCTCGCCTTCTCCGCTACAGTACGCCTTAAACGAGGGTCTAGCCGGCCTCGACGAAGAACTTGCGGTACCGGTCACGTTGAAGTCTAAACAAACGAGTAAGTAAGAAAAACAGGGCTATCGAAAGCAGCAGGGGCCTTACCATAATGACATTCTCTCGCGCAACCAGCACTCCATCCTGTTACAGTCCATTTCCAGGGTGCGGCGGCGGCAGCAATTTGCATCACCGCCGCGGACGCAGAGGTGGCGCCGGCTACCGTAGTTAAGAGGGAAGAAATACGCATCTTGACGACTATTAGGTAAATAGAGTACTAGGTAAAGTTGAGTCTATGAGGTATTTAAGTTATCAATCAAATCGAGTTGACGTAGATGGAAAGAAGTTGATTTTACGCAGGCTTCTTAACGTGGGAAAGGTACCTTCTAAATTGAATACCTAAGAGGAGGTCCCTGAGATTTTAAATAACAAATGTACTGAATTGACCAAAACTAACGTGACAACCAGGCTTTGTCGAAACGTGACAAGACATTCTTAGTTCCCCTATGGGATTGTTTCTTTACAAGGACCATTATGAACCATTATTGAACCATTATGGACCTGACTAACTTGTGCAAGGTTGCAAGTAATATGGAGAATGTCTGTCAACATCCCTGTGGTTTCTAGTCGATCAGAGAGATTTTAACGTGCGTCATTGGAGAAGGACAAAAAGCCAAGCGCGATCGCGCTAGGTTATTATTATCCCCATACTGCCGATCTGTTCGTATGTGTTCGTATGGTAGGATTGGGCCCGAAAAGGCGAGATAAAAGGAGAAGACTTGAACTCCTTCAAGAGATAGGAGGTACTTTTGAAATACGAAAGGGGTAAGTTGCACAAGGGTACTCTTCTCGCTAGAGTCAACTACCGCTGGCCCCCCGAGTTACAAATTAAATACTTCTGCCGTGTACATTTCCTAAATTGTTCGGCCTCGGGACAGCGCAGGTTAATCCCGTTTATTGCTCTTGGATTCATGCAGCCATCGAGCACTAATGTTCCTATTATTACATACGTGCATATGTAGTGGCTTCGATAAGTCGTCTCGTGGCTCGATATTCATATGCACGATCTGAGACGGTTTAACATTGATCTTCCTAAAGAAAACATACATCCTACCTATTCTTACTGCCTAGAGGATGACGCGTATGCGTATAACATCGCTCTACGGGAATCAGATGCTGGCTGTTAGGGAATTATATTAAATGCGTACATGCGCTTCTTTGAATCTTGGCCATGTAAAACAACTACACGCATGTCTAACACTTTTCATATGTGTTGATTTTGTGGCTTAGTGATGTTTACTACAAATGGTAGTTATGAATAGTGACAACAACAGCTGGACGGGCAAACTAGATGCGCAAACACTTACACACTTGCCTATATCACTCGCCTACATCTTACTTCTTTGCGCCGGCCTAGGCATCGCTGACATTTTGTTAAAGCCCATTCTGCGCTGATGTGTTCAACCCTATTTGATGTTACCCAGCCATCGTGAAATACAAGCGCCAGCTAAGCTTGCTGTCAACGTTTCACAACTTCCAATATTAGGTATTCACTCTACTTGCACCCTCGCCTTACGCTTGACGTGGTCAATGATACGATTTAGTATGGTGACTCGAACATCGTTCAAGAAAGCTAGCTAAACTTCCATACGTGGTTTGTACTAACTGTTTGTCTTTACTGTCTTAATCACATAGGCACCTAAGGTTTTGGGATATCGTACGGATGGACCTATTTTTGCTTCTGATTCCTATAGTTTACTATTAATTGACTTGGAGACTTGAGTATGCGGGCACTATGGGGGCTAACTCGAGTAAAGGCGGCCGGTTACACGATTGTCATTACTTTAGTGAATAAATTTCTTTATCACTTAGGTCTTTATAGTGACTATAGCGGGTTGAAAGGAACTTTGCCATTCTTTCCCCAATTATAGCGAAGCGGACTGGAAGAAATAAAGACCTAACATGCACTTCCTGACTTGAAGGTCCATCAGTCCGATATTGCACTCAAGTAGCCCTGAGTTTATATTGGATGTTTTAGATACTGAAATATGTTAGCATGTTAATAAAATATTTCTGGCTTGTACAGAGAGATTCCTTATACGATCTACTATGGTGCTTTTGACTTATGAGTCTCTGTATGTGGACAACTTTAAATTTCTTGACTGTAGTTACGGTATTTCTTTCGCACCACTCTCTTTGTCTTCAGGCTTTTTATAGCAAGGGACGATTTAGGATCTTATATACCTTATCTGTGAGCATGCTCTACACGAGACGCCATGCTGAAAAACCACTGCGACCTTTCGACTAGTGATCGTTTCACCAGAATAAATACTAATAACGTGCGATACGCTCTTCCCGTAGCACAACATACGCATCGAATGCTTGCATGAAACATGTATGAGCGCGAGCTTTACTCATTGTAGGAGAAAGTCGGCGTTTATTCTTGGCATAGAGTTGAGAGTCATCATGAGTTCGTCTGTATGATAGTGACGCCTGTACCCATACCAATGTATGTAGACGTACAGTATGTCCCCCCACGATGGGCTGCATCAAGAATCTGCATCTGGGCCTATTTCCATCTCGTTATTTCAAGTCTGATTCTTACTAGAACTCCAAAATTTTCTAACGCCCCAATGTCATCGTTTTTAGAGAACTATCAATAGTGTCTGATCATCTTAAATGTGAGCAAAAACTATCAGCTAGTTTTACTTCGGACGCATAACGCAATGCCACATAAAGACAAGATCATTCCGATCCACGTATCTAATATTTAATCAGTAAATAGGTACGTCGATGTTATGATAATAATGACCTACCCCTACTTATAACCTTCTTGTCAACCCACCAATCGCCAAGTACTGTGAATAAGAAGGCTAATGTGTTTACGATTGGGACCGTCAAGCTCAATTCTGAGGCGAGGTGTTAGTATATCAAAACGCCGGCAGTATTAAGACGGAACCAGTCGACTCACCTGCTTGGCCGATGAGGAGGAAGAACCAAACACTCCCGGTCAAGTTGATCAGTAGTGGAACAGCATATCTCGGGTTCTTGAGTAGGTCAAGGACAGCAAAAAAAGCCCCGTAAAGTTTACTCTTGACCCAGCTTGCTTTTACATCGTCCCTTGCTAGTGTCGGATGAGCCGGTGGATTATGATCTTTGGCCGCACGGCGAATGAAGGGCGTCGTAAATCCCCAAGCAAGCCCGACAAGTAAGAAGCCAGCCACGTAGTTAATAGTCGGTGGCTGAGATAAAGGCTGGGAAGATGACATCTTGGGATATCGGTATGGAATACCGATAATGGCGAATTAATTACTGTGTTTAGTAAAGTCTAAAGTCAAGTAGGTAGTTAGTTGTAGTGTATGAATGGATGCTTAGAAGTTACCTGGTAGGTAGGTGCATTGCCAATCAGATGGGCGATTCTCCAAAGCTAAAAGCGGGACATGTCCCACATTTAAGTAATTCTCTCCTGTCAAGCCACACCGTAACTCCTAGAACTTAGGTGGTACGTACCTACATTATGTACATTTCTGAAGGCTTGAGTGTAACAACTCGGGATTGTATCACGGTTCTACCATACACCGTCATTAATATCTACAAAATGGATAAAGCCTACAAGTTAAAGAGTAGTACTAGGGCGAATAATTCCAATACCCTTATCTTAAGATCTATGGATCACTGTGAAGAGACTCCTTTTAAATTTGTTGATTCCCCGTCAACGTTGACCATTCAATAATGCTTTACGAGTCGGTATATGCATACTGGTCTAGACCGCCGTCTCGACAACTGGGTCGTTACGGCAGCCGGCAGCCGGCAGCATAGCCGGTCTAGTTCATACCTACATACTCTCAGGGTTGATATCAGGTCGCCCCGGTTGCTTTGCTTTTTGTCCACTCAATAGCATATCCTGCATACATAGCAACTCGGAACCCCTATCTTGGTCCAATCGTAAATCGCGGTTGACGAGCGAACTCTCGCAAAAAGGGGCACGGTTTAACGACATGGAGCTAGCCGTGACAACGATTGGGTATTAGTCGATTGCGTTCACGATTCATTGCATACCTATGTATGTAGTCTTGACGGTTCGCAGTCCACATCTTCTCAGGGGTCGTTCGGCATCGTGTTTAGACAGTGGGGTTCGAATTGACCTTAAGGGGATCTGATTAGAATCTGACTGTCTGGACCTTTCAAGGCTTCATATAATCTGGTGTACAGTATGTCGACACCGCTGAATAATTGTCGATGCTTAACTAGGTACCTTTTCGAGCAATTACGTTCTTCATATTATGCAGGGAATATTCCCTACATAATCCTTGAAAATGTGCGAGCCTAGAGGCGGTTCCATCCAAAGATAATTACTCTTTCCTCCTATGACTTAGCATCGATGTAGCGCCTCATAGTGTGCTCGGCGCCGTCCGTATGGTATTAGGTAGTAGTTAATATAATTGGAAGGCGACGAATAGCGTTGTCGTTACCATCGTTTGAGGCTGAATCGTGATTTAAGCCGCACTGTGGAGGTTCATGTGGATCTAACTTGGCATTTAACGGAGGTAGATAATAAGGCTTGCTCATGACAATTCATAGTCCAATCGTTTAGGTAGTCTTTGAACTTGTGATGGAGCAGAATATCCGTGGTCCCTGATGATCACCTCTTAGGGCAGATAAACCTTATGTCGTGATTGACTTCAATAATACTGTCCAATACTTGATATTTCTGGTCGATGTCACAATTCCTGGGGTTCTCGACTTATGCTGTTATGTACATATACTAGATCCTAGATTCAGCTCTGTAAATCTTCTGACCGATCATGTCTAAGTGCGGATCAGGATGATCTTTCCGACATAGGCCTAAGTAGCCTAAAGCGGCTTGACTGGTGATTATACGACTCTAAACTACGCGTTGTCATTGTCGTCATGACTCAATTGTCTATGCTGTATAGAAGTGGTAATCAACTGGAGTATAAGCGTCAGCGGCTTGGCATGTCATAGAGGATATAGGAAGTAAGCCTAAGTAAGAGTTGAAGAAACGTGTATAAAGAGGAGTAGGATTCCTTTCCATTCGGTCTTGCATTAACAGAGCAGTAACAGCACACTTGACCCAACAGCCAGCCTTAACCGTATCAATATTTAACGCGTTACCCATCTACAATTATCCATTATGCCCACTGAAGCGCAAATTGCCGGCGGTCACAAGGCCAACTTAAACAACCCTAACACTAGCCAAGATGCTAAGGAACATTCCAAGCAAGTTCTCGACGATGAGTTTAACGGTGGGAACGGTATGGTTCTAGTCCGATATGCATCCTAGTTTGGGCCACTTTCTGACCATTCCTATAGTGCCGAAGTCTGGGAATGGCGGTGATGATGGTAACAAGAACCCTGGGAATGTTGCCGGTGGTTTAAAGGCGTAAGTGGGTTGGTCTAAGATGGTGAGCCAACTACTAACTATCGCTGTAGGGCAATCAACAATCCAAAGGTCTCCGAGGATGCTAAGCAAAGCGCAAAGAACCGCCTCAATGATATGTAAGGGATATAAGGGGTAATGTGGTTATTCTGACAATCGAGGAATACTATGAGTGTGTTAGTCTTAGCAATCCGAATTGAAAGATTGGTATAATTTCGAATTGTGTCAACGCATATTATTGTGGTAAACATTTGAAGAATGCGTACCATGGCATTCGAATACATTAACTCGTGCATTAAATTTTCAACTTCGAAGTCCACATGTGGTGTATGTCTTCTGAAGGTTCAAATTGCAGACAACCCTTTCATTAATGTTACTTCTTTGAGTCTGATTGGCTTAACTCAGCCCACAGCATTCCACATATACACAGAATGTACTATTTGATACGCGGTTTGAATTTTAACTAGCATTTTAACCATTACGCATTCTGACGTAGTCCCGATGGCGGTTCGGAAGATACGTAGTACCACTTGGTTGGGTTAGGACGTTAATAAGTGCCATGCGTAGCAATAGAGCAATGATTACCTTACTACAAGTGTATGTACACAAGTAAGTATAAATAAAGCACCTCAATTAATCTGGATAATTGGCATGTATAATAAATACTATGTAACCTGATGAAATGACGCCGGGTTCTATGGCTAGGTTCATCGTATGTAAGGCGTGCACGAAGCGATCATTAAGATCAGCTGATATGATTCTCGACCGTCGATGCGGGATTGAATCTGAGCCGTCGGAAAATAATTATGGTCGCGTCATTTAGGCGTCTCGGCACAGTGCAGAGCCTCCTGGATTGCGTGTCTGGGCTGTGCAGGGTAGGCATCAATATTTCCTATGTAAAAACGGAAGAAATCCCAACGTCGTACTCTGCGAAACAATTCAACGAAGTCTTCATGTTGTTTAGGAACCATCTTAGGTATAAGACATAAGAATAAGCATAAGACATCCTTTATTTTCTTCAATAACTCGAATAATAAGAAAGAGTCGACGAATAAGAGATAGGGCAATCGAACCAAGGAAATACTTCCCTGACACAGGTTACCCTAATCTAGTGCCTCTATTGGCTCCGGGTCCATTAAACAAGGCCCCTGTCATCTTGTACGCCCTGAAGTCTTTAAAGTCCTAGCAGGGGTACGGGGGTACAGGGGTATCTTTTTAGGGAGGCGGGGTTTTTTTCTCAGCTGTGGAGTTCCCCGGCAGCACGAAAACTGCTAAAACTGCTACAGCAGGAACGGGTCAGACCTGTTTGACCAACCAAAAGCCCCAACCTCATTGTTTTCGTCACCAGCCACTCCAATTGCAGGCCGCTGCCTTAGGTACCCCGACAAGGTATGGGTATCTTCTAGCCCGGCTGCAAACCTGCAAGTCATTATCCTCTTCTGCATTCTCCTGCTTCCGCTGCCATTGTCTAATTGGGTCTCTACTTCATAATATTGGATGCTTATTTGGTTCTCTCGTTCATTGGTCTCAAAATCGTTTTTTTACTCTCCTTCCGGTCGTTCAACACCGACTCTCGCTTTGATCCTATTATTACCAGTTGAACGTATACGAGGTCTACTCGGAAGAATCAAAAACGGCACCCGCCGAGCAACCGAGACAACTGTAACTCGCAACCTTTAAATCTACCTATCCTTCGGTACTATCGATTGTGTCAATTGGATCGGGATCGGGATTTTTATTCGACTTCAGCCTTCCAATGAGAGCTATTTGATAACTTCAACGTCTTGAAAGATGGCTACCAAACCGAAAATGCCTAACCCGTTAAACGGCATGCATACAGCCGGTATATTCTCCGACATGAGCGTCGATGGCCCTGAGATTGGAACTCTTGTACTTATTGTTGATCGTGCAAAGAATCTTCCAAACAGGAAGACAATTGGGAAACAAGATCCCTACTGCGCCGCGCGGCTGGCGAAAGAAGCTAAGAAGACAACCACAGATATTCGAGGTGGCCAGACCCCCAAATGGTGCGTATTTAATATGCCAGTAATTATACTCTTTGTCTAACATCTTGGATTCGTTGTAGGGACCAGGAGCTTCGATTTATAGTTCACGACTCGCCCGACTACTATCAGTTAAAGCTATCCGTATTCAACGACGATAGGAAGACGGAGCTAATAGGCGAAACGTGGATTGACCTACGCGATATAATTATACGAGGAGGTGGACAGAGTGACCAGTGGCATAGCTTGAATTGTAGAGGCAAATATGCGGGTGAGGTCAGAATCGAGATCACATTCTACGACAGCCGCCCAAAAGCCGAAAAGGCAATAGCAAAACCAAACGGCGTAACCCCGAATCCCGACGTAGAATCTGCCGGCGGATCTCAGAAGACGGTAGTGAAACGGCGTCCGTTGCCCTCCGATCCTGTCACGGGTCAGGCACCTTCACCGTCAGTGGCAGACCCAATGCATACTCCGTCCCGACCACAGCCAATCCCCCCATCATTCGTTCCAAGCCACGCGCCATTACAAGCTGCCGAATATGGTACATCACCCTCAGGCAGACCCAGCAATCAGCCCGATCAGTACTCTTTAACACATCTCAGCAAGAGTCAGTACTCGACGCCATCCCAGCGACCGCTGGATAAGAACTATAAGCTTCCTCCGCAAGATAATGAACAACCACGTTACTCGGACTCTGCTTATGGTCGGTCATATGAAGTAGAAACTAGGTCATCTTTCGCCCATGGTCAGCAAACCTACGAGTCTCCGCCGCCAGTCCACCATCCTCGGCAATCGATTGAGCTCGATGACTGTCCTCCGCCCCCACCAGCCCACCGAGTTAGAAACTCAAGTGTAGGTTCACAAGAACTAGTTACCCGTGGTAGCTTCGACATGCTACAGCATAAAGCTGTCCCACATATGAGGCATGATGTCCTACGGAATGAAGCCCATCGATACTCAGTGCCTTCAGCGGCGCCGTCATCTTATCCTGGTCGACCTACGTACCGCCCGTACGAGTCAGCTCCGGATATGCAAAGCATGGTACCATACCGCGAGGCCGATGCTAACCGCCAGTCGCGCCATTACTCTTACGACCCAGCATACGAAGCTCACTACCGATCAATGCAACCGACGGTAGAGGACGTTCCGGAATCCTGGACACCACCAAGCGCAAGACCCCGAGGTAGCGGATCTAGAACGCACCAGTACGATGAGCAGGAGTACCATCAAGCTTCCACTCCTGCGCCGTTGGCTTTAAACGGGCGTGATAGTGCGCTGTCTGGACATTATAGCCCTTCCCCTATCCCATCTCAAGAGCAGTACGACCCTAGTGGCTATAACCAATCACCATCGCCCATACCTGCTGAGGATTATTCCCAAGCACTCGCTCTGGTGCCAAGGTATTCGAGGCAGATGGATCATACTCTGAATTATCCAAATGAACTAGAAAATAGTCAAGTGCTTGCGCCAAGCGATTATGATATCCCCTCTGTACCCCCAACGCTGGTTCCAGGGGTTGACCCAGCTATGGCGCGCGAGATCTCGGATCGCTTCCAGCAAGAAAGAAAGCAAGCGCGTCGATACACCCAACCACCTCCTATGGCTACTCCAACCCGGGGTAGACAGCAAAGCGAGCCTCCCTCAAATTATGCTATTCAGCATTCCCCTAATGTCCACCACCCAAGCAGCTCGAGAGTCTATGATAGAAGCCTAGTGAATTATGCTAGCGGACCTACCACGCCTTTGGGACCAACCTCAGGTTCAAGGTCTCGAGGAGTCTCTCCAGCCCCGAGTGCTAACCACACGATCAAACGCAAGTCGGTCAGTCCGGCGCCTCCCCCGTCTGATGGTCGCCGACTATCAGGGGTTCCTTTCGGCCCAGACTCTTATGACGCCCTAAACCCTACTGTGGCGTCGACAAAGGACGGAGAGTACACCAATGCAGATGGAAAGATAGTGACACCAGATGGACGGGAAGTTGATCCCTCAGATCACTTGCCTATGGACACCTGGGCGCCGGAACCAGAGCCAAAGAAGCCCGTTGAGCCTGTGGAGACACGTTCACGTCCAGTGCCTGCTGGCGCGCAGCCGATGCCACCCTCTAGCCGCCGGCCACCCCGTACCAGTACGCGACCCCAGTCGGCAATAGCTGCACCGCCAACATATATCCCTTCTGACCCCACACCTTCTCCTCCTGTGAGCACGGGGCGAAACCGCCTACAGAAGAAAGCACATCGCGCATCAGCCCTACCGGCGCCAATTTCCTCAGGGCCTAATCCACTTGGCCCTTCGACGCCTCATCAGCGGAACAGTACGCCCCCTCGAGCGCTTGTTCGTGCTAGCACTTTCGATTATGAGAATCATGGCTCAGGCGCGGCTCGCTCGGGATTCGGCATCGGTCCGCCAATTCCAGCCAAGGTACCGATGATGAGTGGCGGCTTGGGGCCAACCCCGGGGCGAGGGGGCAACGAAGAATGGGCACTCATGGAAGAAATGAGTAGGATCGATATCGGCTCGGGCCGAGCACGACGGCATGGAGGATATTGATGATACGAATGTTTACGAATTCGAGAGAAGGCGTTGTATAATATGTATAATGTGTTTGAAGCAAAGGAGGTAGGTACCGGTTACTTGCTTTTGCCGTTTTATATTTCCCTTTCCAGTCTCTGTCCGGTATCTTGGGGGTGTTTAATGTATTGGAGGGAGGACAATCGCGTGCGGTCGTGATCATATAGACAAGATGGACGTGCGGAAAGGGAAGGCTTCGGCGTGTGGAAAATACTGCGGAGGGCCGAATGGAAAATGGTCTAAATCTCATTTTAGACTCATACGCAACCTGGTTGACGTATTTAGAAGCTAGGAAGTTCAGAGGCAGCTTTACTTGGTAGGACCGATTTTGATAGGTACCACTTGAAATATACGAATGATTCAAAAGATCTTTACATCTTCTATGCGTAGCGTTGAGTTACCGTGATATGACCGAATGTTCAAGCGGATCAACTGGAATTCGACGATACGCAATGTGTTTTCAACTTGTGTTACTGGAACTCGCAGCTCAATCCATCTTAACCGTAGCATAAAATCCCTAATACAAGGCTATATTTCTTTTGCTTACACCACGCGAGTCTTACAACGCCCGACAGGCGAGCTTCCTTCGTTCGTACCCAGATATCAAGTCCGATCCTGAAATGGCCGCAATCGAAAAATACCCTTAGTTTTCCGGCCTGAAACGCCATCGCCATGCAAAAAAGAACCACCGTCTCGAGACTGTTTCTTCTTCCCCCTCCCCTAATACCCCTTTTCCGCTAACCGATCCGTCTCTTCTCTTCGACAGAGCCGAGTACATTAATCCAAGCTGCTCACTAGCAAGGTCCCCAGCATCCCGCTCGTCTGGGTCGCCACCTGCGCCCTCTCGACTTCGAGCCGCACCCTGCGGTGCAGCGTCTTGAAGCTAGCCTGGAGCTCGGCGCTGCCGCCGACGAATTCGGAGTACAGATCGAGCAGATGCATAGCGACGTCGGTGCACATGCTGACGTAGCGCGGGTCGATGATGTGCGTCTGCACCCATTTGAGGATGGGCTGGACGGTGGCCTCGTCGCGGCCCTCAAGGGCCTCGCGTAGGGCGCTGCGATGGCGAAGCGCGATTAGCAGCGTGAGCACCGTTAGTGGGCTGTGGTCCTTAGCGCTTGGGTCGAGCACACGGTCTAGGGCCGCAGCGAACCGGCCGTGCCGCAGGTCCTTCTGCCAGGGCGTCTCGCGCTTGGGCCGCGAGAGATCATTGGCAATGACGACGTCAGCACCCTCTCCGATCATGTCGAGATGCTTGGCTGCGCCGTGGCGGCGCTTCCGCTTATTCTTGACTTTGTCATGCGAGTCGATGTTCCCGGAGAGCAGCGCGGCCATCTCCTTCTCACGCTCACGCTCGCGGGTCGCTTCGGGTCCTGTGAGGCGTGTGCGCAGCGAGAGAACACCGGACTGCATGCCGACTGCTAGATGTCGGTCATCGTCGTTGGCACCGGCAGTAATGACCCTGACAGCCAAAATGGGAGAGGGGTACTTGGCGCCCGCGACGACATTCCAACCAGTCGTCTCGAAGATCTTGACGTGGCCGTCTAGACCTCCAGACACTAAGCGACGGCCGTTGGAGGCAAGGGACAGAGAAGTGACGGTCTTCTGGTGATTGGATATTATGTGTTGCGGTTTCGCAGCCACGAGGTCGAGAACGGAGATCTGGTTCTCGGACGATGCGAGAACAGTAGTTCCGGAGGGGAGAGGTAACACGTCTTCTATAGGTGCAGCGTGTTTAAACGTCATGACGGCTGTGCCCGGTGTTCGGGGATCCCAGAGCTTCACTGTGGAATCGTAACTACCGGATACCAGCATGTTTGACATGGTTCCGGGCATGAAGCTGCCGCTGCGCACGTAGTCGGCATGGCCCACGAATGTTGATGTACTTTCTTGGCTAGGAAGATCCCATAATCTCACTGTTTTATCGTCGCTCGTACTCATGAGAGTTGTGAGATCGGCCGGGGAGAATTTCGTTGTCCATACTGGCTGCTTATGTTGCGCCCACGTCTTGAGAATGGCCCGCGACCCAACGTCAAAGACTTGAATCTTGCCCGTATCGTCTCCGGCCACCAATATACGACCATCCCGTCGTACATCTCCGCTTCGCGCAATGTCTCCAAAACGGGTGATTGTCTTAACCAGCTTCCTCGTTCTTATCGAGTAGATCTGGACACGGGTTCCCGTTGTGACAGCGAAATAATCATTGTTGGAAGTACCAATCGCAGCTGGATTGGTCGCGGGAACGGTGATGTGGGTGATGGGGTATTGTGTCGGCGACGGAATCACAAGTTGGTTCTTAAATGATTTCCAGTATCGCTGTTCTGCAGTAATTTGAGAAGGTCCCGAAGGAAGCTTCAGCTGCGGAAGTGGCGCGACCTCTGCCGCCATCGTCAATAGGTGTGATGTATGCTGTCGTGTGCTTCCGTTAAGGAAAAGGGAAAAAAACGTATAACCGAGTTGAGAAACCAATCAACTTTTTTTTTCTTGGGAATCGGTCAATTAGACAATTTCCCACCGACGATCTAAACCAAGTTGTACCTTAGCTTGGTGTGATAAGATGTGATAAGGATGTATCGATAAGACAAGACAAACAGGGATCAATGAAATGTGGCTGGAAGACTTCGCGACAGGTGCATACCAACATGTAACGGTACATATGCAATTCAAAACAAGGTCCATAAAGAGGTGCCTCGGCAAGTCGGGGGGTGCAAGACAAGCAGGACAAGTCATAAAGCTGGGACGATTTACATAAGAGATATGTAGGTAGAAAAGAATCAGTTTCAACTCCTCACATTTCCAAAGACATTTATATCGCCCAAGCATTTACTTATATCGACTCCCATTTCGTAAACCCCAAGTTTTAAATCATGGCCCAATCAGAAAGAGAAAGTTACTCCGACTTTAGACACTTTATTATCTCGTCGCCATCCGAATATGTGGCTCACGTCGAGATCAATCGCCCATCCAAGCTAAATGCATTCACACCAGATATGTGGGTAGAGCTTGGAAGGATATTCGCAAAGTTGTCTCGTGATCCAGGCGTTCGTGCTATAATACTTTCTGCAGTCGGCGACCGGGCATTTACTGCTGGTCTAGATGTGCAAGCCGTGGACCAGGGAGGCCTCCTAGGGAATCGCGATCAACAACCAGATGCCGCGAGACAGGCAACGAAACTTCGGCGCCAGATTTCCGAGTTCCAAGACTGCATAAATCAGATAGAGAAATGCGAGAAGCGTAAGTAAACATTATTTTCGCTCACGAAATTTATATCATCGCCAACTAACAATAATGCTAGCTGTTATCTGTGTCATGAACGGTGTATCTATCGGCTTGGCTATCGATATAGCCTGCTGCGCAGACGTGAGAATCTGCTCGAGAGATACTAGATTTTCTGTCAAGGAAGTAGACATCGGCATGGCTGCAGACATAGGTACTCTTGCAAGGCTACCCAAGATCGTCTCGAGCTTCTCGTGGGTTAAGGATGTTTGCTTGACAGCTCGGGGCTTTGGTGCTGAAGAGGCTCTTGCTGTTGGATTCGTGAGTCAGGTGCTGGAAACTAAAGCAAAGGCTATCGAGGCAGCTAGCATGCTCGCATCATTCATAGCATCGAAGAGTCCAGTTGCCGTCCAGGGCACGAAGGAGCTGTTGAACCATGCAAGGGACAACACAGTTGCAGATAGTAAGTGCGCCTTCAAGGTATATGGCAGTGCGATAACTAACTGGAATAGACTTGAGATACACAAGCCTGTGGAACCAGGCGATGCTTCAGTCTAACGACTTCAAAACCGCGTTGCTGTCTGGACTAAGGAGGACTAGGCCGAGGTTTGAGAAGCTATAGGTTGATATTGATAGGTGCTTCGGATGGTATCAAAGCACACCGAGTATAGACCCAATTACAACTGGCAGGAAGAGACTTGGCGTCATTTTAAATTGATAGACTGCTGTGTACGAAGCGAATTATATAAGAATTTACATTTGTCGATGTTTTATAGGGGTGTCTACCTAAGTATGTAGCTATTGAGTTCGTTTTATTGAACATCTCGGTCCGAATCGGAGTCGTCCTCTACTTCGGGGACGTTCTCCTTCAATCGCTAAGATGTGTTAGTAGCCTAAAGAGTTTGGAGAAAATCTGACTATACCTTATCGAGTTCCATCTTCAACTGAGCCACCATATTATCTTTGATTACAAGGTGAGACTCGTCGAGATCCTCAATTATGTACTCATTGTTCTTGCTATCGATACTGACAATGATGGATTTGATTGAGGGTTCGCACTCGACCAAAGTCCCTGAATGTATATTAGCACCCAAAGAATATAATAAATTAAAGAAAGAAAAAAGACCTTTAATAGCGCGGACCATCGTGTGCTTAGTCTTCCAAGCTCTCTTGTTTGTTGTGGTATAGTAAGAGTCGCGCTCCTCGGCCGAGATTCTTCTGCTTTATTTTTATCGCAGCTTGAAAGCACTAGGTTGCTAACTTGGTACACAGGTGATAATATAGTTGCTTTACCATGTAATAGTCAAGATTGATGGATTCCGAAAAGTGTTGTTTCCTGTGCTAACGGACATTAAAAGTCTGGATGGAATGGATGAAACTTCCGGCTGCGAAATATAGACCCACACCAGGCTTTAGAGCTGACATGAGTTCCTTAAATAAATAAAGTTTAGGGCGGTTCTAGGCAAGCATGTACGTCCTCACATAGCATTAGGTACCTAATGTACACTACTACATGTACATAGTCAATTGTCAATTCAAACATTGATGTCAATGTCTAGATGGTTCTAATGTCTCTAGCCGAGCAGAATAAGTCTAACAAATCAAAGAACAGTTTGAGCCCCTGCTACGAAAATGACATACATTATAATACTGCATAGTATATAACTAGAAAATCTAAATAATATGGATACTAGGTACGCATACGGAGTATGTTGGTGGTACCTACGACACAGGTGACGTTAGGTACCTCATGTAGTAAGCCAGAGCTGCGGGGAGTAAAGGATTAGCGCAGATTTTAGCTTGACGTTAACAAACGTTTACGTACCATGTAGCGACAAAGCCTCCAAAATTTAGAAACCTGGAAGCACCGGTTGTCAGCTCAATGATCCGAACTTACCGGCTCACCTGTCGGCATATTTACGTATTTGAACATTCATCTCTCTCAGTTTACACCTTGCGCCAACCTACCTAACATAACTCAGAATAATTGTAGTCTCTTGGCCTCTTGGGAAGAAATTTGGTTGCATATCTCAGGGGTTAACCGCCGAGGATTCATCCCCTCGTCGCTCAAGCCGCCCGTCTCTTTATCGCACCCCGATTCACGTTGTACTCCCCAAACTATCAGATGAATTCGAGCCACCACCAACGGTACGAAGTGCACTTTTGCAGATCTTCTCTCTCTCGTGTGATGCATTCTCAAGCATAGCGTTGCGAGGCCGACAGCGCACGATACGAATCAATCCGATGGATCTTGAATGAAATCACCGCTTTCCATCACCCCTCGGTGCTACAAAGATTCTCCGCTCTCTGCGTCGCACTTGGCATACGAACTTGGCATACGAAACATTTCGTCAAAAACAGCTGATCATTTAAACGTCACTTCTAAATCTTTCACCTACGCTACTACGCCCAGTCCAACGTATAATTAATTCGAGCCACGAGCTGAAGCAGCTTCCAATCTAAGTCGCGCGACACGCCCAAATAGGACCCGAAAATGGATCAAGACGACAGCGGCTCAGGCAATATATTCGCAACGTACCCGTTTTCTTGGGTACTTGTCCCAATCATCATATTCGTCGGTGTCGGGACGCTCCTCATGTGCTACCGATATCGCCGCCGAAGGAAGCTCCGCATGTTATACGGCACCAGCGCTTTAGAACGGGATCTAGAAGCCATGGGCAATCGTTCGAGATCGAGGGCACCGGCCGAGCGGCGGACAAGAGGAGGAAGACGTGGACTAGGACCGGACTTGGGTAGTAGAGAGGAAGGTCTAAATGAGTTGGGTGAAGCGCCACCAGCCTACACCCCCGCACAAAAACGACCCGATAACACAGACGACATAGAATTAAGTCCCTTGCAACCATCGCCGGGTGCTGTAGACACAGACGGGCCCGGTACCAGTAGACCACCAACATACGAAGAATTACAACAAGGAGCGGATCTGACGCAATCTACAACACCTGTTGCGACATCTAACATACCGGAACCGCCCCCGAGAGCGGTCTTACCTCCGCATTAACCTTACGATTAAAGAATGGAAGGCTTAGAAGGATATGTAGGGAAACGGAGTTTTGGGCGGCATATGGGCCACCTAGGTTATCTAACGAAATTATTGCGATTATTAAAAGAGATATATTAGACGGCGACTTATCACGGTGGTATGCCCGGTTGTATAGAATAGGGACATCTGGGTGGTTCGTCCTCGTTGGGAAGGGTCGGGATCTGATTGATGTCTGCTTGGGACTGGCCGCAGCCGTATTAGAGGCGCCCTACATTTGCTCTTAATGAATATTAATGTTTATCTACTCGGTCAAGTCATCGAAGAGGACGTTTTCGATATCCATGATGAGCTCCTAGCAGCCAATGAGGCCGGGGATAGTCGTCATATTCCATAGAGATCGGCATCTCTATTTACTACTTTCTTAGACTACCTCCAACGTTGCTAATAGCTAGCAGCATACAAGTCACCGCCTAAAACCTTTCAATAATTGCAGGCGGCTTGTTCTCCAGGATTTCATCGATCTTCGCCATGATCTCTGGGGTCAGCTTGTCCACAACCTCGACGGCTTGCACGTTCTCGTACACCTGCTCAGCACTACTCGCGCCGGTGATGGCGGAGCTCACATTCGGATTTTTGAGCACCCACGCCAAGGCTAGCTGACTTTGCTTAACGCCGAGTTGGTTCGCGATGGGCTCTAGTTTATTCACCTGCTCGATGATGCCCTCCCACTTCTCCTTACCTGTCCGCTTCCAGAAACCCGCAATAAACTCGACCGATTCTTGGGCGTATCTCGAATCAGGGGGGATTCCGTTCTTGTACTTGCCAGAGAGGATGCCCGTTTTCAGCGGCGAAAATACCGTCAGTCCAAGTCCAACTTCTCGGTACAGATGAGCGTATTCTTTCTCAACCTTCTCGCGATCCAGCATGTTGTATAATGGCTGTTCCATAACAGGACCAATGAGACCTAATTTGTCGGCGTAGCGCCATGCCTGGGCGATCTCGTCGGCGCTCCATTCCGACGTGCCCCAGTAAAACGCTTTTCCGGTGTTGATCAGGTGGTTAAAGGCGCGTACCGTCTCCTCCATCGGCGTGAGTCTATCCGGGCGATGCGCGTAGATTAGGTCTACGTATTCGAGTCCTAGACGAGATAACGAGGCGTTCATACCCTCGATGATATGCTTCCGGCTTAGCCCCTTGTTATTAACGGGGTTGTCACCAAACGCGCCGCCCCAATATATCTTTGCAATGGTGTTAGTAGCTAGCCCCAGGGAGTCGGCGTGTTACTTCAGTACCTTCGTCGATATCACGAGGTCGTTGCGTTTCCAGCCGAACTTCTTGATTGCCTCGCCCATCACCTCCTCTGACTTGCCCTCTATTTTACTACATCAGCCCGCGGATCTGAATCCGACTGTCGATTTTTAGGAGTATTTCCTTACCCGCGTAGCCCTCGGCACAATCGAAGAAGTTAATGCCGCTGTCATAAGCGGCCTTCATGCAGGTGAAAGTATTTTCTACAGCTTCAGTTAGCACCATATCAGTCTATATATGCCTCTCTAAACAGTATACCGTTATCGACGTGTCCGCCGTAGGTGAGCCAGCCACCTAGGGAGATCGCTGAGACCTGGAGACCCGATCGGCCCAGGAACCGGTAGGTCATCTTCGGAAGGCTAGGAGGGGCCGACATCTTGGTTGGATATCTCAGCAGCAGTTGGAACTTGGAAAGATGAGGGATGGGCGAGAGGAGTGTTTATTTTAACGGCTTGCTTTATTACTTGACGAGCTTTATGATTTTTGCCGCCTCTTGCACGAGATGTGCTTTTATAGTATAGGTCTAGGTATACAAAGATCTTATATATATACCAAACATCTACATGCTAATAAAGTTACATATCGGAGAGCTAACCCCCCACTACGATCTTGGAATATTCCCCCGCTCTGTCTTGGGCGTATTACTAAGCTATAGCTCAGTCTGCACATCCTATTCGATATATTCGGGTTTCATTCGGTGACATTGGACCCGAGCTTTTTTAGAAGCAAATTATTATAGGTTTATAGAATAAGATATATAAATCAGGAGACTTAGAAGAAGGATGAGATTTATTGTATGATTAAATATGAAAGCTGGACTATCTAGGTTTAGTTAAAAGATAATGAAATTCCCATATTGCCGGAATAATAAGGATATATCTAACTAGAGAAGAAGTTACCTGTTACCCACATACCTATATAGCCCAAGTAAATAGCTTAAATAGCTTAGTCGAAACAGACCTTATCGTTTTATGACCGGACGAAACGCCGATACATTACACAAATTAGCATACTTACCTATACTATATTTTGATCCGATTTAGTCTTCTCGCCAGCTTACGCAGGCAAGGGGGATTTGTTTAGATTTGAAGTATATTAATCATTTGGCCACGGTAAAGCACCTAAGGATCATTCTAGACTGCTTTACTGTGAACTATGAGACTCTTAGCGACTCTAGTTTTTATATGAGGTCAATAAGCATTTTTACCTGACGTTAAAGACACATAATACGTGATAGAGAAAAACAGTTATTAGTAACCTAAGACTTTAGTATCGGGCTGCAAATAAAACACCACTTGGCCTAGGAATTACTTATAGTCTTCTTCCATTATTTAGATAATACAAGCCCATACCCGTATAAGTGATGGATATCTGCCCAATTATTCACCACTATTATATAGAGCTATTATCAGAAGTTACATACACATCCGTATTAAATTTATTTCCACAAGGCTAATAAATAGTAAAGGATAAATTCAAACATGTCTTAATAACTATGACTAAGTAGCAATATTCGAAAGTAGAAGTCAAGTCTAAGCCTACGAGATATATTTAAACTTCGAAGTGACGATAACTTCTATCATTTATAAAAAGCTGTTTTAATATATACAGCACGTAGTATATGGCGAAGACCTTTAGCGAGAGTATTTTCGAGAAGCTGGCTGGATTTAATAACTAAAAATCTACCACGGTTCATTTATTCCGCACAATATGTACATTACCACAAACCATCGCCGTTAAGTTAACTTCAAAGTCTATTTCATTGTCTCCTGTATAATTTCATCGACTCCACATGCTGTCGGCCCTAAAGTCCGCATATAGTGGATATCTTACACCTGGAGTGAAAGCTTGGTACGTCTCTTGTCACGGAATTAGTTCATGTAAAGGGAAGTATGACTAGCCTAACCAATTCGTAGATATCAACTTGATTTAATAGTTCCTCAAGTCAATTATAGCTTAAGTAAGCCATGATTATAACTACCTAAGCTTTCCAGTTAATTATGTGCAAGCGGCGCTTTAATAGATAAATTGCTATTGTTCATTCGTCTATATGAGCGAAGTAACTAAAAGAGACGTGGGGTTTGACAAATCCTATCAGAATTGATACTTGCATAAATGCGGCGAACACCGGGAATATTTCTATTCGCTAATTTTGACTTGATCTACTCACAAACCCGATTCCAAGGAGCTGGATATGCCAGGAGCACGGAGATGTTACTACGCTGAGCCCTTCACGGGCTAACAGGGTGAAGAGTGGTTGGTAGTTCGTGTCGTACATAGCGCAATTATCACATTCGTGATCAGAACCTGTACATGACGTGCTCACGTTTTCCAAATCTACCCGAGAAACTTTCCTCATACGTCTCCAAAAATTCCTGTACTGCGTTGCAGTTTTCAACCGAGCCCAGCCAATGCGACGGCCAGTAATTCCTAAAAGAGGAAGATGGCGAATGGCGAGATCATGCCAAGGTCTCGTCCGCGCGCCAGCTTCAAGCACCAGAAGTACTATAAGGATGGCCGTTATCCGTGACGTACTACCGAATTTCCGAATCTCTGGGAACGGTTCAGACGTGAAAACACTGGTCGTCGTCTAGTTATTCAGATATCATGGCAGATTTAAAGGGCGCAGTCGTGATCCGGCCTGAGTCGCTGTCGGGTTCCGAGAAAAAACATGGCGAAGATCAGACCGCCGTAAAGGAGCGGATTCTTATGCACCAAGAATTACAGAAGACAGAGCCTCCGGTACTCCCTATTATGACTCTATTTCGCAGGAAGAAGCAGCAGCAGAACTTGGACGAGATCGCGACGCAGCCTTCCGTTTTCGACGACCCGGAGAAAGCGAAGTACTTTCAGCCAACTGAAAAGTACGAGAACTTACATCGGTTCGACCCGAGCGCGAGATGGACGTGGGCTGAGGAGTTGCCACTCATTAACAAGCTCGACTGGAAGATCACGTTGTGGGCATGCATCGCATTCTTTGCCTTAGACCTTGATCGTGGAAACTTGTCACAAGCGAACACGGACAATTTCTTGGAGGACTTGGGCTTATCCACGAATGGCAAGTACTGTATCTATTCGGTGTGAGAGCTATGTTCTAACAGTCGAGTATATAGACTATAACTTGGGAAATACTATCTTCAGATTAGCATTCTTGTGCGCCGAACTTCCATCACAGTTGGTGAGCAAGAAAGTAGGTGAGTACAAGCTTATACTTGTCTGGCTTAAAGCCTCTATTAATATGCCGTATAGGTCCCGATCGATGGATACCCACGATCATGGTTTTATGGTCTATCGTGGCAGCCTCTCAATTTTGGTTGAATAGCAGGGAAACTTTTCTTGCATGTCGTGTCCTACTTGGTTTGCTACAAGGTGGCTTCATTCCGGACATTGTTTTATACCTGGTAAGCTGGTTTTTCTTATGTCTTAGAGATAAGTCGTCGTAACAGGATCTAACATAGTTCGGATTTAGTCCTATTTCTTTAAAGCAAGCGAATTGCCTTTTCGCCTGGCACTATTTTGGACAACCCTAAAGGTAGTCGATATTATTGCGCCCATTCTGGCTTTTGGTATTCTTCGACTCCGTGGCCACCGCGGACAAGAAGGATGGAGATGGTTATTCCTAATCGAAGGCGTCTTCACCCTCTCCGTCGGAGTGTGGTCCTGGTTTATGATGGCACCATCACCTACACAGACTAAAGCATGGTATCGACCGAAAGGCTGGTTCAATGAACGTGAAGAGATCATAATGGTCAATCGTATATTGAGGGATGACCCTTCTAAAGGTGACATGCATAACCGCCAAGCGGTTGACTTGAAAAGATTATGGAAATCGCTATGCGATTATGACCTTTGGCCAATTTACATTGCTGGACTTGTGTTCGGAATTCCAGTCGGCCCCCCGGATCAATATCTAACCCTAACGCTCCGAGATCTTGGTTTCGATACGTTCAACTCCAATCTGCTTTCGATTCCTAGTCAAGTTCTAGGAATCGTCACGGTAAGTTATCTCCCGTATATCATCCGCCCTTTCAAAAGAATCACAATAGCCTAACAGAGCCTAATTATCTATAAAGATGCTTACCCTCACGTATCTCTCCGAAGTATGGAATGAGAGGTCGTTCATGGGCATGCTTGCGCAGATTTGGATTCTGCCTAACATCATCGCCCTGGCCGTGATACCGAGCAATACATCTCCATGGGCGAGATATGCTATAGTGATAATTTTACTCTCATATCCATATCGTATGCATAAGCCCCCATTATTACGTTTTTATACTCGCTAATAAATCATACAGCCCACGCTATACAGGTTGGTTGGTGTAGCCGGAATTCTAATACCGTCAGAGCACGCACAGTCTCCGCCGCAGCCTACAAGTGAGTGTTATATCATGCCTACCAGAAACTTAAGCTAACCACTACGGTAGTATGTTCGTCCAGGTCTCTGGTATTGCATATTCAAACATCTACCGTGCTGATGACAAACCTGAATGTGTGTAACCTTCCCCCTTTTAATATTCTGAGCCTAGGTCCCAACTGACGTGAATATTGACAGACCGCCGCGGAAACAAGCAGCTCGTCGCAATTTGCGCAGCAAACATAGTCATATATATACTTATCAAAGTCTATTATATATACCGTAACAAGCAAAGAGACACGGATTGGAATGCAATGACTCGCGAGGTAAGAATTGCGTGTACGAGAATAATACGGCGAAGAAACTAACACAATCACAGGAGCAAATACATTATCTCGAAACTACTACAGACCAAGGAAGTAAAAGGAAGGATTTCAGGTTCGCCCATTGATCGATGCTACTTACGAAAGCGACATTTCCGCAAATTCGGTACCTAAGACAAGAGATGTACTAACCTACGGAAGTGATGAATGTATTATGTTGAAGACAACATAAAGATAAAGCTTATTATTGCCTCGGGAACAAGAAAACATCCGTTATAAACTAGATTTAAGATTGGTAGTTATTAGTAAATAATACATCATATCTCCTCACGGCATCCCCTTTATAGACTAAATCAGAACCAACGCGTTAAAGCAGCCTTAGCCCCCTCAATATCGAGACTCCCCTCGGCCACCCAAGCAACAATACCATCAGGTCGAACCAACAAGGCACCAACACTAACATAATCAACCCTAGCTTTATACCCCTCAGCCAGCTTCTTAAGCGCTGCGTCATCACTAAAGTCGACAATAAGGCCTCGCGCTCCCCCCAACTTAGGACCTAGCCTTGATCCGTCACTAAACTCGAAATCCGGGGCGCCGGCCCCGACCAGAGGATGCGGGTCGCCGAGATCATGCCGCTGAGACAAGCCCCAGACCCGGCCGAGGAACAAGTTATGGCCATCATCCGCATCGATTAGATCGCTCACGAGCTGGCGAAGAGAAGCGCCGTGTGGCCCAAGTTTCAGAACTGTCACCTGTGCCGCGTGCGTGTGTCAACTCCAGCACCCAGCAAACTGAAACCCGGGCTTCTTCTGGAAGTTTGGCGGTCGCTTGCTTGGAGGTGTGACTTTGTCTAGTAGTCCGCGTCGGTAGAACGCCTCCATAGATGCCGTGTTCAACGCTCGCATACCCGGCGGTCCAACCTTCGAGGGAGAGTTGGGTTCGGACTCGCGCTCTAGCACCAGTACAGAGACGTCTGCCATCGCTAGTTCACAGGCTAAAAAGAGCCCGACTGGCCCTGCGCCCGCAATGATAACGTCGTAAAGATTGCTCATATTAGGATAGTTCTCTACTCGAGATAAATGTAATACGATGCAAATAAAGGAATGTTTTTGATGACATGACTAGTGCCTAACTCGTGGTATTTGTATTCGACGAGAGCTCAGAGTTTACTCTTAACCACCTCTCAGGGGTAATGAGGCAGCCCAGTTTCACATAACAGAGACTGGGCTATGGGAACCCGGAGAGCATCATAAATTTTCGTCACTGTAGTCACTATTTCTTCGGAAAACGAATAAGAACAATCGTCCGATGTCCGCCATTTCTCCTTACAATAGGTAATATCTCGATTGCTTCATGACTTCAGTCTATAGCATCGGCACCGAATGATGTTAAGCGGTTCCGAAGGCTAGCCGGGACCGAGCGGGACCGAATGGTGATAATTGTCTCCGATTGGCTGATCAAATTAATTGTAGTATACAGCTACTCCTTTTCTTGTTTTCTATGCCTGTCCGCTCTATAATTCTTATCTGGTATCGAAATACTTAGATAGCTCTTAGAAACAGATAGTGTTTATTCCGAAGAGTGTTATTTTAGGGTCATTTAACCCCTTTATATTCCGACTCATGATACCATACGCTTGAGTTCCACACCAGGTGTTTGTTCTTAGCTTCTATATAGGAAGATAAGCGAGAAGATATCAAATTAAGTTACTATATCTCAGTGACATATAAAATGGCATCACCCAAATCACGGCATTGTCACAGTATCCCACGCTTCATCATAAAGTACACGTCCAGAACTGTAACATATATCATAATCTACAGCAACAGCCTATTCTATAATTACGTAGGTTGAAGTCCATCCTACTAACTTACTGCAGTAATTAGATGATAATATAAAGAAAATACCACGTAGTACTATGTGGATATGTCGACTTATCCTCTGCATGGCCGATATCTGATAAAGGTATTACACTCGCATTCGTAAGCATAAAAGCATCTAATAGGCAAAAGTGTCCCCTCACGTACCTCGTTATACTATCTCTCACAGACAGGGTTTCCCCACGTCCCATTGTCCTGAGGGGAGAAGGACAGCCCATTTAAAGCGGACACTACGACATAACCATCCAATATGGCTCTCGCCTTGACCGCAATTAGGATGCCGGGGTATATAAATGATGCATGCTATAAATGCAGTCATATCATATCTCCACCGGCAATTCGGAGAGTATCACCAAGCATTTTGGAGTAGCTGGTAGTTAATTGGCTTATGCCCACGCTTATGCCACGATACATAAGGATATGCTATTTCATGGCGAGGTAAAGCTAAGAACGACTCTCCTGAGAAGAAAGCAAATAAAATTTCCTTCACAATGTCTTATGACGATGCATCATCACGAGCTACGGCTCTACGACAAGTAGTAAAGCTCATCCAAGACTCATCAGAAATACTAATCGCCGAATGGGAGAACCCAGCACCGGATGCTATACCAGCCTCTGAAACAACCTTCGCGATACCTGGGCGCAAGGCATATGACGCGCAACGAACAGTCATTGCAGCACTGGGCACGATCGAAGAGCTCGTAGCTGAGCCTCATCTGCGCTTAGTAGACTTTGCCGAGCTGTATTTCGAGGTTCGAGCACTTCACATAGCAGTTGAACATAATATCGCAATCCTGTTAGACAAGGGAGGTGCGGACGGAGTATCTGTCGAGGATCTAGCCAAGTCAACTGGGCTCGAGAAGAACAAGCTCGGTGAGCTCCTACTGGACACACGTCCTTTCTGCTTTGATATGCGCCTTTGCAACATGTCCCACTAACAGGACTAAGCTCGCATACTGCGAGTCCTGACTACGCAGCATATATTTCGCGAGGTTGCGCCGGGCAAGTTCGCAAATAATAGGATCTCGCAGGCTTTAGCCAACGACGAAAAGCTGCTAGGGCAAGTCAAATGCAGGTAAGCGGATCTTGATAGCCAGGCGACTAACATATTCCGACGCAAAGCTGATGACAACACTCAGTTCCATGGGATTCGCAGCTGCTTCAGCACTTCCGGAAGCACTCAAGGACCCTATCCGAGGACCGAGTCATGAACCGGAACTCGCAGCCTGGCCATTGGCCGTGGGCACAGAACTTCCATTCTTCACGTGGATGAACGAGAAAGTTCCCCGTTCGCGAGCGGCACTGGATAAAGCAAGTCCTGGCGCTGCAAGAGGCCCGTATCAAAAAGTAGAAGCATCACCTGATGAGGAGTTGGTCCCGAAGGACGACGCGCAAACCTACAACTTGTACTTAGCTGGCAACAGTAAGAGCTTAGGCAGTGCAACCTTATATGACTTCCCCTGGAAGGAATTGGAAAACGGTTTAGTTGTTGACGTTGGAGGCGGTGTCGGTAAGTTATCCCTGAAGGTTGACGGACTACATACACAAAGTCTCTTCGCACATAGGGTCGGCTAACACGGCATATCTAGGTAGTTTTGATCTTCAGCTAGCCCGCCTGTATCCAGAATTGCGTTTTGTCGTACAAGACCTGCCGACCGCGGTTGAGCAAGGTTCTTCAATATGGCAAAAGGAGTTCCCCGAAGCTTTAGAGTCGGGACGGGTACAGTTCGTGGCACACGACTTTTTCAAGCCGAATCCCATCAAGGAAGCCGACATATACTGGATGCGCCATGTCCTGTAAGACAACCTGAAGACTCCACGTTAAAGACAGGACTGACGCAGAAACAGACATGACTGGAACGACGAGGCTTGCGTCGAAATTCTTCTGAATACCGCCAAGTCCATGGGTCCAGACTCGCGGCTACTTGTTGCCGATATTACTTTGACTGAAACAATAGGAGACCCGTACATCAAGCCAGCCCCTAAACCCCTATTAGCCAATTACGGAATCCATGTTCATCACGGGTTCGCCTTCGACATAGCCATGATGTCTTTGATGAACGGCAAAGAGCGAACACCTTCGGAATTCCGAGAGCTGTTCGAGAAGGCAGGACTGAAAATGGTTAAAGCGTGGGAATGTCGTAGCAACTTGGGAATAATGGAATGCCGCTTGGCATAAGTGGGAAGTGTAGTAGGTAGACTTAGCGTGATGCAACTCTCGTTTGATCGGTTAACGACGTCTGAAGAATATTAGAATGTTAGGATGTTATACTCTTCACCGCTTAATCTATCTAATGTATCAACAAATGCACTGCCCTCCTTAGACCACATTCCACAATGTTACTGGAGTATATGTAGATGCGAGTGAGGAGAATAGGAGAATGCCGTCATGTCTTACTTACATATGGTTTGTGCAGAAAGCGTTACACTACTTAAATGTCTCGTTGGGCTATAATTAGATGTCAAATCAAATCGACAGGCGATATTCTCTCTAGTCAAGCAAGCGTCGTCCCACCGATAGGTAATTTTGTTTAGGGATCATTTAGAGGCTGTGATGTCGCACTTGAGGCTTCGGCTCTCTAATCATTTCTTTCAAACTGCAGCTAGTCATGTGGGCTTGTCCTTGTAAGATACATAACAACCACAGCTGTGGCAAGATGAAATAGGGGGAGGAGGGGGGGATCTATAATGTGTGCAAACTGTATTTAATACTGTATTACGTTTTGCTTCTAAATAAAGAAACATTTAGGTACCTAGGTACGTATCTCACCCCACGGTGGGGGCTGTTACTAGCGGGGTACACCTGGCAGCTACCTGAGCAATCAGGTCCAAAAACAACGCTGCATTAGGAATTTCAGTTGTTGGTACATGTAGCGTTACAACCTCCCCTCACAACCTTCTACAACCCTGCCTTTGCCTTACCTTAGGTCCAATTATCTCAGGTTCAACCTTCCCTATTCACATATCACATTCTCACATTCTCAGACGCCATTCACCATTCTGGGTATTATATATTCTCTCTTCGGTACTTTGCTCGGTTCGGGGGAGAGAGGCCGCATACCACAGCCCCGCCGAACCGCTTCGCCTCGTTTGTCCTACCCCCTATATACTAGACTCACCGTCTAATAGGACCTCCTGAATTTCGTGGCTCTCGAGTACAAGTAGGGACATTTCACCTGCGGTCAAGTCGGAAGCAAACATCAGACCATCTCAGTCTAAACATCTCTAATATAAGTCTAAGTGTCTAAGTCATCACCACCCCCAATGGCAAACGACAAAGACATCATCACCTGCCACATTCTGGACACCTCCATAGGCAAGCCAGCTAAGGGGGTCCGCGTCAAGCTGGAAGGCGGGCATGCTCCTCTTAAGACTTTCGAGTCTCAGACCGATGACGACGGCCGCATCAAGGCGTGGCTACCATATTCCAGCATCCACTCGTCAGGAGATGTACCTACTTACACCCTGGACGACGTGCTGAGCGAGGTGCAAACTAAGTCCACTTGGACTCTACGCTTCGACACCGGAAGCTACTTTGGCGAGGGAAACACTTTCTTTCCCGAAGTTCTGGTCTCGGTCACCGTCGAAAAAGGCCAGCATTATCACGTGCCACTGTTGCTGTCTCCTTATAGCTATACGACTTACAGAGGCAGTTAAGGCGCATATTAAAGGGGGCTAGAGGGGGAAAGATCAAAACCATTGGAGACGCTATAGAGAATTGCCCATGATTTGGAGAAATCTCAATATGGATTGTGGGGGCAACCCGGCTACAATCGGTTCTTATCTCAGCTACAGATATCGATTGTCTTTGGCATATCATCTACAGCAGTTTAGGCCTAACGTGCTTCCCTAAGCACGCATAGGATGGAATACTGGCCAGAGAACCCTCAAATAAAGGAGAAACCTTCGTTAGAACTCCAGTTCAGACTTACAACACAATTAAAACTAAGCCACCTTTCTTATCGAGTTTTCCATCATTGTTCTTGGACCCAATGTGAATTAAGAAATTTCCAGCCATTTTGGTACGAGTTCAAACTTGAAAGTGCTCTTATTTAGTATAGAAAAGCATCCACGTCAGGCAAGCTGGTTGATTTAGCCCAAATTCTTTAGCCCACTGTGGCGAGTAAAAGCTATCCTCGTCTCCTACAATGAGATGGCATCATATTTAAACTTCATAAGGTGGCCTCAAGACTCCCTTCAGGCGAAACCTTGATACATATCATAAAGTAAGTTACATAACCCTACTTCACAGGGGGGGGGGGGGGGGGGGGGGGGGGGGGGGGGGGGGCGCGGGGGGGGGGGCGGGGGGCGGCCGGGGCGGG